TCTAAGCAGTTAAACAATATTAAAGCGCTTTTAAGAAAGTTATCCAATATCAAACGGAGAAAAATGCTCAACATTGTAAATACGTCACATATCGCAAGATGTAAGACAAGAAAGTAGTAGTTCTTCTTTAACAAACTCTTTCTTTTTAATATCGAAGCGATCACAAGGGTATTTCCAACGATGCCAAATGAAGATATTGCGACAATGAAAAATATAAAAGTTTCCATAGCGATAAGATTGATATATCTGAGCTACTTTCTATGAAGTGCTCTTCTCTCCTATATATTCTACTTTGCAAATGCAATACAGAGCTGTGTGTTCAATCTTTTCAGTGGAGTCTCAAAACTCGATAAAAATTTTGCCTTGTTGCATTTTTTTTCCAACTACATCTGCATTATACGTCCGTATATTGTAATTGTGCTTGAAATGTGCGTTAACATGGACTATTAAAATTCACAAAAGCTCGTTATAAATTTACATAAGCCAGCGACAAAGACCGTTATCGCTTTTCGCAGTAATTCCTTTTCCAGCGAATAAACGCCGCATCGCAGCTGTGTCAAGCACATTTTCAAAAACGAAACAAACGCAAAACCAATTAGGTTTGCCATTTATAGGACGAGAAGTCATAATTGCACTACTAATTTGGACTAAATTAAAGTATTTAAAACTGTCGATGATCTAACGAATCAAACTTTGAAATTGACAAATTTGCGGCAAAACTTTTTTGCAACAATTTAATTCAATGAAGAATTTATCGCTCACGAAAATGTCTCCATATGTAGAGATTTTCGAATATCTTATATTTAAGAAAACATCTAAAATAATGATGAACAGTAGATGTCCGTCTCTACAGGGTGTCGCAAAAACTGCTCATGCAGCCAGCGTTTTACAATTAGCATGATTTAGCAGTAATTGATCTCCAAAATATCTTCAAAGGTATTTGAAAACAATAATACATACGAATTGCGACAACTGTTTATTGCAAGTTTCAAGCACGAAATTCATTTCAATAGCATCTATGCCTCTTTGGGGATTAGAAATTAGCTACTGATTCATGCAAATTCTAAATGTTGGCTGATTTTAAAGATGAGCAGTTCTTCTGAGACGGCTGTAGTTCGCTGAAAAAAATGACGACCATATTCATATATTTGATCGGCGCATTTCACTTGCTGCACCACAGGACATCTAACCTCCTGTTGCGTTCCTCATACTAAATATTGTCTCGCTGATTGTGTCGAAGATTTACAAAAGAATAAGATAGTTATAAGATAATTTTACGTGTCTTAAAAATACATGAAAATAAAAATTACGACTTTGGAAATCGACAACGAAGTTCAGTGGAATTATTAGTCGTTAATTTCGGTTTGGAAAAACGAAAAATGCCGATTTTGGCAGCATTTACACTTTGAGAACTACAAGAACCTTGACTTTTACAAAGATTTTCGGAGACAACACGGAGCACAGCACATTTGCCGCCATTTTGAATTTTTTAAAACGTGTCCTTGAATTGGACATCTACTTGCATCATCGTTGTTATTGAAGCAATGGTTCTTTTACAGAGTTTTCAATGGTTTTCAATTATACCACCCCCACCACCCCCCAGCTATGTAAGCATTACAATTAATGGCTAGCAGGAATTGGGTATGAAGAACGGTAATCAAACTATTCGTTAAAATTGATCTGACATTCAAAGCCACAAAGCCAAAGTCCTAAGTCATGAGCAAAAATTCGCGCAGGTTAGTGTACCGCGTGACTAAGACAGTCGTCAAGAGTTGTGGATTAGAAGGAGAAATAACGGACAACAGCTGACTGATTTTATTTGTCCTATACCGTTGTGCAAAAAATTTCTTTGAATGTAATTTCCACGCATTCTAAAAGATCAACTCGAAAACATTTTCTAACAAAAAGCATTTCAACGTGGTAATGACAAAAGCTTTAAAGAACCCTCCCACCCCGCCCCCAAAACAATATCAAACTATCATGGATTCATGATGGTGGACGATTCCCCACTCACCAATCCCTTTCTCCGTAAGACAACGTACGCTACAACAGAAGGTTGTAAACAGAATAAGTTTCAGTTTCAAATAAATTAAACAAGGAATTGATATTTCACTAAAAAGTAGAGTCCTTCATGATTTTTTTTATATACATATTAAATCATTCTTGGTTTGATAAAGCAGCTAATGATTATACAGAGTTATCATTCAGTGGCGAATCTAGGGTAGATCAACACATTATGGCAATCTACAATTGAAAATACTTCGAAAACGACGTTGTTGGTTAGAAATTTCTAAACATAAAGATAATGCCAACGTGACTCATTGTAAATTATTTTTGATTGGAAAAAAATACTAACAGTAATATAAATTTCGACCTTTCCAGGTTCGGAACTGTTACCACCTTTCCTAGCATTCATTATATTATTTGGCCATTTCGAAGAAATTTCGAAACAGCAGATTTCTAATGCAAAATAGTCTGAGCGAGCTTACAAGTTTTGGGCAAGTTACAAAATCATAAGAATACTTAGGCCATGTGCGAAGCACGTGCGTTTTATACCCTTCACAACCCACACACGTGGATTGTATTACCCAACAAGGATAATTGAATTTTTTCCCTCCTTCAGCTTACATCTGGGGAACTTACGTATCATACTTTTCCCACAGCGGCGACCAGTTCTTTCGCCAAAATTGAATTGATTGTCATTTTTCGCAATTCACCGTAATCCTACTCTCTTTCCATACTCCTTAAGTTCGACAGTTATCAATACGGGGACCCCGGATGAAGTAGCCGACCCAGAAAACCTATAATAATTTAAGCTGCTATTTCTGGGTAATGCCGCTACACTCGCACAACCCAGGATTTTCGACGCGAGCACGCGTTCCTCGCAGTTCTCCTGCGGGATATCCACAGTCAGAGAGCTTTCATTCATACCCGACAACTTCTCTGTGAACGAAGATAATTTAAGGTAAGTCAATATTTCTGTAATAATTTCATTTTACATGCATTTGTATAAGCAAGATAAAAATTTATAACCGCGATACTTACTTTGCAAAGTAAGAAAGTCATTTTCAGTTATCGGCCTCGCGTGAAGCTGTTCTCCCATCGGGCATTTCAACTTGACAGTAAACTTATCGGACTTCGTGCTGGTGAAAAAGCGAGATCAATTTGAACACATGATAAAGTTTTACTGCTAGGTATTCTAAATTATCCTCTTATGTTAAAGCTTGGGTCCTTATATACATCACTCTAGTGTCTTCATTTGGAGAGATCTGTTGAGTCCTTATGAGTTATCTGATGTTAAAACTTGAGTTCTTATAAACTCCAGTCTAGTGTCCTCATCAGGAGTGACGTAATGTTGAAACTTGAGTTTTTATAAACTCCAGTCTAGTGTCCTCATCAGGAGTGACGTAATGTTGAAACTTGAGTTCTTATAAACTCCAGTCTAGTGTTCTCATCAGGAGTGACGTAATGTTGAAACTTGAGTTCTTATAAACTCCAGTCTAGTGTTCTCATCAGGAGTGACGTAATGTTGAAACTTGAGTTCTTATAAACTCCAGTCTAGTGTTCTCATCAGGAGTGACGTAATGTTGAAACTTGAGTTCTTATAAACTCCAGTCTAGTGTTCTCATCAGGAGTGACGTAATGTTGAAACTTGAGTTCTTATAAACTCCAGTCTAGTGTTCTCATCAGGAGTGACGTAATGTTGAAACTTGAGTTCTTATAAACTCCAGTCTAGTGTTCTCATCAGGAGTGACGTAATGTTGAAACTTGAGTTCTTATAAACTCCAGTCTAGTGTTCTCATCAGGAGTGACGTAATGTTGAAACTTGAGTTCTTATAAACTCCAGTCTAGTGTTCTCATCAGGAGTGACGTAATGTTGAAACTTGAGTTCTTATAAACTCCAGTCTAGTGTTCTCATCAGGAGTGACGTAATGTTGAAACTTGAGTTCTTATAAACTCCAGTCTAGTGTTCTCATCAGGAGTGACGTAATGTTGAAACTTGAGTTCTTATAAACTCCAGTCTAGTGTTCTCATCAGGAGTGACGTAATGTTGAAACTTGAGTTCTTATAAACTCCAGTCTAGTGTTCTCATCAGGAGTGACGTAATGTTGAAACTTGAGTTCTTATAAACTCCAGTCTAGTGTCCTCATCAAGAGTGACGTAATGTTGAAACTAGAGTTTATATACTCCAATCGAGTCGAGATATACACATTGACTTGTTTTTTATGCTAAATCCAATGACTTCAACGGAAATATTTTGATGATAAAAGATAATTAATAATTGATAAAAACAGTAACGCGACATACCATATCTCAAAACTAACTGGTTGTATAGTATCCTTAAAATCTATCCCCATGCTCACGGTGACTGTAGAACCAATACCGATCGATTCTAAACAAGAGCAAAGCAACCCCATCCCAATTATTCACAGGTGATTTGCAGGTTAATATTTTTTCTAAGCAGACAACTCACCAATCTTAGGAAAATCGGCTATTTTCAAGCCGAGTCCCACTTTCTAAGACGAGAAAACAAACAGAGTCTCAGTAAGCACATTTCTACTAACGACTATGACTTACAATGCAATTTACCTTCTCGCCAACGTGAATGTTTTCAACACATGAACTGCCGCTGTTAGTAAATGTTATTTCAACGGCGACCATCGTAGTCGAATACAGACACGGACTCCGGGAACTTGTATTGAGCCTGCAATCCACGACCAGCCATCTTATTGAGCAGTTCATAAGTCCTCAATTGAGAGAAGTCCGTTACGACCTACATGAGAAAGTCGGCTTGAGCATGATTTGATCACGTGTCATGTCATGCGCAATTCAAGTAGGCGATTGGCTGTGTTGCTATTCATCTGTAGCCTTTCATTGTTATCAGTTGAAAAGGACCTCGTCCTTAATCTAGAGCATGCGCATTGAATACTTAACTCATCGATGTACCTTTTGCACAACCGCAGCAACTCCATTCTGTACGACACCAAGGGAAAGTGTTTTCATATCGTCCACCAGCGAGGGGAAAGAATGTTCTTATGTGCAGGACCATTTACAACAGGAGCCACAGGAACTATAAAAAATATTAAAGTATTTCGTATAGAGGAAAAAAATCAATCGGATTGGTGATTTCAGTGCCACAAGTTAAGCCGTTAAAGAGTGAGCTTACTATCTTCATCAAACGAAAGCAATTGATCAGTTGTTGGTGGCTTAGAAACTCGTTTATTCTTCGGAGCATCATCGGATTTCTTCGTTTCGACCTCAATATACAAAATATTGTGATTAATTAATTGCAGTTCATATGTGAAAAGCTGAATTATTTCTCGTTTTTCAAACAGTGGTATACATATCCTTTGAAAGTGTGCACAGTAATTTATCTCACTTTTTTCGCTGGCGTTTCTTGTTTAGCATCGTCACTCTCCTGTGACGAATCGCTTTCCGAGGACTCGGCGTCGCTATCCGAAGACTCTTCACTCGTTTTCGACTCGATGCTGCTCTGACTTTCTGATTTTTTCGACTCTTTGCTCTTTCATTTTTCCCCTTCGTCGTCGCTCTCTTGGCTTTCTGAAAAGCGAAATTGAATGACAAAAACTGAGGAGGGGGGAGGTATCAGAGGAAAATGAATGGCGCGGACGCTTTTAAACGCATGACGTTTTGCAAGAGATTTTTTTATTTATTTATTCCTTAATAAGTCTATATCACATACTATGGAGTAGACTTATGTTTATCCGACAGGAAGCAAACAGATTTTCCTGGGGTTGCATTAATGTGCTGGCAAAGGTTTCGGAGCCCGGGCTTTGCATTGTGAAGTTGTAAATAAGTTAAACCCTTATACTAAGTCTAACTGTTTGTCATTTTCAAGCGCACGATATTATAGTAGCCATTTCAAATTCTGGTGTGAAATACGTACAATAGGGTACATTCTGGTACATTTCCACACTGCACCATCATGTAAAACAAAATGAGGTCTTGTCATGAGTAAACTATGTGACCATACATGCCAAAGACAAGGTCAAACTACGAAAACTTGAGGCGGAAACATTGCTTAAAGTAAATATTTAATCAGAGGAGCCATACAGCAATACACCATTAATGTACTCCACCATTCGTTGGGAAGGGAGGATTGTTTTCTGTCAGAACGCATATTGCCTGAAGAGCCATGCAGCAATACACCATCGCGAAAACCCCAGTATTTGTAGGCAAATATTGTGCTGGTAGCGATCTATATTTTCTATGACTGTGAATATAACGGTACCATAGATATCAGTTTTAACAGCATACCACTTGATCTCTTACCTGTTTCCGATCCAGGTAAAGACTCCATGCTAGATTTACTGACGCTCTCGCTGCCTTCATCGCTCTCACTTTCACTTCCGCTGCTTCCACTTGAACCGGAGCCTGTGGGAACACGATGCAAAAATAGGCACGCAGTGCGTACAAAAGGGTAGCCTTGCTTAACACAAATGATTTATTCAGCCAAACTGTGCATATTTGGTTATATATGTATATATATAAGCTTGAAGATTGGTAACCAAGCATTATTGTTGAAATTAAATAAACTTAATTACGCGTCCAGTAGGAAAAGACTTGGGGGAAGAACGCACCTGATTCAGATTCCGACGCAGAGTCGGATTCAGATTCACTCGAGTAAAATGTAGACTTTTTCTTTGATCTTGACTTCGATTTAGATTTCTCCCACAACGGCTCGACCTACATAAACATATCGATAAAATGTTGAATCACACAATCAAAACATAATCATGGGATATGAACGATCACAAACCTCGACGTTTCTAACAGAGGGATCGGGAGGGACCTCGGGGTATTCGGGAAGTTCTTGATAGCCAGACGCTCGTGCGTTTATGAGATGAGAGAGAGAGCCGACGATGAACTCACCATGACCTTATAGAGAAGAACATTAGCTGCATGGATTGACACTAGATACTACAGCATATACAGAGACCTAAGAGGCAATGCTTGATCTTTCCTAATAAAGATACTAGACAACTCAAGTTTCAACATCACTACTAATGAAGAGACTAAACTGAGATACATAAAGACTCAGGTTTCAACATCATATCCTTCCTGGTGAGGATACTAGACTAGAATGTAGGACTCAAAATTCAAAATCAAATCACTCCTAATAAAACACTACACTGAAGAATATATTGGAGTGAAGTCGTAACATCAGATTACTCTTGATGAAGACACTAGACTGGAGTGCACAAGGACTCAAGTTTTAACATCAGATCACTACTAATGAAGACACTAGACTGGAGTGCATAAGGACTCAAGTTTTAACATCAGATCACTACTAATGAAGACACTAGACTGGAGTGCACAAGGACTCAAGTTTTAACATCAGATCACTACTAATGAAGACACTAGACTGGAGTGCATAAGGACTCAAGTTTTAACATCAGATCACTACTAATGAAGACACTAGACTGGAGTGCACAAGGACTCAAGTTTTAACATCAGATCACTACTAATGAAGACACTAGACTGGAGTGCATAAGGACTCAAGTTTTAACATCAGATCACTACTAATGAAGACACTAGACTGGAGTGCATAAGGACTTAAGTTTTAACATCAGATCACTACTAATGAAGACACTAGACTGGAGTGCACAAGGACTCAAGTTTTAACATCAGATCACTACTAATGAAGGCACAAGACTGGAGTGCACAAGGACTCAAGTTTTAACATCAGATGACTCCAGATGAAGACACTAGACTGGAGTGCACAAGGACTCAAGTTATAACATCAGATGACTCCAGATGAAGACACTGGACTCAAGCATTTAACAGCCTTGACTGAAGACCTTCCTTCACCTTTGAAAGATGACTCTAACACGGGAGGTGGTTTGGAAGCCAGCAATATTTTCTTGGAGTGTTTAACAATCTGTCCCACCTGAAATACACACGAGAACAAATAAATCGACGCCATTGGAACATGTCATTCGAGTGCTATATTATACATTAAACAAAGTATTCGTAAAAAAAGAACTGCTGTCCAAAACAAACCGAAGTTAATAACTGTAAATCACATTCTAATGGCAAAAGTTTCTCCATTTACTATTGGTTTGAAGATGCTAAAATCAAACTTTCGATATTATAATAGTTTAAATTTATAGCTCAAAACCAGTGTAGTAAGGAAGTTCATACTTGGTAAATATGGTATACGGTATAATAATGGTAAATAATTTAATTTCGAAACTTTGGACGACGAAGTTCAAATCTCGATTGGTTCATTAAAATTTCTTCAACGCAATAAAAAAACAAACAGGAAATATAGATATGTTTCTTATCTAATAAGTGAATGCCTTAGATAAATTATATTAGATAAAATACAACCCAGCCAATGATTGAATATTTGAGATAAAACACAACCTAGCCAATGAGTGAATGTCTTAGATAAAACACAACCTAGCCAATGAGTGAATGTCTTAGATAAAACACAACATAGCCAATGAGTGAATGTTTTAGACAAAATATGACCTAGCTAATGAGTGAATGCTTTAGATAAAACACAACCTAGCCAATGAGTGAATGTTTTAGACAAAATATGACCTAGCTAATGAGTGAATGCTTTAGATAAAACACAACCTAGCCAATGAGTGAATGTTTTAGACAAAATATGACCTAGCCAATGAGTGAATGCTTTAGATAAAACACAACCTAGCCAATGAGTGAATGTTTTAGACAAAATATGACCTAGCCAATGAGTGAATGTTTTAGATAAAACACACCCTAGCCAATGAGTGAATGTTTTAGATAAAACACACCCTAGCCAATGAGTGAATGTTTTAGATAAAACACACCCTAGCCAATGAGTGAATATTTTAGACAAAATACAACCTAGCCAATGAGTGAACGTTTGAGATGAAATATGACCTAGCCAATGAGAGAATGTCTTAGATAAAATACAACCTAGCCAATGAGTGAATGTTTTAGATAAAACACAACCTAGCCAATGAGTGAACGTTTGAGATGAAATATAATCTATCCAATAATTCAATGTTTTCGATAAAATATACAATAAAAAAGTTCTAAAATTAAACCTTCTCTCCGGGAAACACAATGGGACGTAAAATCGCGCTCGATCCCTTATATCGTAGCTCTGGTCATATTTGGCGAGATTTAATACATATTGACACAACTGCTGAGTCTACAGAAAAGAAGTGGTACGCAGCGTATTAAGTCAAGCTACGACTAGAAGTGTGAAAAAATAAAAATATAAACAGTATATTAAGTAAAAAGTAAATGGTTTGAACCCGGAGTATCGTTACATGTTTATAAATGTAGATCATCCAGGTTGGTATAGTCCTGAGAAGGACTGTTTTTGTTGTTGTTGACTGACGTTTCGACAACCTTAGCTGTAGTCATCTTCAGAGTCAAATGAGGAGTAAACGTCAGGTTAGCCGTATTTGTTATCTGGTTCTTACGTCATTGTATTGTGTGTACAGGAAATGTGTGGGTGTCAATTGTGTATTACCAATGTGAATTAGTGTGAAGTTTAATGTTTTTAGTTGATCGTTTGTTTGTATTGTGCACTTTACAAACGATTTATTAATAAGTATAAGCGTGTTCAGAAATCAGGTGGTAAAAACTTGAAATTTAAGAAAATTTCTAAGTTTGGAAAGGTTCAAAACACAGTCCAACCTGTATTAAGCGCGCCGTATTAAGCGGTGGCCGTATTGTACGAATCCAGACTAGAACCCCTCCCCCCTTCCTCCTCACCCAACCCAGGAATAGATCTCACCATCAATATATAAATTGATCACCCTAATTCATAATCATAAAGTATTTTCTTCAAGTGGCAAACCTGGTTTGGATTGATTAGAATTAATTTCGCACCAAGATTGATGATTTGTAATTTCACAATATCCTCCTGAAAACAACGGAAAAAAAACATTAAAACACTCTTTTAAAAAACATTTGTCGAAAAACATGCAGAAATTTCGAGACAAGTTATGCTGAAATGTTGAAATCCATAACTCACAAACCTCCTTTGTGAATGACTTCGCGGCTATTCTCAGTACATCCGGGGCAACTTTTGGAACACGTTCCGCATATTCACCGACGAGCCAAATGATACTGGCACGAGCCATGGGAACCTGCGGAACATGAGTAATGTCAAGATAATGGGCGATGAAGATAGAATAATGCTTGGAAGATAGAGTAATGGAAGATAGGAGAATGCTTGGAAGATAGAGTAATGCTTGAAGATAATGCTTGGAAGATAGATAATGGAAGATAATGCTTGAAGATAGTAATGCTTGGAAGATAGGAGTAATGCTTGGAAGATAGGAGTAATGGAAGATAGGCTTGGAAGATAGGGAGTGGAAGATTGGAAGATGTGGAAGATAGTAATGCTTGGAAGATAGGAGTAATGCTTGGAAGATAGGAGATGGAGTAATGCTTGGAAGATAGGAGTAATGCTGGAAGAAGATTGGAAGATAATGCTTGGAAGATTGGAAGATAGATAATGCTTGGAAGATAGGGAGTAATGCTTGGAAGATAGGAGTAATGTAGATGGAAGATTGGAATAATGCTTGGAAGATAGGAGTAATGCTTGGAAGATAGGAGTAATGCTTGGAAGATAGGGAGTAATGCTTGGAAGATAGGGAGTAATGCTTGGAAGATAGGGAGTAATGCTTGGAACAAAGGGAGTCATGCATAATTACAAAGATTACATACCGTAATTTTATTCAGTATTTTTGTCATTTGTATGATTATTTGAGATTTATCTTTATGCTAAAAGAAATGAATAACAGCCATCCATCATAATACGTACGTTTATCGCAATCAAGATAAAGACAACGACAAAATTACCTTTAATTGTAATAATTTTTTTATCATTACAACGCTTTCAGCCACCACCGTTTCTAAAGTAAAGAAATTGACGTCTGACATGTATACATCAACTTCAACAAGATAAATTTTCATTCATTTGTAAATCTAAATGAGGATCCAAGGATAGTGCAGAGTTTAAAAAAAAACACTACATTTTGACTCGTAATTTCAATTAACCATAACATGTTTCGCACATTTATTTGATTACGGTATCAACTTCCGTTTCATTTTTATTACTAGGCCTTTAATGACCGAGCGCGAGGTCTTTACGGAGAAATAACGGACCGAGGTCTTTTTGTACAGACCGAGCCCGTAGGGCGAAGTTTGTACAAAAAGACTGAGGTTCGATATTTCTCAGTAAAGACCGAGAAAGCGAGGTTATTAAAAGGATTATTATATGGCATTATTTGAACTGAAACGAAGCTTGCTTTCTTTCTCGTCTTTGCTGTTTTTTACCCGTCGGCTTTCACTTTTCTAGTTTTCGTCCATAAAAAATAAATCGTTTCAAATTGTATCGTCTGGATAGTTTAACTGTTTTCCAAGTGTTTTTCCTTCGAATCTCATTCGTAAATGTTTTTTTGTTTCGTTTATTTTGCGTTTTGCTGTTGCATTACGAAGTTTGTTTACACTTGACTGTTAAATTACGCGTTTTTAGACCGTGGTCCATTACGGGAAAATAATGGACCAGCAAAAATGTTTCTGAGCCAATCAAAGCTCGCCATTTTGCCATACAACAATGCTTTTAATAATAATAACGTTATTATGCCTTGTTGGAGATTTGCATCCGTAAATTTCATTATGAAATCAGCAAGCCCATTGCCAAACGTAAAAATAGTGTAAAAAACACTTGGTATAAAATGAAAAAAGCGAAAAATCCAAGTTTTAAAGATCTCGCGTTGGCCTGTGTGTACATTACAATACCAATTTTGCTTCAGGGTGATTATAGTTTTTGTGAACAAGGCCTGCTTTGAAGGATATTTAACAGCAATTCCCAAGATCGGTTAAAAAGGTATTTGTAACTTACTATTCCTATTGCATAGATAGCAGTTAACCTGACCAGTTAAACAGGTATTGTTATAACTTATCCTTCCTATTGGATAGCATTCTAACTCGACCGGTTAAACAGGTATCTGCAACTTACCATTCCTATTGGATAGCAGTCTAACTAGACCGGTTAAACAGGTATCTGTAACTTCGGGAATGTTCGATGCACAACGGCCAATGGCTTGTATCGTCGACGCAACGAACTCTTTGTCCGAATTGTTGATGTAATTCTGGTAACGAGAACGATGAGATGTAAAAAAGGCCAAAATGGGGCAACTACGTATGAAGAGGATAAAAGTATATATGATAAGGGTAACTAGTTTTGTTTACTTGATCTTCCGTAATTACAGTGCTCGATTCGTTACAGCGGAGCATAATTATATTGTTAAGAAGAAAATTCACAAAACTACAATTTCATCTCGACAAGCCTGTTTCGTGATTTCTCACTCTTCAGGGGATAATATTAAATGAATACAAATGCATGTGTCTAACTATATATAGGTAGAACTACATACAAACTAGGTGTACGATTACAAATTACATTAAAGTGCCTTGAGTCTATGGCGACAAGACGAGACAAGTTCGTTACGTTTGTTGAGTGATGATAGTTGTGGTTGGTAGGTGATAAAGGATTTTTCTATCAGGCATAGGTTGCATCTTTTGTTGTCGCTGTTGTACGGTTTGCTGTGAGTAATGATGTTCCATGAGATATCGTGAGCGATGTTGTTGTCTTTAAGTTTCCATATGTGTTTACTGAGTTTGGTTAAGTTTCTTAGTTTTTTGTGGCGGAAAGAGGCAGTGGGGCTCCTGTGTCGAGTTTTAAATTCCTTTTCTGTAAGTCCGATGTAGGTCTTAGTTGTGTTAGTGTCCAAACGTTTAACAGTTGCTTGGTAGATGACAGATGATTGTAGGCAGTTTCCGTTAAGTGGGCAGTTTTGTTTCTGTCGGCAGTTGCATGTTTTAGTTTTTTTGTCATTGATGGTGTCATTAGTACTGTCAGGTGCTCTCACCTGATAAGGGTAACTATGTATTTTGAAGGATAAAGGGCAGCTATGTATGTTCGTGCAATTAAGGGTAACTATGTATTTTAAAGGATAAAGGGCAGCTATGTATGTTCGTGCAATTAAGGGTAACTGTGTGTGAAGAGATTAACCACTATATATGATGAGGATCAATTTTTAAAGAGAGGAAAAGTTTTTACGGTAAAAGAACTCTGTGGGAGGTGACCCAGAAACAAGAGGTTATTGACGAACAAATATTGTAGCTCTTCAAACTATAACTGCAACTATACAAAGTAACGTTCAGAAAATACACAAATATCTTCAATATGACAGACAAGTTTTCATCTCGATGAAGAATATTTAAAATTTCAAAATGGGCAATTTCTTGAAACATCTCAACAAAACAATATTACCTGAAATTCCCGCAATAGCAACGTTATATTACTTTCCGAAGCGATGTTCGTCATTATTTCAAGCTAAAAAAATACAAAATGCCGTCGAATCTTCAAGATAATTCTCATGTTAAACACCGATACACGTGTATATTACATGAATTTTTTATCGTCTACAACAACTGTCATGGACTCTCTTTTTAACATAAATGTCTGCATGCTTAGTTTTGGATTTATTGAAGTTTTTGTGGTAGATAAATAAGGGAATGTACGTTCAATCGTTTCCTAATGAGCATAATTCGTAATTTCCATTTATTTTCACTAAAAATAAAAACTTCCTTTAAGGGGCTGTTTACATGAGCCCTACAGGGAAGGTTGGCCCTTCCAAGCGAGATCTCGCGTGCAGTTAAATTTCCACATAAATTTCCACATCACTCTTCGTTTACATGAGAGGTAGGCCAGCCTTACCAGCCGAGATCTTGCTATTGTTTACCCGAAATCTCGCCATGTAGGGCTGAGAATGTGCAATGTAAACGCATTCAGCAGGGCTAGCCCTTCCTGTAGGGCTGAAAATTCAAAGGATTTTCATGCCTGCGATAAGGCATCGCTTTTCAGCAATGGCGACAACAAAATGCATCAACGGGAGCAAACAAACTAAGAAAGCGTAAAAAATCAAAAGGCGACAACTATATTGGTTTGTTTTCAGCTATTTTGTATTTTAGCGCCGAAATTCGCAGTTCAAACAGAGCTCTTGATGTATGGCTAGAATTTGCATGTAAAAGAAAGGAAGAATACAGCCCTACAAAGAAGGCTAGCCCTTTCCGTAGGGCTCATGTAAACAGCCCCTAAGTAGATGACCACTTTACTAAACAATACAATAGTTTTAACACAGTACAAGCAGGTTTGCGGTACAACAACGAAATAAAACATGATTCGAAAAAAGTAAATCAGAAAACGGCCAAACATAAATTCTTCAATGTGTGTACATATCGCCAAAACTTTAATAACTCCACAAGTAAGCATGTCAAGATTAGCGTTAAAAACAAAGTCAAATGCGGAAGATTGATTCTTCAAAGACAAGAAAAAATCGTGTCAAGGGCACTTAAGCAGATCAAGTTAATGTACATCAGAGATCAGAAGTAAAATACATAAAGTCTGATATAGACATATAGTCAATCGTCACCTGCTTACCTTAAATGTTTTGATATATTTTGAGTCGTTGGAATGAACGAAGAAACTTTTCAGATGCGCTTCAAACATTCCCTAGAAGATTTACAAACAAGGAAATTGCTTTAAACGACAGAAATTAAACCAATTTAGGCACATGCAACCAATGCAACGAAAGACACGGAAATCAAATGAAAATCACCTTCCTTGTCGATGATAATGTTGCTATATTGCTAAGAACGACATATTGAACTTCTCTAAAGAAAAAAACATCCAGTATCATCAAAGAGGTCAGTGCCAAGTATTATTGACGACCAACGAAATCTGAGAGAACTGTTTTTGTTCAATTATTGTGTAACTATACATTTGAATTAAAAAATAAAAGATATTTACTGTGTTTGTACTAGCTTATATGCAAACCGAGGAGACCTTTGGGAGAACTTGAAAACAGATCAGTGCAAAACCGAGATCGAAAGTCGTGAGTTTTCTCCTGCTCACGAGTTCTCACTAACCCCTCAAAGGTTTGCATAAGCCAGTGCCAACACGTAAAACATCGTTATTTCTTTTATAAAATAACAATAATGCGAAAAGGACAAATTTGAAACAAACGCTTTGACCTTTCCTCTAACATGTATTATGATTGATTTGTAAAATTTCTTTGATGCATTTAGTTGATTAAGCTCAGATCGGTTTGCATAGGCAAATGGAAATTCACTTCTACACCAATCAGCGTACGCGTTTTATTGTATTTATTCTATAATGATTAATATGAGAGCTACGTGATTGTGAAAGTTTGAGAATGTTTGAATTTAAATGTAGAATATCACTGGTCGACAAAGATGCGTGGAAAGATCAACAAAAACGATGCGCATTGCATATTTGGTCAGGATACTTAGATCGGCGAAAAATAATAATCAGCTCGAGCAATGCAAAAAAAAATAAACTTGAGTTTGTTGAAATAAGTCATTGATTTGAGGAGTAACTTACGAAGACTGGAAACTAGTTAGCTATATCTACGGACTTACGCAAAATAAGGTGCGTCAACGCATTGTGCGTCAATCAAAGTCTGGCAGCCATTTTGTGGGTCGAGAAAATGGAGGATTTTGTTATTGTACAAATGCAACTTAGAACAAACGATAATACGTAATTACTGTAAAATAGAGTTTTTAAGTAAATTTGAAAACTTGTGATATGAAATGGCGTCTTTGCCTACGCGTGGACGGCCAAAATTTGATGTTCAATAACATCGGATTCGTTTACGGATGGACGTATGTATACAAAGAGTGGTTAAAACAAAAAAAACTTTGCTGGATGGGCAGAACAGACGCACAGTGAATTTGCTTCTCCTTTACATGAAATCTTGGATGAAAAGAAACGCGTAGTTTGTCCTACACCAATAATATCCCCATCAAATGTTTATGGATGAAGATCGTCCAGGTTAGTTGAGTCCTGAGATGGAATGTTGGTATTGATGTAGACTGACGTTTCGACAACCTTAACGGTAGTCATCTTCTGAGTCAAGGGAGGAGTAAACGTAAGTTGTCGAAACGTCAGTCTACATTAACAACAACAGCCTTTCTCCGGACTCAACTAACCTGGAAGATCTACAACCACAAACATGTGATGGGGATATTATTTTACCATTTACTTTAATATATATCCACAAACCATTTACTTTAATATCTTCATCAATACCAAAAAGTAACGATGTAAACATAAATAAATGCGCGCAATGCATGTTGGTTGAGACGTTTTTTAATGTACACGTGATTTAAACAGCACAAACCTGTGTCCTTTGAGAAGCCTTACGAGCGCTCTCGTTACAACTCCAACTTCACAAGCAGGGGCACAATGATGATAGAGTCGAGCGACAGCCAATACAACCTAAAAATCACGTGAAAGACAAACGGTTTTATTAGTTTTAAAACTGGTGAAAGGTCAAGTTAAAAAAGTACCGCTGGTATAAAAATCGTTTGAGCAACTCGATGATTTAGAACCCAGTCCTCTAGATGTCTAACTACCGTGTCAAGGTGAGGTAAGGACGCCATCTTCAAAGGTGGCAAAATACAAAACTCGAGTTGAAAAAATATTTAAAAGAAAGTTTGAAAAACCAATCTTATCAAACATTCTAAACATCAAACCAGGACTAACAACTCTGTAACTGTACATATCAACACAGGAAAAGCAGACATTAGTCGTAAATATCGTCAGTTTTGCCACCTTTCAAGATGGCGGCTTGCCTCACTTGTAACTAAAAAATTTGGGGGGAATCATATATTTGGTATATTGGATTCTAGGTCATTGAGGCATCTCAATGGGCGAATATGATGCTTGAATAGCCTGTAGCAATTAGCACAGATAGCAGAAACACAAAGCAATACAGAGGTCTCGATCCGTGTAAATTGTTGTCGACCTTTCGTCAACAAAGTTCTCTATTTGTGGCAAAAGAGTACATAAAATACATTTGCACTACAAAAGTGATGAACTGATCAATTGATATGCATTGCAGAAGAGTGGGATGGGGAAGAAGTCGATTCTTTTGTTTTAACAATAAAAGGAAGCATACATAGTGGATATTATCACCATCTTCAAAAAAACTACACCACGTAATACTCTTGGGGAAAATCAATATCAAACACTGATATGTATATTACACTGGATAACGCATCCATGTATAAAATATAGTAAGATAATCGAAGCCGGAAGTTGGATTTCGCAAGAGATGCGTTATCAAGTTTAATATTCATATCAGTGATATCAAACAGCACGATGGATAAAAATAACACCGCAAAAGCCCACAGTATCAAAGTATTCCAATAATGGCCGCGACTATTCAACTTACAGCAGAATTCCGGCTTTGCAGCAATGGCTTGGTGACACGCAAAATGAGGCGATGATCAGGATCCATTATGTATGGTTTCTTTTTATCACTTTTGTCATTCTTATCTTCTTCGTCGTCCTCGCTCTCTTGGGAACTTGGATAAAACTGTTCGTTTTCCGGTTCCTTAAAAAATAATGCATTTGAAATCTTTCGAGACCCGATAAAAATGTTTCCAACACGCTCTCTTCCATATAGAAGGGTCAATATTGTTTTTAGCTCACTTCTTTCTGAAGTTCGCATGCAAAAAAGTGGAAGCACCATAGTTGCGTTCTTTTCCTCCATGGAAAATATTTTCAAAACATTTACGTGAAGTCGAACAGCAGTTTAAAAGACACAAGACGCCTATCAGGTGTTCACAAGGGCTTCTCGAGAACAGAGTTTGGTTTTTTGTGCTTATTATATTAGTTGCTAATAACACAACAAAATTCACGGCAATGCAATCTCACATTTCGCAATATATTAGCGTGTCAAACATGTTTCATTTTACGCGTCATTAGTGACATTCACGCATGAGACGATCCAAGAAACATTTTGATTGGCTAACTGACTTCGTGTCAGTCACGCGTGAATCGTCTTATCTCCCGACAGCATGGGAAAATCCGAGTTTTTAACGCTAGTAATGAATAAAAAAGTGGAAGCAAAACAATTGGCCAACAACGCTGAACCACAGTATATTGAATATACAGTAGAGCCACTAAATCCAATATTTTTGTGCGACGCATATCTCATTACGCATGTGATTACCATAGTAGCAACCGTTCGATTTTTGAGCAATAGAAACGATGAAACGGCTAACGGCAGCCAGTAATCTAATCAAGCAAACAGCAGCCAGTTTGCACAGAGAAATGGACTTACTGTACATTTCCTATACTGTGATCTGCCCAATGACCAAATAAACGAAGACCATTTAAACATACGCAATGTTGAGCATTGCCATGTGGTGAAACATGACAATGACGCGCATGTTCGAATATTCCCTATACTGTAGTTGGCGGGAAAAAAGTCAAAAACCAACCTCTTTGTTAGGATCAACAAACTGTGACCTTGCGTAACGTGTCAACATATGTATGACGGCAGTTTGTCCCCATTCATCAATATCAACAAGCAGATTGCACAGTTTACGGTAGTTTTTATGAATAAGATCAATTCTGTCGGGACAGAGTTCTTCAAATGCCATGACTGCACTTCCAGATACAAGCTACAAAAATATGAAAGTGACAATAATGTATTTACGTAACGTTGCAACACTTAAATATATGTAGAAATAAATACTCCTGTCTTGTATCTTCATAAGGAGTGATTTAATGTTGAAACTTGAGTCCTTATATACTATAGTCTATTGTCTTCATCTGGAGTGATCTTGACGTTAAAACTTGAGTACTTTCATACTACAGTCTATTGTCTTCATTTGGAGTGATCTGATGTTGAAACTTTAGTCCTTATATACTATAGTCTATTGTCTTCATCTGGAGTGATTTATGTTGAAACTTGAGTCCTTATATACTATAGTCTATTGTCTTCATCTGGAGTGATTTATGCTGAAACTTGAGTCCTTATATACTATAGTCTATTGTCTTCATCTGGAGTGATTTATGCTGAAACTTGAGTCCTTATATACTATAGTCTATTGTCTTCATCAGGAGTGACTTATGTTGAAACTTGAGTCATTATATACCCCAGTCTAGTATCTTCATCAAGAGTGACTTATGTTGAAACTTGAGTCATTATATACTCCAGTCTAGTGTCTTCATCAGGAGTGACTTATGTTGAGACTTGAGTCATTATACACTCCAGTCTTGTGTCTTCATAGGGAGTGATGTAATGTTGAAATGTAATCCACCAATTCATAAGAATTGACCAGACAGTGAACTTCATTTTTATACATTCCACTCAATTATCTTGAACATGAGCAATCTGATGTTGAATAATTCATTAAAGTGCAATATTCTTACTAGAAGTAGGAGGATATAACGATTCCGGGAAAACAAAACTTACTGTAGTCTTATCTTTAAGAAGTCTTTCAATGACTTCAACCAAAGGCTCTTTCAATTCAGGATCAAGGCTAAATGATGGGAAAAAGAAAAACATCTGTAACGAAATAATGCTCAACACATTTCATGCAAAGAAAGGAAAGTTTTTAACTTCAAAACATTTTTACTTGTACAGTTTGGGAATGGCATGACAAGCAGTTTTCCTCACAAATGGCGACATGTCCGTGACTGCCTAAACTCAATGTAACATTGCAAAATCAGCACAAGCATTTAAAACATGTTGACAGTAAGCTTTGCCTCACCTCTTTAATGGCTAGCATCATGATAGGAACAATTATGGACACACGGATACTTGATAGGACTCGCAAGGCACTTGCACGAATGAGTTGATTAGGATCCTGTAAAACACAACTTAATGTTACACTTTTAAAACTAGCCAAAAATACATACAAAGATTAATTCTCATGAAGCAGGTCAATTGTAAAAAGGGTTTTACTTGTAGAAACACAATGCAGCTTAGACCACAAGTCACAAATTTGTTGCTAAACACATTGATAATTAATTTACCTTCAATGCCTTTTGAAATGTACTGATAGACAACAAGGCCAAATCTTGTTGTTCTTCAGCATATCGAACCAGGTAGACATAAACTAATTTCTTTATCTGAAAAATTGATAACAAATGCAACCATAACAACATTCATTTAAAGTCGGGTGATTATATCCACATATTTGATTAAAGTGAAGTAAACTTTAAATGAATGCTTCAACATACTTCAGGATTTTTGGACACTACATTCTTCACCACCGATGCAAAAAGTTGAGAAACATCTTTTCCACTTGATACAGACTATAAATGAGTCCATAGTCAACATGAGAATGGGAACAAAGATATGTGATACACAAACAGAACATTTTTAATGTACATTTTGATAAACATTGAGATACTTAGAACAGAGAGTGAAAAAAATACTGCTAATGATCTTAACATGATTATTTGTCAAGCTAAAAGCGGCAGCTCGACAAGACGATTAATGTAAGCCAAACAAGAAGGGAATTTAAGTAGTTATTGGACAGTTTGTTTAAAAGCGTGAAAACTGATATTTCAGTGGTAAATGATCCACTGTTTGGCACTCTCTGAAGTCTGAACATCCATCTATGACTTTAATAAACAACCAAAACAAAGCCACATGACTCACAAAATGAACTCAAAAACCACCATCTGAATGTGTACACAAAATAAACATAAAATAGCCAATTTACTTTATTGTTAAGACTTGTTTGGGCATGTTAGATTTAAAATACCAATTGAAAACATTAATCATTTATATCCGTTTTGAATACGATATGAAATCTACGACATCATTTCTCATTGTCAGACGAAACCCATTGAATCACATTATTTTGCTAGAAATACTCAGTAGTCAGTTTTAAACCTGGGAATATGTCCAACCAATTGTTTTTTCTATAATATTTTCAAAAGACATTCCAAAGTTGAAGTCACTACAGCTTGGAAATTTTTTGATGAAAATTAGTTGGTTGTTAAAATCTAGAATAATCAATTTTTTTATTCATGCCCAACTAAAATTATCAGCACATTAATGAGGTGATTTGTCATTTAATTACTGGTCTTGTTATGAGTGGTGATGACAGGAGGCAGAGCTAAACTTTAGGTATGGTTGCCTGAGATTTGGGAATGGGGAATGCATAAGTAACATTGAAATTGGGATTTCCAAGAACTTAAACATGAGCCAATATTCACTCTTACTATGTACAATGCACAAGGAAGAGTAATAAGAGTCACGTGGCGTGATGTAGGAATCATGTGAACTTTCAACTCGATACAGTTCTATGGACTTGAGTAAACGATCGAGAAAAAAATAACGAAAAATTACCTCGATAATCCGTCTCATGGCTTCCAACTTGTCTCTGTCCTTTGTGCTGGCGAGAAGTTCGTTGAGATCGGCATGCCTATCAATAACATAATAATGAGTTCACTTACATATTGCCACATCATCTCATTCTCAAAATTTGAAACAAGTATATCACAGAAAATTTCAGGACTCACCGTTTAAATTTTCCTGCGAAAATCCTCCCCGTGGACGCATCTCCAATGTCGGGATCTTGGTCCATGCTGTAAGCCATATTCTCGGCACGAATTTTGCCTTCGGAACTTAAAAGACAGTCATTTGAATCTACCAATTTCGCGATACGATACCAAGAAACCTGACCGTGCAACTTTACGCAATCAAGTAAGCCTGGGACTAGTTGTGAATAATTCGGGCAGTTACTTTGGTTATTTATACATTTATTGCATTTTAAAATTGTAATCATTACAGCAAATATATTAACAGAGCAATTTAAAGAGAGTAATATCTTTCCAATTCCCTCTTAAAAGCTGAAATATTAGAAGTTCGCCGTACATGCCAGGGGAATGAATTTCAATTGTGTCAACAGTCAATCCTATAAAAACAAAATGTAATAAAATACGTCTGGCATAATTATCATAATCATCATATGTAATTACGTATGTGTGTCGTAGATATCTGACAAAAGCATTGAGTTCTATAATAACTCAATGTAGAACTCAATGGACAAAAGACAGCTTAAGATTTCCAAATATTAAGGTTTTCTAAATATTTCAGACATTTATCGTTTATCGTTGACCAGGTTAGATGGCTGATATATCAGAGGATTCATTGTGCAGTGTTTGTGGCGAGATAATCGATAAAAACTCTGTTGAGTGTGACAATGGTGTGAAGTATTGTGCTCACTGTGGTTGTGTGATGTCGGAAGAGACAATATTTAACTATGATATTGCGGTTTCATCAGATCCGTACGCGGCTCTCAATCGTCCCAGATCATATTATCAAGGAAAGCATTCGAACTACAGAGTGCGTAAACTGCCTGATGGCTCTGCGCCGGCGTCCGCGAGAAGGTTGAGGAGGGATCTTCAAGGTGTCGCCTGGAGGTTGCAGCTTTCTCAGGAAATCATCAATCAAACAGACAATTTTCTCATGGAATGTTTAAAGCCGTTCAAAAACATGAACAATAAAATGCGCCTAATGGGTGCATGTATCTACATCATAACTCGTGATAACAACCTAGCTCTTACACTGAAGCAAATTGCATCTGAGACTGGCACAACAGTTTATCAAATTGGCCAGGTTGTTAAAGCGATAAATGGTTTTTTCTCTTTGACTCACGAACCTGTTTCAATTGATGGCCTGATAGAGAGAGCCTGCAGTGATTTGACGAATGCTGCGGCCTGCATAGAAATAGCGCAAGGACTTCATAGTTTGAATGAAGAAGCTTTGGTTTTGAATGGTAACCCATTGGCCAAAGCGATTGCATTTAGTGTACTTGCTTGCCTTGCTGTCAACAAAGACACAAATGAGCCGACCCAAATAAAGAGCATGTGCTTGAAAATGTCCCACACATCTCACCAAACTATTCAATGCAACATTCGAGCATTAAAAAGTATGTGATGACTTTATTACCTGCAATACCGTGGATTGATATGAAGTATGTCAAAAGGAAAAACTTACATTATTACATGAAAGATGTGGTTAATTTTCGCAGAACCAAAGGTACCTTTTCCCCAAATCTTGATAACCCAGAGTGGCGTAGAAAAAATGACAGAATACATGCTCGAAAAGTGAAAATTGAGAACGCTCAGAAGAGGGTACGCCAGCGGCAACTGTTGGAGTCCAGTTTTCCTATAGAAGATTCTACTGTGATTAATGCCTCTGACACAACTATTACTACCAGTGTTACTGGCAGCAGTTCAATTGCAACTGGCAAACAATCCAGTGTTGGACATGCAGCATTAACAACAAGGGAAGATTCTTCTGTTATTGGTGATGCTAACCTTGATGATGAAGACAAAATTATTGAGGAGTTGTTGGAGCTAGGCTGCACTCCTTCCGATTTACTAGAGGGATTTTATGACGCGCTAAAAATGACCTGCACTCCGGTCAGTCAAATTATCGACGACTCAGAAATAGAATTATATGTGAGAAAGCCAGAAGAAATACAGGAAATGGAAAGTGTAATGTCCTTGATGGTGGAAACACCACCAAAGAAGAAAAAGAATTCAAAGATTAGAAGGTTCATGACGAAACCTCTTTCAAGGTCTTCATTCTAACATCTAGTTTTTATACATTTGTACACAAGTGCAAGTGACAAATAAATATTCTTTTACTGGAGTATTCATGAATTGTATAAAAATCAAAATGTTTATAGTGTTTTAATTATATATTATCAGGTTTGGGTTCATCAAGATTAGCAGATACTTTCTCATGTTTTTGAAGTTCAATTTGAAGCTCTGTTATCTCTTTCTGCAAAAAGAAAAAAATCTGATAATTATGATACATAGAAATAAGGTTTTCAAGTCACGTTTCTAACCACTTCTCAAGTCAAGTGTATGAATAGGAATCTTTTAGAAAGCAATCCCTTAACTAATGATAAAAAAAGATTATGTTAGGTACCTCTTGTTCTTCACATTTCACCTTGTAGTTGTCCACTTGTGTTTGCAAGTGATCTATTTCTTTTTTTAAGTGATGTACTTTGTGGTCCATTTCAATTTTCACAGACAAAGCGACCCCTTCAATAAGCACACAGATTACAAAATCAACAATATTCTTTGCAAGTTGAAACAGAATCAACAAATGCAGCTTCCTTAAGATAATTGATAAGCATGCTGACCGTTTATTATCCTGACAATTCTCCAAAGCCGCAAAAGAATGAGAAGACCAGCAGCATCCCATGCATCTGTATTGCCACTGAAAAGAAAAGATTTTAACTCACCAGGGATACGTAGGATGAGTTAGGGTGTTAGGAGAAGTGCAGTAACATCTAGGGGCCTTGTACTGCCTAACAGTCAATAACAAGTGGGGGCATGCTAGTTGCTAGAGGTATCAAAGAGGAGCAAAACACATTTTCGGGCCTACCGCTAGCTGGGTTATTTTAAGGGTTGACCAATCACATGTGGGAGATGATATAGTTTGGAATTTCTATAACCATAATTGTATTTCAAATTGTTGCAAGAAAACTCTTTTGGTACAGCTGTAAATAATGGAGTTTTTCTTGTGAGGAAAGACTCACAATGGCATTGAATCAGCATTGCCTGTCAGAAAGTGAAATGTATGATAATGAAAAAGCTTAAATTGCTTACTTACCTGTATGCCACATCTAATGCAAATGAAACACAGACAACAATAGCATCAAAGACCTGTGTACCAATAAAACAAAAAAAAATCAACACCATGGATGGAAGTACTGAAATGCGGCTGTCTTTGAACAAAATAGACTGAGTGAAGTAGATTTTTAATAGCACCTCAAGTTTGTGATGAAAAAATTGACAATCAAAAGCGTAGAGCTTCACAACGATCTTAAAACGATACAACAAGCATATTAAAAAATGATAAGGATGAGATTGGTGAGCAGAAATATTTGAAGACTTAAAAGATAGCATACATTCCCAATCATAGCTAACCTCGAAAAGGAACAATCCTAAAATGCCAATACTTGTATAATGGAGAATTTCAATTGCCTTATGATGATGGTGAACTGGAAAAAAAAGATCAAAGATGACTTGCCTTGTTAAGGTTTTGCTGGCAGGCAGATTGATCTCTATAGAGGTAAAGCATTGTTGCTAGCCTCGTCTAAAAGCACTTGATCAAATCTGCCTGCCAGCTAAACGTGAACACAGCAAATAAAAAATATAGTCATATAAAATAGAGTTGAAAACATGGTTCCAATCACTCACCTCCTCTAAGTATTTGAATGTCCATAAGTAGCTGAACTAACACAATCAGGAAATCTAAGACGACGAAAGCAATGATGACCATCTGAAACCTGTGGCCATGAAGCAAGGCTCGAAACTTTGGACGGTTTTTCAACAGCTCGCATATTCTAGTCAGGACAAAAAATAACAACATCTTTATCATGATATGATCTACACGAGAAATGTCAGGTTCATTTTCAAAGGAAAACGTTTGTATTTTACCCTTGCCTAGAGTCCGAGGAACATTCTTTCCTGTAAAATAAGCAAAGTTATAATTTAAGTTTCGCATCAACAATTTAATAAGCATTTAAATTCGTTCCATCGAAACATTTCATTTTTCCTTCAAATTAATTTTTTACGCAAAATCAAGTCAATGTCATGATGCGAAATCAAAACAACACCTTCCGTGTTGTACATCATCGTTGACAATCGAAGTCATTTGATAACTGCACTGGTTCGGTAATTCTTTATCGGCATTGTTTTCTGTTTCCATCGCAGTAATTTTTGTCGTCTTCGAACACACCAATATCATTACGTTTTTTTCTCTTTGGAATATTCACTCGTGTGATACACCAACTCAAAACATCCGCTTATCGGGTTTCAAAACATTCCACACTCTTTGTATTTCACAATCAAAGATCATCATTCCATCATCTTTGTATAACGACAATCGAAATCATACATTATTAAAGTGATAAAGAACTATTAATGGTGTAAGAATTTCTGCTATGTCAATTATAAGTTACATTTACAGGCAATTTTGTTCTAATGTCGAAATAATAATTCTCGTTTCGAAATATTCGTTCCAATACCAGCTCTACTCAAGCCACTCGCCATTACATCATGTACGTGGATGTACGTAAAAGATTGAATGACTATTTATTACATGGCTAACACAGGCCTTGAACTAGGCATTTTTCTCTGATATGTTAACAATAAAAATATTTAGATTGTTCTGCCGTGTTTGTGACAAAAGATTGCTATGCACTTTTCATTTGTATCCAGGTATGATGGACAATGGCAAAGCGAGCTTGATCGATATATTCCTACAATGCAAATTTTTCAGTTTAATTAATATTCATTCTTTTTGGAAAATAAATTCCATTTTGTACACAAAAATATCTGCATTGTAGGAGTAAAAAATAGGCTGACTTCGCTACTGATTAAAGATCAGTCATAAGAGAGTGTTGTGTAATTGGTGTGTGCCTATTTCTATTTGCCTGACTATGAATCAATAAAATTATTAAAAGCAAGAGGTATGACCCTTTGCATTACTAAACAGAGTGAAAACCAAAAAGTTTTTATTGTCCTATTTCAAGTTAAATTAATGCATCATGTCTGAGCAAGGCAACACATCACAGATCGCTACCATTCAGCCTCGCCATTTGCTTTGTTGAAAATGAAATCTTTTGTATTCAAGTTCATGATGCCGTCTTTGAGATGAAATTTCCACTTGTTTTTGCTTCGGGTTATCTAGAAACAATGGGCAAGCAACTCATAGCAATGCAAGTGTAGAAGTTATAGTTGTAGCAATGCAAGTGTAAAAGTTATAGTTGTAGCAATGCAAGTGTAGAAGTTATAGTTGTAGCAATGCAAGTGTAGAAGTTTATGCAAGTGTAGTAGTAGCAATGCAAGTGTAGAAGTTATAGTAGTAAGCAATGTAGTGTAGAAGTTATAGCAATGTAAGTGTAGAATTAAGTGTAGAAGAGTGTAGTAGCAATGTAAGTGTAGAAGTTATAGTTGTAGCAATGTAAGTGTAGAAGTAGCAATGTAAGTGTAGAAGTTATAGTTGTAGCAATGTAAGTGTAGAAGTTATAGTTGTAGCAATGTAAGTGTAGAAGTTATAGTTGTAGCAATGCAAGAAATAGAGGTAGTAGTTTAGTTTAAACAATAATTCAGAGCAAAACCATGTTTCATTTACCCGATCAAACTGACAAACAACAACATTATCAGTATCAAAAAGATCAGAGCTATCGCTGTCAGGAAGATCATCATCCGAGTTCAGGGGTTCAGAATCTTCAGTTGGTTTATCTTCCTCATCTTCATTGTGACTTGAAGTATTATTTTCATCATCGTCATCTTCGTCATCATCATCCTCCTCGCTATCACTATCATTTGGACCATCCACCTGGATTATGACAGAGGGTCTCTGCAAAATAACAAATTAAGAAATTCAAGTCAGATAATTGGTTCTAATTGGTTCTAATTGCCTCACATTGTTTTGACCATCAGGAAAATTGAAAACATCATAACTCATACAGCACATGTAAGTGTAATTGAAAAGACAAACCGCTGTCTGTTGCTGTTGTTTGGTTGTTTGGCTTTGGATTTTCTGTATAGTCGGATGGTTGTTTTGAATGGTTTGATTGGTGACATGTACAACCTGCCGACTTGGTTCACCTTTGGTTTGAATGGCCGACAAACCATGATAGGCTAGGGCAGATTTTTACAACCATTAGTGACTCAAAAAGAATAGTTGATTTTGTTAAAATTACTAAAGCGATTTAACACAATATACCAATCAAATCAAGAATATAATGGATAAAATATGATATCCTTAGCTTTTCTATTCCACAGTTGTATTTCCTTCATATTTTATTTGTAAATCTTACCGGGACGTAAATGAGGTGGCATGTGCATCTGAAATACCATAACAAAGTAACTTACTTTACAGTATAAAAACTCAAAATAAAGAAAGCAAGTTGCCAAAAATATTTTGCAGCAGGATTTACCTGTTGTTGAATGGTGGGCACTCCATTTCCAGGTACCAATATCTGGGTGAACTGTGCATGAGGTTGGTGAGAAATGTACTGTTGTTGTGGTGTCATAAAATGCTCTCTCTGTTGTGTTTTGACTGAAAGAAAACAAACATATGACATGTAATATGCCCACACAATGCTCCTTATATCATCATCTACTCTCCAACATTCATATATTACCTGTCATTGATCCAGAACTGGCTATTGATTGGGAGATGTTCATAGCCTTTGTAGGTATTTGTCTACGAATGTTCATTTGTTGTTGTGACGTGCTATGCACAACAGCAGTTTGGTTTGACAATATTACTGGTGTACTTGGCTTCGATTGCGGCGGGGCAGATAATGCTTCTGACTGGGTGACCTTGCTTTCCCAAATCTTTAGACAAAATCATAATTTCAATTTTGGTGAATGAAAAATTTTGGTAAAATAAAGAAAACTTCTCATATGGAGAAACTCTGGGAATTTCGAATAAATTTGAATAAATAACAATACACATTCGTTTGCTTTGTAACAAATCTATGGAATCGTCGTAAGGGGAAATCCCTTTTTAGAAGATTACCCAGGTGTCTATGCGCGCCTCGTATCACGTGTCAAACAAATGAATTCAGATATAAATATGTCGGAAACTACGTTGATCGCATTCTTTCAACAATGGCAAGCTGTCGGAGCAAATTATGCCATTTTGAAACGTCTATATTTACGGCACAACAAATGTAAACGCAAAGAAGTCTTCAAAATGCTGCAAGCGTTTAGTCATTAAAAAATGAAGAACAGAAAAAACAGTCGTCGGTACATTTTAATGATATTATTTCGCATATTTCAATACGTGTTGTCGGTAATTTTACTAGAAGCTCGGAGAGAAACATTTAATGACTCTTATGGAAGTTGGAACTCTTTCGCGTTCAATTTCAAAGGATTTTTCGTCCGATGGACTCTTTCCTAACGGTCGAAGTATTGAGCTGAATGAGATTTCCTATTTCATTAATTATTATTGTGAACCTCGCTCAAAAATAGAAGATTTTAATTAAGAAAATCATATAACCGCATCCAATTTATACCTGCTTCAATTCCTGTAGAACTTGTTCGTCTACACCATCGTTAAGAAAAGCTTCGCGGACATTTTTGATCACTTCGTCAATAACGCCCTTGTACACTTTAGACTGTGAAGGTTGAAAAGCCAAGTGGCATTAAAAAATCAACAAATTTCTCTAAAAATTGAATACGCCGCTGTTTACACTCTTACCGCATTGATTTGTGAGTTCATTGTTCAACCAATACTAACACATGGCAATAAAGCCTGCTCAACTCGGGGCTTTATTTCAAGCCGACCTGTTTCTTCGACGTCTTCTTTATATACCCTTCTTTCTTTTAACTTATAGGGGGTACCAATGGCCCCTGCATGCCGCATACCGTATATGGATTGTAAACATTTCCTGTGGTGGTCATATTTTTATCACGTGACTGATAGCAAGCGATAAAAACACGAACATATGGCAAATCACTTTAATATTCAGTATTTAGTCAAATATTTTTCTATATATGGCAAATGATTTTCCATTTGTACAATGCATATAATGTTGTAAATACATGCCATTCATTTTTCGTAGAATGGTAGAATTATGCAAGTTTGAGCAAATCAATGATTTGTTTACAATCTTTTACTCCAGACAAATCAGATAAAGCAAAATCCGGATCTCATTCTTATTTGTATTTTTCACAGTGCCAGATGCACAAATTTTCAAAAACTTGATGCTTTTCAAATACTTAATATATCATAAAAAACTTAATGCTTTGCAAAACTTGATCGAGTTTAAAATCGTAAATTGTATATGACAAGTAGAAGTAGAACATATTTTGTTCGGTGTGGAAATATCACATCAATTTAATCGTTTTAGGCTTTGCAAAGTTATGATATCATGTAGTATATTTTTTGTGAGGCTGTGCCAAACGGCCAAATTGTATAATTGGAACGGCTATATTGAAACTAAATGGATATTTAACCCCTGAATGAAATTACAGTAACAATATTCCGGTGTTTATAAATTCTGGATCAACCTTTCTTCAGCAGTTTCTGCCAGGGAAGTATTTACAGAGCAATAAACTGTAAAGAAGATGGCATAAAAAAATCCAGCCGTCACGACAAAATTAAATATTTCTTACGAGCAACTAAACAGTGAGCGAAATGATTTTGTGCATCTAAAATTGAACGATCTTTGTTGACAGAAAAAGACTCGAAACGTAAGGTCATTCGTGGAAATAGAAACTGACCAGAAAAGCTGGAAAATAATCATGGAAACACAAAATTCCTTCTCAACTAAACTTCCAAAATGGCTGCCGAAGCTGCGAGAAGTTTGTCAAAAAATGCAACAAAGTCAACATTACCACACACTGGAATACCCATCATATTGCGTCCTTTTGTTGTAAAGAAGGCTTATGTTGTTCATCCCAAAGCGAAAAGTTTACAAGCAGATTTAAAAGCACAGTGGCTTACAAAGTCATGTTTGAGAAAGGGTCTACCGGAATTGGCTTTTTGCTGGAACAATATAACAAGCGAACAACTTGACTCATTGAAACAGAGAACAGCAAAGAGTTTACTCCAAACTATTGCATCGCAGAAGATAGGCCTGAAATGGAAAATGAATTATGATACAGATCTTCTTCACGGTTTGCTGCCCAGTTTACTCATCCAATTTATGAATCATGTTGAAAGCAGGGGTAGAACTCTTAATGGTTTTAAATCACCTATCAGAACTCATTGGTGCCGTAATCATGACTTTTATCAAACCAGCTTCCTTCCAGGTTACATGTTCCTTAGTGGTACTGCTCTACCCACATTTGAACCAGGTTATGTATGAATGACACCAAAGTTCGTTTCAAAAAGTTTTTCTTGGTCAAATGAGTTCAAGCCTACACAAATTTTTACTAAATGAATTTTTTTAAACTTAAATTATTTGATGCTGTGGAGGTTTGAACTGACAAAATGTTCCTTATATTAACATGGCAAATTTCTTCTATTTAGACATGGAATGTACTGTGGACGTAGAGCTACCAGGACCATATAGGCCAGTTGATCTTGGTGTATTTAGCCATCCAACAAACCATCTTTCCAATGCTCTTGGCAATGAGATGATCAGTAGAACACTACAACCAGAAATCTTGATTCTATCAGATTTTACTAGTAAAAATCAAGAACAACTGCTGCATCATGGGATTCATGTGATGTTCAGCCAACTTGTTGCTATGGCAATGCAACATGGCTATCATCCTGGGCAACATTTGGATTCGCCAATGACAACAAAATGCATAATCACAAATGGCAGGGTGTTTTCCTTTATGGCCTATCAATTAAACACTCTCTCACTGCAAGAGGATTTTGGGATTAAAAACATTGCTTGGTTTGATGATTTTAAAATGCTTTATCAAACCAGTTCTGACCCATTCAAAACAGGACATAAAACATTTTACGAAATCTTTCCAATAGAGGCGAATACACTCAATTTGGATGAGGATTGTCTGAAAATGCTTTTGGCTTTTCTAAGTTGAAATTTTGTTAAACATGTGTAATTTATTAATATAAGTTTCTGTTGTAAAATGAAGTATGCTGGTTGGGTGAACCGTGAGGCATCACCATACGATCACATGACCATGCACACGACTGTACACATGCGTGCACGTGTAACTAATGGCTCTTACTCTCAAATGTAAATATGGCTGTCGAATGCAGTAAAACAAATGGTGTTAAAACCATGTTAGGGAAAATCGCTCTTATTACAGGTATCCATGTATTTAAGAAGACGTAAGACGCATGAACTTGATATACAATTTCAAATAAGCTATCGTGATTCCAAAGCGAAGCTCTTATCGACCAGATTCACCCTTTTCGTGAACCATGAATTGACCCAAAAATTACACTTTACAGCTAGCAACTTTCTTCTCCCAGGTGGCAGTTCGGGCATCGGCGCAGCAACTGCAGTCCACTTTTCAACTGTCGGATATAAACTGGCGATTACAGCAAGATCTGTCGAAGGACTGGAAGCTATTGCAATACAATGTAGAAAGAACGTGGCAAAAGATGATGTACTATTTTCAGTTTTTTAGTTTTTCTGATTTGTCCATTTAATCAAATTTTCGTCCATTTTGGTGTTTCAAAAGGTTTTAGTGATCGAAGCAGACGTCAATAATGAACAAGATGTGAAGAAAGTGGTTGATTCGACTGTTAAGCATTTTGGTCAACTTGATGTTTTGGTAAAAAAAATATTTGATTTGTTGTGATTTTTAAATCGGTAATTAGCTAATGGATGACGTGCCTTGCGTCAGTGCTGTAGAAGTGGGGGTGCTTGGGGGAGGAGCCCCCTTCATCTAATAAATTTAGTTCCACAGCACTGCCTTGCATACATTTTGGTGGCTGGCATATGTATCCCAAGAGAGGTTAAATTGTTGCTAGTGCAGTCAAAAAGCATTGATCAAATCTACTGGTCTGCAAAACCTAAACAAGGCAAATCACCTATAAGTGTAATTTTTCATGAATCATTGTTAATTCAACATGCATCTCATACATTTTAATGCGTTTTATGTACAAATTTTACCACCAAAATTACTTCGAGTTCTTTAATACTGAACCTAAGGTCAACAGCGCTGGTATTCTCAGTCGTGGTACCATTGAGACGGCTACTTTAGATGACTACGATAAAGTAATGAACACAAACATGAGGTTTGCTTTTCATGCAAATTTTTTCAGTGTACATTTGTTCAATGTTCTTTGATTAACTGTAGTGAAATTTTCAGGTCAGTTTACCATATAACTCAACTTTGTGTGCCACATCTCATCAAAAGTAAAGGTATCAAATGAAATTGTTTCACACTGATAAAATGTCAAACAAATATAAACTATATAAAAGTTCTTTATCAATATCTTTTCTTTACATGCAAATATACTTGGTGTGAAGAAATGCTCCAAACCAGGGTGGTGGTAATTGGAGGGGTTTGGGGAACTACACCTAAACCATGCTCAATTTGTCAGAATTTGATGCTTAGACCCCTCTCTAAAAACACTTCACTATTCCCTCTCTAACTTCACATATAATAAATTTCTTTAAGGTTGCATCGTCAACGTCTCTAGTGTGACAGGAATGAGATCGGTTAGTCTTCAAGCTACAACTCCATCTTTTCCAATAGAAACCTTGAAGATGTAATATGTTGGCAACTTTTCATATGTCATCCTTCTCGACTTCATTCCAACATGAAGTCATTGTCATCTCTTTACAACCAAGATGTTATGCCTAACATTGAGCAATATGAATATTAGTAGGACGACAATTGAAATACATTGCAACATTTAAACTCTGATTAGTTAATCAAGATTGGCTTATTGACAAATCCAAACATTACTTTCATGTACCTTATTAGTTTGCAGGAGTGTTGCCCTATTGCATATCTAAAGCAGCCATGGATCAATTCACACGATGTGTTTCACTAGGTAATGCACCACAATTCTCATGGACTGTTGGACTGAATATAACTGGAATGCTACTACCTTTGAAGCCAGCAATTCAAGTAGATTGCATCTCATTATGACATTACATTTTGATGCAAGACTTTTCTCATGTCTGAAGACAATACTTGGCCTCATAGTAGCCTTCCAGTTAAATACTCAGTTTTACAGACAAAATGCAGTATAAACCAAATTTTTGTTTCTATTTAGCATTTATATCTGTTTTAGAATTGGCAGAAAAGCAAGTTCGCGTGAACAGTGTTAAGTAGGCATAAATATAATTTTACATTAAGGTTTGCTGCACAGTAATTTTTGTACTTTGTGTTTCGAATTTCTCTGATAGTCCTGGGGTCATCAACACTGGAATGCATACAAGAGGCATCGAGCCTTTAGATCAGGCTTCTTTTGACAAGGTAAAGTTCAATAAGTATCTTTAAAGAGTTCAACTTTTGCTAAGTCTACTCTGTTCACTACAGAGGTGAATGAATGATGCTAAATTAGCACAATTCTGTCAAATAACAAAGTTCAAATGTGCCTAAATGTTTGTTATATTTTTATTGACCTCCATACGTTCAAATGTAGCAGAGATTGCTAATTTCTTTATTTGATAAATTACGGTGTAGTTTTTGGAGCACAGTAAAACGACGCATGCGTTGGGCCGTGTGGGAGATCCGGAAGAAGTTGCCAAGACCATCGCATTCCTCGCTTCGGATGACGCTAGTTTTATAACTGGTTCGACGATTCCTGTGGATGGCGGTCGTCATGCGATGTGTGCCCGATGATAAAGCTGTGAAAGTGATTTTATCATTAAAAATGTCGTTCAATGTGTTCAGGTGTATGTTTTTGAAGATTTGTATCCTTCCCCTCACAAAATACGATAAAGCATATCTTACGATGAAGCATATCGTTACATGTTTCTAGATGAAGATCGTCCAGGTTAGTAGAATGCCGAGAAGGACTGTTGGTGTAAATGTTGACTGACGTTTTGACAACCTTAGCGGTAGTCTTTGAGCGGTTGACTCTGAAGATGATTACCGCTAAGGTTGTCGAGAAACGTCCCTCAACACCAACACCAACAGTCCTTTTCAGGACTCTACTAACCTGGACGACCCACATCTGCAAGCATGTAAAGCATATCTTTGAAATACAAGCCGAATACCAGTCAGATTTGAATTTGTGTATCAGAATTCATTTTTGCATTTTTCTGTTCCTGTTTTTAATACCTTCTAAAGAGGACGAAAGGACTTAGATTTCTCAGAACCATGCAGATTGCAGCAAACCAACAATTATGCAGATCACTCCTTCTAGTCCTTCATACATGGACGTAGAAAGATCGATGATTGGGAGAGGGAGGGAGGGGGTTATTCGTATGTGCAGTAGAAAACAATGGATTTCGATGGAACTTTATAAAGCTTATCATGCATAAATGAATATCGCGCCTCCCCCTTCTCCCCAATATTACTACTACCTCCCTGCCTGTATTTTTCCTTCTTCGCTACGACGATGGCCCGTAAACAACCATGGCCTTCAAAAGCCTTACATATACCCGCATATACCTTATTTCAGCTAGATTTGGCCGGGGGTAAAAAGATCCGATATGATTTTTAGAACCCAATTAGATTAGATTCCATGTATGAACAATGAACCTCGGGGTTATTTGTCACCTCCTATGTTAAGCCAGCTTATCATTCTTAAAAATTGCATCCATCGTTTACAACCTATGGCCGTCATACCTCACAACGTGGTTTTACTGCATTTCTTCTTCGTGATTATCGTCTTCTTTCACTCTCGTATCTCCTTTTCCTAAACCTTCGAGTCTTCGATTCGCTTTCTCGCGAAATTTCTCGTTCTCTTTAGCCAACGTGAGCTTATGAACTTTCGGAATGTTTTGTAAAAATCTCGAGGGCACATCGGCACCGATGATCTCCGGGATCATGTAGACTTTAAGCCAACCGACAAGCGGAGTGTTTCCCGGATGATAATGGGCTTGTTTATGGTAAAATAGCACTCCGTCTATCTGGTAGGAAAAAAGAGGATGTTCATAAGTTTATTTCTATAAATAAATCAATGAGATGTAGTAGAAAACACCTAAGCAGGAGTTATGTTTTAACTGAAAAGGGATTAGTTTATACAAACCTCGTGTTTTCTTTCTATGGTCAGTGCATCGAATATCGACGAATTGTCGCATGGAAATGTCTCGGCGGCAACAAATTTAAACTGCAAAATGAAGATTAACAGTTACTAAGATGGATACATTTTAATGAGTTTATACAAGGAAGATGTGAGGTACGTCTGGGTGTACACATGTACATAAGAGCAACGTATACAAGAAAAGTGTTAGGTACGTCCGGGTGTACCAATGTACATAAGAGCAACGTAAACAAGGAAGGTGTGAGGTACGTCTGGGTGTACACATGTGCATAAGAGAACGCATACAAGGAAGGTGAGGTACGTCTGGTGTACACATGTACATAAGAGCAACGTATACAAGGAAGATGTGAGGTACGTCTGGTGTAAACATGTACATAAGAGCAACGTATACAAGGAAGATGTGAGGTACGTCTGGTGCACATATACATAAGAGCAACGTATACAAGGAAGATGTGAGGTACGTCTGGGTGCACACATGTACATAAGAGCAACGTATACAAGGAAGATGTGAGGTACGTCTGGGTGCACACATGTACATAAGAGCAACGTATGCAAGGAAGATATGAGGTACGTCTGGGTGCACACATGTACATAAGAGCAACGTAAACAAGGAAGATGTGAGGTACGTCTGGGTGCACACATGTACATAAGAGCAACGTACACAAGGAAGATGTGAGGTACGTCTGATGTAAACATGTACATAAGAGCAACGCATACAAGGAAGATGTGAGGTACGTCTGGTGTAAACATGTACATAAGAGAAACGTATACAAGGAAGAAGTTAGGTACGTCTGGGTACATATATGTACATAAGAGGCGTAACCAGCCGGTTTATTTAGTCCAGCTGTGAAAATTTTTTCTGGATTAGTTCATTGCTAAAACAAAAACTCACACCTATAGGTGATTATTTCAAAACTATTCGTAAGCACCGTATTTAGTTTCACATAACAAAACGTACTTGATTATGGCTACTTTCTTCTGCTATTCCCAGACATTCTTCGAGTTTTGCTGTTATCCAATAAAAACGAAATTCTGTCTGAGGTAAGAGATAAATGTCCGTCACAATTTTTACAAGAAGGAATCCGAGTTTTGGTGGAAAATAATTGATTTTCCAGGTTAGTGCAGTCTTGAGAAGTACTGTTGGTACTACAGTGAGGTAGATGGAATCGAAACGTCAATTTTTGTACAGAAAACCATGTTTGCACTAGTGCGAATAGATTTTGTTCAACAGTTTAGACCATTTGATTCATCTATCGACACCTAAATTTTTATTTGTCAGTTAGCTAAATTTCTGGTGAGAGGATTTCTCCCAAATGCACTATAGTGAAGGGAATGTGTGATGTTATAAGCGCTGGGAACATCAAACACAGGTATAGAAAGTCTAAGGCCACGCAAATTATGTGTATTAGTGACTGGTCAAAAACCAACTTTGACCGAGCTGAAATGAAGTTGACCTGTCATCTTGATCGAACATATTTGACCATTGCAACCAAGCGATGTTTCTTTTTCAAAATGACAGGAGCAAAACTCAATGTGGTAAAATTGCCACCACAATGCATTGGGCAAACACTGACCTCGCTGTCATAAACTGGATGGCCCTTCCAGCACATTAGATCAAGAATGTAAAACGTTCTCGTCAGCTCACTGTAAATGCAATCCAGAACAGTGTAATCTGAAGTGAAAAACAACAATCAGCTCATCAATACATATCCTTTACCTTGTCAACATAAGTAAACAAGTACCTGATGATTTCACTGAATCACATCCACCACCTGGCAAGAGCGACTGAAATCTTTTCAGATTGTAACCACTTTTCGTGTAACTGGTGGTCCTCCCCTGAAAATAAAATATCTCGTTTAAAACAAAAGGAAAATCCTATTCCAGGGTTCGTTTTGTTCCCCATAGAAAATATCTAATGGTTATGGCACACAATATCAACAAACAAATAGGGATGTTCCAGATATTCCATGTAATCGCATACCAAACAACCAGATTGGATGCCACATTATTATCACCAGTTAGATGATGAGAATAAACAGTGATGGATTCAGGGGAAGGGTGCATGGGGGTACACCCCCTCTAGCCTTGGTTGGAAGGGGTGCAGGGTGGTGCAAATAAAGTTATTAGTAATAAGTCTAACATCAGGAGATTGGGTAGAAGAGATTGTGAGTTTTTTCTCACCAATTGATACTTTTCTGAAGAGTTTTAAGCTGGTTGTTCTTCAATCTAAGATGCCATGTTGGTTTTTTACATACCCTTCGCATTGGCAGACATTAAATATGAGTCAATGTGCAAATATTTCCATGGGGGAATGTCTCTGTTTAATGCATTAGCCAAGTGATGAATCAACAGGGCATGCTTTTATTAAGTGATAATGGCATGACAAATCTATCAAATGGGGAGCTCAACAAACAGTTTTCTCACCCTTGAAGCAACAATCAAACATCTTTTTCCAATTGGTGAAATCACCATGATCCAATCATCCGAAAATTTAGGAGGAAGATCGACCAACCATTCTGACATCATAAGCTGGTTCTTGAAAGGATTGTTTCGTTTTTTCCGTACTTTTTTCTATCAGATGGGAAACCATATTAAACATCAACTAAAAAGATACCATCACACATTGTTTGATTACATTACTATTAAGAACCAGACCAGATAATAAATTATATAAGCGGCTCAGTACAATGGCTTAATATGAAGTATCATGCACTGTTGCTTGAAGAACCGATTGCATGTATGGCTCAGTGGTATGGCTTAACAACCTTAACAAGTAAAAAACCTGAACTTCCGTGACTTCAACTTCCATTTCCCATTCATCAACTTCCACCAAGCTTCTTGCATGGTTTATCTTATCACTGCGGCGGCTGTAACAGCAGTCAGCAAGCAGTTACTGAATAATATATACCTATCTCCATTTCACTGTAGTAAATGTTAAATAAAGACATTTCTAACTCATTTATAAAGGAAACAATGCTATGTTACAAGAGCTTCAAAGGAATCCTGTTGAAACCTTAAATGTTTATCTCAGATGGCTTTTCTTTTCAACAAAGAGTCTAAGATTTTGACAAACCGATTGTCTCAGTCTTGCTTATTCCTTGAAGTTTGTGGAGTTTTCTACCTTCTAAACTGTCTAATTAACCATGTTTGTTGTCCATATCTAATACATAACACTAACATGTCTGCGAGGAAAATTATTTTGTTCAACAATTGTAGATTTTGAAGAAGCGAATTGTAAAGTATCATTGAAGATGTAAACCTTTTTTGGTCCTCAAGAATGCGTTTCCTTCGTGTTTCCTGGTCTGGAATGTTACTTGGCTTCATTTTGTACTCGGATAATCTTCAATAAGGAGTAAAATTTGTTACAAAAGAATTTTAAATTTAAGTTTCATATATTTCATGACTCCTGAATGAAAATAGTAACCTCGGATGAGGGCAAGCTGTGTCATTTGGAATGGAGGAAATCCGAAAAGATTCAGCTAACGTCGAGCTTAGTTGGTCCATGAGAACGCGGTAAAAACAAAAATAATAAAATAAAAGCAATTACAAACTGACAAGAACTTTTTTATTTATTAATTCCTTGCTTCCAGTCTCCAACATTCTTCTCTTCTTTCTCCTCTAACTAGTTCCAGTCTCAATTTATTCACGCGTCTAAAATGGCGGGAATTATAATTTCTCGTTTTCAGTTTTATCATTATCGAGAAAAAGTTTAAATATGAAGAAATATGATACAAAACCTTTAAGCATCGGGAATTGGGTCTTCGATTCATCACATCCTGTGTGAAAATTGATTCGGGACTTGTTTACTTTCAACTTATCTGCTGTATCCCTGTATTGACCATTGCAATAACAGACGAAAAATGCGAAGCCTCTTGGTGTGATCTGTGCCTCACAATGTCAGTGAATGAACCTTTTCACAAATTTTGAATCTGTGGATCGAACACTATCGTATCAACTATTGAGGTAAGGTTGAGTTCAAAGAAATTAATCCGGACAGGGTAGTTAATTCGTAGTTTTCTTGAAAATTGGGATTGCGTAAATAAATGTGTAGCTATTAAATCTTCATTGAATCATTTAAGATTTGAAAAGTTACTTCTATGACAGTATCAAAATTTGCTCACCCGAATATCTGAATTTACAGATTTATTAGTTATATATGATCAAGAATTGGTACATTTAATTTGTTTTAGTTAAGATACTTAACTAGTTAAGAAGCATATGTATTTCTTTACATGAAATTTTGTGAAACTATGCTAAAATCACTCAATAACAGTCCTACAATTATAGTCTTAAAATTGCCCCCGTTGACATCTAGTTTTACAATGAAGGAAAAGACTTTCAAAAATCTCCTATTTATCATCTTTGTTGGTGCTCGTTTTCCTTCCTGCTCTTGCCATATCTTGTACTAACATCACACCGTACATCCCAGCTTTGAGTTTCCTTCGAGCATTGAACTCCCTCAGTTTATCTTGTGTTTTTTGCATGTGATCCAATTTAGCACCTTTACCCTGAGTTAAGTAAGAAAAAGCTTCAAAAAAGCCTTACAAAATTGGAAAATTGGTCCATTTCTTCTAAATGTCAAATGTGTGTCGAAAATATACCTGAACCCATGGATGTTGGAGAGCTTGCTTTGCTGTCATTCTTTTTCGGGGGTCCAAAACAATGAGCTTATTCACAAAATCCTTCCAACAGTAAAATTTTCATTGCATCATAATAACAATTACATAATGCATTTAACGTAAACGACAACTTTTTTAAAATTTTTTATTGCAGACATGTTTTGGCAAACTTATGCCATCTTCAGTGCCATCTTCAATAATGAATGAATATTTGAATGGAGTCAATATATAAAGAAATGATGAAGACGTGTATAGACAAAAGGGATGAAGCAGAAGTTATTTACAATTATGTAGTGATTAGAGTTGTTAAATATTTACAAGTTAAAGATAGTATTGACATGCTGAATTTGTTACTATCTTTAACTTGTAAATATTTAACACCTCTAATCACTACAAAATTGTAAATAACTTCCACTTCCATCCCTTTGTCTATACACATGTCTTGTATCAGATTTCTTTATATATTAACTCCATTCAAATATTCATTCATTGTTCCGCACTGAAGATGGCATAAGTTTGCCGAAACATGTCTGCAATAACAAAATTAAAAAAGTTGTCATTACGTTGAATGCATCATTTCAATCGTGCTATTACAAAATTATGGGAACAATTACATAAGATTACTAAATTATTTTGTGTCTCACCCTTGCACTTAGAGATACATCATCCCACCATGGCTCGATGAATTCATACTCGCATTTTATTATCCTCTGAAACATAGCCTGGTCCCCTCGGTCATCATAAAATGGTTCAAATCCGCAGAGTCTAATGCGCATGATAAGAGAAATGATTAAATCATTTGCAGTGTGCGAATTAATGGTGTGCAATGTGCAATTTGCACATCGTTTTAGCTAAAATGAAAACAATTGCACATCACTTTTTCAAACGATGTGCAAAAATCAGCGGTTTTAACGAAAAACACTGTCGTAAATCATATGAATTTGTTCACATTTAAAAATATTAATTTAGCAATTAGCGCTATATAATAAATAACGTAATATCGACTTGCTTATGCCTCTAAAGAAACACTTTTGTCAAAAAAATTGCACATCGTTTTTTCTGAACTAATTCGCACACTGATTTGCATAAGGATGAAAATACAATAGTACATATGGATAGTAATATGTAATAGTACTTAAGTAGCTAATGACCTTATAGATAGACTGGACTACATAATGAGCCCAGAGCATTGAGGAAACTTGAATCCAATACCTACATGCAAATATGAATGCCTACTTAAAAGACAGCCATAAAATATACAATGTAATGAAGTGTAAGGATATGTTTTAAAGCGACTCTGTTCTTAAATATTTCCCAAGGTCTTGGCTGATGTATGTACAATATATTAAGGTGCTCATTGGATGCTTTGACAATTTCAACTGCTCTACTCAAAGCTTAATTCTGGGCATTAACATTTACGTGAAATCAGAAATTGATTCCTATTGCTACTACAATAAATTCTACTCCTACAGAGGATTTGGAGATTTCTTCTATGTAGATATACGTGAATTAAATACCACACACTTACAATATATACGCAATAACACCAACAGCCCACATGTCAACTTCACGGCCATAATTTTTTCCTATCAAAACCTCCGGTGCTAAAATACAAGACAAATAAATCAAACATGTCAAGCATACTAGCCAAATACTATGGTAGAAAATCAGTGGAATATGATCACAAACATACCACAGTATCCAGGAGTACCACACACTGTCTGCATTATCACGTTATTGCCCAACATCTTTGATAGTCCAAAATCTGCCAACTTAAGTGCCGAATCATCTCTTTCCGTGGCATAGAGGAGATTCTCAGGCTAAAAAGTGTCGTTTAGAAAAAACAATGTTTTTGTTCGAAAAATAATATAGTTCACAGTGATCAAAGAAATGAAAATGTCACATTCTCTAACCTTTAAATCACGGTGTACAACATCATTTTCATGTAGATACTAAAAAATACCGCCAAAACATTAGCATTGATTGAGGAAAGTAGTTAAGAGCATACTACCTCAGAACTGAGAAATTTTTGCAGTCAAAGTCTGAAATTTATTCAATGATAAGACAATTTCATGGCATACTTACAGCAATAGCATTGCATAATTCTTGGAGGGCAACTGCTGCATCTTTCTCCGTGTAACATCCTCGTTCAACTACTCTGCATGATTACATACAATCTATGGTTAACTAAAAACCATGTCAAGCCAACAATTTATAAAAATATAGTAAAAAAACAAACTCCAAAGAAACAAAACATCTTGAGAATACAAAATATTCTGTCCTAGGATGACTTTGAGATAAAGTTGAAAATTTACAGTTCACTTCTCGTCTTGCTCTGATTCATATTTTGTAATCTCTAGATGTCTTGTTTCTTCGGAATTTGCTTTTTAAAAATGGTTGACTGAATGACATTACTCGTGTACCATCATATATATTTGCATCACTGCATGTAACCTGATATTCCATAGTTTACCTCTCAAACAGCTCTCCACCTTTAACAAGCTCCAAGATAATGTACAAATGCTGGTTTGTCTCAAATAGATCTTTCAACTGAATCTTGATAAAAAATCAGGCAGATGTTGATTCTTATCGAAACGGGGATCTCGGGGTACAAAATGAGAAGACAATGAAAAATATAACTCGTACAATGTTCGGATGTTTCAACCGCAAGAGTATTCCAATTTCTGTTTGAATCAACTTTGTATCCACCTAAGATGTACAGAATTAATTTTTCTCGTGCTTGACGAATGAAGCGACCGATTATTACTTAACACATCTATTCGCTAGATAACATAAAAATAAATCTAAGTTCTAAAAGCAGTTAACAATACATAAGTGCACTTATAGACACTTGAATAAATTACTATAACTGTTTATCAAAACTTCCGCTCCGTATATTGTACAGTATCTTAGCAATAACTCAAACGTTGCGTCCTGTATTGAGTTTGTACTTGCTGTGTACATAAAATCACAACTATTTATTCCGTACAGAGGAAATCAGAAATGATACACTTTAACTTGCGAGTGATAAATGAAAATCAAAACATCGCATTGCTGCATTCTAGTTGCTTAGTGCATTAAAATTAATTAGAAAAGCCCTTGTCTGTAATATATTATTATTATTAAGCTGTCATTGCGACTTTAGAAGAACTAAAATGCGCGACGAAATTAAAAACAACAAAATATTCATACATTTTTCTCCATAATTTTCACGGCGTACTCATTTGTAGTCCCTTTTTGAGTACACAACCTTACCACGGAGGTAGCGCCTCTAAAAAACATTCAGTTTTGATGGTCTGCATTGGGATAATGAATATTGACTGGAAGAGGCAGGCGAATTACAGACCTTCCAAGTTCACGTCCCAAATCGTAATAATCTTCGATCGGCTCCTTTCTTGATATGTCAAAGTAATAAACCATTTTGGAATGGTCTGCTGAGCGCAAAACAATCGGTTTCGATGTGAGATGTTAATCAAAGTTTAAAAATTTTTTTAGAATGCAATATGAACAGTGAAATCAGCTGTCTCGCAGGATTAATCAGACAGCGCTGAGATTAGCTGATAGGCAATCTACATCTTAATTATTCCACCCACGTTGGCGTCTGGGGAGTCATACGAAGTTGGAAGTGTAGCCCTTCTAGGAAAGAAGGGTAGCCCTGCTTTGAATAATTAATGACGAAATACATGCTAACACCATTTACGTCACTTATTTTTTCCATACAATATTTCCAGCCAATGTCACGCTTTTTGGCATACTGTTGTGTTCTCAATGTGAATGCTTATTTGTTTCAAATGTTCATTTACATGTGATGGTCCTAGTTGTTCTAAGCTCTCGATCAACTTGAGAAAATATTCTAAATTTGAACCACTCGGTCCATTTGATTTGATAATTTGTTGAGCAATGTCACGTTCAGTTGCAGGCCCTAAGTAGTTCGGGTTTTTCTCAGTGGCCAAGTACACTTGTACGTTAAAAGGTTTGCAATTGTCTGTGTCAGGATAAAAAAGCATTTGAACCAATTGATATCCTCCTTTCTCACGGTAGTCCAAATATTCCAGGACTTGTTCTTTCATATGCCTATCCACTTTGAAGGAAATGCCAGTCACATTTTCCTATAAAAAAAACATGTTATTGTAAATATAATTGTCCTTGCAACATCACAATTAAAGGTCCTTTGCATAAGCTCAATTAATTTTGAGCTGAAACACATCAACAAGATGTTAATTAAAGAGGTGTAATGCACTTTTTTTGCTTTATTTGGATGTCCAAATTGGCCATATAAGAAACTATCCTGTGTGTACATTATTTATGTGGAGGATATAGTTATGACTGAGGAGGGTTCATTAAGGTCTCTTTGTTGTGTCCTCTCACAATACCTGCGATATATTGGGTAAATGACATATAATAAGTAAATGGGACATATGGAGTCTATGGGACATATGGAGTCTATGGGACTTATGGAGTATATGGGACTTATGGAGTATATGGACATATAGTGTATGGGACATTTTGGGTAAATGAGACATATTGAGTGAATGTGGCATATTGGGTAAGTCAAACATTCACTGTAAAGAATGATGAATTATAGAACGCCAAAGAGCAACTACTTGTGGATTTGTAGAATTTGTAATCTGAAATACCGTTTGATCTTCGACAAGAGTGACCACTCTTCCAGGCTACAAGAATGATAATAGTGGTGTATTGATTACGAATGCAATTATGAATATCATTAAAATTGCGTTGTTCTCGAAAAGAAATTACCTTTCCTGGAACACCCCTATGATCAGTACTGCCTTGCCAAAATCTTCGAGCATAGCCGCGAATTTGACCGACCACTTTTTCTTTGTAGGGAAAGTTCGTTTTCCAGATCAAGGAGCCGTAACCGAAAATCCATAAGTCTTCCTCCGCCATGGTCTCAAGTAAAAATATTCTAGGCTTTTCTTTGCTTATTTCGACTTTTGAGGAAAAAAAATTTTTTCGGGCTGAAAAATCATGGTAATTTTACTATAGAAGCCGTACTTTCAAACCGTTAGACTTCGTAAAAATTCGAAGACAACAATGTTATTCATCACTGATGTAACAATGAATTTCTCTACCGGAAGTAAGAATTGACTTCCTGTCCAAAGATCAATACTCGTAAATCTGACGTACAAAGAGAAAGCCCGCCATGAGTTTCAATTCAAGATGGATGAGCTTGACGGAAAATCCTTGGAGTCTTAGACATCGTTTTTCTTTCTACTGGCGATTAAAATGGCAAGAATATTGACGTAAGTCATTAAAATTAGTGAATAGGTAATGTTTATATATTCTTTTACGGCATTGAAATCTTCAAAGAACCTGAACCAATTGGCGAAAATGATGATTTATTGTTTTGAACGAGTCGAAGGTTTATAGAGGTAAACAAATAACCTGAAACAACACAAGTCCATTCTCGTTCTTATCTATTTACAAAATATCCAAATACGTTTTAAAAAAAGGTGGACATAAGACTACAAAGAGTTAAATAGACTTCATTCTTTCAAAAAGGCGGAAAATCAGTTGTTTTTATCCGACGGCTCTCGCACCAAACTTAACAACTTGTCCATCTTCGCAATCTCATTTTCTGGTCCTTTGGCTTTTTCCTGTATAAAACAAATAAATTGCTTAAAAAAGTCTTACCTAAGCCAGAATTTCTCTCGTCTCTATCATGTTTACCTTTGGAGCCGTCGCTTTTCTTAAATTTGGTGAAAGTTTTAGCGAGGAAACATAACCTCTGAAATAATTTAGAAAAGTAGAAATTTCGTGCTAAAAAATCCTTCAAAGTCGATGTATGATAATGTCTAAGGAAATGTTAGAGGAGACGTAGAATTCTGTTATAGTAGCTTTGACGTGGATGGTTCAACGAACATGAATGTGGGGTAAAGTAAATTAAAAGAATAATTAAAAGTATAGTTCGCTAAAGGGAGCCCTAACTGCTTTCAAATTGTAATGGTATAGCAAAAAATGAAAGAATATTTGAACGTGACTGGTTGGTTTCTTTTAAACCAAAACAGCAGGGCGAAATGTGTAACAACCACCAACAACATAGAAAATTATGAGTCGTTTTCTACTTTATTATATCAAATTGTAAAAGTATGGGTTTTAAATGGTAACGATGCCAGCTTCATACGGATTTCCTGTTATGGAAATATTTTGTGTTCATTCATGAGAACAATAAATGAAATTTCATTTCTGAACAAATGCATGAAGGTCCAAAATAGCAAACATCCTTTAAATTTCTGTTGCTTTGGATTCGCTCAAAATTTCACTCATGCATTTACGAAATTCCACCCGAAGCTAAAGAACACCTTGAACTCTTTAAAATGGGATGAACACCATAATGGAAATCTCTTGCAATATTCAACTATATACATATGTACACTAAGGACCTGAGAAGATTGGCGTCGATGGAAAGGAGAATGCTTAGGATGATGTGTGGTGTAACGTTGATGGATAGGATTCGAAGTGAAGAGATTAGAGAAAGAGTTGGTGTTGAGTGTATCGAGAATTGGGTAAGGCGCCAGCGTTTGAGGTGGTTTGGGCATGTGGAAAGGAGGGAAGAAAGTGCTGAAATTCGTAGAACGTTGCATATGAATGTTGATGGAGTCCGCAAACGAGGTAGACCGAGAAAGAGATGGATGGATGCTGTGAACAGTGATATGAAGGCGATGGGTATAACGAGAGATATGGCGAGAGATAAAGACGTTTGGCGTAGAAAAATTCATGGACCGGTCAACCCCCCTGGCGGGGATTAATACTGGCCGGTATACAAATGTTGTTTGTTTGTTTGTTGTTTGTATACATATGTACACTAAAATCCCAAGTAATTCCCCTTCATACCTGTCGTCACCGGCAATGACCAATGGATGGACCGGGTTAAAGGACAGATGTGTCAATTTTGTCTTTTTCTTTGCAACGACTGAAAGTTAGTCACATAAATACGTATTATCTTTCTATAGCTACACACGTACAGCGCGAATGGTAAAACATTAAAGACACGTTTTTACTTTTTATCAACCCCAGAAAGAATTTTTCGTATTAATTAGAGTTAAGATGGAAAATTTGCTTGTCGCTTTATGTGACATTTGCCAAAGTGTATCTTCCGATCAAAGGTTGATCATTTCTCTGAAAATGGACTGCGGAAATTTCTATGGCTAGACTTGATTTTTTCTGGTTACACAAGCTGCATGAAAATCCGGATAGTGACTATACCCGTTTCTTTTGAATGAACTGTTTATAAAATCCTATGATTGCAAACAGACCAACTAGATTTTCAAATATTTAAGTTTCCTCTGATTAAAGAAAAAATTGACTTAACAAAACCAGAATTAAGATATTACGTACTTGACTGCTCGCATATTGGTTCGTACTTATTCACAGCAAGGTCGTAAACATGGACCTAAAACAAAGCAATCATTCCTGAATCTCTAGTAAACTCTTTCTAAAGCAGACATTCTTGGGGCCAATCTTATTAAAGTGGATGGTTTGAACGCTAGAGTATCGTTAGATGTTGGCGGATGTTGATCGTTCATGTCAGTGCAACCCTGAGAAAGACTGATGTTTGGACGTTCTTTTCAAAATCGATTTCTTGACGATCAACATCTACAAACATGTAACCAATCACATTGTCCGTTCTAAAGACATGCATGCCATATACCAATCACATTGTCCGCTTTAGAGACAAGCCTACCGTAGAAAGATGTCTTCTCTAAGAGAGCACACTTTCTCGTGAACGCATTTCCTGATTTTTACATGGATAGCGCAAAAAATAAGGGAGTTAGCTGGTCAGGAAGTGATGGTAGACAAAGGGTCTAGATTTTAGTGGCAGTTGGGTAGTGTAGCCACCAAATGTAGAGTAAAGAGTTGAAGCATTGCCCAGAAAAACTCAGTTCGACTGTACTACTAATTGGTTTCGCTGAAAATATGGGGAGGGGGTTTAAATGTTCCTTGAAGGCTTGAACAATGTGATGAAATATGATATTTGGGGAGTGGAACCCCTTTGCCTCACCACCCCCACCCCCCGCCCCATGAAAATCATGAAAATCCACCCATGCACATTATCAACAAAATTATTGTTTTACAGATGACGACGTACCTTCCCATCAGCCGTCACAGCAGCAAAAACGGTGGAAGCATAAGGTGCCCATGCAACATCACCAACCGAATTGTTCATATCAAAGGTAAACATTGCTTCGCTGAAATACATAAAGAATAATCTATTACATGTTGATTAAAACAAACATTCGTGAGAAATTATCCGTTATATAATATTGCGTCATCAATAAGTGTGGGTGAGAATGAGGAAATTGTTTTCAGTTTCTGAATTTCTGTTCACACTTTGTAATCGACTTTGATAGTGTGGTCACAACTGAAATAAGTTTCTTAAATTTTTCACATTAGACCAAGATCTTGTGGTGTTAAAGTGTATAAAAATTTAGGGGCTTGTTTAACGGGTGCGCTGTCTGAAGAGGGCTTAGATAGGCCTCGGTCCGAGAAATACCAAGAAAGCGAAGTTTAATCGATTGAAAGCATACTTATATGTATGATCCCAAACTTTGACAGTCCAGTCGGCACTACACGATATGAAAGTCTTCGGGTGAAAGTGATTCCACTTGACGGCATACACGGCCATATGATGAGCCTGAAATGGTTTATGACAAAGTTTTTGAGGAGAGAAACTTTGGACGAACATTACATGCAGGGAGAGGGGAGGAAAAGGGTACACGAAGATGCTTGGAGTCAAGTTTCGTTTGAATATAATTCATTCATCATATATGCGAATGAATAAATTATTACAAATGAAGATAGTACGAGCGTGCAAAAAAAACACGCAGCAACATGCGTATTGTAAACATACGATGCTAGATGACCAGCATCTAAGCGTGTATGATACAATTTAATCATAGCTCATTTATATCACGTAGTTTGCATCTTTTATCGTTAAAAACAATAGGAACTGTTTATTATTGTAAACCCATGCAGAGATGATCAGTCTTTGGTAAGTGCATATGACAACATAATGGACGTCGATCTAACATGAAGTTCTTCGTAGTTTTTATACAGCAGAACTTTGAAGTACCTGAAATGTTGTCAAAAATTGACTTGAGTAAGCTTTTGAACACTTGTGGATTTTCCCCTCTTCAGTGCCTATACAACAATACCAAAACTATCACAAATGATATATGAGGCAACCACGTGACTAATAGGAGTGGCTGGAAATAATGGCAAGGGGGAGGGATGAATGAGGACAGTCTCGAGATATATATTTTGAACTATTATAGAGACAAACAACTTCTTACATCACATAACATCGACTTGAAATTATTTTTGTCCCTTATGATATCATCAAGTGTAAGACACTGATCAATTGTCTGAAGTTAGTTGAAATTCAGAGCGCAGTATAATTTATTGTCAACGTACCCACTAAGAACAGATAGTCCGTTGTCTTATGGAAGTCGAAGGCTGTCCCACAACCTATGAAAAATACGATATGCTAGATATCTGTAGATCGGATACACGACAAGATGATTTGCACAGTTCAGTTTAGACTTTGTGTTTCCACTTTTGAAGAATATTTTTACCAAAAACTCAGTATTGAACCTCGTCTTAAGTACAGTCGGTGTTCTGGTTTTGCTGAATTTAATTTATTATTGATTACAGAGATGAATGTAAAAGGTGAAATCTATTCGTAAAAGTTTTTTTAATTGTTCACAACAAGAACATTCTCTTTTGATCATGTAACCAAAACTCGGTAAAACAAAGCATATATTTCGTTTACCTAAACTTTCAAGTTTCGAACCATCGCCATCATTTGCATCACCGGTATTTAACTTCAACGTTATGATGTCGGTGTAGTGAAGTTCGCTCTATGGAACGAAATATAATTGCATGAAATATATTCATCAAAGTTAAAGGGGAGGCTGTCTTTTTGTGCAAGGCACATGAGCAACAAATGAACATTTTACCCAACTTCTGACTTTAAGAACATTTAAAGAAGAAACAGAATGTAATTGATGCTTTTATTCAGTTTTATTCTGTCATTTTTTCAATTAAAAAAACGGATTCAAAATCTTTCAAAATAACTGGTTTTATTGTCAGGCATTATTTAAGCAGTCTATCACTATTTGTCAGCGTTGTGTACCTTGACTATAGTCCATTGAACAATTCGACCATCAGATGAAACAGAGAAGAAATTGAGATTATTGTCCAAATTATCTTTCTGCCATCTCACCTATATTATCATTACTTATAAACTTTCCACCTGAGCACATAAAATTTCCTGATCACAATTCTTTGCCAAACATACCTCCCATACTGGATCTGTGTGTTTTCCCGTTTTTGCTGTTGAGCAATACAACGGTTTCGACTGCTTATCGCACGCTGAGTACACGGCCACGCTTCCTATACGTAATAATATATATATTATATATTATATCATTATTTGAAAGTCTTCTTTCGACACTTAATATTGTTATATAGTTATTGTTATAACGATAATCTAGTGAAAATTCTGTTTTGATCAAGCAACGATAATTTTCCAGTCATTCGAGCTCAGTTTACGTATAAAGTTACAAATAGAATTTAGAGTCCTAGGACTGACTGAGTTAGCTTCCTTACACCTTTATATGAGTGTACTCAAAACTGACAGCAATAAAAGGAAGCTGAAACTTTAGGCCACTCGCGTACCCATGTGTACCCAGATATCAAGACGGGGGGATGTCACTCCTTAGATCATTATTATCGTCATTTACCATCGTAAAAACCAACGGTGACAAGATTAGAATGTTCAGGATGTACATCCAAGCACATCACTCCACTTTCTGTCTGAAAGATGTATCTAAAACATATTAAGTGTTATAAAGTATTAATTTTTATCAAATCTATATACAATCGCTTACACAGAGTGCAATTTAGCATTTTCATGTTGAGCAATTCGGCATTATGCACATTATTGAGACATAGTTGTGTTTTTCTTGTTCAATTCCCAATTTCTAGTTGAAGTGCTTGTGCAACTGAAATTCGTGAAAATCAATAACGTTGATACATACTCTGGATGCGAAGGATTTTTCAAACTGTAGAAACAGATCATTCCGTGGCATTGTTTCAGGAAATCATCTTCAAAAGGGAAAAAATCCCACTTAATTAGTATAGAAATATAATCTTGCTTATATAATTACTTGAAATGTTAGAGGGAATTGGATTTGAGGACTTTAAGTGACCGTAACTGATTTTATATTGTAGAAAGTTATCTATAAAATCAACTATCCTGTTTGATCGATTAATGAATAATAAGTTAACGTATTGGTTAATTAATCAATTCACTGATTTCGGCGCTACTGATAATCAACTGATAAAATTTTTGATACACTAATCTTCAAAATTCCGCTGCATAATTTTTGCGCATGAAAACTTCTCAACACGTTGAGGTTGTGAAATGTCCAATAACCTACACCCTGTTTTAGTTTAATTTAAAAAATGTCTCAATCCAGACAGCGCTTTTTAAGTATACTTACATGATCCATGACTGACAGCAAAGAGGTCGTGATATTTGTGGTTCCTTGATAAAAGAAGTAAAGTAAACACAAAGATGCTTGACTATTGTGAAGCTAATGTCACACACTCGAGAAAGATAGAGTTGACTTGGGTGAAGCCAGTGTTACATTCACAACAAAGATAGAGTTGACTTGGGTGAAGCCAGAGTCACACACTCGACTAAGATAGAGTTGACTTGGGTGAAGATAGTGAAGTTGATACATTTTGAAGGATTTTGAATCGTTTTTTGATTGAAAAATGACGGAATAAAACTAAAGAAAGTATTAAAAATACTTTCTGTTTCTTCTTTCAATGTTCTAAAAGTCAGAAGTTGTGTAAAACGGTGAAGCTAGAGTTGCACGTTCAAGAAAGATAGAGTTGACTTCGGTGAAGCTAGTGTTACAAATTAAAGAAAGATAGTGTGGACTTTAGTCAAGAAAGATAAAGTTGATTTTGGTGAAGCTATAGTGTTACACATTCAACAAAGACAGAGTTGACTTTCTTGTAGCTAATATTACAGATTTAAGAAAGATAGAGTTGACTCAGGTGAAGATAGTGTTACACGCTAAACAAAGATAGATCGGACTATGGTAAAAGTAGTGTTAAACATTCATTGACACACTTTACGCAATGAACTTGAACAACTTATATTAAAGAAAGATAGAGTTGACTCAGGTGACGATAGTGTTACACGCTAAACAAAGATAGATCGGACTATGGTAAAAGTAGTGTTACACATTCATTGACACACTTTACGCAGTGAACTTGAACAACTTATATTAAACTCACCAGCAAAGGGCAGTGACGGCAAGACGTTTCGATTTTTCATAAGAAAATTTCCATAACGGTAACAGACTACCTTCTTGTTCCTTGTATTCATCTGAGGCGTCTTGCCAATACTTGAAATCTGCAAAAAAAGTTGACTGTTAAAAGACGTTTTATGATTAAGCCGCGACCTTGCTAAGAAATATCTGCAAGTCATCTTAGAATGATTATTGTAAGGTGTACAATTCTAATCTCTCCACATACAAAATATCTTAAAGAAATGCTTTAGGTCGAAGTTAGAGTTTGGCTCGATTTTACAACAAGAAGTATTACCATGATAAACTCCTAACAAAATCGAGGCAAAATCGTGGAAATTCTTTCAGGCCTTATGGGAAGATTTGACCCGGTTCTCAGCTAAACCAACAACTGTGAATTAAGTAAAGACTGAAGACCCAAACTTGGGCTCCGGGTTTTAGTCAAACAAACAACTATATCGACTAGATTTGCAGTTTCCACGTGGAATGAACAATGATTGACTAGGTGAAGATTTGATACCTTCAGCTATAGGTCTCAGCAGAACAACTTTTGACTAAATGAAGGCTTTATAACGAGAGCAATTGGTGTGAACAGTATTAACAACTATTGTCTAAATGACGATTTTACCCCGAGCTTTGAGTCAGCAGAACGAATGATGATCGACTGGGTAAAGACTTTATACTTAGAAGTATGGGTCTCAACAGAAATAACAACTATTGGTTAGATGAAGACTTAATAGATAAGCTATGGACTTCCAGACAGAATGAACAACTATAGAAAATGCAAAGAATCTACCTTGAGTTATGGCTCTCAGCAGAACAAATAATTATCGACTAGGTGAAAATTTATGGCTTGAGCAATGAGTCTCAGGGCACAGCAGAACGAACAATTATCGAATACACGTGAATATTTTATACGATGAGATCATAAAAAATTCCAGGAAGAATGAACACCTATCGACTATATGAAGATTTGATATCTAGAGCTATGGGTCTCAAAAGAACTAAGAATTATCAACTAAATGTTGAATACCTTGAGCGTACTCGTCGAAAGTGTTCTGATTTACCATACGTTCAACGATTTTTGCTGGTCTTGCAATTCGCGTCACATCGTCACCCTGATTCCGAATATAACATGAAATATAAATCTATACATATTCATTAATTGCTTAAACTGCGGGATCATTTTAACATAATTTAACTTTAAGACAAATGGTAGCATCAACCTACTCCCTCTGTGAGATGCTGTAATATGGGTGTATAGCAATCAAATGTTTACAGAACTATGAGTTATTCTACAATTCTTTTGCGGATTGATTCAATTACACATTTCCACCTTTTAAGGTCGTTTTCACCCCCCTCCGGTACTGTTTTATTTCTTACCATTGCACCCTACAAGGTCATTCTCACACCTCTCCCAATACGGTACTGTTTTATTTCTTACCATTGCACCCTTTAAGGTCATTCTCACCTCCCCCCTCCTCCTGTACTGTTTTATTTCTTACCATTGTACCCAAAACAAACAAACCTACTTTAGTCGATGGTTTGTAATGCCGAAACAAGAAATTGCAAGAAAGGTCCGAAAGTTAATTACTTTCCCCAGTGTCGGTTATTTGTATGTACGATAGTTTATTCAAATGATGCCTCCTAATTTATATTAGTAGATGGTTTATCAACGATACCTAAGTTGGTTGCATGGAATTCATACCTGTAATAAATCACATTCATTACCTGACTGTCCATCTGACTTAATTTCTTTTTCTTGTCGTCGTCCTTCTTGTTCGATTTCCTTGTCTCTTTTTCTTTGTTCTTCTCTTGTCTTCGCAGGTCTTCAACATATGCATCATAGATTTCCCACTACACAAACAGGGTGAACAAGACCAAACAGATCAAACATCATATACTTCTACACTTTCATCAAAACCATAATGCTTTATCATTGCCGATCATATTTATTATATCTGATGTGCTTTTTATGGTGGATGTCTCTTTTGGTGAGTTTCTTATGACAATCTTACGATGAATTTCTCGTCATAATCTTAAGGTGGATTTCTCTAAATGATCTTATGATGGATTTCCCCTGAAGATCTTATGGTACATTTTTCTGATGGTGGATATATTTTGTGGTGAATATGATTTCACAGTGGAATTCTCTGTGGATTCTTACTACTTGTGGTTATTTAAGTTCACTTTCTTGTTAGTTTTTATCTGTGAGTAGAAATGATGAATTAAGAAACCTGATTAGCCGTTGCAGAGAAGTTGGCTCTTGGTGGAGGTTCCGTTTGTGTTTCCCTCTCCTATATTTAACGAGCCTTTTTTAATAAATTTGCTCAACTGACAATCTGATAGCAAAAGTAAAGTCAAGTAACTGCGTCCATAGCCAGCCTATATATTTAGTCAGGAAATGTGAATATTTCTTTATTGTAAGCAATGAAAAAAAAGTATTTCTGAAGAAATTAGTGTCATGGGGTCGGTTGCACGAAATGTACATTGCGCAATCATTTGGGTTTGTTGCACAAAGTCTTGATAGCGCTTTCTTCAGGGTTTTTTGCCCAAAGTCTTGATAACGCTATCTTCAGGGTTTTTTGCACAAAGTCTTGATAGCGCTATCTTCTGCGTTTGTTGCACAAAGTCTGGATAGTGCTATCATCTGGGTTTGTTGCACAAAGCCTGGATAGTGCTATCATCTGGGTTTTTTGCACAAAGTCTGGATAGCGCTATCTTCTGGGTTTGTTGCACAAAGTCTGGATAGCGCTATCATTTGGGTTTGTTGCACAAAATCTGGATAGCGCTATCAACTCTGTGTGAAATTTTTGTTTCAAAAAGACAAAAAGATACGATCTACAAATGTACAATCAATAAATTAAAACATCAATTCAGCAATAACAAATTTTGTTTTCGTGAATAAATAAATCATGACCTTTTCAGAACGCTTTATAAAGTTACTATTATAAGCTGGTCTTTATTCAACCTTACATGGTTGCAGAGTGACGTAGTCACCTCGACGACTTATAAGAAAATATTCCCAAATGCATTTCTACCATATTAAATTCCTTCTAAATGAGTTGTTTTCTATAACGTGTATTTATAAACATGTATCAATTAAGGAGGGTAGCTAGCCTATTGCCTCAACTGCTTATCAAGACTAGACTAAGCAGACCATGCTACTGAAAGTAGCAATATTACTGGGAAAACTCCAAAGGCAAACATTCTGGTGCGACTGGTGCCAAGTAAGAAAATTTTGAAAAATCTTAAGGCTTTGTATAGTTGGAAAGCATCTTTTTTTCATTTTACATTTTGTGTATGCAGTAAATGATATAACATATCCAGACTGAAAACTTTGCAAATCATGCGGGCAAATTAATTTTGTGTTATTTCTGCTGGGAAGATAACAAATTTGCTCAAAATTCTATAAGATTTAACTTGGTTATTAAATTGTGTGCAGGCAGTGAGGTCATTAAGGTTTCTACAGCGCAAGCATAAACTTGCCTGCAATCTTTCCAGTCAAGTATCACACCAGAATAGATGCCTTTGAAAAATATTGCTAAAGATGGGAGGGGGGTGGAGCATATTAAAGATGAACTGTACCCTATAAGGATTGTTGTATGTTTGTGATGCTCTTTCGCAGAAATTGAATTGGTTTGTCAATTTCTTTTCCCCATCATGAGTGAGAGATGACTCTGTCTTTTCAGCAGATTCTTTGCCTCCATCCTGATGAGCAAAAGAAGTTAGATATGACTATTGCTGACCATAGGTTTTATTTTTTCTTTTGTGCATTCAAAAGAGCAATTGATGTGATCTAATCAAAATTCATTAACTGCAAGGTAATGAACAAAGATCATGCACAATATTTTGTGACCTTACATCAGCTTGTGTTTCTTCTTCCTCATTTTCTTCCTCTTCTTCACTGTCTGATCCTTAAAAAGTTGATATTATAAAAACTGAACTCGTACTCAATGCTATAGCCACAAGCTCGAACAAATTTCACTAATACCTATCTACTACACCATGATAACAATTAATAAATGTCATATAAGCTTTATGGAATAAATTAGTTTAGATGAAATCCACTTTTTAACGAACCTACTGCTATTCCTTGTTTTGTCAACTGTCTTTTTGCTTCATCTGATTCTCTATGAAGCATGTTTCTAAACATAAAAAGTACTTGTGGTTAAAATAAGCTGTAATGGCTATTCCTTTATGAAGTTTATTCTACTAGACATTATAATACTCATTAAATTGATTTGGTTTTGAGTAAAAATAGCCAGAAAACAAGATTCTTTGATGAACAACCAAAAAATGCAGTTAATATTATAATGCCAAATGCTTAATTCCTACCCATCCATAGAAAAATGAACAGCAAGTTGATCAACACTTGAAAGTGGCTTGAATGTTTTATCCTTATAGCTAAATCTGACAATATTGTTCGGTGCATGAGGGTTGTTTGCTGTTAGTATTCTGGTGAATTCTTCTTGAAGTTGAGCTTCGGTTAGTTCCAATTGGTCACTGGGCTTGATCAACTGTTTCGGCTATATGATAAGATTAAATACAGTAAATTTAGAAGTGAGCTTAATCAACCTCTTAATTTCAACTTCGTATTGAAGTGTGTGGAGTATTTGAAAATCCAACAAGGTAATCTGATTGACTGCGTATGTCAAGTCATGGAAGTGCTATAAATATCAAGTTAATTACCTGAGTCCACTCATCTAGTTCATCACCAGCCTGTGTTGAATCTTCCTCTTCCTAAATTTATAAAATCACTTCCTGTAGGCAACGTGAGTAACAGCTGTCCTGAACAGCAAAATTGATTAAATCAACAATACCCTCTTCTTTATCTTTGTTCCTCCTTTTGAAGTTAATTTGGCATTTTGAATTTGTTGTGTGATTGAAGATCTTTTCTCCTTTATAAAGCGATTTCATTGCAACAACAGAAATCAAACGAAGAAACGGAAAAAGAACAAAAATAAAAGTAACTTCATCATAGCATAGCAAATTGTTTTCGATGAAACTCACGTTCTTCGCGATTTTCCCTCCTGTTTTTCATTTTTATTCGATCGATTGTCTAGAGTGCGACACTATATATTATTTATCATAAATATACTGATGAGTGTGTGCGTTTTAGGGCTATTTTTATTCAGAAAATATACAGCATCTTTTGTACGCTTGTATTGATTACATCTGATACCATAGCAACCGATGTCCGTTGATTTTGGATATTTGTGTAGTCCTGGGGACAAGTCTGTTTTGTTTGATGATGTCTGACTTTTTGGACATTTTCCCTTGTGGTTGAAATGCTTCATTTCATCATTATGGATAGTGTATTTTTATAGCAGTTGCACAAAGGATTGTTTCTATTTTCTAATAAGAAATTCTCGTTTAAAGTTTTCACTTTTGGATTCGAGTACAGATCTTCCAATCACAATCGATTGATTTTGTACCCCCCCCCAATTCTCTATTACAGGGGCAAAAATTTTTTATTTGTTTTTGTTACTCTGTTTGAAAAAGAACGGCATTTTCAAGCAAGATTTTTTGTTAAAAATACTCTTTGAATAAAACTTTCGCCCGAAAAGCACTTCTTAGATAACAGGTAAAGCGCTTCTGTGGACATCTAATTTTGTGTATGTATTTCTACTTGTTCTCATTTCAACAAAAGGTGCAGAAAAAATGAAAGTTTTTCCTACGCCACAGCATTTCTGCCTTTCAAATTTTTTGCATAAAATGATAAAATTAAACTTTGTCTTCGTAATTGAAATGTATTTAAAACAATTGTCTTCAATTTCAGGCAAAACTTTCCTTAGTTTGAAGTCGACAAATTCAAAAGGAGCAGAACCAACATATTCACTATGCTCGGAGAAGCAAGATTTTTCTGACTGCAAACGAACTAATGAAATAAAAGGAAAGTCAACAAGGTCTGGGAAACTACGAAAGATAGTTAGTACATTCTAAATTTCTAATGTTTTCGCCCAGATGGAAGTGATTTTTGAGACTGAATACTATGTCAATTTGAAATTCTTAATGATTGTTTGAACGCCATTTTTCTTTTTTTCCTCCAATCTCTGGAGAATACATGCTTACCTTTGTTTTATCGCTTGTGCTTATGCCACTAGTGAAAACTTGGCTTTAGTGTTATATTCCCAGGAGAAGAAAAGCTTTTGTGCTACTAAACAAAGATGTATAATATATGCATCCAATACGTTAATTTTAAAGGTGTTTTTTATATACATTTTTTATAATCGGTACATTGAAAACCCATGGGATAAAAGAAAATAACATCAACCCATCAACTTATAAACAATTAAAGCCTTGGTTCACACCAGTAAAATAAGCACAAACGTGGAGACTTTTGTTTCTATTGCTGTAGAGGTTTATAAAGACAAAGACATTGAGATTTTCTTTAAATCGTCTTTGTTCTTTTGTTCTTATCCTACCTTATGCTTGAATTTTTTCCTTATGCTTGCGCTTATGTCGATGCTTATGTCACATGCTTTGTTACTTATCTTTGTTTTATCTTTTGTCTACGCTTGTGCTTTTAATAGTTATTAATCTAAAATACTCTCAGTCCCAAGAAAGAATCGTTATAAAGATGCAAAATGTCCTTTAGGATTCATTTGTGTTCGATGCATACACAATGTCATGTAAGCTCATAAAACTACAGATGAATCAACTCAGTCTTGTTAAGCGGGAAGAACAGCAGCGAGCAAGTGCAATGACAAAAAGAGAGAAATAGAATTTGACAACGAGAGCATTTGTCGGCAACAACTCGGTGCAAATCGATGAAGAGCAAAAAGTTGAGACGAAAGACCACGCGGAAGGCAAAACCACTTCAACGTTGTCTGGGGAGAATTAGCTGATGACCGAGTCTGAAAAGGTTCAACGAGGATTACTCTCAAATTTCAAACAATCAAAGCGGAATGACAACGATGTTTTCCAAATAATCCATTTGACAGTGGAGAATCGTATCATATTCAGGCATTTGATTGGCATGTCCGATGCTGTATGAATAAAAACATCACATGGAGTGCCAGTGTAGCGCAACACACCAGATATTGTAGAACGTCTTCACGACTATTCAAATGGTTCTTTGTGAGAGCTATTTTCCTCTTCACAGTATTTAGAGATGAATGTTGCTGCGTTTTGTAATGTATGATCGAAATGAAAAGATGTAAACATATGGTTTATTGTTATGTTCCAGCTGTCGAAAAAAATGTCATGCAAAAAACACTCTTAAAAAAGTCTTTTGATCAAATTTTTTTATGACTCCTGTGAACAGGGAGTTATTTTTTTTAAAGTTTGAAAAGTCAGGAACTCAAGAGCAAACAGAATGCCCTAATATTCCCCTTCTTACCTCCAGGCACTCGTTCCTCAGTTCGACTTTCTATCGTCCACATCCGCCTCGTACACCTAAGTGTGTTAGCCGAGGGGCGAACCAAGGATCATGTGCACAGGAGGTCAGTGTTGGCCAGTCAAGCTAAGCGCTCAACATCGAAAGTTACTAGTTTTTTGGTATATTTGTCCATTTTTGTTAGTGTGAAGGGAAAGAAAACGAGTCGGATTTGAACCCGTGAAGGTGCAACCCTTACTGCACCACTCAGTGTTCAACATATTTTAATTTGAAAAATGAAAAATAAAAGGACAAGAATTGAACCCGAAAGGTGTGATCACTGCACGGACAACTGTACCACTCGGCCAGATGAGTGACGTGGGAATCCAATGACAAATGTTGTATGCGACAGAACAGCATTTATTGCCTTCCGAGTCATACCACAGGCTCCCAATATATAGTACGTTTGACTTTTGCTTAGCCACCCTCGTTGCAAATATGAAGAAAGAGCCTTGCTTAGCGTCGCTATCGAAAGTTAACTTTGGTAGACAATTTATGTTCTACCAATAGCGAAGACAAAGATGAATAAAGTATATACAATGTCAGGCAATGCCTGGTGGTGAATCAAGCGGTGGTGAATCAAGGTAGGTAGACTTTATGTCTACCTTTATGTTTAGTATCTATCTTTATGGTCGACCTTTATGTCTACCTTTTATGAATGTCTCATAATCTCAATGTGTGGTAGCCTTTATGTCTTTATGTCTACCTTTATGTCTAACCTTTATGTCTACCTTTACTTTATGTCTACCTTTATGTCTACCTTTATGTCTACCCTGTCTACCTTTATGTCTACCTTTGTGTCTACCTTTATGTCTATGTCTACCTTTATGTCTACCTTTGTGTCTACCTTTCTGTCTACCTTTATGTCTACCTTTGTGTCTACTTTATGTCTACCTTTGTGTCTACCTTTATGTCTAGCTTTACGGAATATATAATACGATGTGCTTTTAAAAGTTCTTACCAGAACATTAATATTTACCGGAATATTTAACGTGTGGGCGATTGGACGATTAGATTGAAAGGAGCATGTTGAAAATTGAAATGTAGTAGATGTCTTTTTTCATATTAAGATGAGAACGAGAAAATGGTGGGGGGGTGTAGTTATAACAAAATTTTGAATAGTCAGATCCTCAAGACGGCTAAAAACGGGCATTTTATATCTAATTACTCTTACCTTGTCGATCGTCGTTTCCAGAGTCGTCATTTGATAGGAGTAGTCTTTATTTACCTGTTTGTCATCCCTTGGGTCTACCTTTGTATCTACCTTTCTGTCTACCTTGCAGTAATCGTCCATTCAAATTGTCATTTTTTGAGAAAAGTCGTCATGTTGTGAGTCTTCAAATGGTTGTCAAAATCGTGAAAAAATGTTTTCAAGATAACCGAAGAAGAGAATAATCATACTACTACAATTCTCGATGATTATGTATTGTTTTCTGTTTAAATATGTCAACTCTACTTGAGAAATCAACTTTATGAACACAGTTTTATTCAGACACAAACAAACACCCAGACGAATAACAAAGTTTCAACAATATATTCGCTTGTTGTTGAAAATTACTCCAAATGCCAATTATGTCGATTAAATATTTATGATATTTGTCCTCAAACATACAAGAAGCTAAAACTAATTTTACTGTTTATATAAATAAAATGTTTCACCTCAGCTGCGCATATAAAGTCCCTTGGTATTTGATACCATTTAGTTCAATTGATACACATAAAGAATGTGCACTATTTTCTTCATACGCGCTTCTTCTTTTTGGTGGTGATTTGCTCTGTGAATGAGAAACGGTTTCTTTTATCTCGTTCCTCCTTTCATGGCTATCATGGACAACTGAATTTCCAACTAAAGAAAAGAAATTCTCGACGTCATCTTCATTCTCAAACCTATTTAACTAAATGATTTGATTTTTTTTATTAACTTCCACCGATATAAAAAAAGATCATGTTTATTTCATAGATCGATCAATGGCACTCTTTCATCAATTAAAAATGTTAAATGCATGGTGATATTTTTTACCTATATCTGTATTTGTCATTATTTTAATGTTCGCCCAAGGACTGAATGTGATTTGTTTTTTATAATCTGGCACTCTGGCCAATCTCTTGTACGGTGGCTCGAAAGTTGGAATGCGACCATTTGTATAGGTAGTTGGCTGTGCTCGATAATCACATTTGAAGTGAGGACGAGCTTCAGAACCCAACGTTATCATTCGTTTTAAGTTAGGATTATAACCAATACCATTGTTTCCATGGAAAGATGGCGTTTCCAACTACACATAAAGACACGGTTAATTCATTTAGCCATATGTTTAAAAATCAGCTGGAACTGGCAAAGATGATAAAATAACATAACAGGTAAAATTAATTTTATGCTTGTATGTACATACTTCGCTTTCTTTTTGTAATCTTAAAGCCATTGCTTTTTGAGTAAAGTTAGGTGAGGTAGGTCGTTGCAAAACAGGGGATGAACAATTGGACTTTGGACTTGTAGGATTTGAGTAAAAGTCAACTTCAGAGTCAACCATTGTAGTGTAGTGTCCCATTGATGGCCGTCTATTTGTATCTCTTCTGTTTCCGTCAATGGCACACTGCAGTTCTGTGGGAGAAGAGAGCTTCAGTGTTGAACACTCGTACGGGTAGAGATATTTCATATATCTAAAGAAAAACGTCACATTACTTCAGCATAAGTTGAAGTGAAGGTTTTTACCAACATATTAACAAAGTATTTAAAGCCTTAAACTTGTCACGCTTTGAATTGTTCAATGTAACTAACAAGAAACTTACTACGAATTTACACTGTTATAGCTACTTACTGAGTTCGTAAAGTGAATGCAGCGCTCGTGACTGATGACGGAAGATTTAAACCTTTAATGATTCCTCGCCAGATTTTCTTATTGATGACCTACATTCAAACCAAATAGAAGTCTGTGCAAAAACTGGTGTCAGAAAAATAACTATTCTTCTTGTGGTAAAACTTTCTCTTTATGTCAATAAGGGCGAAATTTCAATGGCGATATTGATTAACCTGTTTTGAAATACGTTCAGTAAAATTTTAATTTTAAAAGTATACAATACAAAAGTTAAATGTCTTATATAGATTTTTTTCTTGTGTCTATGAAGAAAAAGACATTCTTATTCATAATCAAGACTCGTGAAAAGTCTGTTGTTTTATTCGTAATTTTGAAAAAGGATTCTATTAGTCACTCTTACATACATGCATCAACACAATGCATGATTTAATGACTGCTACTATTTAACTATTCTTAAAAAAATTGCCAAGTTCATTTGAAGTCAATTTCTCTTGATAATTTGTATATGTTATAAATGACATGCATATACATAATTAGCCCCTCCCTCGCAATCCAGAAAAACGATTATAATAAATATATTTGAATGATTATATTCCAATGTTTTTTTCTGTTGGCTATGAAAGGGTAAGAATTTTAATGAAGCGCCACTGCACAATATTTCTATTGACAGTTGAGTTTACCAAAATTGTCCACCTCTTAATAAAAATATTTTTGCGAGTCCAATTTTCAAATTAACATATTAATGTCCAATCAAACTGAACTTTGCACAACAAAATGACTTCAAGCATTTTGTTCAGAACATTTTTGAATTGCGCCATGTCGATAGAGGAATAATTTGAGCTTATTTTGTTGCAGCTTACACTGGTTCCCTTACTCGAACCAATTAAGCGATTTTTACTCATACAGTTTGGGTGCTTTTGTTTGTCAACAAACATCAATTCTTATACATTGGAATCTAGACTCTAACTTGGTTGGCCTTTCTGTCGTATTACTCCTGCCCACAAAAATGTATGAAAACCGCCCCCATCCCGGAACAATATGAATAGCCCTGAAACCATAGACTTCAGCTGATAGCTGGGATGGAAACATAGAATTTTTCTAAATCAATGTATTAACCAGTAATTATGAAAGAAATGTCCCTGCAACAACGTGGCTTGCAGCCACTCTGTGCACTACAGCATATGTTCTGAGCTTAATTTATTAGATTATGATTCTTCCATCCTTCTACTTTTTCTTCATCATCTTCAACTGTACCTCATCTGTTTGTGCAATTGTTGATCTCTTATTTTGTTACTTTATTTCGCCTTCTTGAGAATTAATAACATTCATTATTTTCACGTTTTGACTTCTTCTTAATAAATCTTCTTATTTATTGAGAAGTCACTTCCTGAGAATGATTGTTGACGTTGACTGACGTTAAGACAACCTAAGCAGTAGTCATCTTCAGAGTCAAGAGTCTAAAGATACTCCTGGGTAAAACCATTCACTTCATATTATCTTACTGTTGATCTTTGTCGAATGAACCAGTTCAAGTTGTCTACACGACATACACAGTCTCCGTTGGGTCATTATTGGCTATAGTACTATCCTAGTACTACCCTTGGGGCATTGGGGCTCTGAGGTGGGGTAGCACCTTTGGTGTCTGGCTGCTGCACTCTACCTGGTAGGGTGGACGGGCATCACTGGTCCCCACTCATCCCTAAATCTCTCACATGTGGCTCCAAGCGCCATGCCCCGGTCACCGTCTCAGCAGGCGAGCTAAACCATGTGAGGGGGTGGTGTTTACACTGCACCACTGGGCGGACGTGCAGCGACAGGCAGCTAACAGCAGGGAGGAGGGTCCACAGGAGTGACCCAACGACCAAGTGTGCTCCACCCATGGATAAATGGTCCCACTGCCTTGTGGGCATCTTCGGGAGATGAAAAGGCTAAGGAGTAAACCTGACAGAAATCCGGAGTGGGGCCCCAAAGGCAGTCTGCTGACATACCCTGTCATCTTTCTGGCAGCTCCTACAGCCGAAGCGATTCCAAACTGTAGCACTATGTGTTCCTTTGGACTACATCGTCTAGGCCGAGAGGGGAGTCTTGGAGTTTGGGCAGCGCAGGACTTCCATACTACATGCCCAGGAATCAGTACGCTTCACCTCATATGAGGCGCCACTGACGTCATCCTCGCTTCGCGACGGACTTCCATGACTATCCTAGAACCCAGGCCTCGCTACCGGATCATAATAGAATGACACATTTGATATTTATTTTGTGTAATCGGAGAGCTAATATTTCAAAAATTGAGTGCTTATAACACTTGCAGTAAACACAAGTAGACAAATACTTTACATGTCGGAAAAAAACAAACAAAGGAATGGAAGCTAAGTAGCTAGTAAAGAAACTGTGGGCGTTAGTGAGAGCCTTCAAGCAGCAAAATCTCCAGGCAACGAATCTTGCGGAAGCTGGCGCACAATTTAAGCCGTTTATCTGATGTTTTCATAATGATGTTTCTTTCACTGTTTTAGAAATCGGTTGATAAAAATCTTATTGATTTTGAGAACTTTGAGAGTTTATATGTAGCATTTTGTCAAAACGTTTGATTAACTAAAAGTGAAACATTTAAAAAGTTGTTGTATTACCTCCACTAGGCCACCACGATCTGTAACCAGTTTAAAAAGTTTGTAAAGATCCAGTGTTTGTTTTGCCATAATAGGAACTCTGTTTACAGGCGTACCTTAACAAATATAGTTATTAAACAATAAATACATAATCAATTAATTCGAATCGCCTTAGCATAAACCGAGCAACGTCAGTTAGCGGTCCAAGTTCTTTTATGCATGTCTATTTAGTGGAGTTCTCCATTTCTTTTTCGCAAATACGGCCATGTTCATGCGAACGTAGATTTAAAAGAAAATAGATTGTTTCAGGTGAAGCTGTATTAAATATTATTGAACGCTGACTAAAACTCAGTAAAATCTTGGTATTTTGTGACAATGCTTGCAAGGGGCTTGAGGAGACAATAGCATTTGCTGACGTCACTTCAAATAAGCACTAACGGAAATTCTGAATTTAAATCATTTTCAATACATATCGGTAAGTTACGTTTAAAGGAGACAACAGCCTTTAGTACTGTTTCCATGGATATGGCACAGTGTCACGACACCTTGACTGTCAGTTCAGTATCTATGTCTTACAGGTCCGTAAAAGCAATATTTTTATATCTATCTCATCAATAGTATTTATCTGCTTGCGACGTAATTCTTCTAAGGACGCCGCCCGATGTTTCAATGAGCACTTGAACATGTTTTGAATGAAAGACGGAACGAATTAGATAGTCGCATTTTTTGTTTGAATTTAAATTGATAATCACGAAATTTGAAATAAATTCTTAGAATTTGAGAAAAAGATCGTTTAAAAACTTTACAAAGATAATGTTTTGCCAGAATTTAGCTTTACTTGAATTGAATGGAGTTCAATTGATATGTAAAATAATACTAAACTGTAGAGCTACAAGCTGTGACATTATTAACTTTAGGCAAATTGGTCACGATTAGATTATATAATAGAGCTGACGAAGACGAGAATTTAATTAGGTAAATTAATATTCATTAATCTAACGCCGAAAAACTTCATCTATAGAAGTACATGAAATGAATATTGTACTAGTACATTACTGCACTACATGGATAAAAATATATAATGATTCAATGACTCAATATTTTGACGTTTGAATATTGTACTCCCCATTTCGATGAAATGCCGACAGAGTTTCAGTTATTACACGTGCAATCGTTTGGTAATTTTTCCTACTCGCATTCTTTGCAAAGTTTTATGTGTGGGAAGAGCGAGGAGATCATTGTAACCGCTTGGACATTGTAACAATGACTGATCGTCTAAAAAGCCATTTCACAAAAGCCAGGTGCTCGCGGCTTGTCAGGCGAGACTATTAACACGAAATATTAACCTGTCACATTTACAGACTTGTATTATCATTGATATATATCACGCACGCTAATTAATAGATCGAATTTGTAAATATTCGCACGAGAGGCGTCGGCCTTATGATCAACATGTATCTATCTTAAAAATTATATACTGACGAGAATATAAAAATGAATTTAATGTCACATAAATAACGCTCAATATTTTTTTACAGCTAACATGCCGGGATATGGTTTGACGACGCAATTTTCTCTCGATGCAATTATTCACGGATTCATATATCATACCTCTTTGTTGCATGAATGCGAACAACTTATCAAGGAAGTCTTTTCTTTCAAACTCATCCCCCAAGTCGTAAAGCTAACAAAAAAAGTTCGGTTATTAAATTTTGAACTGAATTAAGTTCTTATTTAGTCTATATCATGTAGCCATGTATAAGAGGCAGTTATTACCTTCTTAAACTGCTCTTCGTAAGACCATTCAGTGGAAAGACCTCCAACGTCATCAGTCACATCATGTCCATCCTCAGCGACGCGTCTGCTCAAATTATATTCATTTTCTATCAAACTTTTTTTAACTTTCACCGAGTCTTTGTTTGGATCGGAGGGTGATAATCTCTCCTGTTTCGTACGAATTAATGGATTGTCGTTTGAAGTTTGTACCGATCTCCCATCATCTGTAAGAAATGATGCGCAATTATTCACGACCAGCACGCGGGCCGTGCATCCAAACATACGATGACAGATAATATATTTAGACAATATCGAAGAAAAATTTCTACGATTTATGAATAAAAAAGATCTCAACTAAACACTGTACCTAATCGCAGGTTAAGTAAAAAGCACAACAGAAAACAAAAAACCAGCTCTCATCTATACAAATGTAGCTATATAAACGATAAATGTCAACCAAAAAAAATTCTAACATGAGTGGTTGGTTCGATTTAACCTTTCATACAAAATTTTCTACCTTGGTTTGTTGGGAAAGTATCATTTCTTGCATGTTCATAGCATTCATAGGACCATTGGTCTTTGACGTTTTCTTTAGAGTCTTCCTCCATGGACAACTGCAGCGATTCAAGTTCGGCCATTCTTTCGAAAGCGTTCTTAAACTTGCTTGTAATTTCGTCCATTCTCAATTCAACTTTATGATTGTGAAGTGAGTCGCAATTGTTGGAAACCTTCCTTTCATTATGTTCTCTCGACTCCTGATGCTCTTCATACGAGTTTGTCGCCTTTATATAAAACAAGATAAGAGCTTTGTTAACATTGACTCACTTCAACAGCATGCACGTATAAACACAAACTGCACTTACGCGCGAGATCGTCATGCTTAGCTAATAAATATTTCAACTAATATTTGGCAGGCAGTCATTATAATTTTCGTACTTGCCATCTGTTATCTCTTCAAGATGTTCTGTTTCAAAGTGAAACGACCCATTCACCGATGCATTGAATGCTGTGATCATACAGTCACGTATTAACACCATGCTTACACAAATTCAATGAACGCCGAATTTGATAAAATCCAAAAACAGTATTATAATTCACGAATTACATTAAAAGGCCACCAGTTATTTATATAACGTATATAGCTACAATACATCAAAACTATAGTCTGTTTATAACACTTCATGTGGAAAACAAATGAAACGTTTGGGAACACTTGCACAGGTTCAATTACTCTTTGTAATTAAACTTAAACACTTCATCCATGTTCTATTTCCAAGTTTCCAGTCGAAATTACATCAAAATTCATGTGTGTGGAAATAATATTAATTATACGGGTGGCTGGCTATTATACACTATGTTGTTATTCTTCTATCGGGCGGGTTAATACTTTAATAATAATATCCGTATAATGAAGGAAAATTTAAGGTAGTGAAGTTCTATCGAATGGCAACATATGCAAAACATGAAATGCACAACTACCAAATTGTTAGAAATTGAAATTTAGAAATTACGAAAAAAGATGACGAAATCGATAAAGTAATGGCGTCGTTTTGTATTATCATGCATCGTTGATAGCAATTAACATTACATGAAAGATAATATTGATCCCAAACACGCTTCTGATTAAATTAACGCTATTAGCAAATCCACTTTAGTTCTTGCTCAGAATATAATTAATACTGTACATTATGCCAGGCGACACACGATTTCACTAAACGTTTGTTTATCTATATAAATTAAATTTAGGTGCTAGGACAACAGCAAATGACATTATTAGTTTGCAAAATGCTAATGTCTCAACTTAAATTTAATACAATTGTGTAGTGGTGCCATCTTTAGGTTTACACACGCACTCTGGGATACATCCGATGTTATTTTTTAACAAGCATATACATATTGACGTTTTTATCTCTCAGTACTTAAAAAGTATTCGTATTCTCTGTTTCCTTGAGTATTCATGTTCTCTTTTCCCTAAAGTATTCATGTTCTCTGTTTCCTAAACTATTCAATTTCTTTGTTTCCTAAAATTTTCATGCTCTCTGTTTCCTAAAATATTCAATTTTTTTGTTTCCTAAAATTTTCATGTGCTCTGTTTCCTAAAATATTCAATTTCTTTGTTTCCTAAAATTTTTATGTTCTCTGTTTCCTAAAGCATTCATGTTCTCTGCTTTATAAACTATTCATTTCTATAAGTCATAGCTTGAATGATTTTGCATTTGTAAATTGAAGATGGCGCGTATAGTTGAGGATATTTTCTGAGTGCGATATATCTCCCTAAGGAGCATCTATAATCTTCCGTTCACGTAGTTCCCCTCTCCACGTTTCTAGATAGAATACATTGTTCATTTCAGTTCTCTAAAATATTCATGCTTTCTGTTTACAAAGATATTCCTGTTGGATAATATTTATCAATACTCATCAAGCTAGGCTATTCATATAAATCCTTTGTAAACATGGTGTTAAAAATGAACTAATCATATACTAAATACAGTATTTCTAGTAGCTACATTGCACATTTCATTTCACAAGATCGTCACATTTGGCGTTTTTTCGTGACAAAAACTTAGTTCACCGCCAGGTCTTGTTTGTTGTGATCTTGTCTCAAGAGTCAAGGTGGCCTTTAACTATATTCTTGTTAATCATAACAAAATTAACAATCAATCAACTTTGAATAAATTATCTCAATTGCATTCACTAATCGAAATGCAATGAAAACGCGTTAATACTCCGTTCGCTATAAATATACTTCAATCACAATTATTACAGTATTTTTAAATTTCAACATATTGCATTGGTAAATGTACTGCTGATACCAATTTTTCCTGAATACATACATACTTTAATTGGCAAATACAGATAGTTTTATTCTATTTGATCACGTCAAGTTTTTTAGCATACACCCAAGCCAGAAGTACTTCTTCGCATACGTAATCACTCGACGAAGATTTACAAAAAATATGGACAGAGCACGTATATTAATAGTCACAGACGCATCGTTCTATATAGCTAGTATTTAAACAATAATCTTTCCAAGTAATGAGCAAGAACATCAACTTTTCAAAATACTTATAATTCAACACTAGTAAATGTTATGATTCTCTTCCACGCAATAGCTAAAAAATATCTGCAGATGAGGACATGCTGTGGTAAAACACCACGGGACGTATGAAAAAATTATTCTTTAGAATACAGTCTTTAGTTGATTTCAATTAGAGAATGCTACGCTATAGGCTCATGGTGTTTTGTGTAATGTTTATTTTGGTGAATTCTCTCTTGGGTTGTCGGTGATTAAAATTTTAGCAACATTTGATGAAAGATCTCCTGTTTTAAATACACCCTACATTCTACAAGATCGTATTTAACATTTTAACTCGCTTGAAAGTCATCTTCCAAATTTTCATACAAACGGCAGAGTAAAATTCAATGATCAAATACGGTCACAACACGATCACTTGCGCGGCAGCGTTACTACACAATCAAATTACAGCAGCTATACTTTAAATTCAGGGTACTTTCATTAAAATCGCGTGAAGAATAAAACTATGCCAGTCGAATCGCTTTTTACGGTAGCTACTTGTAAATATAAATACATAAAAAAAGGAACGACCATCTGGTTTATATTTTGTCGCATTGCAATAAATTTAGCAATGTCTGATATCGTACCGGTCAGTGTTGAGAATGAAATGTAGCTAAGATCAAAAACGTTTAATTGACGACATTAAACGAAGATAATTTCATTAATACAAATACAATGTGCATCATAGATTTGATCAAAAATTTCAATCAGTAATATATTAATAATCGATGTAGAATATCTTTCATTTCAACGCCATATATACTAGCTATGCATGACGGCTATACGGAAATGTTAGAATGATGAAACTTATTATAGCAATCAATTTAATCTATCCTAAGATAATGAATGATTCGTTGAATACTACTCTTGTGTATACACACGTTCACAAATGACAATTTATGATAGTCAACTGTAGTAATTGATGTTCTCCCTCGTCAGTTGAAGTTGAAAATGTATTTTCGCTACGATTTCGTTCTGCTTTTGGCAGTCAACGAATGCCAAAATACTCGCATCGTTTTTTAATAATCATCGAATTAATTTTATTAATGCGCGGCACATTGTTTCAATTTGCTCTATGACTGATAATATTCAATGAATTATTTCATGTTTCAAGGACACCTAAACTCTTTTGTCAAACAAGTCGGAAAACGAAGACAAAACATTCGGATAATGGAAAATTGTAATCCAACTAGCTCATGCTGAAAATCGCTTATCAAAGCAAGCAAGAAAAGCATATGGAGGGAATTAATATTAAAATCATGAGTCGCGTTTCGAATAAGCAACAGATTAATATAAGTCTTCGTGCTTTCGTGGAAAAAAATGCAATATGTTTGATTACGACACGTGCATCAACCTAATCTTTCCAATAAGCTTCGTTTAATGAGAAAAAGATAAAGTTAAATATGTGAAAAAACGGCAAAGAAGTGAAAGACAGCAAATACCAATCAAATTCACGGCAGCTCAAACACCCAATGTTGTTTCAATTATTAATCAGCAGTGAGACAAAAATGCAATTTAATTGAAACGAGTCGTAAAGTATTATTATTCGCTTTGTCGAGAGACAAAAAGAGTGCGCACCAGGGGCCGTAAAAACCCCCGGGTTGTAAAAACTGACCCGTGAAAAAAGGTCCAATACATTTGTATCAAATCTTTGTCGTTTGTCACAAATATGACGGTAGTTATACTTACGTCTGTTTGATTGCAGCGAACAGTCGTCGGCAGTCCATCATTTTGAAGGTTTTTTGAACCGTGTGATTCCTGATCGAATTTACTTTCCTGCGCGCTCACGTTCTTGCTTTCTTCTTTGACAACACACGCAAACATGTTGCGTGTTTCGTTGAAAAAACGTTATAGGAGCTCCATCCAAGCGATAATTGCGACTTCAAATGTAGTTTCTAGCAATGAAAATAAATTGCAAAGTTGCGATTTGAAAACGTAACGTCATGAAGACGAGCGATCAAACTTAATCTCACCAGCGAAATAAAACGTCCGTGTATCAGCTATTCGTCTTAATATTAAATAGTTTGTTTAATCAATACGGCCCCCTGTCAGCTACTGAATCATTATATGCATTGAAATTTGAAGGAAATTAATCCTTAAATCAGACTCGACAGCCAATAGGGTGGCTTTGTGGGCACAATAATCGAACCATTGAAAATAATTGATAAGGTATATTAATTGAAATATGTCATATCAAACAGCTGGCCAATGAGGGGCAAGTTCAGGGATAAAATATTTAAGCTGGATTGCAAATAAATAATATATAATCAAGACTGTGATAAAATTTTGATCAAATCTACATTTGTAGACAGCTGAAGATCTCAAATTTCTCGGTCCTATTGCATGGAAATGTATGTAATAATAAGCTTTTCAAACACGACATACTTTACCGAAAAGAAGAAATGTCTTATTGTAAAAACTAATTAACCATACATGCTTCTTGATAACATCAAGGTCGAGTGTTGCATGGACTTAGTAATACACATGGCTGGTAAGAGAGAAACGAGGCAAGTAAGCCCGGGCCCTCGGGTAAATGTGCATCTCCAAAACATAGAAAAATATTGGGAGTAAAATCATTAAATTATAACTTTAAAATACCCTCAAATAACTTTATCCCGAGCCTCGAAATTTATCCGTGATGTTAATTTAAATGAGCATAGATATTTATACCAACCCCAACCCCCTGTTTATGTAAAAAGTGTATGTGTCGAGTTGGACCAGTAGTCCCCCCCCCAGTTTTTTAGACAAACCTATTCATGGTGTGCAAGCTACGTCATAGGCGCCATGTTGGATGATTTTAACAAAGAATTTTCCTTATTTTCAATGCAAATGTCATCCGACATGGCGCACATTCCATTGTTCTCTCTTTCCCAGGGTCCAGGGGAATGGTTGCACACCATCGATATCGTACACGAATACAACCAACCAAAACATAATTCATTGTTCAAGAAAATAAGAACAACATTGTATTAGTTGAAGACCATGGGTAGTCTCGGCGAAATTTTCATAAGAAATTTTCATGTGACGTTTGTAACAGATTTTTACGCCAAATTTTTTTTAAACCAAAAAGGAGCCTGCAATGTCTATGTGATCAGCGTACCACGGATAAAATAAGCAGGAAAAACAAAGCACTAATGAAGTTTGAAAAGTTATCTTTTTACGTCAAATATTGCTAAGGAAGAATTGTAGCTTGCTTGCAAAGTAGACATGACATTGGCATTGCATATTATAGTTTGTAATATATTTCTTTGGCCTTAAATTCATAGAACTTTTCCTTGAACTTTTCTGTTGACTTTTGCACAACAGCTTTTTAATCAAATGTCTTGGTAGCCTAGTAATTTTGCCACATCTTAGCCAAGCTTGACAGTTGGAGAGATAAACAACACATCCATATACATTATTTTTTATTGTCTTTCTATGAAATAACAAATTATAACATTCATTCATTACAAAAAACCTCTCCTCCTCTCTGCGCCACTACAACTGACGATACTCAACCCAATCTGGGTTGTTTACCCGATGGGAAAAGGTCTTCATGTAGTCACGTGTTGCAACTAAATGAGCATCAGGTTTCGATAAATTCTGTGTTTTGGCGAGTTGTAGTAAGAATTTATCAATTGGGTGCAGAATTTTCTAAGGCTTTGACTCGCCATTTCACGAGACGATTCCATAGATCAGCGTATACAAGATGTCGTAAATTGCTGCATCGTTCGTTTAGTCTGTCAACTTGTGTTGTCATTTAATTATCGATGAAATGGCTCAAGAGAGCGAGATTCGTAGATCGCAAGAATACCAAAGTTTTCGTTCTACCGTGGCAAAGCGAAAGGTAAACACATCATGGTATGCCAATGTGGATCATTCATACAATACCCCCAACGCATCTATCATTTTATGGTGCGAAGTTTTAAAATGCCACCCTCAACCAGATTGGACTTCTGTTGTTTACTCATCATCATCATGATATCTTGTCGCGCCAGGGCGATCCAAACTCGGGCTGGAAGTTTGGAAGTGTTGCGCGTGTTGTAGCAATCAGTCGAAGTCAGGGACGGCACGTGAAGCCTTGCTACTTGTCCCCTGTTGTTTACTAATACAATAACCATAAAAACGTTGCCAAGGTTGAACGAGTCGCAGGCGTCTTCTAAATCACAAACCTCAACTAGTTTACAGAGCTGCAAGCACGACTTAGAACTTTGCGACTTTTAATCCACACAATCTAAACATGTCTAAAATCTTGTCATTACAAGTGACTTCAAGTCCTTGGGATATCAATGTTTACTGTACTTCAATTGAATGATTAGTTTAAGACCTTAAGACCTAAGGCCTTGCAATGATTTATATATTTTCCATTTAGGTAATCGTGGATCCTATGACAGAAAAAAGTTGGACCATATACGATGCAGGGCCTCGCAATGTTCGCTGTCCTCTGATCTGTTTGCCTCCTGTTAGTGGCACAGCCGATATCTTTTTCAAACAGATTTTGTCATTGTCGAGTTTGGGTTACCGTGTCATTTCTGTGGGTTTTAATGTACTATATCATTGATAACAAATCCACACAATATATTTAAATTTGATCTTTCACTATAGGTGGAATATCCTGTGTATTGGACATATGGAGAATGGGTGGAAGGAATGAAAAAGTTGTTGGATTTCTTAAAATTGGACAAGGTTCAACATTCTTTTTTTTCAACATTAAACTTTGTCATTTTATTCTAACTTCCTCTTCTTCTCTGTAGGTTCATTTCTTCGGGGCATCTCTTGGTGGTTTTCTTGCCCAGAAATTTGCAGAAGCAACAACTAATTCTCCCAGAACATGCTCTATTATTTTATGCAACTCATTTGGAGACACAACAGTTTTTGAGCAAACAACCCTTGCTTACATGTATGTTATTGTAAAATTTTACTTCTCTCAGACCAATTCCAAGATAAAATTTCTCACATGTATTCCAATTACATGACAGGTTTTGGGCAATGCCCGGTTTTTATTTGAAACGCATGGTCATGGAAAACTTTAATTCTAAAAAAGTTGATCCTGATATTGCAGACTCCATTGATTTCATGGTTGAAAATGTAAGTTGATATTCATCTAAACTGACTGGTAATGTTTCAATAACTTTAATATCTGTGCTTCAATTTTTCTTTAGTTGGATAGCCTTGAAAGGAACTCACTTGCCTCCAGATTGACTCTCAACTGTTTAAGCTCTTACATTGAACCACAGAAACTTGCCAATATTCCATTGACAATTATTGATGTTAGTATATTAAACTGCTGCAGTGTTTCAGTAAGCTTTTAATTGACTGAAATATAATTTCTCTTCAGGTATTTGATGAATGTGCTTTATCAGAAGAAGTTAAAGAAGGATTACATAAACTATACCCTCATGCCAGAAGAGCACATTTGAAATCTGGTGGGAATTTTCCTTATTTATGCCGGAGTGCTGAAGTCAATCTCTATTTACAGGTATGAGTCTTGAGATATTTTGCATTGTTACTACCAAAAGGCTTGATGCACATTGAATAAAAAATAATCTTTATATTAGATACATTTACGTGAGTTTGCTCGTACGAGATACGCAGCTCTTGATCCTGAACTTGCTGCTGATGAAGAATTAATGTATGTTAATGGTGAAAAAAACGTTTCAAAGTCGAGACTGTTTGAAGAAGATGACCAAGAATGATGTGTTGAACATTGTAATGTGTACTTTTGAATAGGAGTATGTTTTGTTTTCCAACATAATCAAGGACCCAGTAAGCGCTATAACGCTTTGTCGCCGTCATGTTGTTAAAGTCTAATGTCACTTCTAAAGCAGACACGGATTTCATATCCTAAATGTCTAACTAAATTTCTATTTGCCTTTGCACTTCTTGTAACGGTTAGAGGAATGCACAGATAATTTATGGCAGTTAATAAAAAGAATGTAAGCATCGCTAATTAAACAGGAAATTCGTTTGTGTAAAAGTTGAGGGAGAAAACAGAGGTTGAAACGTTGTACGTAAAATGCGCTCCAAATTCGACCTTTTTGACTGCAATTGAAAAATGCCTTTCATTCTTCTTGTTTTGAAAAGCATATTACTACTTTATATACGAAAGTCTCACAAAAACGCGTTCATTTTTCGCAACGGTGAAAACAGCTAAAAATTCGTACCTCGAAACTGTCGTGTTCCGTCTGCATCTCTTTTTGACATCTTGCTTTCAAATACATTGAACTCTTCTCAAAACACTTGAACAACAACAGGTAGTTTTTTCGCTTATCGCCATGCAAACGAAACGCTAAATTCAAAGACCATTTAAACCACAATGTGAGAAAAGACTGAAAGTAGCTATTGCTTCTTGTTTATGGCAGTGCCGAAGCCAAAAAGTTAGCAACTCTAAAGAAAACTCCCGCTCAATACTCTGGCCAATAGCATTCACAAAATCTACTTTTTGACCAATCAAAACGCAGTGGCAAAGTGAATAGCCAATCACATTCAAGAAGAAAATGAGTATAGTAAGGTATAATTAATCTTATATTTTATAGAATGGATTGTATGTAATATTGGCAAAAGCGACATTACTGTTCTTTCCTAATTCTCAGACCACAAATAGGTTTGAATTGAAGATGCAGGTATTTCACTGTTGATAAATCCCATCTTGGAATGAATGGTAATTTTTACAGAATTTTTACTTTTATTTAAAACTATCACACAAATTGAGCCATCTGGAAGAAGAAAACCAATGTATTCCACACCTGACTTTGTTGAGGTTAGTTTCACATCAATGCGAATTGATCCTGGTGAGACAAATTTACTGAAATGGCCCAAATGAAAAAACATTGGCTACAAAATAAAAACAAAAATGGAATAGTGAGAAGTTTGATCTGTTCCATGCAAAATTTGCTTTAAAATTCCACATTATCTACTTCAAAACTGGAAAGTATGGCATTTCTAAATTTCACATTCTTCGGTAGATGAATAGAAATAACTAGCCACTTTGACAGACCTGTTTATAGAAAACCTGCTTTTCACTGTTCACTATGATTGGTGAATCGACAAAATTCTTCACCCAATTGGGTCCACCAATCATGTTCAATGCCAAATTCCAATCAGTCCAACCAGTTGCCCAATTATTCATATCCTTCAGTAAAGTAAATATAACTTTATTTTGTAATAATCATTTTGTCTTCTTAGGATCACATCAATGATAATCAACAAATGGCGATGAATTAATTCCCTCAATAACTCACTTGAATAATGCTGGAACTGTATCGTTCTCCTCTATGCCAGCTACCAAGAACAGGCCCTCTCACTTCATAAGGCAAAGCCCCGGTACATGCTTCTGTTGCTAATATATAAAAATCTGGATATCTAAAAGGAGAAAAAACATTTGTTCATTGATGGCTAACAATATACATAAGAAAAATAATTATTCTTAATAGATAAAGTTTACAATAAGCCTATAGGTTCTTCAAAAAGCCTTACTTTTCATGGAGATCACTAAGAAAAGAAGCTGGCAAAAAGGTATCCTCATACCAATGAACAGCAACTCCTGAAACATACTTAGCAGCATCTGAATCCTTTAAAACCTGGTATGGAAAAATTGGAAGTGTAAGTCGATTGTCATCAAATATCATCAAACTTGTATCTCCATAACCAGCTTCCTTTAAGGCTGGTCCCAAATCACTTTTCACAAAATCTCTCTCCGTGGGCCCTTTGAAACCCATTGATTGAAACTTATATCTAAACAAAGAAAGTACTATCACGAAGAGTAAAGTCATAGAATCACACATTTTATGCATACATTATAGTCAACTCTGATATGAGCAAGAGCAACAGGGCTACACAATAAAAATCAAGGAGGGGAGGGAGCACATTGCTGATGTATGAGCTAATAAACATAGTAGGAACTCGGCATTAATCTTCTTGAAAAAAGTAGGAAGGCCTTTGTCCATAAAGTTGAGTCACTTATCACTAACCTAGGAAAATAACCAGTACTTGGCTCGTTTTGTACTGTTAGACCCCACAGTTTCAAGCCATTCTTCTGATAGGCCTCCAAAAACTTGACAAAGTATAATGCCCATGCCTTGTGATACTTGTTTCCAGCATTACCAATCAGCTCCCCGGTAATTGTACTCTTGCTTGTTTTCATCCATCCAGGAGCTGACCATGGACTGCCAAACAGTTTGATTTCCCGTTGGCTTCGCCTCATGGCGGACTTGATAATAGGAATCTTGAAGTTTGTGTCTTCCCTGGCTAGTTTGAAATGTGACATGTTGAAATCACCAGGAACATCGGCATATGTGTAGATGTGGGTTGAGAAATCACAACTTGCCATTGGTATACGGCCAATGCTGTACTCAACACCTTTACTGGAGAAGTACGAATTCAAGAGATGCTCTTGCAACGCCTCGCTAAGATTTTTAATGTTCATAGTTGCAGCATCTAAACATCAACGAGGGCAACAACTTCATTAATTGGAAAAGGAAAAATTACCCGCATGTGCCTACAAACCAGTAAAAGCCCCTCCAAAACCAAAGATTTTTTGATATTTAACGAGGCTGTCCACGTACAACTCGACATGGTCATTGCCTTTCCATGAATCAGAACGTGGAGAGAATTTGCCCAAAGTCAACTTCAGTCTTGCACTATCCTTGGACGAAGTGTACACACCATAAGTTCCTTTGGTTAATTTTTGACTTTTTCATTGTCGAAACCATCACAGTAAGACTCGGTGCAGACGCAGACGAATGAGTCAGAAGAAAAGACTCACGTTTGCATTGCGTGTAGTTGAATACTCGCAGAGCAGAGCTAACTGTAACGAAATACACAAAATGAGTATATTCGTGCTCATATTCAGCCGTGCAAGAGCATGCGATATACTTTATAATGCAAATTATGCGTTCCTTGGAAATGGTTCTTTTGTTCTTGTCAGATGTTTTTGTGTTGCGTCATGGTTGAATGACCTCGTGATATGGACGTGATCACTGCAGTAATTTGAGTAACTGCTGATGAATTTTAAATTATCAATGATCATAATTAATGTGAAATGACATGACGTTGAATGTGGTTTGTTTGTTTGTTTGGGCGTGCGACTGGGTATAGCAATAGCACAGAATAGACATCTAACAGAAGGCTCACTGACCCCACTCGGCTCTCATTTTGGACTCATTGAGGAAATAGCTGCAAAAGAAACACTCATTTCCTCACTAATTTGCAGAAAACTTTGGTTAGTACGCTTTTTGTAAGAGTATAGACTTCCTTTTCAAATTAAACTGTTGCTTCCCAAGGCTATTTGCGGTGTAGTACATGAAAGAAACAAAACTCAATGTTAACTGTTGCCAGTAGCGCAGCCAGCCCACATTTTTTTGTCGTGTTCAGTAAAATTCTAGGCATTATCAAAATTCGATTCTTTGGAAAACTATGGTCAGGCAGTGATTGGACACAAAACTTGCATAGCAGGACCTAATTTGCGGGCTAACTGCGCCTTAGGGTGTTGGCACGAGTTCTATGCTATACTGATTCCTTCCTTCTACATCATACCTTCAGCAGATGTTTCTGTTAGTCATAAAATTTCCTTCCTTGCAAAAAGAAGCTGGCATGTCTATGACAAAACATACGCAATGAGCAGTCATAACTTCTCATATTTAGGTATACATGTATTTTACTACAAGTAAATGCTACTGAAAACTGTCGCTTTCGACACAAGCCGATCTATACATAGATTTATAATGTACTCTATAACCCTCCCTGTATAAAATCTCTATTTTGCCATACACAAGTAGCTGTGTAGATGAAGGGTAGCTGAAACCTCCAATTCCACAAAGGCTACCTTGGCCCATAGTGGGCACCAAAAGTATTACGTCTGTTCGCAGAGCCATAATTTGAGGACTCTTGTTTTTCCTTAGTGCCACCAAATGACCCTTCGTGTCTATCTTTACCATCAAAAGGTCCCTCGTGTCTACTCAAGTTCCCACCATAATACTTATGTACGTAACCACCAGAGTTCTGCTGCGCTGAACGTTCGCTTTGAAACCGCTGGTTGTCGTGACGATATCGGAAATCGTCGTCTTGACGTCTCGGATACTTGTCGTAAAGGTGTCGGTTAGAGTTATCCGGTCTGCTTCGATTGTCATTTTGATCGGGTCTCCACGATGACCGGTTACCATGACTACAGCGAATCAGAGCACGATCAATCAATGATGCTAGAAAAACAAGCAATAACCAACCGTGCCTATTGACCCACCTGTCTCTATTTTCATCTCGCCCGCCAGCCCGCCACGAGTGCCCACCGTGATCGCGGGCTGGGTTTTGTGCTCGCCAAACTTGACTCACAGGATCATGTTGTTTTCTGTCGTGATTCTCCGGGGCCCTACCGGCAGGGGTCTCTTGATTGAATTTGATTTGTGATGCTTTGGGCCATCTTTCTTTGTGTGCTACAATGAAGAGGTAAAACCAAGCATTAGTTGCCTCTGGTGGAACTTCCAGCTCAATTTGTGTAAGCTGCCCAACTGGAATAATGTAATCAAATCAGGAAAACATCTCAAATTTTTTACACGTACATAGTTTTATATGATGATGTAAAATCTACTATATATTAAATTTAACAGGAATGACTAATGGTTCATAAGCAATTTCTACTAACTTTAAACTTGAGTAGTCAAGACAAGACTACATATGTTAACGTGACAGTCCCTTGCTTGCATTGTTAGTTATAAAATAGCAACAATATAACACCGCGTCTATAGCTGCGTTTGCATTAGCTCATGATTGGTCTATAGCTGCGTTTGCATCTCAATCAATGAAAGAGAATTTACAAATCGATTCATCAATTCATGTAAGCGAAAAAATTAACACATTTGTTCTAAGTTGATCCGTTTCGCATTATTGTAGTTGCATAAAAGAAATGAAAGATTTTTTCGTGTTTGCACTGGCTTACGCAAACCTTGTAGAAGTTTGTGAGCAGCGGGTCTTCGAGGTTTGCCTAAGCCTGTGCAAAATCGAAAAACATCTTTCATTTCTCAAATGTTATATATTGTGGGTGTATGTAATGAGGAGCATGTCTTGAGGCTTGAGGCTTGAGCAGCACTTTTAATCGAATGAAAATCACGAGTGCCATATTCTTGTAATATATGCGATGAAACTAAACTGTAAAGACAAACCTGTTTGTTTTTCTTGTCCTCTTCCCGCTTCTTGCAGGCATGTTTGTAAAGTTTGCATAACTTCTTCGCATTAAATGCCGTAAATTTCGACACGAAACTCCATAACGTGCTGAACACAGACAACAAATCCATCAACAGCAATATCATGGATAAAGTGAAATGATAATACAGCCGCTGATCAAGAAATCAAAACAAGCCGAGGAAACCAAAAACTAAGAAATATTTTAACGGAAACTTTTAAATACAAGTTTTATTGATATTTTTTTACCTCCTCCATTCGCTGGCCACCTCGGCATCTTCATAATCAGACGTCATCGTCAAAATATGATCACCGATCTTTAACAAACACTACAAAAACAACGGGTACAATTATTGATGTCGAAACAGCGGATTCAACCAAAGGAAAACTTCCTATAAAATTTTAATGGATTATTTTTCCAACAGAATGGTTTGTGTGCTTGGCTCTTGAATTGTCGAAAACTGTTTTTGCGACGATTATATTACAAGATTTATGATCAGCGGATTCGCGTATCTTAAAAACATGTTTTTTCTATGTTTTTCGACATAAACTTACTTATGTTTTATCGCGTATGATGTAAAGCAATTTTTTTTAACATTGATAAGAAATAAATTGATGTAAACCATGTGTTCATTAAGAAATGCCTCATCGCAAAAGCAGTAGCGGATCCAGCTCCAGGCAAAATAAATTATAACCGCTAATTTTATATTTAAAATACCTTTACAACAAAGTCATTGGTTATAATTTTCTAAAGAATAAAAATTAACCAATCGATGCGTTGAATTGTATAATAATTGTAAATATATTGCCTATAGCCGTAATCCGCCCTGCGCAAAAGCTTTATGGGTTCCAGGGCACGGAAGTGTTAACGTTGAAACGAAACTCAACAGCACTTATCTTTTTCAAGACATTATATATTTGAAGTCTTTCAGCAAGAAAATTTTTTATTAAGGGAACTCTTTGAAATAAGCCATACCTGTCTGGTTTGTTCGACATGTTCAGTTTCGGTCAAATTATCTCCGGGATTCTCGAGAAGTTTTAACGATCGTTTCACGGGACGCATTTTCTCTTTGCACTAAGAAATGATGGAAAATAGTCGAAATAAAACTAGAAGCGGTAAAAACTACAAATGATGGAATAAATACCAACCAATTCAAATGTTTTTTGATCCATATCTGCGACGACATGTAAAGGGACATCACTTGGCTTGCTGCTCTCGACAATTCCTCCAGTAGCTTTGCTCTCCTCAGCTTTCGACGCTGTCTTCTTCTCAGTCTGATTTCAAATAAAAAGTTGAAATTTCAAAATGTAACCAACGGCACGAGGTTTAGCAGCGAAACCATTTATGCAGTTGAAGCACATCCCGCACAGTTCTTTACAAGCATTCTCCAAGCATGACGCGAGAGCTTAATGAACACAAACCTTTTTCTTAAACTTCTTTGACTTCTCGTTCTTCACATCGCCATCATCTTTAGGATGATCGTTCTTCGCGTTTTCCGTGATACTTTCATTAACAACTGTGTTTTTATCCTTGTCGCCGCCAGGGACTGGGGTCGAATTCTGCTCAACTGACGTTTTTTTGCCGGTCTTGATTTTCTGTTTCTTTTCGTCGTCTTTTTTCGCGGCACCTTTCGGTTTCGTCTTTTTCGCTTTCGCCAATTGCTTTATTTCCTTCTTAAGCTTTTCAGATGACTGAAATAAAACGAATTAATTGAATGTTGCAGCTGGATTGGAATCTACTATATAAAGTGTGTGGTTGCCATGATATTATTAAAGCTGTATAATGTGAATTTCAGCAATTTGTCTCTTTTCTTTACAATTTGATAAAAATCGTCAAAGTAAACAAGAACAATTTTGACGAAAAAGGAAAAGCGCACCTGTCTAAGTGCTTCCGCTTTTCTTCTTATACCATCCTGCTTGAGAAGTCGAACGAGATATCCGCGCGCGTTTGAAGATGCTTGTCTTGGGGCCTTAGATTTCCCGGTGGCATTATCTACGATACAAAATGTTTGCTGAATAGAAAACAGCTCACAGTTTCAACTATTTATATTGCACTTAAAATAGCCGTAACTGTACCTTTGACAACCCAAGATTTGGATCATCTTTAATGGCATCCCAACTGCCTAAACCATGTTCATAGCAACCCACTAATAACATGCTATCGTCCTTCACATCCCATTCTATATCCCAATGTACACTTTTGGCAGCAATGGTAAAGCGATACCTGGAATGTAATTTGGCAAACAATGTTTACATAAGGCTATAATGACATCAAACCGTAGTAACACTTAATTTTGGTAATTCACACTTAATTTCGGTACTTTATACTTGATTTTGGTAATTTATTCTGCAATAATCTTGACAATTTATTCTTAGCAACATTTAATTTTGGTAATGCGTATTCTGTATCAATTTTGATACTTTATTCTAAGCAACACTTGATTTTCATTTATAATGATAATTTATTCTAACATGAAGTGAGACATTTTGCGCTGTTTACGTTTTATTCATTATTCATTTATATTTATTCATGGTTACCACATCACTTGAATGTTTAACAGTGGGTTCCCGCATTACATTATTTCAAAAAAAACATCCACAATACTCTTCAATATCTACTCCTACGTATAAATACGCAAACATACAAATATAATACAAAAGTTGCAGCTAGAAGCTACGGTTTTCGTAAAGATTGAAAAAGAAAAAAGTTTCCATTTTTGATGGAAATGCGCCATCATAGGTTTAGGATTAAATGTCAGGAATACGTTCATATATAGAACCTACTTCTTTCTTTCCTCGGGATTACTCGGCATTTCATCGGCTAACGGCTCCAATTCTGCTTCATGTTTAAGCAATGATGGCGCGTTCACACTTACGCCAGCAATGCGTAACGATGCACCTCGTTTCTTGCCTGAAAACAAACACAGACAAAATTTTGTTCTTTTGAGTTATACAGGAATTACTAGAAATCTAAGGAATAAGGATGGGAAAAAGTTTAAAACGCTGCCTTTTGAATCGTAATATGAATCAACCATAAAATTTTCACTTCTTTTACATCTTAAATCTTGCACTAAACGATTGTGTAACTGTGATTCTTACATTTGGTACTAAATCATCGATATGCATGGTATGAAAACACAAATCATTTAATACATCGAAAATTTCGGACAAACTCAATGTAGTCTAACATGTATCTTTCTCATACCAATCGCTCTACACATAACAATAGAGTAAAGCTGCCTAGCTAAGCACTGACTACATACAAGTATTCAGGTGTATGTACGTAAAGGGACATTCATGTACATTTTCAAACGATGTATATTCTATAATAATATGCGTGTGTACAACTGTTGTTGCGATAAACTGAATCAACTTAATTACGTACCGTCAAAGTCAGGATCCAGTTTCAGTCGTTCATCGTACTCCTTCATTTCTTTGACGCAGCCGTCACGAATGGCGTTCGCAAGCTTGACGACGTCTTCGTACGTTTTGTCTTCAAGTTCTGCGTCAATGGCGATCACATCCAGTCTTAGGAACACAAAACGGTTAAAGGAAATGTTAGTGAACAGCTTTTCAATAGTTCAAGACATTTTAAAGTGTGCCAACTGAAGTTATCAGCCCAAAATATTGACATTCAGAGCTCTACAAAAGGGCGTCGCAAACGGGGAGGTAATGAGGGTGCCAGCCCCAATCATCGTTCTGTTGGCGAAAATTGTTCATCTATCGGTAAATTTCGACGAAATTTCAATACATTTTCCGTAACTACGCCCAAATAATTCGCGCTTTTGGAACAAAAATGGCGGCGTAAAATCCACGTGACCATATTCATCCAAACATCGTCATGTAAAATGCAGAGAACAATACGTGTCCCAACTCTCACAAATACAGGGCTCTGATCCCCCCCTCCCCAATGAGTCTCCCACTCCCTCTAGATACATATTGTTGACGGAAGATTCCAGCAAAAATCCATCCAGGGGGAGGGGATAACACCCGTTTCACGCACCGACAATGAGACAAACCAATGGCGTAGAGCACTTGTGAAAATTATAAGAGATTACATTTTATGAGCTAGAACTCATACCTTGTCATAGGACGTCCAAATTTCTTATAACTTTTAATGAACCTACAAAAGATCAAGAATAAAACCCAAGTTAGTTGGCATATCACTGACTCGTATGAATAAACATGGCTACCGCAATCACCTTCTTATTTCTTGATCACTGAATCCCTCGATATCCTCTCGTTTCACGGTTCGAGGTCGTCCACGTTTCTTCTTGGAGTTGTCATCTGCATCATCATCGGATGAACCACTTGCCGTTTTCCTCTTTCGTTTAAGCTTCGGTTTCTTGTCTTGGTCTTGGTCATTTACACCGACATTCATCTATAAACATAACGAGAGTTTTACGTCGCTGTTGATTTTATCTCCTTTCCTTCTTCACGAGATGTAGCCTTTCAGCAATACGGACATAAAGCTCAATAATCTAAGCTATCATTATACTTTGAGACACATCACTGTATATTTATTAAAGATATTATTTTCATCACCTTTTTCACTGATTTTCTTGATCGTTTTGGCAAAAACAGTTCAAGTTGCTTTTGTTGTTCTTCTTCAGCGGCAAGACTTTTTCTTTCGCTTTCCGGGATTATATCCTCCCACGTTTTCCCTTCGCCAGATGTCGTGTTCTCCTCGACTTTCGGATCCTCTTCGAAGTCCATCGAGACAAAATCGGCGACCTGTTGTAATGATAAAGGTTGAGGTGATTTTGTGAAAGCTTTCCACAGAGATTTAGTTTACTGTGGCGACCTGTTGTAATAATAAAGGTTGTGGTGATTTTGTGAAAGCTTTCCACAGTGCTTTAGTTTACAGTGGCGACCTTTTGTATCATAAAGGTTGTAGTGATTTTGTGAAAGCTTTCCACAGAGATTTAGTTTACAGTGGCGACCTTTTGTAATAATAAAGGTTATGGTGATTTTGTGAAAGCTTTCCACAGAGATTTAGTTTACAGTGGCGACCTTTGTATCATAAAGGTTGTAGTGATTTTGTGAAAGCTTTCCACAGAGATTTAGTTTACAGTGGCGACCTTTGTAATAATAAAGGTTATGGTGATTTTGTGAAAGCTTTCCACAGAGATTTAGTTTACAGTGGCGACCTTTTGTAATGATAAAGGTTATGGTGATTTTGTGAAAGCTTTCCACAGTGATTTAGTTTACAGTGGCGACCTTTTGTATGATAAAGGTTGTAGTGATTTTGTGGAAGTTTTGCACAGTGATATAGTCTGCTGTACAAGTGCAAATAAGGGGGCGATTTCTGACCAAAAAAAATTCTCTTTCACCCCCCAAGAAAAATTGTATTACGTATAGTAGACGATCAATATAACAGTATTAGAGGCAATGAAATTGTACAGTAAGAGTAAGTAAAACTAGAACTTTTCAAAAGCAATTACATATTTTATACTTCCACCATTTGCAACTGAATTTACCACACACGATTTTCATTGAAACACTTAAATTGAAATTAATCATCAAACGCTGCATTCGTTAAGAAAAAAAATATAATTTTTTTTAAATAGTAATAACACTTTTGTTACGCTAGGTTCGTTCATCCGTAAGACTAAGAATTTCCAACAGCCCGAGGCCCTTGCAATTTAAGCGAGAATAACGATGCACCCCCTACGAAAAATCTGCCAACCCCCACCCCACCCCCCGTCAAATGAGCATTGATCCGACCAAGATGCAAATCGTGAGAAATATTTTACTATGCAATCCAGGAAATATTAGGGGAGCACAAGGAAGATAAACCTTGTCTTTGCTCTCAAAATGACATGTATTGCGTAACCAAGTGCAATATTACATAAGACACTTCACATACGGAGGCACAGATTCAGTGGAATGTGACGACCATGCACGTGATAAAAAATAAAAATGTAACAATGTACCTTGAATTGTGAGAGCAATTCATCTCCCATCGTTGACGGCTGGTCATCAGAATCTCTTGTCTCGGCACGCTTTAGAATTTCATCGATGTCCATCTCCTAGATGGCGACACAAAAATAAATTATCGATGTCCATCTCCTAGATGGCGACACAAAAAAATAAATTATCGATGTCCATCTCCTAGATGGCGACACAAAAAAATAAATTATCGATGTCCATCTCCTAGAAGGCGACACAACAAAATAAATTTATCCACCGATGACATGCTAACCAATAAATAAATTGCTTTCATCGAACTGCTCTCAAGTACGATTAATAAACTTTCCTTTTAAATCCAACACACCTGTAATTCCTTGTCTCGTTCACCATCGCCTTCCTTGAAAAGATCTTCGGCACCAAATTTCAAAATAGCGGACAGTTCTTCCTTGTTGAAAGGCGTGTTACTAAAACATTCATTTAAATACAACAAATCGGTACTAGTAAAAACAACTTTGTCAAATAAAGATACATTTTCAAACTCACATGTTGTTAGTAACAGTAATGCATTCCCTTTCACCCCTCCCCCAGACGAGAGTATTAAACAGTGATGCTACCCCCCTGACGAGAGAATTAAACAGTAATGCATTCCCTTTCACCCCTCCCCCTGACGAGAGTATTAAACAGTGATGCTACCCCCCTGACGAGAGAATTAAACAGTAATGCATTCCCTTTCACCCCTCCCCCTGACGAGAGTATTAAACAGTGATGCTACCCCCCCTGACGAGAAAATCAAACAGTTAATCATTCCCCTTTACCCTGACGAGAGCATTAAACTTACGCAGAAGGTGCAGTGTTCGCCTTAGAAAGAACTTTCCGACCAGTCGTGTCCATTCTTTGTATGATTAGATGATCTAAAACCATTTTCCTTTTAGCTCTTTCTACGATATCTTCTTCAACGCTGCCTTTCGTAACCAGACGATAAATATTCACCTGAATACGACAAAAAGATGTTGCAGTCGAAGTTCATTGCAAACCACGTTCATTGCAAACCACGTTCATTGCAAACCACGTTCATTGCAAACCACGTTCATTGCAAGCCACGTTCATTGCAAACCACGTTCATTGCAAACCACGTTCAATGCAAACCACGTTCATTGCAAACCACGTTCATTGCAAACCACGTTCATTGCAAACCACGTTCATTGCAAGCCACGTTCAATATAAACCCGTTCATTGCAAACCACGTTCATTTCAAACCACGTTCATTGCAAGCCATACCTGATTTTTTTGACCGATACGATGGGCTCGAGCCTGAGCCTGAAGATCATTCTGAGGATTCCAATCCGAGTCGAATATGACGACGGTGTCAGCGGTCGCCAAATTAATTCCCAGACCTCCAGCTCGTGTTGACAAAAGGAAACAGAAGTCCTATTTACGAGGATAAAACCTTTGGTGGCAAACATTCGCGAGTTTGAAGTTTATGAAACTCAGTCACCAACCTCAGATCCTTCCGCATTGAAGTGATCCAATGCCTTCTTTCTGATGTCGCCTTTTATGGAGCCATCCAGTCTCTAGAAAATAAACCAGAGATACTTAAATTTCAAATCTAACTTCTCCTGAAGTTTTAAGTTTTAACATTGAAGGTTTCAATCCTTCTGAACAAACACACGTCCAGCATGAAGTTTTAAGTTTTAACATTGAAGGTTTCAATCCTTCCGGACCAACACACGTCCAGCATGAAGTTTTAAGTTTTAACATTGAAGGTTTCAATCCTTCCGGACCAACACACGTTCAACATGAAGTTTTAAGTTTTAACATTGAAGGTTTCAATCCTTCCGGACCAACACACGTCCAGCATGAAGTTTTAAGTTTTAACATTGAAGGTTTCAATCCTTCCGGACAAACACACGTCCAGCATGAAGTTTTAAGTTTTAACATTGAAGGTTTCAATCCTTCCGGACCAACACACGTCCAAAATGAAGTTTTAAGTTTTAACATTGAAGGTTTCAATCCTTCCGGACCAACACACGTCCAACATGAAGTTTTAAGTTTTAACATTGAAGGTTTCAATCCTTCCGGACCAACACACGTCCAGCATGAAGTTTTAAGTTTTAACATTGAAGGTTTCAATCCTTCCGGACCAACACAAGTCCAACATGAAGTTTTAAGTTTTAACATTGAAGGTTTCAATCCTCGGGACCAACCCACATCCAGCATGAAGTTTTAAGTTTTAACATTGAAGGTTTCAATCCTTCCGGACCAACACACGTCCAACATGAAGTTTTAAGTTTTAACATTGAAGGTTTCAATCCTTCCGGACCAACACACGTCCAACATGAAGTTTTAAGTTTTAACATTGAAGGTTTCAATCCTTCCGGACCAACACACGTCCAACATGAAGTTTTAAGTTTTAACATTGAAGGTTTCAATCCTTCAGGACCCAACATGAATTGAACGATTGAATATTTTCAATTGAAATAGTTAGCACTATACCGCTTTCAGCCAACATGAAACAGTTACAGCACATCTTAACGACAATCTCACTTACCTGAAAATTAAAGTGTCGACGCTGAAGATAATCGGCAAGTATGTCAAGCATTCTCACCATTTGTGAGAAAATCAACACGCGATGTCCTGTCTCTTTAAGACGAACCAGAAGTTTATCGAGAAGCATTAGCTTACCGCTACCTTGAAGTATCGACTAAAATGTAATAAATGAAAGAAAAGTTTAAAGGAGTGTAAACGTGACAACTAATACATCGGTCATCGTAATACATCGTAATACATCGTAATACATCGTAATATATCGTAACATACCGTAATACATCGAGACGTGACAACTAATCATTAAACTAAAATACATGGAACGCTACATGAAGCAAATAATTGACGCCAAATCTTCCACCCAGACACGCGTGTGTGCTGTTTCGAGATTCTCTCGCGGGGTGAAAATTGATGACTACACACGCGTGCCTGGGTGAAATCTCGCGTTCTGAGTGTAAAATTTGGATTCAAGAAATTATTAGACTTTTCTATTACGAGCTACATGTATTTTCGTTCAATGCAACTAATACGTCGGTGGGTGAATGATTTTTACCACCTATTGACGTGTATCCGGTCAGGTCAGGGTGTTAAAAAATCTTTATCAAAAGTAAATTAGTGAAGCTCTAATAAAAATCTTACAAGGGTACAAAGGTTTAAAATTTCATTATGTTTCATTGAATGATGTGATATGTATGAGAATTGCCTAAACGCAGTGCTGTAGAACTAAATTTATCAGATGGGGGGGATCTCTTGACGAAGCTGAAGCCACGAAATTATGAAAAATTACCCATTTCAAAGGAAGAAGGGGGCCTCCTCCCCCCGAGCGCTCCCCCACATCTACAGCACTGCCTAAACGATTGCGTTTGTTTCGCTCAGCAAGACTCAAAATATTGTTCGAAATGCGTTCGGTCAATCCGATTAACTTCGTTTTAGTGCGCCGTGATTGTGACCAATAAAGAAACAATAACGTCATGCAGCACCTGTAGGTCGCCATATTCGTCAACAGGTCGAATCAATGCGGAGTGATTACAACATTTCTTTAGCTCCATGACGATATTAAGAAACGTGTTACTGTTCCCTTTCATTCCTTTGTTGAGCATTTTGAAATTCTTTGTCAATATCCACCTGAATAAAACACGGAAAACCTGAATTATGCAAGTCGATAAATTTGGAAAACCTTTAGGAAACAACTAATGGTTTGGTTTACGAAACAACTCATGGTTTGGTTTAGGAAACAATTCACGGTTTAGTTTGGGAAACAACTCACGGTTTAGTTTAGGAAACAACTCATGGTTTGGTTTAGGAAACAACTCATGGTTTGGTTTAGGAAACAACTCATGGTTTAGTTTAGGAAACAACTCACGGTTTAGTTTAGGAAACAACTCACGGTTTAGTTTAGGAAACAACTCACGGTTTAGTTTAGGAAACAACTCACGGTTTAGTTTAGGAAACAACTCACGGTTTAGTTTAGGAAACAACACACGGTTTAGTTCAGGAAACAACTCACGGTTTAGTTTAGGAAACAACTCACGGTTTAGTTTAGGAAACAACTCACGGTTTAGTTTAGGAAACAACTCACGGTTTAGTTTAGGAAACAACTCACGGTTTAGTTTGGGAAACCACTCAAGGTTTAGTTTAGGAAACCACTCATGGTTTCATTTAGAATACCACTCACGGTTTAGTGAAAGGCAATTTAACAATCAAGAAAATAATTCATTACTTGTAATATTGTTTTTGTACGGAGGACATCTCCACGCGAAGTATTTGCTCAACCTAAAAGATGAAAATAAGAGTAAAATCCATTATCTCTGCAAATGTCAACCAAAGCACAGAAAACCCTATTACGTATAACAAAACATTACGAAGGTGTGGACGGTGAAGTGCAAGTCAGAGTAAATCGTATGAATCATGTTTCTCGTTCTCAGTCCGCGTGCGCTTTTACTATGACATTGAGCTATGAAGCTAATAAAAACTAATGAAATTTTTCCATTCATACGTTAGCCATACAGATTCAAATCAAATGCGGTATAACGTCATCATTTAACCCGCAACCACCTGTACATCAAACTGGAAACAGGCTTGCAAACTTTTCCGAAAATACTCAACTTTAAATAGCTATATAAACAACTCCCGACATAATTGAAGGGGCCTGGGGTGGAGTGTGGTGTTTACCTTGGCAGGAAGAGACTTTTCAACATCCTTCTTTACACGACGGAACAAGAACGGTTCAATTTCTTTATGAAGATTAGAGTAACCGCTTTCTTTCTCATCTGTTGTTGCATGTTTTTCTTCAAAGTCCTCCCATGATGAAAATCTAACAAAGAACATACGAAATAATGAAAATATTCGCCACTAGCAAGAATACATAATCCGGAAGTGATTTCGTCTCCCGACTCGTGCTGAAAAGGCATTTTGACACACTTGGGGTAGTAGCAATATGATGCAAGCAAATTGGATAAAATCGCCATCATTCAGCCACACAGCCAGCCTGGGCTGTAGTACTAAATCCATTGTTCATCGACGGATTATAGAATGCACAAATGAAAGCGACCCCACCCCACCCCAAAAATTAACGCTAGCACTACAGCCCTACAGCAAGCCCTCATACATACCATGCAGCTCTGGCCAAACTCGCCGCAGGCTATGACACTGCATCGGTGTGAAGTTATAAGATACGTAAGCAATGTGTTATGACAAAATTGTCCATGTAATTACCTGTTTGGCATTATAAAATGTAACAAACTCCATAATTCCTTCAAGGAATTCTGCAAAGGAGTGCCTGTGATCAGCACACGGTGATGCGTCGTGAAATCGAACAATACTTTATATAACAGCGAGTCGTCATTCTTCAGACGATGAGCCTCGTCGACTAGCAAGGCAGACCAATTTATTGTACGTAGAACATCCTGTAAATAAATTTCAGGAGATCTTTAAAACAACTGTGCACTATGTACGTAAACTTTGATTGTACAACATCCGTATAACCTTATCTTTGAGTAAAATCTCGTATGTTGTAAGTAAGGCGTTGAACTTCAGTTTATTTTTTACCGAACTGTGATAGAATTCAAATTCTTGTATCTAAAAAAAGAAATGGACACTTAATCGAGAGAGAAACATGATGCACTCGCAAACCACTCAAGCCTAACAAGTCTCTAGCCAGTAGGGAAGTCAGCCTATTTTTTACTCCTACAATCCGAATATTTTTGTGTTCAATCACTGCAAAAATGAATGGATTTCATTTTCTAAATAAATGGATGAGAATTTTGCTGAAAATTTTGCATTGTAGGAGAAAAAGATCTGGCTGTCTTTGCCGCTGGCCTGTTCGGTCTTTTGCTACTATTAGCTATAACCGCATCATGAACGAGATGATGTCATCTGAATAAAATGCTAGAGCGGGAATTTATACATTATTACCGTATTTCCTCTATTTATACCCCCCCCCGGAGCCAAATGTTTTTTCCAACCTTTTAAGTGGGAGATTATTAGAAAAGCGGGGGAAGGGGAGGGCTAAAACGAGTGTGAGGAGAATACTGTAGTCACCATAATAAAATATCCATTGTGTACAAATGATCCAGATACACAGAAATTTTCCATATAGCTATATCACACACTACCTTTTTACGACTAACGGCGTCTCCTAAGTAGACGACAAGATTAAGTTCTGGGGACCAGAGTGTGAACTCTCGCTGCCAAGCTGCAATTGTGGACAGCGGTACGACCAGTAAAAAAGGTCCCCATACACCGTAGCTATTGACGAGGTTCGAAAGAAAGGAAATACTTTGAATTGTCTTTCCAAGTCCCATCTCGTCAGCAAGGATCACGGAGTTGTACTGATGGTAGAAAAATACGATGTATTAAGAACAAGACGTCCATCCAGCGTTCACTCGGGCTACTCAAGATCAGTGTTTGGTTATATTTGCGTATTATAACAGTTGCCAAATAATACAACGAAATTCACGGCAATGTAATCTCACATGTGACAATATATTATATAAGCAAACCATGTTTCATTATCCGTGTCATTGGTGATAGGTGAGACTCGAATGTGAAGCGATCAAAGAAAGATATTAGGACAGGTTCAAAGACTTCATGTCAGTTGTTGCTCGTGCTTACCTTCGGCTAGCTCAAGTAATAACTTTATGAAAACTATGCTATGAAAAAGAAGTTATTCATAAGACTGTTATTGTACCCATAGAAAATATTTTGGTAATACAACCTTTATGGAAACGACAAAATACTCTTTATACTTTTCCCTTGTTAGAAAGAAATCATTATGTGAGCACTGACACGGTTTTTAGAAGCAATGACAGCTTTTTTCGATAAATGGTCTTATTGCAACTTAAAATAAAGTACTTTGCTAATAGAGTAGCAGCCTAGCTTTCCTCTTACGATAATCCTATGAATTTTATAATGCCTTATGGAATCCCGAACGCAACAAAATTCAAGCTTTGGAATCCGAAATCCAAAACAAAGATATCTGGACTTCACACACGGTTGGAGCTGAAATCCGCTTTTTTATCTGGAAAACGGTATCCACTTAAATTCAAGATTGGAAATCGGAATCGACTTTTCAACAAGAACATACCTTTGACCAAGAATGAGTCAAGAAATTAAGTCCACCAAGTTGATAATCCCTAAGCTCTAAACCAGATGATTTTGAAAGAAATGATGGTTGTTTCTTTAACGGGATGAATTTGGGTTTCTGCTTCGGAAAACGTTCGTTCTTATTCGGAACTCGATCACAACGTTCCCTCTTCAAGTAGCTGTCAATTTTCTCCTGGAAGCCGATCTTCGAGACCAGAGGTCCATCCTCCCATGATGCCTCGGAGTAAGGTAATCCTGCCCACTTACAAAGATAGTCGACCTGATTGACCGATTTACCGAACTCGTCAACACCCTTAACATTGCTGTGGCCTAAAGAACGAAGGTCAGAAGAGTTACCAATTGAAAAATGTAAATTGGTAGCTCTGGGTACTAAAACCCACCATTTCATCAGCAATTTGGCATTGAAAAGGTGGGGGGGGGCAGTCCCCACTGGAAGGATTTAACGTAAGTTGGAATACAACCATTTCTGGAAAGGCCTCTTTGAGTGGTTGTCCTAGATCTATTTTTCGTACAGAGAAATTATCCAAACAGAAAACTTCTGGGAAAATGGATTCACTCCATTGAACTGAACAAAAACAAAGAAAGTTCGTTGCAAAAGTTAAAGCTAAATGTAAGGCTTTCCACCCAAAAACGCGGGTGCATCATGTAAGTGTAGGACATTTTTACCTAATAGTAATCTTCAAGATCTAAAATTCTAGTTTTTCCTGCTATCATTGAATCCCGTTATTGAACGACATAGTGGAAGGCATTACTATTACATGAAGAAATCACTTCATGAATTTTAGGAATCACACACCTATAACTCTCTCCACCTGCTGATACTCTTCAAAAAGATCTAAGTTCATTTGTTCTTGACATTCGAAATATTCAACATCCTCTGGTACGGCGTGTTTCTTCCTAAAAATATCGAGAATATCACAAAAATACCTTCCAGTAATCTTACTTATGACATAACATATTCTCGCATAAAACTACGCTCCATTATTTACCATCGTTCGATTTCCTCCATTCTCTTGACGTAATTATCGAGTTTCTTCATTCCTTTCGCATTCTGTTGTTTAAGCGTCTCCAGACTTTCCCACGTGTTATGAAGATGTGACCAGCCCTTCCACTTGATCAAAAAGTGTTGTGACAGTTTCTCCTTCTCTTGATTGTCAAATACTTGATGTAACATTTCTTCATATTCACTAGAATACATTGTTGTCCGAGCCCCAGTCCATTCTGCAGGTCCGATCCGTGTACTAAGGACCTAATCATTGGCCATTATAAAATAAACACAATGAAACGCGTGCGCTGATTGTCTAGAGCTGTGTTTGCATTAGCCTGTGCAAAACACATCTGAGCTCAACCAATCAAATCAATCAAAACAATCAATCAGTCAAAGAGAATTTACAAATCCATCATGAATACATTTTAGATGAAAAATTAAAACGATTACTTTAAATTTGTCTGTTTCGCATTGTTATTTTATAAAAGAAATAAAAGATGTTTTTCATGTTTGCACTGGCTTATGAAAACCTCGGAGACGTTTGTAAGAACTCTAGTGCAGGTGCAACCCTTGACCTTCTGTCTGGAGCTTGCACTGATCTACTCTCGAGTTCTCCCAAAGGTCTCCTGGTTTGCAAAGCCCATGCAAACACAGTAAACATCTTTCATTTCTCAAATATATTATTACATAGATTGTGTCAAAGCAATCAGTAGAAAGAATGACAAAATACCTTTTCAATGGTCTCTCTATCATCGTCTTCATAGTCAACAACAGCATCAGCACTGACTTCAATAATATCATCTTCATCCGTCTCTTCAGCCTCACTTTCCTCTTTGTAACTAAATGAGATTAGGAGACTAAGACCAAATCACATGTATAAAATTATGGACCACAAATAAAATAGATATCAATGCTACGTATGAGTGGCTGATGTAAAGTAATGATAGACATCAAGGTATTGTAGTATTAATTGTAGAACACATTTAAGAAACACATTTTACAGTGTTACCTTGAGTAAGCGTCTCCAGACTTTCCCACGTGTTATGAAGATGTGACACAGAACACATTTTACACAGAACACATTTTACACAGAACACAGAACACATTTTACAGTGTTTGCACGAACACAGAACACATTTTACAGTGTTTGCACGAACTTATGCAAAGGAGACCTTTAGGAGAACTCGACAGAAGATCAGTGCAAGCCTGAGACCAAAGGTCAAAAATAACAATAATGCAAAAAAAGACAAACATTTTAATTTTTCCTCTAAAATGTATTCAAGATTGATTTGCAAATTCTCTTTAACTGATTGATTGTTTAGATTGATTTGATTGGTTGAGCTCAGATTTACACTGGCTAATGCAAACTCAGCTCTAGACCAATCAGCACACATCTTTCATTGTGTTTATCTTATAAATATAACTTAAAGCAACAGTCTTGATGAAAGTATGATCCGTTTAGATGCTTATTCTCATAGCAACTTGTTGATTTCACAGATCTGGCAGCATAAAACTTTGATATGAAATCTCCATGTTTGTGGATGTAGATCGTCCAGGTTAGTAGAGTCCTGAGGACTGTTTTTGTTGTTATTGACTGACGTTTCGACAACCTTAGTGGTAGTCATCTTCAGAGTCAAAAAGATGACTACCGCTAAGGTTGTTGAAATGTCAGTCAACATCAACATCAACAGTCCTTCTCGGGACTCAACTAACCTGGACGATCTACATCCACAAACATGTAATGGTACTCCCGGGTTCAAACCATTTACTTTATTATGAAATCTCCACTCAAATAATGCAAACTCCACAGGAAATTAAGTGTGCAAGCGCATGGGAAATTAATATATTGAAAATTAATATAATCAGGGTGAGCCAATTATCTTATCCAAGAACCATAAAACAATCAAAATATCTAAATGTAAAACATACACATTACAAACCAACTTACCAGACATTGCCAGTTGCTTTTCTGCTTGAGACCCTACTATGATCTTCATCACTATCTTTGAAGACACGTTTCCCTCCACCTCCCTTGTTATTAGCAGCCCGTTTTGATTCGCCAGGCAGTCTCGATGTTGCACGTGGTAATGGACGTGACCTTCTCTCGGGAGATGACGTATCTGAGGAGTCGCTAGCACTTTCACTGCTTTGAGTCGGCCAATCAGAACTAAGTTCAAGAATTTGGCTATTATATACAATCATGTGAAGAAAGGGTTTGGTACAATAATGGAAAATACAATAATTAGCTGCGTCCATAAGGTATGAAAACATACCTTGAAACACGTCTTCTTTTTAGTCTCTGTACAGCCTCTTTTGAAGCCTTGGCTGGACGTTTTTTTGGCTGTGATTCCTCATCAGTATCATCCTATACAATATCAAAGCAGCTTTATGTACTTTACCATCAAACACATGGGATACAACTTGGTTAGAGATTACCTGACCACCAGGGACAGTGTAGCGCACAGGCTCTTTCCGACTACGGACCGATCTCCGTATACCATAAACATCCGGATCTTGTTCCCAAAACTAGCAAAGCAAACCATACTATATAAACATGTAGCACATGCAATCAAATCAGTAAAAAAGGTGTGATGAAAATGCTCATGTGCTCCAGTTATTTTAGAAGTCTCCACCAGGCTGCAAACATACCCTTTCTTTTTTTGAACTTGGTGAGGAACTATGATATGAAGCAGCGGAGACTGGATTTTTATTTTCTTCTTGCTGCACACGATCAGCCTCATCTACCTCTGATTGGCTATCTGAACTGTCAGAATCACTGTTCTCATCAGAGAGATTTATATCCCTATGAAAAAGATATCTCATTTTTCATTATAGCAATTTTATGCAAAACATATATATTGTACCTGCCATATCATAAAAGCAATTTTTAAAGATAAGGTCTTACACCATGGTGCCACATATACCATAAACAATTTATGATGTAAAACATCCATTATTTTGCATTACAGTTTATAAAAGTTGTGAAGTGCTACCATGAATTCTTATTTCAGACTTTGGTTAAAAAATTATTCTAACCAATGAAAGTTGTTACATATGCAGTCGCAATGACTGGTTAGCGTTCCATAAAGCTGGTATCTTCTGATGAACAATTGGAATTCATAAAATTTGTCAACTCACTTGGCTACATTTCCACGATTCAACCAACTGGAATGATTTTTCTTATTTAACTGTGATGTATTCTGTGCGTTTGGGGTTTCTTCTTCGCCACTGGTAATATTAACTTCATCTTCATCATCATCTTCATCACCATCATCACTGCCTGAGTCACTGGAGTTTAGATCTTCTTCAACCTGAAGAAAACCAAAACCTGTTTCATAAGAACACTGTTTTCAGAAAAATCCCCAATGAAATACTTTTGTCAGATAAACAAGACTTTGTTTATATATTGACTATAATTTAGCACCTTTAAATCCTTTTACACACAGAACATAAAGAATTAGACAATGATGCATGGGAAAGCAAACACGTGTCGTCTCTATTGTCTCTATTGTAATGAATATGTTAATTGTTCAACGAACTGCAGTGAATAATTTTATAGAAGAAATGCTGTATTGAAATTGGAAAATCATTGTGTAGAATTAGAGTGATAGGACCATCCATTTGAAATAGTTCACAAAATTTTGAAATGATGCGTTCATAAAGCTTGCATAATCAATATTCAAAGCTAATTCTTTTGATTTTGTTAAACAAAAAAAAATCACTATTTTGAAGAAACAAACATGGCGGTCTTTCTCCTTTTACTTGTAACGACTGTCAAGTATAGATGCTCCTTGCACGAGAAGTTTACACCTGAAATCTTTTCATACGACAATTTGAGTGTGCTTGCGTCATGCATTTCTTTTTATATAATGTTTTAACGCATAGAAAGTACGTAAATCTAAGCATGGGTGAAATCTTTTTAAGCTCGAAATACTTGAATTCTTATAGTTTAGATACATGCGGCATATACAAATACTTAGAAAAGTGGTACATGAATTCAATACTCAATAGTGCTTTAATATTGAAAGTTTAAGTGCAACAACGTTTGAAAATTGTGCATGAGCGAATTTTTCTTCTTACAAACACGGACGAAGAAGAACAAAATGGCGGACAAATTTTTGAAATTATATTGTTTAGGATCATATCACTTGAGTTTCAGTGTTTCTAACGACTTCATAAGCTTATATTGAAAAGAATATTCATGTGCATATAGTGAAGGTCCATTTCGCCAAAGTCTGGCGGGTAGAAGAAAGAATAAACTCGGAATATACTCGGTTTTTTTGTTAAAGACATAAACGACAACGAAGAGTTTCACGAGTCATGTGTCTGTTTGTTGGAGGAATGATGAATTAAATTTAGCCGGTTTAATAGGGGAAAATGTCGAGTTTGATCCTCAAATTACTTCGAGATTGGTTTGAGTCGACAAAGAAGCCAAAAACGACTTCTAAATGACGAATGTCGAGCGAGAAGATTTAATTTTTATTGGTTTTAGTCGAAGGTTCGAAGGAAGACACGTAGACAATCTGGCTTCTTATGAAGGCTTAAATCTACAGTTTTCTCTCCCGGGATTCGAATTGCATCATTGCCTATTCTTGACCAGACACAATAGTCAGGGCTTTAGTCGCTGATCTCACCTCAGTCATTTGATCGATTTAGCAAAGTTCTTCGGCGAAAAAAACAAGCGAATTTTGAAGTCCGAAGCCCAATCCAGGGCTCGAAGAGCTTCGTCAAAACCTGAAAGAAAATTCGCTTTGAAACGAAGTCGGAATCAACACAAAATGGCGGCCAAAAATGTCGATCTTCTTTAACAAATCTCTGTTTTGAAGACTTCCTCGCCAAAATTCAAAGCAAGGCTAGAAACAAAATATTAGAAAATCGACACAACGCAACTAATCGAGGCTAATAAATGGCTTACCATAACGAGAAAAATCTCTGAGAAAAAATGAGCGCAAAAAAATCGATCTTAACTCGAAAATAAGCGGCTAAAACACCGAAAAAGTTTCATAGAAGACTACCTTGTACCGTTCGGCGACGCTCGCTCCTTCGACTGATTCTTATGTGGGCCTTGGCTGTGCTTGTTTTAGACCTCCAGCAAAGACCTGTTTGCGACTAACAGCGCATGTGCAGGCAAGCTTTAATAAAAACGCACATGGTGCGTGAACGTCTTCAAAAATTTAAATATTTTTTCCTTAAAAAATTACATTTCCACTTTTATTCAAATGTAAATGCGTGCATGTGTATGATATGACAATGGAATGCAACTACCATACATCACAAAACTCATTTTAATAAGACAATTTAATCCTACAATGTACCTATCTGTTCATACATTTGCACAATGTCAGAGAAATGAGGATGCCCTTTCTGTCTTAGGAATACTCTACACCTCAAACACTCATTAAAATTCAAACAAAACCAATAGAAAATTCCTGGTCACAAGTCTGAAGCAATTAACTTCGTTTTAAACCTCAGAACATGCATCATTCATTATTGATACAAAAAGGCCACGCACCACCAGTTACCATGACAGCCCAGCCACAAATGGATGCAAAATATTTGCTATTTCCTTCATCTCATTTCATGGATACATATGAGTATTTACAAACGCCTCACTTTTCTTGGTCGACATCCATTATGTGGAATTGGTGTGACATCTGTCACTGAATATACAGATAATCCACCCAATTCAAAACCTTTTACTGATGACTAGAGAAAGAGTCAAATAATTCAGTACATGGCGATTAGTTTTAATGTCCTGTTGGAAAATCTTTGAGACACAAAGTCAGCTCTCATAGAGTTGCACTATCCACTAACGTTCACTAATATCCTATAATAGACTACATGTGTACACACAAGAATTGATTTCCACAAGAATAAATATACATTTCAGTCATTACCTCATTTCTACATTAATCTACCCATTCAAGACAAGAAAAAGACATAAGCACCAAATAGACATGGCATAGGGCCAGCTATTGACTCTACCCCCACAACCAAACAAAACTTAAAAATTGGGCAAGTATAAACAAAATTCAGACCAAATATGTTGTGATCAAATCAAATTTGTCTAACTTTTCACAAATTGCTATTTGAGTACTGTCTGTTGAATTAATATGCATTCAGGGGGTTCATGGATGATTTTTCAAAGTACCAGCATTTTGTTGTAAATTGAAAAAAAATATCAACTGCATGGTTCCTGCAGGGCTTTCACATTATAAATAGCTTCAACTAATGATTTTTTACAAAAATTTATATTATCTTACTTTTCTGCCTGGTCCCATTCCTTTTACTTTGACACGAACTTGTGTAATGCCAAGATCTAATGCTCGCTGTGAAACAAAATAACATAAGCAAGATGTTTAATATGATCAAGGAATGTACCAAACCATCACCTTGGCAGCAGCAATTGCTGCCTGTTGGCCAGCAAAGTTCGTCCCTCTTCTGGCATTCTTGAAACCTTCACTTCCCTTTCGGGATAAATAGTAGAAATTTATAAGTAGAAATTTGTAAATAATCATTACTACATCAAAATTACTTTAAATTGTTAGACTTACAGCTGACTTCCAACCCAAGGTATTGCCTATAAAATGGACAAATTTCAACTTCTAACAAAATATGATTTGAATAGCCTTGCAAATACGTAGTACATACCACAATGATCGGTCAATGTAACGATGGTATTATTGTACGTTGCATTGACATGCATAATTGGCAGTTCCTCAAAGGCCACGCTCGTAAAAAGTCGTCTGACAAAAAGCCCAGTTTTTCAAAAGAAAACCAATTTCATAACTACAACAAGAATTTCCTAAATGATTATGGTACTACACGTACCTTGCTAATAGGCAAACATTCTGCCAAGTAGCTACACCAGGCTTGTGCCTAATAAAACAGAACATATCCCTCTGCAATTCACGTAAATTTGTTACTGTCTATTCGGCATTTGAAAATGGCCATTGACCACCTCGAACCGCTCAAACCTCGAGTAATTAATTTGATGTTTAAAAATTTTGCACGGTTGAAAGGAACTGGATCTAGAACATTTTCTGCTGAGAAAGCGTTTCTGTAAAAATTAAAATAGGCACGCCTCGCTCGCAAACGAAAATTTGATAAAATTTAGTATATTTTACATCAAAACTTTACATAGTAATTTAAATTTATCGTCAGACGAAGCAGATCACTTGCGAACTGCTGAAGAATAAAATGCTTATTAAATAAGTTATTTTACATTTACTTTCCCAAATTATTTATATATTTTACAGAAAAACATTGGGTAAATCTTTCTGTGTCCACCATTGAGCCAGTGGCAAATCCAGTGTAGGGCAAGATAAATTACAGCTCATTGATTGGGGAGATTTTATCCTCGGAAATTCATAACCAGTGCCATTCATACAAAGATATTTTCAACTTAAATTATCATTTTTTATATAATGTATTTTGTGGCTATAATTTATTTTGCCAATCCTTGGACCCACCACTGTTTTCAGCAGTTATTCGGCAACATCCATTCTTCGAGCTACTTTTGGTGATGGTTTGTAGTCAGATGCAGGCGACCTGTCTCTAGTGGAATCACGTTTTCTTTGCAGCTAAATAATTATCATTGTTTTGATACATCTATTGCTGAGCTGAAGTACAAGAATAGCATTATCTGCAGAACAACCTTCCATAAAGTTTGCAAGAACAATCAAACTAGGTTATGATTAAGATTAGAGTCAAGTTTGCAAGTAGTTATACATGCAGCCAAGAACTCAACAATTGTTTCCACATATACCTTATTTTCTAATTGCTGATGTAAACTTCGTAGTAATATGTTAGCCTTATCTGTCACAATAACAGCTGAAAGTAAAGGAAGTTCAGTTATTTCACACTTTTCCAGCAATATAATGAACAATCATAGCTCAAAGGAAGTCACCTTGATCAGTCGAGTCTTTGGTAGGTACATAAACTGTTGGCCTGTAATGCTGGTAATAAATGAAAATAAAACTTTTTTTCAAATGGAAATACCTTGTACATTTCAATCACAAATACCGAGTTTTTTATTGACGAATTTCCCTTGAACTTCGAAAAGTTTTGCTCGTTGAACGAAGGAAGCTGCTTCAGGAAGACATTCTACAACGAAAAAATCTTTAATAAAATGCAGTTGAAGAAGTGCGATTGATAGAAGCAATTTTAATTCAATAAATCACCAATTAAGACTTACTGCCATCGTCAATACACCATTCACACATTCACTGCAGCAAACGTTCTATTAATTAGTGTAATATGACGTTTTAATTAATGACTTCTGGCACTGACCAGCTACGCTCCTCAGTTGAGCCTGCATTTCCAGTTTTAATTTTCTCCCCCAGTTTCCCAGCAAACACAGAATCGCGCTATCCCACTGACTTGTATACCATACCAATTACCAGTGGTTTTCACTGATTTTTAGGGGGGAGTGAATGATAAAAATAAATTTTCAAGTGGAAGATTTTACCCCAAAATTTCCTTCTGGCATTCAAGTTTTTGATATCCGATTCCAGACCTCTTTTCCCCTACATATAATTTAATAGAACTCAATGGCGTATCTTATGTATATATGGCGCCGTTACATAGGTTTATAATCGTTGTACATGCGATATTCCTTTGTCAATATTGGTCCACGCGTGTCACAAAAGCAGTTATGATAAGTGTTTTACTAATTTACACATCATTAACATAAATTACAAAGAAGATTAACAATATTCCATGAAAATCCGCTTTAATTTCAATTTCTATGAAGGACATGATTTTTTCCTTGAATCTTCATTCCTTTTCATTCTCCCGCGCCAGGCTTTTTGAATGATCTGGGCAGCGCAGTTCTCTTGATTACGCTCGAACGTCGTTGTCCTAGTTAGCTGCGTTGCCCTGTCAGGAAAGGCAGCAAGAAAAGCTTCCTCGACTTTCGTCTGTATGTAACTAAACATTTCTGCGTCATCATGTTCAATATCTCCAAGAAGTCGGCGAACAAGAGCTTGTATAACGTCAACGCAATGAATCCTGTCTCCCTGTTTCAACATATGAATTATCGAATGTCAGTATAGCCTTGCTCTAAGTATAAAACAAGTCTATGAGAGTTTGAACAAGTTGTAGCAGTGAACAATAATATAAGCTTCATCTTTTGCAATCGACAACTCCGTGTGCATAGTGGACAGCAATACAACATAAAACAAATTTCAAAAGTTGCCATCTCATGTTATTAATATTCAAGAATAATGATGAAGAACAAGAGCATCCATAGGCAATGATGATGAACGAGAAATTACACAATAGGGAATAATGAAGAACAACAGTATAAAGAACAGGGTGAAGAAGAACAAGAATGCACATACGTAATGATGAGGAGGAAGAGTGTACAAAGGTATTATTATAAAATAAAAACAATAAAACGCGTGCGGTGATTGGTCTAGAGCCGTGTTGCATTAGCCTGTGCAAAACACATCTGAGCTCAACCAATCAAATCGATCAAAACAATCAATCAGTCAAAGAGAATTTGCAAATCGATCATGAATACCTTTTAGAGGAAAAATTAAAATGCTTGTTTTTTTCGCATTATTGTTATTTTGTAAAAGAAATAAAAGATGTTTTCTGTGTTTGCATTGGCTTATGCAAACCTCGGAGACGCTTGTGACAACTCTCGAGCATGTGCAGCCCTCGACCTTCGGTCTTGGGCTTGCACTGATCTGCTCTCGAGCTCTCCCAAAGGTCTCATCGGTTTGCATTAGCCCGTGCAAACACTGTAAACATCTTCTATTTCTTAAATGAAGAACAACAGTTTACATAGGGAATGATGAGGAACAAGAGTGTACATACGGAATGATGAAGAAAAAAGTGTACAGAAAGGAATGAAGAAGAACAAGTGTGAACATAGAGATTGTTGAGGAACAAAAGTGTACAGAAGACGGTGAAGAAGAAAAAAAGTGTACAGAATGGAATAAAGAAAAGCAAGAGTGTATACAGGAAATCTGTAATACAACGAAAAAAAGTAGCAGAAAGAGCACGCATAGATAATTTCAAAAAAAACGAGGATAGACTTTGACTTTGATTTCAATTACCTGGTGAATAGGTATGTGTAAATTTATGCAAGCATATTTGTTCGGCTTCGAAATTCTCATTGGTTCATCCAATGAATCCACAAAATCCGAGAGATGGCTGTGAGGGATGTATTGGGTGGCACGTGGATCATAGATTTGCCAATTTTTGTAGAACATATCCAGGTCTTCCTCGGTTAAGCCAGTGTTTTCCGCTCGGCATGCTTCGTGTAGATTCTCCATAATGATTGCAATGTACATGTTCACGATGATTAACGATGTAATCAAAACAAACGATACAAAATAGGAAACTGCAAAGGACGGAAGGCCACAGTTACCATTTGGAAGGTCTTTGTGAGAAAGATCGCAGTCGGGTGGTTGAATCATTAACGGTTCTAGTACATCATTCCATCCAGCGGAGGTAGAAAGTCGAAAAAGTAGCAGTATCGAGTTGACGAAAGTCTCAAAGTTTACCATATCGTCGACGGCACCCGTATGCTTCACGTGGGCAAACATTGACATTCCGATGATTGCATAGATAAATATAATAAGGAAGAGCAATGCGCCGATATTTACGAGGGCTGGTAACGATATTAGTAAGGTAATTAGAAGACGCCGAACTCCACGCATGTTTGTGTAGAAGCGAAGTAGCCGACCAACGCGAAATACACGAGCGACGCGGAATATAGTGGGGGTAATGATGAAGGACTGACTCAATGCCTCCATGATTAGTGCTGAAAACAACAAGATTTATAGCTAAGACCAGTGACGTAGCCAGTCTTCACGCTATTTGGCAACTTTTATAATTCGAAATATAACAAAACACAGTTCTCAAGAACCCAAGTGAACGCTTGATAGGCGTCTTGTTTCTTTAGAATTCAATTGTTCTTACAGTGAGCGAAAACCGAAAAATTTACACAGTGAGTGAAAACCGAAAAATTTACACAGTGAGTGGAAACCGACAAATTTACACCGTGAATGAAAACCAAAAATTTAAACAGTGAGTGAAAACCGAAAAATTTACACAGTGAGTGAAGACCGAAAAATTTACACAGTGAGTGAAAACCGAAAATTTGCACAGTGAGTGAAAACCGAAAAATTTACACAGTGAGTGAAAACCGAAAAATTTACACAGTGAGTGAAAACTGAAAAATTTACACAGTGAGTGAAAACCGAAAAATTGACATAGCACGACCAAACATGCCTGTTAGTATGCCTCTCGTTAAGACTAAATGCCAAAAAATACGATGAATAAATTACAAATTGGGGTGGAGCTTGTAAATTACTATAAACCATATAAGAAATCAGATACAATGTAGAAGGCGACGAAGACTTTCTCTTTGCCACACAAAGTCCTACCTGCAACTGAGAACGTGAGGATGGCGAAGTCGAAAACATTCCACGCATCTTTGAAATACTCCATACGCTGGGCAAAAATTCTGAGAGCGGCCTCGAGGAAGAATACGACAGTAAAAGCAAGATTACTGTATTGTATTTACCACGGAAAATACCGAGGTCTTAGTGAAGGAAAATACTTTTAAAACCTTACATGGTAATACCAGTGGGTAATACGTTTACAAACAGGAAGTAGCACAACAAGTCTCATTGCAAGCGAGACTTTCAGTATAAAAAACAATGGCAGAGATAATGCACAATGTAAAATATAAAGGGGTTATGAGGTGCATGCGCACAGCCAGGGGGTTGGAGAAATGAGAAAACAAGGGGCATTCACTTGCCTTTTTTCATGGAAATTTCAGATTGACGGCTATCAGCTGCTTTTTTGCCCGTCGTAAGTAACTCCCCCCCTTTTTTTCATAACTCCTGCCTATGCTGTAGGGAGGGGGGTTTTATAGTATATTGAGGTAATAAAAGGATATTGAGTAAGCTGGTGATGGTTTCACTCTGTCCATGATGTTTTAACGTCAAGACAATCAAGTTGAGGAGAATAAAAACAAATATCATCCATTCAAATTTGGAGCTTTTAATCACGTCGAACATTCGTCCGCGCCAATATTCCACCGGTCTCCTTTCCACCTTTCGCGGTTTCTTATTCGCTGCTTTTTTCAGGGTTTCGTACCAGGCTCTCTGCGTGTCGGTCAGAAAGAGATTCACAGCGCCGCTCTCGTAGTGTTTCTTTAAACGATTGAAATTTTCGACGGTGACGCCAACAAACAGATTTAGCACAAAAAATGATCCAAATACAATGAAAACGACAAAGTACAATGGAGCTAAATGGTTCTTGTTACGTATTGGCTGCTTATCAACCTACAAAGCATGAAATATAATAATACAAAACACTAATTTCTAATATAGATAGTATTGTCCGAAATAATTTCTATATAAGACCCTGGATGAAAGGTTTTATCTATAGTATCATTTTTTCTTTAACTTAACACGTCGTCCGACTGAGGTATATTACACATATGAAGTTCGCAAACATATATACGAATTATACGATGTTTGCAGAATGCATTGACATAGTGTTAGAAAAATGTTGACGATGCAAAAATGTGATGATGACAATGTTGCGAGATTTTGTGGCGATAGAGCGGGGTTGAATGGAACTAGATGAGGTTAAGTAGGATGGAGCTACCTTGGACGTTCAGAGTTGGGTTGAGCGTACAGATGAGGAGACTTTCGAGGATGGGTACGTCATATGGGTTAAAAGAGGATGAAGTCTTCAATGTCAGCGGAATGATTAGTTATTTGTACTTGATAAAGGGTTTACATGTCCAATGAGATTGGCAGGAAAATTAGCATATATGTATTTAAATGTACAATGACGTCTTGAGTTAAAGACGAAACGTTACTATTAACAAAATCTTTTATCCATGACCATAGTGAGAGTTTCGTGTTGGGCAATATTACTTATGCTAAGAATTCGTTTTCCGTCTGGCAAACATACATAGTCGCAAACACAAAATACTAGTTTTCTGGCTTTTTGTAAGCTCCAAATATATCATCACTGCGGGTATAGTCAAGGACTGGAAATTTGGAGTATTCCTATATCCATATTGGGTTACCAGATTTCGATTTTGAATACTAGATATCACAGACTTAGTATTTATATAGGATGTTAAAAATTGTGTTTGCGAGATTCATAAATCGGATCTTGACAAAATGTTTGCCAAAAGAATAATGACTTCATAATCAATCGCAATATTTCCAAGGGTGGCTTTTCTCCTTGGAGAAACCTAGGGCTTATATATCGGAAAAACATCACACAAGGGAATTTTTGTTAGGTTGGTTATCGAAACAGAATGCTTAGTTTTGCTTGAAGCCATCAACAAAGCTCGATGCGCAATTATTCAATTTATAAACATATCACAACATTATTTCCATTGTCTTGGAAGCGCTTATGAAATATAAACCATCAAAATTTGAGATAGATATAATTTGTGGATTACAAGATTTTCTGACCCTCGTAGCGATTTAGATACTGGTCAAAAATTGAAATTTTGAGTCCTGCAATAACACAATATCTTTTTTTCTTTGACTATATATATATAAATATCGGGAGAGTTTTAGTTTTATGCAAGCAAATTCATTGACATATATTTTCTATATGTATGAAACATTTTGCATCAAGGAATCAAAAGTATTTTACTAAGCTAAAATAAAGTACGGGAAAAACACGTCGGCAATACAAACCTCAGTGACGTCAGCTGCATCGGCCATGATTTCCATCCATCCTTCAAATGTTGCCTAAATTGAATTGCAAAACATTTCATCCCATTTTTGTTATACTGTAAACTTTCGGTTTATGGTAATGATGACAGCAAAGCCAGAGTACAGGAATGCAACATACCACTTGAAAAAGAGCAATGAAGCCAGCAAAAGAATTATCAAAGTGGATTTTTGAATTCCTCCATTTGTAGTTCATTGAAAGGCATTTGGTCTTATCCGTCACGATCGAGGCGGCCAATTTCTCGCCATTTTCATCAACGCACTTGTAAAATCTTCCACCGAAAAATTGAACACCCATAACGCTAAAGATGAGCCAGAATACAGTACAAACGAGACATACGTTGAAAATCTCTGGAATGACGGCGAATAGAGAGTTCACTACGATCTAGAAACGATCATAAATCGGGCTTATATCACAAGACTAACAATGACGTTACCAGGAAGGTTATTAGTCCCGCTATGCTTTTTTTGTGGGTTGGCAGTCACTGAGAAAACACTTTATTTCAAATGAAATAAAAAATCGTAATGCTCTAAAGTTTTGGCAGCAATCGAGACTGTATTTGCGAGCTCGTCACGCTACTGGGAGCTAATAGTGAGTGATGTATATTCCTGCTTTTAATTGAACAAAAACAGGATAACATCATGAAGAAATAACGCACAGTTTGAAACAAACAGTAGTCTCACTCCTTTGTGCAACTTGGTACTGTATATTTAATTAGATTACTGGCTGCGGCTAGCCATCTCAGCGCTCTTATTGGCCAAAAAAAGCAATTGACTGGCTGCCACTATGGTAATCGCATGCGTAATAAGATATGCGCTACACAAAAAATTTCTATAGAGTGGGACTACTGTTTTTTTTTCTATACTGTGAACTAACGTAAAATAATTTGCTGACTTGGCGAGGCCTTACAACAGGTCCATGCAAGTTCTTCCTTCAATGGCCTGCATTGTGGAAAACTGAATCAGATGATTCGTTGCTCGAGTTTTTTGCACTACGACATTTCAGCATGAAAAACAGAGATCTACACTTAAACTTGGTGTCCTTAAAACAACTGTATAAGTATCATGTTGCAAAAGTAAAATGAAAAATATATTCATCGTTGCCTCAAGAGAGAGTTAGCGCTAGAAATGAAAAGACAATTTTAAATGAAGTGTTTCCATGTGACGTCAAAGCGGCCAGGTTGGTACGTTAACATCAAAGTGCCTATGCTCAATAGTGCATAAAATCAACGAAAACTCTCACAGGTTTTTCTACCAACATGGCGACAAGTGAAAACGCCCTATACATGTTTACCTTCATTCCATGCCAACGGGATATAGCCCGCAATGGTCGTAATGCCCGCAAGGTTCGTAACGCGCGAAACGATGACAGGTTACTACCAATCAAACTACATATCGATATCTACAAAAAGCAAAGAGGTTTTTAATACACAAGCCGATCCTTTAAATTCGCATCTTCTGGCAAAGAGCTTGTCTTCCAGTACTGAAAAAGGCAATTATAGCAAAGGCAAACCAAATTTTTACAGCACCCTCTTAAATAACTTTACAAAAAGTCATACAGTTTCAGTATAAAAAGTAATTATCCCATCATGCACTTACCGCAGCTATGAAAAAATCTAAGCAATTCCACACGTCACGAAAGTACTGGAGTACACCGAAACCAAAGATTTTTAGACAGAACTCTAACACAAAAATGATTGTCGTGACGTAGTTGAGGATCTTTAGAATATTTTTCAGTCGTGGTCTAGAGTCCAAATGCACATCTTCAAAAGCCTGGTGATGTAAAATTTATGATAATGTAGTTGATTATGACCATTATGATGAGATAGCTATGAAAACATGCAGTTGTGAAAGCAAGGAGTTTGTCCAATATTTATGGCTGAATATGTTTAGCTCTTTTAAAAACATCATTCATTCACTTCATCGACTAATTCAAGCTTTCAGTTTCTTTTTTCAACTTTCAACCCCTATCTTGTAATTACGTAGGCGTAGGAAGGGGGAAGGCTAGCTATAGTCAAGCCCCACGCTAAGTTTTTTATGAGGGTTTACCTCCCCTCCCTTAAAATATATAGGTTATCATTGCCAAAATCTATACATTCTTGTTCGTTGTAGCTTTACCCTGACCTATTCTATTTACCCATCACACAAACTACAAGTAGAAATTGACTTAAATCGACTAGAAGGATGAATGTTCATGCTTTCAGATTTAGTGAACACCGTAAACAGTACTTATGCTAAAATTATGGATATAATTTGAATTAGCATGATTTGCAACATCATAAACATGTTCATCTTTGTCAATGCTTAGTCAAGTTCATAAACCACTTCACATCCATTAGAGTGCCTCTGACATAGTCCCATTCGTAATTCTTCAGAGAGTAAAAACGTACATAATGCATACGCACAAAACTCAGACAGATCGTTAGTCTTACTGACATTGTACTAGGATACGCAGCTTTCAATGAGCTCCACCAATGGTTAGGTTTATTAGTTAAATTCTTCGTTTTGTGTAATATTTTGATTGGAATATACTTGCTTGTTGCGTTCATTGTACTTTGTGTATTGTTATGAAGTGCAACTAAATAATAAAGTTTTCATAACTTGCTCCACATTCTGCATTTGAACAGGGCTCTAGAATATTTGAAAGCTACAGAGCCGCAAAAGAAAATACCTCGACTTCAGCCCCCCCCCCAATTTAACTTCACCCCCACCCAATTTGACTTTGTTCCTACGTCTATGTATTCAAAGCCTGTAAGCATCATGACGATGGTATGTTGATGATGTTTATGGTTATAGTTTAATATGGTGATGATGTTTATGGTCATAATTTACCATGGTGGTAACACTCATGATCATAATTTACCATGGTGATGACGTTTATGGTCATAAGTTACCATGGTGATGACGTTTATAGTCATAAGTTACCATGGTGATGACGTTTATGGTCATAATTTACCATGGCTACAAAAAGACTAATCAAGAAACTTCAAACTTACCAATGACACACTGCTGATGAATATAATAAAGAGGATAAATGTATCAAAGTGTTTATTTTCTACGACAGCCAATACTTTCGCACGGCCTAACATGATGGCTTTATTAACTACTGAATCGGGATTTATTTTATAACACGGGCAACTGTGGCAGAGTTGTGGGAGACAGTCTGGCACAGCCAAATCAACATCGCAATTGGCTCTTGAGCGACTTGATGGCGTGTGTGGTGTATCACATGACTCCCTCTCTCTGTTTGATTGGTCAGACGGGTGCACGTCAATCGTTTTTGGTATTTCGTGGAGATTGTCGTCTTGTTTGACGCCGATCTTATCGAAAGTCGATTGTCTTCGTGTTTTTCCACTTTCATATGTGGAGGGAAACAGACGTGACAAATTCAAGTATTTCTTTACGAGTCGTCGCAATGGGAAAGTTGTGTTTTCGGGTCGTTTGTATTCGTCGCTTTTAAGTGATTCCGTGGAAAAGGAACTCAGTAAAAGTGCCAAAAACAGATTCAATATCTAAAGAAATGCACGCAAATTTTTAACCGCCTTGAACTTTCAGTCTTTGATTCACAAGCAAACGTCTATCTGCGAAGATTTTTCATTATTTTAGTTTCCGGAAACAGTTCGTCGAAACCTGATACAGAATTTTTTCAAACATGACAAGTTACCCTATTGAGCTTGAAACAGCAGGGGCACAGCCAGCGTCAAAATATGGGGGAGGGTGAGGTGCGTATTGATATTTGAATGCATGATCTACTCTGTAGAAAACTACTGAACTCGTAAGACAGAACATGCATGAGCTCCGCCGCTTTGCAGCACATTTTACGAGTCCAGTTAACACGTCTTGTTAAATGGCCGAACCCACACTTTTAAAACGAGTCGAGTATTTAATAACAACTCTAGTTGTCTGAATTAAACGAGTGGAATTTAAGATAAATGATGCGTACGGTGTTTTCAAGAAGACGCGCGAGCTGTTTCGGAAAACTTCATGTAATCACAACATGTTAACTACTCAGTGAGACTTAAACCTGGTTGATTGAATAACTCGATCCACCGAGGATCACGTGACAGGCATTCCTCATCCTATATTATCGATAGATGTACTTTTGAATGCAAAACTCACCAGGAAGTTTCCGATGATGAGGACAGCAAAATAGAAAATGATTGCGGCGGGTGAGGTCAGATGCATCGTTATTATCAAAGGTTCTATCCATTCCCCACAAAGAACACGGAATATCATCATGAAGGAGTGAAGAAAATCGGTGAAGTTCCATCTTGGTACGACCCTCTGCTCGAAATGTTGTGGCGTATAGCATCCCGAAAATATCTGCATACCAATAACGGCAAAAGTGTAGATGACAATCATGAGTAGTAGCGTGAGATTGCCGAGTTGACCAAGACTCGCACTGATTATCGAGAGAAGCGCTCGCATCGTCACCCACGATTGAGCCAACTTTAGCACGCGGAGCTGGAACGATTCACACGTGTTTGAGCAAAGAATTGTGCACGAAGTAATAATACGACATATTTTTGAGCATTTGATTAGAGTATTTAATTAAAAAATGTTTACTATGGTTGCACATGCTCGGGAGTTCTCACAAACGTTTCCAATGTTTGTATAAGCCAGTGAAAACACGAAAAATGAAGCAAAACAGACAAATAAAAAACAAGCGTTTTAAGTTTTCCTCTAAAATGTATTCATGATTGATTAGCAAATTCGCTTTGACTAATTGATTGATTGATTTGATAGGTTCAGCTCAGATCAGTTTTCACAGGATAATGCAAACACGGCTCTAGACCAATCAGCGCACGCGTTTTATTTTTTTTATTTTATAACTATATATAATGTGCTACATCGAGAATCGGTTGCCATTACAGACAAAAGTCAGATGATTTTTTCACGATACAGCACAATGTGCTTATTTTCGAATATGCAGGATTGGCCTAGTGGTTGAATAAAACGTACAACAACTATTTTTGAATGGCGATAATTTTAATAATTGCAGCACATTGTATTACTAAGATGCGTCATCAGAGATTTTATAAGGAAAATCAGTGTATGACAGTACATTCAACTTGTTTTGCTTTAATGCCAAACAAAACCTGTGAAATGCCACATTAAATGGGTTGTGAATGCTAATTACATCATTGTGCATAATAATTTCAGCAAATACATAATTAATTTATGTGGGTTCCGTTTTTTTCGGAACAATCAGTATACTGAATGCAACTTTTTTTTTGGTAAGTATGCCGTTACATAGACGAAGCAAGAATCTACTCGAAATCCTACAAGCTCATTGCCTGAATAAAATCTCTTTTTCCTGGCTATGCGAAGAAATATTAAGGCTACTATTATTTGCTAGCTTTAAATTTCAATTTGTTATCACTTACCAGCCTTAAAGTTCTGAAAACTCCAAACCCGAGGCCGTAGCTTATTTTGGGTACAAACCAAACTATCGCCAGTTCGACAAGACTAACGATGACCACAAAACCGTCCAGAATATTCCACCGACTTTTAATATAACATCGAAAGGAGAGAGCCGCCACTTTCGTTACAAATTCCATGATAAATACAAATGTACAAACCTGTCGTGAAAAAAGAGTGAAGTTTCATGTCGTTTTGTTTTTTCGAACGTTAAAAATGGCGGATACGGGCTTCGTCAAAATAATTTAAAGCTACTCATAAGTATGTATAAATTATAGCTGTTACATTCAAAATACTTTTAGAACAACACTATTGGTCATGAATCTCCTGAGAATAAAACTTGAGCCAATGGTATATTGCCTCTGAGGTATTTGGAAATGTATATATATGCAAAAATGAGCTGCAGTAGTTTATTTTGACTTAACAGTAAATTCGCTACTGAACAGTAACTTTGTCATAGTTTGGTCTCTCATATTTTGTCTTTTCTTTACCGGAAGAAAAACTCGACAGGTAGATAAATAAATCGCTTCGAGAAACTCAACAGTCGTATAATAAACTATACTATAACATACTCCAAAATAATCATAGATAATTTAAGGTTCCTGGTATATTAACAACAGATTTCGACTTAATTTTAAAGTCACTATCGAGCCAAGTGATTATCAAGCAAAGATTATCACTTGGCTTTATAAAGACTTTGTGAAAACCAATTCAAAATATTGCTTTTAAATCTCATCTTTTGTTAACATAACAGGAATCTTGTTTTTACAAGATGATGTTTCTTGGAGATGTTTTTAGCTTGTATTTTATCAAATTGTGGGGCTGGAAAAGATTTTTGGACAAAACTCACCATATTGATCATGTTCAAAACATTCAGGAAGGTTTCATCCATACCGTGATACTCTACGGCCATCACAATCGTATTCAAAAGTATCACGCCAAGAACGAACCAATCAAAAATGGGACTAGTGACCATCATCAAACATTTGCGTCGTATCAATGATGTGTTGGGCGAAATATACAAGCAATAAGAGGAGCGCATTATCAGGCCAACGGTATGAGGAACTTCCGCAAGGGCTGCTGGGACAGATTTTCGAGAGAAATGCCTGTACTTTTGAAAATTAAAAGGAGCTTGAATGTTTGAATAGGTTTTCACTGCATAACTACTTTGTACGGGGCAAGTTTCTTTGATGTTTTCATGATAACTTGATTGAGAAATTTCCTGAGTTTCACTGTTCAAATTTTTGTCCGAGTTTCTTTCTCGTAGCTCGAGGTCGACATGCTTGAGGTCTCAGGCAAGGAAGACAACGTCGTAGTGTCACGTGTTGTGCGACCGTGTTCCAGTTGAGTAGTGCAATCACATGAGCTTGAACAATGAGGTCCCGGAGATATGGCCTCCAGAGGAGATTCGGGTGAAGTTCGTTTGTTAAAATGAAACGAGAACCAATTGATCAGGACTTTTGATGCCATGTTTGGATAAAGCGGTTGAGGTTTGAAAGTCATGTGAAAGGAATACGACGAAGAAATTTCTCGTAAACTTTGTCCAGATTCCTAAAATTGATTACTAGAAGCATGAGGTGATTGTTTTTCGACATAAGTGGCGAATCTAGGGTCATGTCAAAATAAATTATTGCTGCTCAGTCTTGGATATACTTACACTTCGAAATTACCTAAGAGGCAAAATGAGTGGTGAAATTTCATTCCCATAAAATTCAAAACCGATAGCTTTGTTCTAAAAGTATTTTGAATTTAAAATTGAGCACCTATAATTCATGTTGTCTAACGCTGGATCCGCTACTGTCGGTGATATCACATTAGGTCTATCATAAGTTGGGGTGTTGTTGTATCAATGGAATGATGGAAATCGTTATATCACAGATTTTGAAGTTAGTTACCTTGTTTGTGATTTCCTGTTGATAGGATAGCGCTACAACTGCCAGAATGAGATTGAGAAGGTAGAATGAACCAAAAAATATCACCATAAGAAAATAAAATACCGACCAAAAACCAGTAGATGCAATGATCTACAAAAGTGGAAAAAAAGTTTGGATATTCAGAACAGTGACGTTCAGTAGTGTTGCTGAGAATCTCCTAAGGAGGGGCAGGTCTATGAATTTTTCAAAAACAGGGTGTGGTCAAGTGGGTGTGGCGGTGTCACGTGGGTTAACACATTTTTATATTTGAGCTGAGGCGGTGACGAAATCAGTCCAAAAATTTACTGTCTCGTACTAATTTTTAACCACCATAATAGTGACGTAGCCAGAGGGGGCGGGCACCTCCGGTCCTTTCCTTTCAACTATCTCTCCCTCCCTGACGTAAAATTTTGGCTACGCCACTGCATTATAATTACAGTCATGAAGACAAAGGACACAACGAACAACGTAAGTGGGTTTCCCTTTCCTTTCAACTACCTCTCCCTCACTGACGTAAAATTCTGGCTACGCCACTGCATTATAACTACAGTCATGAAGACAAAGGACACAACGAACAACGTACATGATTATAGATATTTTCCCAGTAGTCTGCTGTGACCAACTGTACAGTGGAGAGCAAAGACCACGTGAACGCATCGAAATTTGTGTAGCCATAGTTGGGATTATTGCCGATGTCAGGAAGGCACGTGTAGTTCACAGGACATGACCTGTTAAAGTGGAAATGCATATGTACTGTAATTAAAGAGGGCCGTATATATATATATATTAAAATGAAGTACTGAAGGTTAAGACAACAAGAACAAGTGGGAATGGTCCAAATTAGAGGGCATACATATAGAGGGCATTGGCCTTCTATATATAAGTATTAGGTTAAAGAAGGCATGTGGATATCACATGGTCTGTTAAAGTCCGAGGGTATGTATACGTTAAAATGAAGTAACGAGGTCAAGACATGCGGATATGGTCTGTTAAAGTTCAAGTTAAAGTTTAAAACCTGTTAAAGTGAAAACGCACGTACACTTAAGTACTAAGGTTGAGACAAGTGGATATGGAAAGTTGAAGAATATATCAGCATCAAAATAAAGTACTGAGACCGGCTGAACGAAGGCCGAATAGCACTATCCACTGGATAGCAATATTTTTGAACGCTTCAATATTGGTTCTAGAATTACAAAATTTCATTATCGCAAAGAAATTATAAGCAATTTTTTCACGAGTTTCAAAAAATTACTATCCAATGGATAACACTATCCGGTTCTCGTGCAACCAGCCCCTGAGGTTAAGACGACATGTGTCGATATGTTCAGCTGAGGTAACAATGAATAAATAGATAAAACTGCCGAAATCATTCAAACCTTGCTGTGGAGACATTACCGCAGATAACCGGATCTCCATTTACAAAAAGCCAATTGCCTAAATAATTCATCAAATGCAGGTATTCTTTAAAACTTCAAACAATTCGATGTACGAGTATTCACAATAGACATACTTCTATTCTTTACGCTGTCATCGAAGTTGAAAGTGCTGTTATTCGGAATGGAAACACATTTGTTCTTGAGAGCACCAGCGAAGAGCTGCGTTCCAATGAGCGCAAAGATCGAGATGAAAAATAAGGACAATATCAACACATCTGTAAGCATTCGCATGGATCTCAAGAAAGCGTTAACCATTGTTCTTAAACCTAAAAATTGACATCCGTGAATAGCATCGGTAGAAATCCAAAGCTCGTTATGTAAAGCGAGTTCTCCCGCGGTAAGTGAATATAATAAAATATGACAACGGGTAGAAATTCTTCCTTTCTTTTTTTTTCGTGCATTTTTCAACACGGTTATCTGTGATATCTTCTTTCATGTAATCAGTCCATGCTTATTAAGGTATTGGAAATACGTATTGAAGATGATCATACAGCGAGTTGCTCCATCTAGGTCGGCTGAAAAGCGCATGAGATCAAAGATCTAAACACGTTGTGCTCTTTACTATATTCAGTTAAAACTCGGGATAACTTCGCTTCGTGTATCAGGTACGCATGAAAGGGCAAAACAAAAGAATGCGTGCAAGTGAACCTTCGACAACGGAGATTGTTCTTAAAGCTCGTAACACACGAAATGTCCGTATCCCAGAAAGATTTGCGACACTCGGAGCCATAGTAAGATACCTGAAATTATTAAAACTATGCGTTATGTTTGATTAAAAGACCTACCCGTTAACAGGGCCATAACTGGGGCTTTAATTTTGGAAAGGGTACGTGCTCATATATTCATTTGTGCTCGATTGACTTCTTTTGAAAGTCAATCCGGTTTCAAAAGAAATCAGTCGGTTACGTCTGGGAATATGAGCAGACACAACCCACCCCCCTTTCCCAATAGCGTTCTAGCAACTGCCCTTTCCATGAACCGGGAGTAATTAGCCAATGAGATCAAATGGACAAAGTGCTAACCATAAAGGCACATATTGGGCAGCAAATTGAGATATTACTTGCCTGATACAAAACTTTAGCGTAGTCGTAACCCCAGGTAAGAATTTAGAAATCTAATTATTCAGTGAATGTTCTATTCTCGCGAATTGGATTGTGCATATAGTCCTCGAGTATTATATTAAATAATTCAACCTTGCGAAGTGGAGAACGCTTCTCGTAACAATACATGGTCATGTTTTAAGAACGTAAAATTTCAAAAGACTTCTGACTTATCATTACCCCAGGTTAACGACAATAAAATCCAACCAGTTCCATGGATCTCGAAGATAGGCGAACTTGTGAAGGCAAAATCCTTTGGCGATGATCTTTACAATCATCTCCATCGTGTAAAGGCCAGCAAAAAGATATCTGTAAGGTACAGACTCTCTGTTGTTAGAATCATAATTATTCAATAGCGTCGTAACGGCTGCGGCATGCTTAATGTACAGCACTTGATCAATTTACTTAGCCCCCCCCCCAGAGTATTTGTTTTTTCAAGTGCTGTGAGCTTTGAAGGAAAGTTAAAAAGCGGAGTGAGGTAACAATAGCATTTTTATATTGATTTATTAAGCCTTCTTCTCAGTTATCACTTTTTCATTTTTTCACGGGGTGTGAACTTTGAAGGAAAGTTAAATAGCGGGGTGAAGTAACAATAGCATTTATATATTGATTTATTAAGCCTTCTGCTTTTCAGTGTATCATTTCAAATGGTGTGAGCATGAAAGGAAAAATAAATAGCGGGATAAGGGAACAATAGGTGATTGAATGAAGCTTGTTGGAATATGTTCGGTGTATGAAGGAAACAAAATTGTTTCAGAAAAAATGCTTTTTTTACGTACAAGCAAATATATAAACGCCTTGGAAAGCAAAGTTTTCAAAACTAAACAACAAACTAAACAATACCGAAACCGACTCACGAGATCATATTGCAATACAAATCGACGTTGAAAACAAGTGATCATTGTCTCCAGCGATCGTCTCTCTTATAGTTACTATAGCTCACCCTCGATTGTATCTCGTGCTGAATGCGAAAAGAGTAAGTTATTCACCGTCATGAAAAATACTATGATCTTCGTATGGCGTTTCTTTTTACTTACCACGTGTAGTACATATATTCATGGGCAAAGCACTAAATTATACATTAAAGATTGATCACTTACTCGACTTCTTCTGGAGGATTTTTAAATGTGAGTAGAATGCAATTAATGACAATTAGAACCAATATGAACACTTCAAAATATCTAGATTTCGTCGGTTAAAGAAATAATCTGTGCATTTGTCTTTGCTTCGACAAACAAGCTAAGACAACTGATGGATGGAAATCTTGAGCTTGAAAGTCTTAAACACTTTCTATTCATTAAATCGTTAAATTTATTTACTTTCCGCGAAATTTGGTGATTTTTTCTGAAATTTAAGCTAAATCAAGTCAGTAAGTATGTCCGTCTACTACTGACAGTGTTTGCCATGCAATAGGCCAAAAAAGACGCATGCATAGAACATGTGACCACACTCATGATTTGCGTGTTTGTAAAAGCCCATTCACACGATTCGATTTCTCGCATCCGACTTTTGGTTGCTTTTTCAGACGGTCCAATAATTTTGTTTATATTTATATTCGTTTGGATATTTAAAGTCGTGTGAACAGCCATTAATGTTATGCATCACATTTATCGATATAATTTTCGTATTTTTGTTCTTGTTTCCAAGTCTTTTTCAAATCTATGTAATTCGACTAGTCGGCCTCCTTTGATTTTGTCGGATGAAAATAGAGCAAGTTCTATTTCCGTCTGATTTTTTAGATTGACGGATCCGACTGTCGAAGGCTCACTTTATATGTGTTCACACGATCTGTTTTTAAATGTTGTCATTCGTGACAGATAAATCAAATATCAAACGAGTTTGATATTTGACTCATGTGTCACAAATGACAAATGTTGTTCAAAACTTCCGCGGACACTTGGAAATTTTGTTTATCACACTTGTCACGAATAACAAGTACGCACGGCAAGTTCATCAGTGTGCGGCGGGTATTAGGAATGAACCTAACTTTACAAAAACGTTCTAGAAGCACCCCAAGACATTGAATTAAACATGAACTTCTGACCACATACGTTACGGCAAAAGACAGGTGACCGTTGTTGAATAAAATGTTATAAACTTAAATTCTCTGTTATCGCGCACAAAGGATACTGACTTGTCGCGAGGTATATCATGTTTTGTCTCAGGGAACATCGAGGCGAAAACAAGTAAAGACTTTTCTCCCGGCTGAAACGGTACACGATCAGCTTGCCAAATCTCTTGGAAATCACCACGAACGTCTGATAACAATAAAAAATTATCGCGAAATCAAATACAATGATAATTTTTTCTTTAGTCGTCTGGAAAACACTATTTAAAAACTTCAAGCAAGAGTTTGTAAGGCGTTCCAGCACTGGTTTCCGCCATCTAACCTCGAGATATCATGACAAACAAAAAAATGTCTAGCAGACGCAAAATAACGCAAAGTTAGCGTCTTGCCGGGGTCCATTACTGTAGACTCCACTCACAAAGCTCTTAGAATTAAAAATGAAACGAAGTACATCTGATTTATTTTTAAATGTCTGGAAATACCTTTACCCAGTAAAATTTGAAACAGAAATTTCGCAAAGGCTTTTTTATGTATTTGTAAAGCAATTCAATAACAACGTAACAAACGTATTATGAAATAAACATTCTCACTTCAAGCAAGCGATATCAATATCATCTCCGCAATGAAATATTTGAAATACCAATTGGGTCCAAGAAGTGGGGCGGGGGTGTTCTTGTTTCAGTGTGGAGCCAACCAGAGAGGAGATAAAATGGGAGAGGGCCTTGTGTGACATACGTTCATGATTGTCGATTAAATTAAATATCGATTAAAAAGTAATCAAAAATGCATATACGATATACACGCACGTACCTCATCCCCAGCTAAATCATCATCTACCAAAGGTATCCCAAGATATCTTAGTGGCATGCTTGATACAGATTCTGCAGATTTAGGATCATCTCCGTTATATTGAACAGAAGATGATGAGAATTCTTGCCTCTGTTTACTCTCGTTCATACTTAGTAATTTTTGAACAGTTTAATGCGATTATTGGCTGTTTTGAGCAAGTCCAGCTGGCTTTTGATGAAAAACCACTCCTAATATATATGTTAGCTTCAAAAACTGTAAAACAGAAAATTCATCCTATTCTTTGTTTTCCCAACGCATTTTCTTAGATTCAATTAAATTCTTTGCCTCTTCTCATCTAGAATATGTCATTTTTCGGATTTTTTGCTGACAAGATTTGCCTGCAGTTTTTAATGAAGTTGCACCTAGTCAACTCTCGTTTATTGCAAATCTTCCCTTCTGACGTAATGAAATTTATAAATTGTCATCGTCACTTATTAAACGACACGCGCTCCAAAATTTCAATCTTTCGCTAATTTCTTCGATCAATTAAATGCATCCCTCGAGCCCAGTCTTCCACTTTCGATCAGCCTTCTGCGAGTCTTCAGTTAAATTCTTTACCATATGTTCTTTACGTACACAGAAAAAAGCGAACTGGACCATTTTACATTTACCACTAAAAGTTAAAAGACAGCTTGAATAAACTTGACTAAGGCCATTTTTGCAGTTCAGACCAAAGAAATTATAAATAACACAAGACGTGGCATCGTAATATATCATAATTTATATTCCAAAAAATATTTAAATATCACTGGGCATGTATATATAAATAAATAAAATGAAGCCACATCGGCCATTTTACAGCGCAAATTTCTTCACTATGAAAACAAAAAATAAAAACTTTATTTACCGATCAGGTCGGTCCGTACTGAAAAAAATTTTCACTTGTCCTCAAAATTCTTAAACCAACTGTATTTGGCAATGTGTTCCTGACAATGGGATGGGACGGGGCAGCACTTCCTAGTGCGATAGTAACTTCCATTATTACTTATAACCTTTATGGTCACACTTCACACTCTATTACTCTTAACCGCTGACCGTATATTGTGGTGACACGATTAACTCAATTCCATCGAGCTAAAATACATGGAACGCTACCTGTAATAGAAAAGTCTAAATAAATTTATTTACGTTTTAGCGTTTATTTACGCTTTAGGTAGCGTTCCATGTGTTTCAGTTCAATGCCCAATTCACCCCGGCTGAAATTGGCTTTATCGATTCGTATATATGGCGCATGTAACCATTTATGAATCAAACCATTTCTAATATTTCCAGCATTTTCATACATCATTCAATTTCTAAATTATTAACAGTGAGAAACAGTATGCGTACATATACTGTTATATACACACATACTGTTTCCCAATGTTAATAAGTTAGAAATTGAATGATGTGTGAAAAAAACATTCCGACATTTTTGTCAAGCACAACTGACTTGCTGGAATTTTTATTTAATTTATTTTGAACTATTTGCATAAGAAAGTGCCAAACAATCGGCTAAAAAAGGTAAACAGTCCATCCCCCGGTGATCGAAATATAAAACAACAGGTGCAGACTATATAGAATCACTTACGCACAGCTGGTGTTGGTAATGTAATGTAAAGACGATCGTTCCAAGTCGAAAGTAAGTGAAAATCTGAATATGCGAGAATATAGATATACATCATAGCAGTTCATTTTTTTTTTCAAAATCCTACCATAACAACGGATGCGTAAATTTTAGGAGATTTTAAAAGCGGGACTGTATATAACGCGTGACATAGTTTGAAAATTTCAACAGCAATATGTTCTCTTCAATGTTTGATTTTTAACAACTGGATTTTCTAAATTCTAGTTCAAAAGGAAAGGGCGCTGTTTAATTGTTATATCTCTATAAAATATCTTGCTTTATTTTTGTGCACCACGCCAATTCAAACAAATGACTTTCAGCTTGAAATCAAGAAACGTACGAAATCATTCTGACTTTCTGTCTGCTACGTTTGAATATAGAATTTGGGCCTGATTTAAGAAAATGGCTATCAAACGCTCGCTTAAGGAATGGTTTCAGAAATACTTTCTTGAGGGTAAGTCATGCATACATAATATCGCCTTAATTAAAGAGAGCAATTGCCATAGTGAACGCACTGAAACCAAATAAAACCACAAACCCAAGATAAAACCAAGAAAAAATTAAGACACTATATGCATTTTGGCGGACAACTCTTCAGGTGTCAACGTCTGCTAACTGTTAAAAGGTGAATCAACTTGTATATACATGATTGGTTTTGATGATGACTCATTTAGCATGAGAGATGAGTCATCGCGAGTTGTCTGCCGAAATGCATAGTCTCTTGAACTTTTAAAACAATTCTTTTCAGAACTCTTTACTTTTCTCTTGGTTTTCACTGGTTAGTTTTTCTTCTTCTCCGTATCTTGGGTTTCGTGGTTTTATTTGGTTTCAGTGCATTCACCATGACAATTGCTCTCTTTAATTAAGGCGATATTCAAATTTCTCACCACGACAAAGTCTTTCCCAATGACGATATTTTCTTGTTCTCTTTAAAAGGTCAAGCTTTAAGCACCACTCAAGAGAAGGCCTTGATCAATCTCGATCCAAACGCACCTTGGCAAGATAGGTTGATCGTGAAACACCGTCGTGTGGTCGGCATTCTCATTCCCTTCGCCATCGTACATTTCATCTGGTGGACATGCGCGATAAAGTACAATTATTGGGCATTGTTTCCAGATCTATATTACATCTCTATCACGATGATATTTGGCTCCTTGATTGCAGGTTAAAAAAAGGAAGCATGCGAAAATTGACAAACCCATCCACTAAGATTTTAAAGTCATATCCCAGCATGCACTCCTCCAATGGAATTTCTAAAATAGCAGCCTCTTTTTTTATAAACCTTTCTTTAGAAAAGAGATACATCTCATCAAACGTCACACATGTTTTCCTTTTACACACAGGTATGACAAGCGAAGGTGGTGCCTCAGTAGCTTTTCCAGTGTTGACCTTAGCTTTTAACATCCACCCGACAATTGCTAGAGACTTCGGTTTAATGATTCAGTCAGTGGGTATGTCTGCAGCGGCTTTCACTATATTCTGGATGCGCATACAAGTTGAGTGGCGTTCGATCATTTTTTGCTCCAGCGCTGCAATTATCGGGATAATCATCGGTCTTGAATTCATCGATCCGAAACTCACTCCACCCCAAAAGAAGATGGGTTTTGTCAGCGTTTGGTTTGCCTTTGCATTCGCCCTGTTCCTTTTGAACCGTTACCACAAAAGAAAAACCTTCAAAATCATTCCGGATTTCAACGCGTGGAAGCTAGGAGTCCTGTTAGTAACCGGTTTCATTGGGGGAATTTTCTCCGCCATAGGAGGAAGTGGACTAGATATATGTAGTTTCAGCGTGTTGACATTGCTATTCCGAGTTTCAGAGAAGACTGCCACGCCAACGTCGGTTGTACTGATGGCGGGTAACACCATGGTCGGTTTTTACTGGCGTCAAGTGATGATGGAGCAAGTTCACATTGACGCTTATCATTATCTTGCTGTGTGCGTGCCCATTGTTGTTCTTGGGGCACCTTTAGGTATGTAATGCAAAATTTAATGTGATGGAATTCGCCGCTGATTGAGTTATTTGCGAAAATCATTCATGTAATTTAAAAGTGCATAGGTGCTTCGGAAGAGCTTGATTTTATCATGTAGTGGCCTTTCAACAACCTTCTTTGCCCACAGCTTGCATAATCACTGGGGATAATTGTTCAAAAGATCGCCCTCGTGTGGACAAAGACACCGAACAGTAACAAAGCCAGTCCGTTTTTATTCCCACAACGCAGACATTTTTTGTTTTTATTTACGAATCTTAGGAGTAAAACAATTTTCATCTTAGGAGTAAAACATCGGGCTGGCATAGCGGATTGCTTCCATGGATAAACAAATGCATGTGTACACGAGCACCAACGATTACCTGCAAACCAACATATAGCCTCAACGGATACTCAAATGTACGCGTACCCCACAAATGCAAACAAAAATGTCTTAGTAACAAGAGGAAACATGCATGCTACAGATTGCAAGTACATTCGTTCTCAGTTTGTATGTAATTTTACGTTAAATGGAATGCCTGTCCATTACGGCGAAAGTAATGAGCCGCCGCCCATAATGTTTCTAGGCCAATCAAATATCAAAGCGTTCAATTCTACCAGAGGTGACGCTTGCACCCATATAATAATGTCGTAGTATAAATTCTTTCTCTTGTTTCAAAAAACTGGAATCTTTTTTGCAGGACGATGAGTATTTTATATTCATTAAAGTGAGATCTGATCCTCCTTACTTTTTCCTTCCTTTCCTTTCCTTGTATTTAACATCAAGTATCACTAAGATCGGCTCACAATTTTACTCATTGAGATGACTAGCAATCCTTCAGTTTCTTTACTCTGTTTCACTTTATTATGATTGCTATTATATACTGTATTTCCAATTGGCTGCATTATTACTGACAATATGTTATGAAGTATATGTATCTGTAATTCCAAATCTTGTAATTACAGATAAATCATTCACTAATAACCCTTACACTCCTTACGAAATAACAATTTAGATATTATCTATTTATCATATTTTCATCTTCTGAACACTACGTCCTTAATGTAATTTCAATGCTGATCAATATTTCGTACTTCAAGTGTTATTTTACAACGGAACATTGTAAAATAACATTCCTTAAGTTTGATGATATCTAGTGTAAAGACAAGAATTTGTATGTTAATAGATACATAAATATTATTTGCTTTATTAACTATATCGTTTCTAAGATTTCTCTGACAATGTAATTTCTTTTCATGAAGGTTCTATGATCGGTAGCCATTTTCATAGACAAGTCTTGGCTTCATTCGTATATATCACTGATACGGTGGCTTTAATAAGTGGATTTGCGATCGTGCCTGTCGATGCTACATTAGTAGGCGTCTCCGTGGGGATAGTTTTGTTCGGTTTTGCATTCTTTGGTATCTTATGCTACCTCGGCCAACGTCTATTGAAGATCATCAATGAAGAAGGAAAGGAAAACATCGAGTCGAGTGAGAGTGAAGCATTGTACCAAACAAGTTCGGAGACTGAGCAAAAACTGACTTCACTTAAAACGTCACCAAACGGACAAACTTCAGTTTAGAACTTTTTTCAAAATATATCCCTTGTCATCGTCCAAAACGAATTATCACACCTCTAAGCATTAATATCGCTTAGTCTACGGTGTCGTGCAGACTTGTATACTTATTAGCAAAATACAGTTATATAACAAAAGATATAGATTACATTAACCACTGGAATTATCTCGGAGGAAAAATGATGATTTAATCCAGTAAGCATTTTTTTGTATCAGGAAAGTACACACACATGCTGTATGTAAGCTTAATGTTTAACTAGTAGTTGTTCCTGATAGAAATCTTTTATGATGAGACCTATTTCCAGCATTTTCAATGTTTCATACCATCGATATCTCATCTTTGCCAACAATATAATGGCGTTTGTTGGAAGTAGATGGCCAAGACCCCTTCGCTCAGCTCTTTTATTCTTAGCATCCTGCTGCAGTTTTTTGGCTATCATTTCGTTTGTTAGTCGATGGCCAAGACCCCTTCGCTCTCTTAGCATCCTGCTGTCAAACCCAATACTTTTCAGTTTCAAGCTTTACGCTATATTCCGATCCTTCGCTCAATAGCATCCTGTAGTCCAACCCAATACTTTCCAGTTTCAAAACTTAGCCCATCATTCACCCTTTTATCTTTTCATTCCTCATAGGCTCGTCCAGCTCCTCGCATGTTGGCGTGCTTTACAACGATCGAAGACCTCGCTTTTCTCAGATCTTGACGCCACCAACGGATATCATTCTGTTTCATGAATGTGACCATACATATCATCGCAGTATTTTCTATAATCTTAATCCTTTCTTATCACGCCGTGTCAAACTCGATAACTTTCACACCATGCCGTTCTCTGTCTCTAACAAACGTCTTTGACATTTCTGTTTTAGCTCCAGGATTCTGATTCATACATTAACACTGCTCTAATTCAGACGTTTACATGTCACTTTTAATGTCACGAGTTTCTCTTTTTCTTATTTAGCCATTTACGGATTAAGTACATTTCAAGAAGCTGGTATTTACGTTGACTGCAATTTGTTTTCATCTTTGTTTGTCAGCAATCATTACTTTAAAAGACATGCACATTTTTAAAATTCTTCTTCACAGAAGTCCGTTGATTTCTTTCTTATCGCACATTGTCAGCTCTGGCTGATCATATTTTCCTTGACTTCTCCAGACTCTTTTTGTGAGCATTCATAAGCAATTGCAGCATTACTATTGTCGTGGATAGGTAGTTGTGGGTGGCAGAGGGGTTCTTTAACGTGGACTTTGCCCATCATTTCTTCCCGATTATTTTTAGCATAAAAAAATTTAGAAAATTTTTTCGGCCATATTCCCACCCTCACTCTAGCATGCAGAGGATACGGTTTGTCTACTCTTTGCCGGAACCCACACGAATATCTTAACTTGTGACAAATACCGAGTCAATTGCAGTCTGTCTTTAATGTGATAGTTTTGAACTTAATTAATTTCAATCGACGAATTTTGACGCATGAACGCGCAGATATATATCAGCAAGGATGCAAATGGGCGGATTTTCACCAGCGCAAACCAATCAATTTTTTTTTGTAATTCAATTACAACGTTTCTCGACTGCATAAAATAAAAAAAACTCACACGAGTGGAAATCCGGCTTAATTCATAAGTAATTTACACTTACAAATGTCGCCGGTATATAAAACATTTTAACTCGACTTCACTCACTACATTGCACTCACCGGGCTTTTGCAGACAAAGAGCCATTGTTGGCTTCGTTGCATCTGTGGTTGCATCATGCACTCAAAATGAATTCTTGTACAAGAATTTATTATGTCTGTCATCTCCAAACATTTTCCTAACAATTAATTAAAATTTAATAAGTGGAAATAGTACTCCATTTTCTTACTCCTTTGTCCTTTTACAACTGATTTCGTTCAAAACACATGTCACTAGATCATTTAACAATTATCAACTCAGTGAGATTATTATATGAAACGAGTTACTGCATCAGAGATGTAAACAACAAGTTTCTGGTAGTGCTGGGCAAGAGTTCGGGCTTATTTGTTTATATTAGTTTTTGTATTTACAGAATGGTTGAATTTTACGGAGAGCATAAAAATTGCAGCGATAGAAAAGGGATAAGGATTTCAGTTAAAAACTAAAAAGAAAACACTAATGAGCAATATTTTTAAGAATTTCACACAAAAATCGCATGTTCTCTAGTTCTGCAAAATTTACGTGCTCCTTCTAATGAAATGGATCAGATTAATGGATCAATAATGGGTCCTTTGAGTCGAAAAACAGATTGCCCTTCCGAAGATATCCTTCTGGAAAAATAGTAGCAGGACCAACATCTTGTGTAAAAGCACCACGTCGTATTTCTCCCTCGTATTCATCGTTCGACCATTAAGTGTTTGAAAAGTTGTATGCCAGTATTTTGCCAGACTGAGCGACCGTTTCCTCCTCCACATCAGTTTCAATTAGGTCGACATCATGTAAGTTGCTGAGGATTTCTACTTGTTCATCTTGCACAGAAGACAGACCTTCAACATCAAGTTTCGAAAAGGCAAAAAGCTAGCAATCAATATCCGAGCACACTCCATCATAAGAAATACCATAATCTTGCTCTAGGACGTCTACAACTTTGTTCAATGTCATGCTGTTGAGTTTATCCGCTATTGTTTATGTCTTGCAATGTTTGTGTAACAAAATTTAAAGGGCAAGATTAAAAACTTCACAAAAAATCGCTCAAAACTAGTTTCGTAGACAAACTATACATCAAAATGCTCGCAAACACCTCCTTAATAGAAAGGTGTACTATAAAGCGCATGTCCGGTTTTTAATTATGAGTTAGCTGGGCAAAAGAAGCGCTGGCACGTGGTGTATGGCGCGCCAGCATGGACAATATTACCAAAATGTCGTTTTATGAATGTCAATTTCGCTTTATATAAATGAGTTTCGTTTTATAAAAATAATTTTCATAATTTGAAAAATAAATTTCGTTGTGTATATATAAATTATGGTAAACGAATTTTTGTTTTCTTTTATATTTTTGCGTTTCGTTTTACAAATATTGAAAAAGTTGCCAGTATATTATTTTCGACATACGATAATGTGTTTTGTTGTAAATATTTTCGATTTTGGTAATATTGTCCATCTTGGCGCGCCATAGTGGCGTCCGATATATTGGGCACTGGGGCTTAAAGGGTTAAAAAGAACATTCCGACATTCAGAACATTTTTGTCAAGCACAATTGACTTGTTGGAATTTTCATTTTATATGTATTGAACTATTTGCATGAGAAAGTGGCAAACAATCGGATAGAAAAGATAAACAGTCCGTCACTCGGTGGTCGAAAGATAAAATTGATAGCTTTTTATTGGTGTTTCAAATCAATTAAAACATTTTCTTCTATAAGAATCGGATATCTTATCTCTATCTGTATATATATAGATATATAGATATATCTATGAATATTAGAAAAGCACATTATTGGGATTTGTAGTTTTAAAACAAAACGCTCCAAAATATCTACTGAGCGTTTCCTCGCAAGCAGGCCATATAACAGGTGCAGACTATATAGAATCACTTATGTACAGCTTGTGTGGCAATGTAATGTAATGCCGATCGTTCCAAGTCGAAAGTCAAAATCTGAACACACGAGAGTATAGATATACATTATAGCAGTTCATTTTATTTTCAAAATGCTACCATCACAACATGCGTAAATTTTAGGAGATTTTAAAGGCGGGACTGTATATAACGCGTGACACAGTTTGAAAATTTCAACAGCAATATTTTCTCTTCAATGTTTGATTTTTAACAACTGCATTTTCTAAATTCTAGTTCAAAAGGAAAGGACACTGTTTAATTGTTATATCTCTATAAAATATCTTCCTTTATTTTTGTGCACCACGCCAATTCAAACGAATGAATTTAAACTTGAAATCAAGAAACATACGAAATCCTTCTGAATTTCTGTTTGCTACGTTTGAATATAGAATTTGGGCCTGATTTAAGCAAATGGCTATCAAACGCTCGTTTAAGGAATGGTTTCAGAAATACTTTCTTGAGGGTAAGTCATGTATATATAATATCGCCTTAATTAAAGAGAGCAATTGCCATAGTGAATGCACTGAAACCAAATAAGACCACGAAACCCAAGATAAAACCAAGAAAAATATTAAGACACTAAATGCATTTTGGCGGACAACTCTTCATGTGGCAAAGTCTGCTATCTGTTACAGGGTGAATTAACTTGTATATACATGATTGGTTTTGATGATGACTCATCCAGCATGGGAGATTAGTCATCGCGAGTTGTCTGCTGAAATGCATAGTCTCTTGAACTTTTAAAACAGCTCTTTTCAGAACTCTTGACTTTTCTCTTGGTTTTCACTGGTTAGTTTTTCTTCTTCTCCGTATCTTGGGTTTCGTGGTTTTATTTTGTTTCAGTGCATTCACCATGGCAATTGCTCTCTTTAATTACGGCGATATTCAAATTTGTCACCACGACAAAGTCCCTGTTTTACTATTTTAAAAGGTATAGAAAGTATTTTTACTTGTCATAAAATGTTTCCATAAGACTTTTGCAATGAGAATATTTTCTTGTTCTCTTTAAAAGGTCAAGCTTTAAGCACCACTCAAGAGAAGGCCTTGATCAATCTCGATCCAAACGCACCTTGGCAAGATAGGTTGATCGTGAAACACCGTCGTGTGGTCGGCATTCTCATTCCCTTCGCCATCGTACATTTCATCTGGTGGACATGCGCGATAAAGTACAATTATTGGGCATTGTTTCCAGATCTATATTACATCTCTATCACGATGATATTTGGCTCCTTGATTGCAGGTTAAAAAAAGAAGCATGCGAAAATTGACAAACCCATTCACTAGGATTTTACAGTCATATCCCAGAATGCACTCCTCTAATAGCATTTTAAAAATAACGGCCTCTTTTTTATAAACCTTTCTTTACAAAAGAGATACATCCCATTAAAAGTCGCGCATTTTTCCTTTTACACACAGGCATGACAAGCGAAGGTGGTGCCTCAGTAGCTTTTCCAGTGTTGACCTTAGCTTTTAACATCCACCCGACAATTGCTAGAGACTTCGGTTTAATGATTCAGTCAGTGGGTATGTCTGCAGCGGCTTTCACTATATTCTGGATGCGCATACAAGTTGAGTGGCGTTCGATCATTTTTTGCTCCAGCGCTGCAATGGTCGGGATAATCATCGGTCTTGAATTCATCGATCCGAAACTCACTCCACCCCAAAAGAAGATGGGTTTTGTCAGCATTTGGTTCGCCTTTGCATTCGCCCTGTTCCTCTTGAACCGTTACCACAAAAGAAAAACCTTCAAAATCATTCCAGAATTCAACGCGTGGAAGCTGGGAGTGCTGTTAGTAACCGGTTTCATTGGGGGCATTTTCTCCGCCATAGGAGGAAGTGGACTAGATATATGTAGTTTCAGCGTGTTGACATTGCTATTCCGAGTTTCAGAGAAGACTGCCACGCCAACGTCGGTTGTACTGATGGCGGGTAACACCATGGTCGGTTTTTACTGGCGTCAAGTGATGATGGAGCAAGTTCACATTGACGCTTATCATTATCTTGCTGTGTGCGTGCCCATTGTTGTTCTTGGGGCACCTTTAGGTATGTAATGCAAAATTTAATGTGATGGAATTCGCCGCTGATTGAGTTATTTGCGAAAATCATTCATGTAATTTAAAAGTGCATAGGTGCTTCGGAAGAGCTTGATTTTATCATATAGTAGCCTTTCAACAACCTTCTTTGCCCACAGCTTGCATAATCACAGGGGATAATTGCTCAAAAGATCGTCCTCGTGTGTACAAAGACACCGACCAGTAGCAAAGCCAGTCCGTTTTTATTCCCACAACGCAGACATTTTTTGTTTTTATTTACGAATCTTAGGAGTAAAACATCGAGCTGGCATAGCGGATAACTTCCATGGATAAACAAATGTATGTATACACAAACAGCAACGATTACCTGCAAACCAACATATAGCCTCAACGGATACTCAAATGTATGCGTGTCCCATGGATACACAAATGTACGCGTACCCCACAAATGCAAACAAAAACGTCTTAAGGCTCTTTTCCACTCATCGCAAAACGTACCCGCAGGCTCGCTGCGAGTGCCTGCGAGTTACTTGCAGCGAGCTTACTATGACTTGCAGCATAGTTAAATTAATTGAACAAAATTTTTTGATCGCGCGAACAGACTCGCAAGCTCGCAGCGAGAGCATTTTGCGATGAGTGGAAAAGAGCCCTTAGTAACAAGAGGAAAGCATGCATGGTACAGATTGCCTCCATGGATACATACATACACACCGGAATAGTCACAACGAGGTCGTGCTAGCGGAATATTACTTCCAGAATGTTATGTCATGAGTTTTTACGCATTTAGCTGGGGGCAGATTTTCTTTGGTTAAGCTTGTTATGTATTTCATAAAAAAACTAGCTCTCGAGTAGAATCATCGTGATTTACCAGGCGGGAAACGAATTCTGTGTTACGTAAATGAATGGCCGAAACAACATGTAAAATTGTAAAATTATCTTTCTTAAAGAAAAAACGTCAGAGAAAATTACTATCAACAAAGATTAGCATGCTGTGGGCAAACAAGGCCAGTGTAAGTGATAACATGTCAAGTGCTTCCAAAGTCAATGCATCATGCTAAGATTAAAACAATGAGCCCATGCTTCAGCTGAGCGTAATGTTTTATCGATAAATATCTCGCACAGCATGCTAGAAGCGTATATAGTACACGCAATAAAACTAACTGTCCAAAAGTTCTTCCTTTTACACGTACATTCGTTCTCAGTTTGTATGTAATTTTACGTTAAATGGAATGCCTGTCCCTTACGGCGAAAGAAATGAGCCGCCGCCCATAATGTTTCTAGGCCAATCAAATATCAAAGCGTTCATTCTACCGGAGGTGACGCTTGCACCCATATAATAATGTCGTAATATAAATTCTTTCTCTTGTTTCAAAAAACTGGAACCTTTTTCCAGGACGATGAATATTTTACATTCTGTAAAGTGAGATCTGATCCTCCTTACTTTTTCTTTCCTTTCTTTTTCTTGTATGTAACATCAAGTATCACTAAGATCGGCTCACAGTTTTACTCACTAAGATGACTTGGCAATCCTTCAGTTTCTTTACTCTGTTTCACTTTATTATGATTGCTAGTATATATTGTATTTCCAATTGGCTGCAGTATTACTGACAATATGTTATGAAGTATATGAATTTGTAATTCCAAATCTTGCAATCACAGATAAATCGTTCATTAATAACCCTTACACTCCTTACGAAATAACAATTTAGATATTATCTATTTATCATATTTTCATCTTCTGAACACTACGTCCTTAATGTAATTTCAATGCTGATCAATATTTCGTACTTCAAGTGTTATTTTACAACGGAACATTGCTTTATCAGATACATAAATAGATACATAAATATTATTTACTTTATTATCTATATGGTTTATAAGATTTCTCTGACCATGAAATTTCTTTTCATGAAGGTTCTATGATCGGTAGCCATTTTCATAGACAAGTCTTGGCTTCATTCGTATATATCACTGATACGGTGGCTTTAATAAGTGGATTTGCGATCGTGCCTGTCGATGCTACATTGGTAGGCGTCTCCGTGGGGATAGTTTTGTTCGGTTTTGCATTCTTTGGTATCTTATGCTACCTCGGCCAACGTCTATTGAAGATCGTCAATGAAGAAGGAAAGGAAAACATCGAGTTGAGTGAGAGTGAAGCATTGTACCAAACAAGTTCGGAGACTGAGCAAAAACTGACTTCACTTAAAACGTCACCAAACGGACAAACGTCATCGTCCAAAACGAATTATCACACCTCTAAGCATTAATATCGCTTAGTCTACGGTGTCGTGCAGACTTGTATACTTATTAGCAAAATACAGTTTTATAACAAAAGATATAGATTACATTATCCACTGGAATTATCTCGGAGGAAAAATGATGATTTGATCCAGTAAGCATTTTTTTTTATCAGGAAAGTACACACACATGCTGTATGTAAGCTCAATGTTTAACTAGTAGTTGTTTCTGATAGAAATCTTTTATGATGAGACCTATTTCCAGCATTTTCAATGTTTCATACCATCGATATCTCAGTTTCAAGCTTTCTTTGCCAACAATATAATGGCGTTTGTTGGAAGTAGATGGCCAAGACCCCCTTCGCTCAACTCTTTTTATTCTTAGCATCCTGTAGTCCAACCCAATACTTTCCAGTTTCAAAACTTAGCCCATCATTCACCCTTTTTATCTTTTCATTCCTCATAGGCTCGTCCAAGCTCCTCGCATGTTGGCGTGCTTTACAACGATCGAAGACCTCGCTTTTCTCAGATCTTGACGCCACCAACGGATATCATTCTGTTTCATGAATGTGACCATACATATCATCGCAGTATTTTCTATAATCTTAATCCTTTCTTATCACGCCGTGTCAAACTCGATAACTTTCACACCATGCCGTTCTCTGTCCCTAACAAACGTCTTTGACATTTCTGTTTTTAAGCTCCAGGATTCTGATTCATACATTAACACTGCTCTAATTCAGACGTTTACATATTTGCTTTTAATGTCACGAGTTTCTTTTTTTCTCATTTAGCCATTTACAGATTAAGTACATTTCAAGAAGCTGGTATTTACCATTGACTGCACTTTCTTTTCATCTTTATTTGTCAGACATCAGTACTTTAAAAATCATGCACATTTCTTAAATTCTTCTTCACAGCAGTCCGTTGATTTTCTTTCTTATCGCACATTGTCAGCTCTGACTTTTTTCGTGGACTTTCATTCCGTATCTTTGCGCGCTCTCTTTCCATTTCATATTTTTGATATCCTATTCAGTTACATTTTATTTTTTATCATAGATGCCCCATTCACTTTACAAATCATATTTTCCTTGACTTCTCCAGACTCTTTTTGTGAGCATTCATAAGCAATTGCAGCATTACTATTGTCGTGGATAGGTAGTTGTGGGTGGCAGAGGGGTTCTTTAACGTGGACTTTGCCCATCATTTCTTCCCTATTATTTTTAGCATAAGAAAATTTAGAAAATTTTTTCGGCCATATTCCCACCCTCACTCTTGCATTCAGAGGATACGGTTTGTCTACTCTTTGCCGGAACCTACACGAATATCTTAACTTGTGACAAATGCCGAGTCAATTGCAGTCTGTCTTTAATGTGATAGTTTTGAACTTAATTAATTTCAATCGACGAATTTTGACGCATTAACGCGCAGATTTATATCAGCAAAGATGCAAATGGCCGGATTTTCACCAGCGCAAACCGATCAATTTTTTTTTTGCAATTCAATTACAACGTTTCTCGACTGCATAAAATAAAAAAAACTCACGCAAGTGGAATCCGGCTTAATTCATAAGTAATTTACACTTACAAATGTCGCCGGTATATAAAACATTTTAACTCGACTTCACTCACTACATTGCACTCACCGGGCTATTGCAGACAAAGAGCCATTGTTGGCTTCGTTGCATCTGTGGTTGCATCATGCACTCAAAATGAATTCTTGTACAAGAATTTATTATGTCTGTCATCTCCAAACATTTTCCTTATAATTAATTAAAATTTAATTAGTGGAAATAGTACTCCTATTTCTTACTCCTTTCTCCTTTTACAACTGATTTCCCTCAAAACACATGTCACTAGATCATTTAACAATTATCAACTGAGTGAGATTATTATATGAAACGAGTTACTGCATCAGAGATGTAAACAACAAGTTTCTGGTAGTGCTGGGCAAGAGTTCGGGCTTATTTGTTTAGATTAGTTTTTGTATTTACAGAATGGTTGAATTTTACGGAGAGCATAAAAATTGCAGCGATAGAAAAGGGATAAGGATTTCAGTTAAAAACTAAAAAGAAAACACGAATGAGCAATATTTTTAAGAATTTCACACAAAAATCGCATGTTCTCTAGTTCTGCAAAATTTACGTGCTCTTTCAAATGAAATGGATCAGAGGGCTCAGCGCAGTAAGAGCAAATTAGCGTAAAAATTGTGTCTAAGGCTATTTAAAGATAAAAAATTTGTAACGCGCGTTTTACGGATTTTTGTCCAACTTCCATTTTCCAACATGCCACAGAAGTCGTGACGTTAAAACATCCAAATTGACGTCATGTCTGGGACGGCATTTTCAAAAAATGCAAAATCTTGCGGTATATACAACTACAGTGTGGCGTCGCGTGTTTAGATCTCCTTTTAGTATCTCCTTTCCTTCAATCTTCCCAGGGCAGAAAAGTGACAATATACGGAAGAGAATACTTTTATAAAAAATGGCCACAACTGCGATGAATGGAACAGGATTGCCTTTCACGAAGAAAGACGCGTTTGTAGTAACCTATCGGTGTCATATGTCATACCACTCGCTAAGAAGAGGCGACGTTGCATTAGATTAAAACGCATCGCTTGTGGCGTCTGCTGGACAATCAATAAACGTGTGGACATAGAAACAACAGGCAACGCATAGTAGATGAACTACGCGAATATATGGCAAAGGCAGAAATGCGGTTTAGATGTTTATAAGATTCGAGCATATCAAATGGGCATCAATTTGGCACTGATTAATCGTATAATGGTATGTCATGTCACCTTGTTTCTAACCAACAATACTTGGTGCTAATTCAGCGTTTGTTATTTTTTTATATGTAAACAACTAATACCAACAATATCATCTTCAACTTTAATGCGCGCATTATAGAAAATACCAAAGAAATTTGTATCGGCACCTTTCCAATTTGCAGATTCGTCTAAGGATTGTGAAATAACACGGTTGGTGACGAATTATTGGCAGTTTAAAAGCCGCGAAATTTTCAAGAACAAGAAACCATTCGGATGATAAAGGAGAAATTAGTGTGAGTCGCCGGCAATCGAAGAAACAAGAATTCACAATAAAGTTAAATAAACACTACACCAACACGCGCGAGTGCTCGAAATTTTTTTCCGGCCCTAAAATTGTCGATTGCACGCAAAGATGCTCGTGAGTCGTGGTTTACGGACCAAGAAGAGCGTCTTACTTGGGGCTACCTTCGTCGTTTCGCTACAGCTGGTCGTATATGTTATGGGCCTATTTTACAAACAACTTCAGGAGAGCAAGTATGTTCAAAATGTTGTTATAATTGAATCATTGTCATCCGATCGTCTCTTACCAGCTCCATCGTCGAGGTTGCCTGATGGTGTATTACATTCAGAAAAAATACCACGCATAGATGAAATACCTTTGTTAAAAACTGTCAATGAAACATTGCAAGTGGGATCAGGGAAAATCCCTGATCCAAAACAACAGAGAACTGAAACAAGAAGTGAAAATAGTTTTTCCAAAGCTTCCATATTTTCTTGGAATAACATCTCGGTGAACCTGAGCACGTATTCCTCGTACTACGATAAACGCGACTTGGGGAAAACGCGTTATGGAGAATACAAAACAAGCGTGGTTATCCTCGGCTATGAAAGGAGTAGACTCAGACACGCGTTGTATTGCATGCTTATAATGGACGATAACCGACGAGTTTTAATAAAAAAGCGAGTACAGCGCACGTTATTAGCCGAACTTTGGAAGAAAGAAGTGGACAAGTTCAGAGGTATAATGTATAGATGTAACATGACTGTTCCTGGAACACCTCGATTTGTAACTTTAGTCGAATCAAAGAATATGGATCACGTTCTCTCCGTTCCTTTCACGTCTTTCATACCTGTGGTCGACTCGTCTTCACTCATCATACATCAATTTGGAGTTTGCTATGAAACACCATTATATGGTAATAAATACGACCAAGGGATAATGGATTCCATCGAAATGAACAAGTTACTCGGAGCGACTTGGTTCACTATCTACGTATACGAGGCACACGACAAAGCCGTCGAGATCTTGAATTATTACTCGAAAGAGTTGAAAATTCTCGATGCTGTGATGAATTGGGGCGAAAATATGCCCAGTCCAGTTTACAATAGAGGTCTGTTGGTTGGCATTCATGATTGTCTCTATCGCAACATGTTCAGAGTTCGCTATCTAGTGCTCTGTGATTTGGACGAAATTATTATGCCAAAGAATGGCCTGAACTGGCATGAGCTGATGCCTTTGATAGAGGGCGATGACAGAGGTCATTTTACATTTAAGCACTTGGGTTTCCATAAAAACCAGAGTCAACCAACACAATATTTACCATGTCCAGGTAACAAAAATTTCACATATAAAATGCCCCGATACTTTGCGACGCATAACAGGTCTGAGAACGTCCTCGAAGGTTTTCTCCAAGTGAAATCGATGGCTAAACCACGCTACTCTATCGGAGTGCACGTACATCGTCGTGCATATATGACGGAAGGCTACGTATTTTACCTTGTACCGACAGAAATAGCACTAATGAAACACTTTAGGGATACAGATGATCCAAAGTATACAATTTATAATAGCACACTAGATTATAGTATGGACAGTATAAAGCCAAAAATCCTAGGCGCCATAGAAAGACATTATTGCAGAAATATGAAGCACATTGTGACATAATTTCTATGAATTTACACATCACATGCTTTTCTAATATATAATTAAGATTAAATTGACACGACGTATATAGGCGTGTGTGAGCTTCTATTTCGGTGAACGAGGGCGATGCAGTAGCCTACTTTCCGAAATTTTAACAAGTCCTAATTTATTGTATCATAAACTGACATTCTTTTTACACGAAGCGTAATACCGGCCGCGAAACCGGCATATCAAACGCTTTTCCAAATCCAAATTTATTTGCCTTCTCAAAAGAACGATCTCCTAGCTCCCAACTTGCCCGCACGCCTATATACATAGCTACACCTTGTTGAGTATGTTATTCAATTTAGTTACGGTTACCTGAAACATTCAAATGTAAATTTAGAAAGAAAAATATTTCAACCTTTTTACTTGATGTCGTCAATTTGCACCTAGAATAGAATTTTTTAAAATTATTTATAATTGATTGAGTGGATGTTTTCGACCCGAGAGTACTTCTTACAAATATTTCTACATGAAGATCTAGGTAAGTGTTGTGCTGAAGACTGTTGATGTTTTCGACCCGAGAGTATTTGTTACAAATATTTCTATATGAAGATCTAGGTAAGTGTTGTGCTGAAGACTGTTGATGTTTTCGACCCGAAAGTACCTGTTACAAATATTTCTATATGAAGATCTAGGTAAGTGTCGTGATGAAGACTGTTGATGTTGGTGAACACCAACAGTTCTTTTCGTCAGGACTTCACTTATTTCCGTAACGACCAACGTCAAAAATATGCATGAAATGTCTTCGTGAGATGTAAAACTAGAAGTTGCAATCGCAAGATACGGTCGGACAACCTCAACATATCTAGGTGGTTTCGTGTTCTATTGCAAATTAGCTTCGCTTCATACGCTATGATTACGTGATTTGAATGATGGACAAAAAATTTTTGCATGCGTGTCCATTTAACTTTTAATAATGCGCTTGCAAGGTTTATTTCGCCATGTTTAGGGCTTTCTATCGATAAAGAGGAACCCGGAAAAGGACGTCTTGTAAACTCAAATTTAAGTAGTGTCACAAGACAATTTAAACTGTAACAGTTCGGTTTTATTTCAAAACCATTATTCCGTCTGGTGATGATTTTGAAATAATTAATAAAACCGAAATGTTACAGTTTAAATTGTCTTTTTTTTTCACAACTTAAACTTCTTCTCCGGAATATCTTCAGTTTTATATCTAATGAAATAGTTGTCTGGTCATGATTACTTAATCGCCAATTAACGAGCATGGTATAAACTGAAATTTTATCACCATTAAAACAATCCATGCCATAACGACCTTAAAACTTGTAGGCAGCATCACTCTACCATCGAGGGTAAACAAGCCAAGTAAAAAATAATCCTTGCTTAATTAAACAATAACGACTTTAAAGACACCGTCTTAGTATGGCTGGCGCTAGCTAATTAGCTTAGGTTACTCATCAGTGGCACTATAATCCTCTGATGATCACTCGTGACATAAAAATTCAAGAAAATTTGCAACATGTCAACACCCTTTTTAATTTAGTAGCTATTCTGAGACATGCAGCTATAATCCTGATGATCAATCGTGACGTAAAAAATCAAGAAAATTTGAAACATGGCAACACAATTTTTAATTTAGTAGCTAATTAGCTTAGTTATGGCACTGAGACATGTAGCTATAATCCTCTGATGATCAATCGTGACATAAAAATTCAAGAAAATTTGAAACATGGCAACACAATTTTTAATTTAGTAGCTAATTAGCTTAGTTATGGCACTGAGACATGTAGCTATAATCCTCTGATGATCAATCGTGACATAAAAATTCAAGAAAATTTGCAACATGGCAACACCCTTTTTAATTTAGTAGCTATTCATGGTGTTGACTCGCAAAAGATTTTTTAAAAAAATAAAAAACGATTGAATGCTCGGAAATCGACGCACTGCGACTGAAATTCACAGTTGGCCGTATGCTGCAGACTCCATGTCCTGTTATTGCGCTACTTATGTGACTAAAAAAAAACGCAGCCCTACTGCTACAGCCAATCTGGCTTGAATGCAAACACTATACATAAAAATTACGTGGGGTTATTGAATCGCTTTTGATGTATTTAAGAATGTGACACTACCGCTGGGGTCATTGCAGCTTGCTTGTCACGAGAGCCGAAACTAGAACGTTAATTGCAGGGTGGGAGTTGAGGGAATGTTCATTTAATCAGCTCTGCCCAACTGAGTTCTCTCGAAACCGATTGTACTTTCAAAAAGGAATTAGTCAAACAGAGCTGAATATATGAATGTTTTATATTAATGTATTATTATAAAAGTTTATATTAATAATAAACTTTGCAATGTGCTGCACCCAATATTTAGCGTTGTCGTCATCAGCGCAGCTTGCCAATACTTTGTATGAAATATATTGGGTGAAATATATGACCGACCGAATCTCGTAAAAAATTGCACATGCTGGTGGTATCACATGATAGGGTGTCTCTATAATAATACTGTAGTCACTTTTAAATCCACGTAAAAACTTGCACATGTGGACACAACGGTGGTATCACATGATAGGCACAAAAAATTGCACATGTGAACACAACGGTGGTATCACATGATAGGATGTCTCTATAATAATACTGTAATCACTTTTAAATCCACGTAAAACATTGCACATGTGGACACAACGGTGGTATCACATGATAGGGTGTCTCTATAATAATACTGTAATCACTTTTAAATCCACGTATGCACACAACGGTGGTATCACATGATAGGGTGTCTCTATAATAATACTGTAATCGCTTTTAAATCCACGTAAAACATTGCACATGTGGACACAACGGTGGTATCACATGATAGGGTGTCTCTATAATATTACTGTAATCACCTTTAACTCCAGGTAAATAGAGATATGTGGCATATTCTTGGTGTGCAAGCTACGTCATAGTCGCCATGTTGGATGATTTAAACAGAATATTTTCCTTATTTACAATACAAATATCATCGAACATGGCGAACATTCCATTGTTCTCTTACTCCCAGTGGAATGGTTGCACACCAGCTATATTAAGTTATTCGTATATTTACCTTGGCACATAAGTTTGTAAATTTTTTTTTGCATTTTCTTGCTGGAAATTTGGCGTCATAGGACCGAGGATGGATTAGCATTGCATCATAATTGTACAACGCGTGATCTAATAAAAAATTATTGGCTCATGTAAAGTTCGACGTTTGAAACGGGCCTAAGTAATAGTTTTATATTTAGTAACTCAAACAAAAAACTTCTTAACTATAACTAATTAAGTTTTTTTATGTATTATACATGTAAATATACTTAAATATAATTTTTCATTCAACTTTTAACTTTTAACTTTTACCTTCATGTAAATTTATACACAATTCAGCCAATGGATGCAATGGTATATCTCAATAAGTCAATTAACCAATCAAACAGTCGATATTGACGCGCATATGTTGGCATAAAATAAAACTGCAGGGGCGAACATCAGAGAGTTTCGTGTTGTGACACCAGCGCATCTCTTGTAAAGTATGTATGGAAATTCGGTCCAGATACAGATGGAAGACGAGAAAAGTCAATCCAGCCAAAATTTTGTGCTCTTTTAAAAAAGTCGGTCACAAAACGTAGAGCCCCTGTCGTTTTTACCGGGGTTCCTGAATCATTACTACGGGTACTTTTCAACCTTATCTAGGAAAGCGTTAGGATGACGGTCCATAGAACATTAATCAGAGGAGGGTGGTTATTCTTATATTTCCTTGTGGCCGACTGATTTTCGCGTCTAGCAATTGAAAATCAGTGGAAGCAATGCTATCCTAACGTTGACGAAACGTCAGTCTACATCAATACCAACATTCCTTCTTAGGACTCTACTAACCTGGACGATCTTCATCCACAAACCTGTTACGATATTCCCGTCTTCAAACCATTTACTTTATAAATCATTTTAGTTGTAATTAAATCAGGCTAAATTATTTGTTTTGTGAATTTGCAAAGTCAGAGCATAGAGAAATTTCTCAAAGAAGTTTTTACAACCCCTAAAAGTATTTTGTTAAGAGTATGATAATTTGTTTGCCCAACCGATAAATCAAGATTATGTTTAGTTCCGTATGAATTGTTATCAACAGGCAATGTCATTCAAACTAATGTTTGAGTCGTATTGTTTTGAAATGTTTCTTAAGAAAATTTTGATAAGATTATGCCTCTGGCGATAGCAAATGCCTTAGCTTTAATCTTTGAACTCAGACGTAACTATACGCGATGCATGCAGTATTTATTTGTATTGAATGCACAAAAGGCACTGACAAAGTTCGACGTTTAGTAAGCGTCTTGCTTTGTCGTCATGGTGACTTGATGTACTGTTCGTACCGGAAAGATTAGTTACAGTGCTTGAAGTTTCTTGTATTATTCATCCAAACGAAATATTATTGATGTTTTCCGCTAGCTTAGGAAGCTAGTATTTGTGTGATTTTATGAGCATCAAAAACGAAACGATTTTTTTGTTTATCAAAAAATGCATTGCTTTAAGCTACAACCAGTCCAGACATTTGAATTTTATTCACTCACTGTTCAGTAGACGCATGTACGACATGGTGCTCCTATGTTTTATAAAAGTGATTCACTTACAAGAAATCACTCGGGCACAACTAAATAACGTTCAAGGACGGCCCCGGAGGACGGTTTAAAAGATGTTAGTCAAGGACTATAAACGTCTACGGGTGTCCCCCCCCCCCGCAAAAAAAACGAAACCCGCATAAATAATTATGTATTCGCAGAACGTACTAGTATTCATAACTGATAACTGTGACTATTATTCACAACTCCTTTAAATGAACTTGACAGTTCTGCGTCCTTAAAATTTCACAGATGACTTGCCGTGTTTACGTTTTGCTTGCAGGGAGAAGTTGAGTGTTGTCTAAAGGCACTCGACCAAATCGGCCTGTCAGCAAAACGTAAACAAGGCAAGTTAACAAAACTATTTGCAGGATGTTAGTTAAACAAAACAAGTAAAAGAACTGTCATACACTGATTTCCATCACAAATTTATGACGCAAAATCTTTGTAAAATCATAGCGACATTATCTGATTCACAAATCGTAATCATATTTTCCTTAAGTCCGCAACGAACATGGACAAAGTAACTTTAAACTAAATTAACCAGGCGGAACAAATAGCTATCACAGTATGCAGATTACAATGCGTACATAACAAGTTCTGCGGGCTCCGTTTTTTTGGGGGGGCGGGAGACCCTGTCCCAGTTGGTCCATGTACATCAAACGTCTCATCATTGAAGACATTAAAAATTAGGCAAAACTCTACTTCACCCCTCCCCCCCTTGTACGCCAAAGATACAAAGTCCCAAAACTCGAAACTAGAAATTTCTACGCAACCATCTTAAACACATTGCGTCTTAATTGGTCTTAATGCGTCCTCTTTGTGCGTTGTTCGTGTATGTGACGATGTTTAATAATTAGACGTAACGAGACGTACAAAGTACAAAGACTTCTTCATTGAATTGAGCAAAAACTATTCGCTCGGATGCTTGCACAAATTCTCCATCTTTAAATGGGTCAACGACTTGTCGATGTAGTTTTCACAATCGAGGTAATTTGAATGATTGGCTTTCGTGTATGTTAAAGTCGAATTGTTTACATGCTTAACTCTGCACTTCTCGTCAGTCGTCACAATGCATTTATCAGCGTTTAGTCTTTGACACATGAAGCTTACTTGTAATATACCGTACGAAAAATAGTTATTGTCAAATACATACTTGGATTAATATCTTTGTCTTGTCCATCGACAGCTTCACTATGACTGCGATAGGTTTAGCCTTCATGCCGTTTTTCTTTCCTTTCTTTAAAGTTTGATGACAATGAGCGACGTTTTGTAAACTCTTTGGTAGTTTCAACTCCATTGTTTATTTCAGGCACAAAGCGCAAACAAACGGCGAAAAATTTTGTTGGCGGGAATATTTTTAAAACGGAGCACGAAGCTCACGAATAGTCACGGACTTTCACGTAAGTTTACGAATGGAAAGTGACGGGTACTTACTTCTTGACTCAAAGCACGAAAATAATGAAAAAGTTGTTTTAACCATTGTGTATTACACAGTAAAAAAACACAAAACACTTCTAGGCTACTTATCGGTCGTTTTGAATTGATAAATATCACAAAATCAAACCAAACACTAAGATAAAGAAATTAACATTAGCAGGTCCAACATTTGACGGTGACATGGCCAGCCCCACATGATAGCTACTCCAGCTACGCAGATTTTTTAGCAATTTTTTACCTTAAAAATTATCTACGTTTGCTCATTTGCTCACATTTCTTTTGAACATTGATATGTATGTATTTGCATGAAATAATAATGGCATAGCAGGAGAAAAAATAAATATTTTCGAGTTCCTTGACTGGAAAAACAATGAACGGAATTCATTTCAAAAAAAAGAATGGTAACTTTGCTAAAAAATGCATTGAGGAATAAGAGAAATGCAACGCGTTTCCTGTTTTACTTAAAAATGCCTTCTCCAAAACACAGTTTTCCTTACGGGGTATTAAATAAGAGTGCCTTCAACAAGGTGCATTAAATTAACCGAATGTTTAATTTCAACCTCTATGCCAACGTGTGCATAAAGTATTATCAGCTACGCGCATGTGATACATATCTTTGTTACAAACACAAAAGCTTTTCAGCTGCCTGCTGGGAATTTTACATTAAGGCCCGCTTCAAATGTCGAACTTACATGTGCTGAATGCATTAAAGAGAAAAGATAATGAGATGAACTTCCTTATTCTCTTTTGTTTTAATTGCATTCGGCTCATGTAAATTTCGACGTTTTAAACGCGCCTAACGTCTAACAGCAAAACATGCACAGCAAGTAGTATTAGCATATTTAACAGTTGATCAATTTCCTAAAGCTCTCTTTTTTATATATATCCGTTGTACATATATTCATGCTATGTGAATATTTTGCAGTTCACAAACCATAAAAAATAATTAGTGCTAATTGTGTTAAATAAACATCGCCTGACTTAACTTGAGGGGCTGGCTACGTCATTCAATAAAACTTAAAACCAACACACAAATTGAAAAAATAACATCAAATTGAATAATTACATCAAACGCTTGTATGAAAAATAACATCAAACGCTTGTATTTAAAACCTCATGTATATAATTTATCTCAAATAATCTGAAGATGTCTTAAGTTAAAGACGAAACGTTATTAATAAATCTTTCTTTATTTTACTATTGCGATGGCTTTTTAAAAGTCTTATGTTGGGCTATTATGTTCATATTGAAAATTGATATTTGTAAAACGATCTCAGTCTCATCATCAGATACTTCCGCTATAACAAATGTTATTCTCTTGCGTGAAAGAGGACAGCTCGTACGCGTTACAGACAGACCTATTAATCTGCTAAGGTCAAGAGTCTCGAAGAGTCACCGGGACATAATGGTTATTTGCTGCTATTTGCGAAAAATAAACAAAGGACTTTGTACTGTCGCTGCTTTTATTTTGTGCGTCCAATTCGTAATATTTTGTGGGATTTTTTTTCACGAACAAAGCATCATTCACGAAGGAAAGTCTGTACAAAAACTACCGCTTCACATGCACGCTGGCTCGCACGAAACGTTGAAGCATAACGACGAACTGACGCAAAAACATTCAGTGGAAACCGATAGTAATGGACCAACGATGTCACCTACGGTGTCTTCGTCCTACAACGGAATACTTCGCCGAATGAAAACACCGCACACAGACAGCAAGACATATGGTAAACTACGGAGATATACAACTATTGAAACAGACAAGTTATATACAGAGTTGCATAACAAGAACAACATCAAACGCTCTTCTAAACCGATTTCGTTATCAAATACATTGCAAAGATTTAAAAGATTGGATCCTCAAGTTCCAATACAAAATTTTCCGACAGATTCCAGCGTTAGGGGTCATGTCCTTCTAACTACGGACATTCCCGAACAATCGTCTTCGCATCCTAGTAAGACTGATACATCAGGTGACCAGTCTGGCGTTGATTCAAAGCTTCGAAAACCATTCCCAAATATAGCCGTCAAAAGAACAGAAGCGGTCATCGTCAAACCGAGTGTCGATCAAACGGACCTCCCAAAGACATTATTAGAACAGAAGACTTCATCAAAGCCATCGAAAAACCAGGTCTTGCATACAACAGTTTCAACAAATCGACAACTTGACTTGAACAGAAAACAAGACGATCCTAGCACTTCGGAATTTTTTTGGAAGAATATCACGAAGAATATCTATTTATTCTCATCCTATTACGATAAAAGGTATTTGGAAACAAAACCGTACGGTGTCTACAAAAGAAGTGTTGCGACTTTCGGCTATGAAAAGAGTAAACTGGAAAACACTTTGTACTGCGTGTTTGTCATGGACGATAACAAAAGATATGTAGAGGAAAAGCCAGCCGTGAGAACTGTCTTGGCTGAACTCTGGATTAAAAATTTTCGTGCATTCAGAGGTATAATGTATAGATGTAACATGACTGTTCCTGGAACACCTCGATTTGTAACTTTAGTCGAATCAAAGAATATGGATCACGTTCTCTCCGTTCCTTTCACGTCTTTCATACCTGTGGTCGACTCGTCTTCACTCATCATACATCAATTTGGAGTTTGCTATGAAACACCATTATATGGTAATAAATACGACCAAGGGATAATGGATTCCATCGAAATGAACAAGTTACTCGGAGCGACTTGGTTCACTATCTACGTATACGAGGCACACGACAAAGCCGTCGAGATCTTGAATTATTACTCGAAAGAGTTGAAAATTCTCGATGCTGTGATGAATTGGGGCGAAAATATGCCCAGTCCAGTTTACAATAGAGGTCTGTTGGTTGGCATTCATGATTGTCTCTATCGCAACATGTTCAGAGTTCGCTATCTAGTGCTTTGTGATTTGGACGAAATTATTATGCCAAAGAATGGCCTGAACTGGCATGAATTGATGCCTATGATAGACAAGAGCACAAGAGTTTACTTTTCATTCAGACATTTAGGTTTCCATAAGAACGCCAGTGGACAAATAGAATACATGTCCTGCCCCGGTAACAAAACCATGAAGTATAAAATGCCACGGTTCTTCGCAACGCATAACAGATCAGAAAACGTCCTCACCAAAAATCGACAAATGAAATCAATCAGCAAGCCACGTTACTCTATCGCTATCCATGTCCACCACTGGCGATGGTTGATCAAAGGTTATTGGCAATACTTGGTACCAACACAAATAGCCGTGATGAAACATTTTCGAGATAAAGACGATCCAAGATATAAAGACTATAACAGTACAATAGATTATAGTATGGACAGTTTAAAGTCAAAAGTCCTAGACGCCATAGAAAGACATTATTGTATATATATGAGACACACTGTTAAATGACATATGATTACTTGCTTCTTGCAAGTTCCAACGCTATTGTAATTTCTCTAAATCTACGTTTAATATTATATACATTATTGCACATCACACAATTGATCAGGCCTTGAACCTTTTATCCATAGTCTCTCGTAAATGGTTCATTTCGGCGAAGTGAGATTTCATTTTTGAGAAAAGTTCTTCGAGCTCGCCTATCTTTCCCTTTTGTTCATCAATTATTCTTTGCTTTGAAGATAATTCGTACGAAACCTTTTGAAGTTTTTCATTTTCGACTTTGAGATCCTAGAAAAAAATCAAACCTTGTTAACACCAGCAATATAACGACGTATTGCTTCCTTACTTACTGACGTAATGAACCGAGATACTAACATAATGAACCTAACATAACGACGTAAGCCTACCTAACAAAATGACGTAATTAACTCAACATAACGACGTAACCTTCCTGACATACAGACCTCAATGGTCCTAAAAGAGCGACTCAAGACATCTATTGCTTTAGCACAATACTGGCCAAATCTCTTTTAAAACAACTCAATAAGGTTGCCTTATTGTTTCATTACGTTATAAATAGAACGTGTTATAAGAGATTTCTTTATAAATCGATGTATAAACCTTGGACGTGGAAAATCACACATGCGTCAACATACCCGAACTTTATCGGCCAGTTCATTATTGGTCAATTTCAGCGTTTGGGCTTCACTAAGTTCTAGAGTCATTTTAGCGATTTCCTTAAGAATATACAAGCAATACATTTATTTATGTAAAAACGTCTAGATTCAATTGAAACCTGGTGTATCAGACATTGCTATCTAGAAAGGATGACGATTTTCATTAATAGAACAGCTTGTATCGGGACCACATACCATTTGCATAAACGCATGTTTATATTAACGAATATGACATACTTCATATAATATGCATCATAACTTCCAATTTATACTTTAGAAATAAAAGATGTTTACTGTGTTTGCAAAGGCTTATGCGAACCGAGGTGAGCTTTGAGAGAACTCGAGAGCAATATGAAGGACCTTAATGAAATATTTTCACTCACATTCGACTGTTGTTCCAATGACTTTTCTAAGCGTCCAACTTTACTTTCCAATGAATTCTTCTCAGCCTGAATTTGACTAAAACCTTCTGCGTTTTCCTTCTTCGTGAGTTCCTGCACCTTAGAAAATATCACAAAAAACAACACAGAAATCAAACCTTAGCCAGCAAGCATTTTCAATCATCAAATGCGCAAGACTTCCTCCATACTCTTAAACGCAAGTGTTCATTCTCTTCTTTGTACATAAGCAATTGTTTCTTCCACTCTTCAACATTTGATGTGCTCTCCTGTAATGCTGTCGTCAGTCTCGCGTTGTTATTACGTAAATTTTGCAATTCTGTTTCCCACTTCTTTGCATTAGCAGAGCTGTAACAATGGAACAAGCCATATTATCTATGTTAATGTGTTCCTTTATGCTATTTACATGAAGTTTCCAGTGACGTAACAACAGCCTAAGCCCCAAGGAAAAATTCTTTTCACCCTAAAATAATATAACTGCCCTTCCATTTTAACTGCCCCCCCCCCTTGTAAGAAAAACCTGGCTACGACATTGGAAGTCTCCTTATCACCTTTGAGCAAGAGCCAGTTTCAATTTGTCATTTTCATACTTCAACTGGGCATCTATTGAGTTTGATGTTTTAGAGCTGTTGCTTGATGGCGGTACTTCCTAAACACATAAATACTCCGTACTTGTAAACAGGAAAAAAGGCACAAACTTAATCTAAATAATATATTAATCCTAACACGATATTTAAATATGCACATGAAAAAACATGTGACTTGGTGCGAGTTCATATCTCGTTCAAGTCACATGTTTTTCATATGCATATTTAAATATCGTGTTAGGATTAATATATTATGTATATACTCTGATGATGGCTTTGGAATAATCTAAATAAGAACAACTAACATCTTGGTTTGCAGATCCTGTTGAACTGTTACTGTTCATTGATGATGATCTGTTAATGGAATACTTTGGTTTTCCATTTTCAACCGTCAAAGATTTCGAGTGTGTATCAGGTTCCTTTGCTTGTTGAAATATTTCTGAAAACTGAGCAAGAAGAACATGATTCATCTCGCATTATAAAATAAACACAATGAAACACATGTGCTGATTGGTCTAGAGTTGTGTTTGCATTAGCCTGTGCAAAACACATCTGAGCTCAACCAATCAAATTAATCAAAACAATCAGTCAGTCAAAGAGAATTTGCAAATTGATCATGAAAACATTTTAGAGGAAAAATTGAAATGTTTGTCTTTTTCGCATTATTGTTGTTTTATAAAAGAAATAAAAGATGTTTTCTGTGTTTGCACTGGCTTATGCAAACCTCGGAGACATTTGTGACAACTCTCGAGCATGTGCAACCCTCAACCTTCGGTCTTGGGCTTGCACTGATCTGCTCTCGAGTTCTCCCAAAGGTCTCCTTGGTTTGCATAAGCCCCTGCAAACGCAGTAAACATCTTTTATTTCTTAAATCAAAACTTCTTTAGCAAAATATGTTGTAAATAATAAAAAAACATAAAACTTCATCTAGATAAAGTGCTCTCGCTAAGTTAAGGTAGTTCATATCAATGATTCAATTGTGAAAATGGTCATAAATTTCAATAAAATACTTTCTATACCCTCATGAGTAGACAATGTTAATTGTCCTTGAATAGAACCCCTTTGAGTTCCTATACCTTGGCAAGATTGTCCTTAACTGGACTCCCTGCATTCCCCTACCATCACAAATTCTCCTCATTTCAATCCCCCTAAGTTCCTATACCTTGACAAGATCCTCATTATTTGGAAACCCCCTAAGTTCCTATACCGTGACAAAACTCTTCTCATTTGGATCCTCAACTTTACAACAAAACTTGAATTTCCCCCGAGTTTCCTTACCTTGAGAAGATCCTCTTCATTTGGAAAGCCAACACCATAAATTGTTCCAGCTTTTGGATCAGACCATTGGCCAAACTTTTGAGCTGTTTTAGTGAACACGGTATTTGGTGTAATTGTGCTGTTCAAGATCGCCTACAGAGAAGAGAAGTCACTGACTTATATAAATATACCAACAAAAATGCAAAAGAAAAAATTCAAGAAATAAGAACAATCCAGCTCTTCGAACAACCAAAATCTAACAACGTTGTAGCTGTCAAAAGCAACGATAACTTTCAAGCTAAAAATTTCCCAAAATTCACAGCACTTAACATGTTTCATAAGTTACAAATCTAAGCAATTATTATCGTATCAAAAAACAAAACCGTTTCAGATGATTAATCCTAATTTCTGTGCCTTACTTTTGAACCTTCCACCGATATAATTCTGTAAGTTTTACGATTAGTATCGTGATAGAACGAGATGGGAATGGCTTGTTTGGTGCATGGAATCCAACTTGTTTTCGTCGCCCGATCGATTTCGAATATCTGAGCTCGAGTTGTCCATATTGGCTGCTCTCTAGAGAAGATAAATATAACGTAAGCCGACAGTTTTAAGTCCCTCCTCCGCACTTTCCAAAGACAAAGACTTCCAAAGACATCGTTAAGCTTACCCCATGACATCAATTGGCTATGGGTTAAACTAGGTCGAGAGATTACTTCGACCGTAACCTACAAACGCTAAGCAATTTATGTTTACTAATTTGTCACTCCAACTGGAAGAACTCATCTATGAAGGCCCGCGTAAGGGTGGGAGGCGGGAGGTGTTGCAGGCGGAGTTGATCGGGCTACAAAACAAGCAGGAAGTTGTATGAAACACTCTGAACGTTATGCACAACGATAGCGAGCTACATGTTATCTTTTTTGATTTTTGTATAAGCGCTACACACCAGATCGCTAGACAGAGGTCAAATTAAAAACTTTGATTTAGGGGAGACTGAATATTCATGTATTGACAGAGCTGTGCTGAATATATGAATTCACACCCACCCCCCCACCCCCAGTAGCGTTCTAGCTTTGCCCCTGATTATACACAATTAATTCAACACTTAGCCATTGCCAGGAAACTGAGGTTATCCCCATGGATATTTTCAAATCGGGCAACTAAAAATTTTAACAAAAATTTATCTATCGAGGAAAATTGCCTCGGAACAGCTATGCTCGTTTGCGAAAAATCGCTTGAGACCTTTTGCGACTTTGTCAACTGTGGTGGAGTTTACCTCCCAATAAAAAGTTTATTTTTTGCCAGCAATAACTAATAACTACAGTATGAACACTGTAGTGTTCCTAAACAATACACTATTTACAATTTTGTGCGTCATCTACTTACTCAAAGTGCAGTCAAACAAAAGCCACCCAGAAGTGCTTGCCATTCGTCAATGAGTAATTCAGGGTTGCTGTGGTCTTTATCATTTTAATGATCCTCAATTATCAAGCATTACCACTGGAGTACTTCCCTTCTGGACATAAATTATAAAACTAATAGTGCTGGTTGTTTCAAAGAACAATAAGTTGCGAATACCGTAAGCTGCTTTGAATTTACAAATCAACAATATCAACAACTTGTTACTTAACTTGATCTTCCCGTTCAAGGGAAGAAGGCCCACACGTATATTTACATGAAGTATTGAATTCTAAACAAATAATTATTGAAATGACGTCAATATTATGTGTATACAATATTTCGTGTTTAACGTTCAATGTTTGCAAAAGATTATGAAAAGGAGATACATTTCACTAGTCTAGCAAATGAAAACGAGATGCATTTCACTAGTCTTGCAAATGAAAAGGAGATACATTTCACTAGTCTAGCCAATGAAAAGGAGATACATTTCACTAGTCTAGCCAATGAAAAGGAGACACATTTCACTAGTCTAGCCAATGAAAAGGAGATACATTTCACTAGTCTAGCCAATGAAAAGGAGACACATTTCACTAGTCTAGCCAATGAAAAGGAGATACATTTCACCAGTCCAGGCATGGTAATCTACGGTCCATTTTTTGAAGCACGTTATCAAAAGAACTTAAATGAAAACTGCTTTCTCACTCGATTATGATTAAGACAAGCTGCAATGTTTCACCTCAAGAAATACTTAGAGTAAGCACCAATATGCCGTTACTTATATCTATAGAAGTAGGATTTTTGAAAAGACAGCGGGGACAACCTTGAATGGTCAAAAATCGCACACAAAAACGTCTTTCTGTAACAAAACTGAGAGAACTACAAAGACTACGTATAACATGAGCATCAAGATGCCCAGTGTTTTGCTCATGCGCCATTTACACAAAGCTATAGACACAACCACGGTCAATAACATTCCGAAAAGCAAGATAGTTGAGCAAAAGAGCCCACTGTTCACAACGCCAAATGCATTTCCGCTGTGCATCATACTCCATATAAGCCAAGGTAATGGGAGCCTAGAATTGGGAAAATAAGTAAGAAATGACAGCTGAAAAACTTTACTTCAAAATACCAACCAAAAATTCACAATCAGAAATCATCAAAGTTGAAACTTAGATTCATTTTACAAGGTTAACACACTCGAAGCACTGACTAACAAATTACATGGAGAAAGTATGTAGATACTAGTGATACACCGATCTAGGATTTCACCGTTATACCGATTAACGGATATTATTATATGGCAAGCGTCACTTCCGGCTAAGTGGCACGCTTTGATTGGCTCAGAAACATTTTTGCCGGTCAATTATTTTTACATAATCGACCACGGTTCAAAACGCGTAATTTTACAGTCAAATGTAGACAAACTTCGTAATGCAAACAGCAAAAGGCAAAATAAAACGAAACAAAAAAACATTTAAGAATGTGATTCGAAGGAAAAACACTTGGAAAACAGTTAAACTATCCAGACGATACAATTTGAAACGATTTATTTTTTATGGACGAAAACTAGAAAAGTGAAAGGCAACCCGTAAAAACAGCAAGGACGAGAAAGAAAGCAAGCTTCGTTTCAGGTCAAATAATGCCATGTAATAATCCTTTCAATAACCTCGCTTTCTCGGTCTTTACTGAGAAATATCGGACCGATGTTTTTTGTACAGACAGAGCACGTAGGGCGAGCCCGGTTATTAAAGGGTTTAATAAAATGCCGATATTGTGCCAAAACCGATATTTTATGCCATTTTACGAAACTTAAACATCATAAAGTATGCCAATTTTTGCTCACCATTGACAGTTCATTTGATAAAGAAATATAAAATTCAAAGTGTTTATTTACACTGCAGCCATATTGAACAGAACAATTGTTATTGGAAATTAATATCATGCGGAATTAACAAATTTTAAGTAGTTTTAATTTAACAAAAATTGCTAAGCTAATATATTTAGTGTTGTTGAACTATGATTCATTTCAATTGTATTTCTATTTCAATGAAATGTCCAAATATCGGTATTACAAGCAAGAAAAATACCTATACCGATAATTCTAATCTACCGATACGCCGATACGGATATCGGTATATCACTAGCAGATACCTAAACAGACGCCGGAAATCCAGAGTTATTTTTAACAATTTTTCTCATATTATCTCATTTTCCTTGATTTGATTCTCCATTATGAGTTAAAATAACAAAAACCATTGAAAATAGCCCATATTACAATAGCTCAATCATGAATGATGTTCACATTAATATGGTCGCCTCACTCAAAACAAGGTTGCACAATGTTCTATGGTAATGTTATATAATGCGTTTTCCATGTATTTAGTTCAGTGAGTTCTCCATGTATTTAGTTCAGTGAGTTCTCCATGTATTTAGTTCAGTGAGTTCTCCATGCATTTAGTTCAGTGAGTTCTCCATGTATTTAGTTCAGTGAGTTCTCCATGTATTTAGTTCAGTGAGTTCTCCATGTATTTAGTTCAGTGAGTTCTCCATGTATTTGGTTCAGTGAGTTCTCCATGTATTTGGTTCAGTGAGTTCTCCGTGTATTTAGTTCAGTGAGTTCTCCATGTATTTAGTTCAGTGAGTTCTCCATGTATTTAGTTCAGTGAGTTCTCCATGTATTTGGTTCAGTGAGTTCTTCATGTATTTAGTTCAGTGAGTTCTCCATGTATTTAGTTCAGTGAGTTCTCCATGTATTTAGTTCAGTGAGTTCTCCATGTATTTAGTTCAGTGAGTTCTCCATGTATTTAGTTCAGTGAGTTCTCCATGTATTTGGTTCAGTGAGTTCTCCATGTATTTGGTTCAGTGAGTTCTCCATGTATTTAGTTCAGTGAGTTCTCCATGTATTTAGTTCAGTGAGTTCTCCATGTATTTAGTTCAGTGAGTTCTCCATGTATTTAGTTCAGTGAGTTCTCCATGTATTTAGTTCAGTGAGTTCTCCATGTATTTAGTTCAGTGAGTTCTCCATGTATTTAGTTCAGTGAGTTCTCCATGTATTTAGTTCAGTGAGTTCTCCATGTATTTAGTTCAGTGAGTTCTCCATGTATTTAGTTCAGTGAGTTCTCCATGTATTTAGTTCAGTGAGTTCTCCATGTATTTAGTTCAGTGAGTTCTCCATGTATTTAGTTCAGTGAGTTCTGCATGTATTTAGTTCAGCGAGTTCTCCATGTATTTAGTTCAGTGAGTTCTTCATGTATTTAGTTCAGCGAGTTCTCCATGTATTTAGTTCAGTGAGTTCTCCATGTATTTAGTTCAGTGAGTTCTCCATGTATTTGGTTCAGTGAGTTCTCCATGTATTTAGTTCAGTGAGTTCTCCATGTATTTGGTTCAGTGAGTTCTCCATTTATTTAGTTCAGTGAGTTCTCCATGTATTTGGTTCAGTGAGTTCTCCATGTATTTAGTTCAGTGAGTTCTCCATGTATTTGGTTCAGTGAGTTCTCCATGTATTTAGTTCAGTGAGTTCTCCATGTATTTGGTTCAGTGAGTTCTCCATGTATTTGGTTCAGTGAGTTCTCCATGTATTTAGTTCAGTGAGTTCTCCATGTATTTAGTTCAGTGAGTTCTCCATGTATTTAGTTCAGTGAGTTCTCCATGTATTTAGTTCAGTGAGTTCTCCATGTATTTGGTTCAGTGAGTTCTCCATGTATTTAGTTCAGTGAGTTCTCCGTGTATTTAGTTCAGTGAGTTCTCCATGTATTTAGTTCAGTGAGTTCTCCATGTATTTAGTTCAGTGAGTTCTCCATGTATTTAGTTCAGTGAGTTCTCCATGTATTTGGTTCAGTGAGTTCTCCATGTATTTAGTTCAGTGAGTTCTCCATGTATTTAGTTCAGTGAGTTCTCCATGTATTTAGTTCAGTGAGTTCTCCATGTATTTGGTTCAGTGAGTTCTCCATGTATTTGGTTCAGTGAGTTCTCCATTTATTTAGTTCAGTGAGTTCTCCATGTATTTGGTTCAGTGAGTTCTCCATGTATTTAGTTCAGTGAGTTCTCCCTGTATTTGGTTCAGTGAGTTCTCCATGTATTTAGTTCAGTGAGTTCTCCATGTATTTAGTTCAGTGAGTTCTCCATGTATTTAGTTCAGTGAGTTCTCCATGTATTTAGTTCAGTGAGTTCTCCATGTATTTAGTTCAGTGATTGACTTTAACGATTGATGTTGAAAGCAAGCAACGTCATCGGACATTAACCACATTAATTGTCATCGTGCAAAATATCATAAAAAGCGATATAATACTGACCCTATGGTTACATCGAACAGATTGCTGCCCACGGAACTTGATACGGCCATGTCTCCGTAGCCTTTGCGCGCAACCAAAACACTGGTAATGAGATCCGGGATACTGGTGCCAGCCGCCAGCACGGTCAGGCCCATGATTTCATCGTCGATCTCGAATGTAAGTGAGATCTCTCTTGCCCACCACACCATGAAGTATGAGAACACAACAATCCATAAGATTGATATGAAAAACGTCCAGGGATAACGGCGTCGTTTCTCCTGTAGAAAGAAGACATATGTGAGTGAGAACTATAATGGATATTGATTCAAGTCGTTGCCTTTCCAATGATTGAATACAAAGTATTTGCACATTGCAAGTGGAAAAAACGGGCTGACTCCGCTACTGGGTATTATTTGGACTTAGAGGCTGTTCATATGATCACGGCCAACCGGGATACAGCGAGGCGTCAAATGATTTCGAGGCATTGAAGGAGGGGAAAATTTTAAGCTTAAAAACTACAACTGTTTGCTAAGCGCCACAAGTCATTCCTGTTGAAATTCTCAAATCAGGCCAAACTGATTGTTTCAATTTTAAATGTTTTGCGTAGTTATTAAATGAAAATATTGTGAAATTTTTCGACAGGCTTTATCTAAGGAGAAGTATAGAATCGTTTCCATTTCTAAAAACCATTTAACGCCTCACTGAATCCCGGTTAGCCGGGATACAATGGTTGATGTAAGCGATTCTACCATTATTTTCAATAAGTACGAAATAAGGAGGCTTGATAAAACCTATTACTGACGTATACTCAAAAATCAATCTTTGCATGTAAGTACTCGGTGAGTGAAAAGAGCTGTCTATAAGTGTTTACACATGCTCTCGATAGACTTACCGGTTTTCTGACGTCAGACAAGGTCACGTGAAGAAAAAAGAGGATTGGAGCGCGGATGATAAACACGAGGCGATCTTTGAAACCCTTGGGGAAGGACAAAACCAATGGAGTGTGTATTTCCTGGTGAAAAGGCACAAAAAATACGTCAAAAAAACTCTTCCTAAGCTATTTTCAGTAACGAATTAATACTTACACTTATGGAAGAGTCTAATAATCAAACAAGAAACAAGTATGGAGGACTACACAAAGACACTTCCTAACATCGGTTATTGGATTGCTTAAAATGCCGCTATGACGTATCGGTGAAAAAAAATTTCGATTTGGTCGAATTGTCTTCTTGTTATGGAGGTTTAAAGTTGCCTTTAAATGGACCTTGTCCGTCGTTGCATGAAGTCTGGGTCTAGCCAAATTTTGACGTCATCCAAGGTAGTTGGTATATACAGTGGGTATATGTATCTTGTATTGAGGAAACCCTTGCATGACGTCACAAAGTAAGTCGTTCCATACTTTTTGAACCACGGACAAGGTCCATTAAATTTTATAAATATAAAAATGCTATATTTTTACAAAAAGAGACTGGAGCTACCTGCAAGCTGGCATCATGCTGGCTTCAAAGATGGCGGCGAAGTTATTATTCCAGTTGTTATTATAGTTCACTGGGTGGTGAATCAAACAGCCTGTCATTAACTTTAAACTGTATTCATCTTCATTACTAGCCAAAATTGATTGTATTTGCTAAAGTACACAAAATTCACAGCGCCCTAATTCTTTCGTATGCCTCCATGTTGCTTTTCAAAACTTAATTTCGGCACATTACGTTTTTCAGTTTTGGACTGTGATGCGCATGCTCAAATTTTAAGTGCACTGTGCCTTTAAATGCTATAAACTTCACCTTCGTGCAATGCAACCCCAAAAAAGTTATCAACGAACCATTAGGTTATGCAGTCAAATCTGTATTAAACGGACACCATTCGGAGAACAGACTAGAGTCCGCTTAATAGAAGTGTCCGCTTCATAGAGATTTCATAATTACGAATTAGATTTATGAGATTAAATTTGGGATTTTTCGAAGTGTCCGCTTAATAGAGATTTGACTGTAACTAAGTTTAATAAGAACATTCATTGTTCCTCTTACTGCTGAGTGAACGTCGTTATGATAAGAGCCTTGATGTGAAATCTGACGATACTGTTCATCACCACTGTCCGTGATTGCTTGCGTACTAGTGGTCACCATCGATAAAGTGTGAAGGCGCACGTTGTCAGCGGATGGCATTGACGTCGGTGAGTTTGGACGAGACTCGCTGACCTCGCTCAACTGGTCAACGTGTAGCGATGCAAAGTTGGAGTTGCCTTTCGACGCGTTTCGTTGTTGGTTCATTGATTCCATTTCTTTTGCCAGGTCACATACTGAAACTAAAGATATTGTAAGTTAATGGGGGGTGGTGTTTCTTTGTCGGTTCATTGATTCCATTTCTTTTGCTAAGTCACATACTGAAACTAAAGATATTGTAAGTTAGGGGGGGTAACGAGAGGGATTCTGTATCTTTTCTCGCGGGTCTTACCTTCTCTGAGTGGATCAATGGTGCGCATGATCAACTGTAAGGCGCCAAAACGAAAACACGGCTTTTCCTTGCCGTTGTTCTTCATATATTCCAAAGCTTTCTAAATGTGACGAAACGCGGAATCACAAGTCCATTCATCAATGCAGGTATGGAAAACTATAAATAAAAACCTAATGGCGAAAACCTAAGTATTCTTCCGAACTGACTCAGTCCGTACTTTACAAAATGTTTCTAGCTACCATCCGGGCGTCATTGCATGATCATTATAACGGCTTTTGAGAGATCGGAATCATTAGAGATAATTAATTTTCGGTGCGTAGCTATAAACATTTTGACAACAAAACAAAACATGACACATTTTTTTGTGCCATACATGAACAATTAAAAACCGCGCGACAGCTGCATGGCGTTGTGTGTCGAAATATTCTTTACTTCTATTCATCTGCCAAGTCAAGATATCACTAATTTCATTTCCGCAAAATTGGGTCTTGCCGTTCCGACAAAGAAACAAAATTCTAGTACTTAAATAGGAAAACGCTTAGGTAAAAAAAAAACAATGACAAAAGCTGCAACATACAAAATATAATTACGCTAAGACAAAAGACGTTTGCACCAGGTAAACAAGATTGGTCTAATATTGATGAACACCAAAAAGAGTGCAACTTCCAAAATCAATCGTCATTTTGACAACCGGATGACCTAACCGTCTAAGACCACTGCCAGTATCACCTACATCCTCATCCAAATACATCTTAAATGTCAGAAAAACTCTTAACTCTGTCCGACAATATTTTCAACACGTTTTAAAAATGCAAAGTGTGTCGCTATGCGAATGAGCACCACGTCATGGACGCAGATGCATTCTCCGGTTGGAATAAATAACAAAATATGTTAAAGTAAATGGTTTGAACCCGAGAGTATCGTTACATGTTTGTAGATGTAGATTGTCCAGGTTAGTGGAGTCCTGAGAAGGACTATTGTTGTTAGTGTTGAATGACGTTTCGACAACATTGACTCTGAAGATGACTACCGCTAAGGTTGTCGAAAAATCAGTCAACACCAACAACAACAGTCCTTCTCAGGACTATACTAGCCTGGAGGATCTACATCCACAAACATTCAAAATGTTAGTCGACAAAAGGTTATGCGAACTTCATCGACGTATCATTGCAGACATAAGCAGTTTCGCTTACCTTTACGTACGCATCCGTTTCTCGTGAACTGGTCCAACTGGAAATAACGGCCAAATCACCGTCACCGATTCTATTCGTTCCCGAGCAAAACTTCTTGACAAATCTCTCGATCTCTACGTTGTATTTCATAAAGAGAGCGTACGCAAAGTACCAAACGATCATGGTGACGGCTTGCCACCAGTGAATCATGGATCGATTGCCTTGCCTTCCAATGATAAAGTAGACAATAAGCAAGACTAGTGCAATGATGTAAAATATACAGTCTCGGAAGAGAGGCCACCAAGTGAGCTGAAGAACACCTTTGGAGAAGACTGCGCACATTCCTATCACGAAAAGCACGTTGAATACAGCGCTACCCACGATCGTCCCGAAACCAACGTTCGAATTTGCAATGAACACACCAATAACGGAGGTGAACAGCTCGGGGGCACTTCCTCCAGCCGCCATGAATGTGGCACCGGCAACATCTTCGGACACGCCAAGCTCCGATGTAATCACCTCGAGACTAGGTATGAAGAACTCATCGGAAACCGTAGCTAATGCAAGGAACATGTAACAGAGACCAAACACGTGAAGTACCACCGCACCATTTTGTTTTTGTTCTAATGTGAATACATCGTCGGGGTATTCGTCTTTCTTCTTATCATCGTCCTCGTTGCTTTTCGAAGACTTCGTCGTCGTAACGGAATTGTTCGATGACAAATCGCGAGGGAAGCGGGTTCGTTTTACCGTCAACGTCATTGCTTTTCTTTTGTGCTCCTTATAACGCATCAGGCCGAGACAAACCGTCGTAAGCATAACGAGGAGCATGAAGAAGGTCAGTACGACTAACTTATTCCGTAGAGGCTGCGACGATCCATACTTCGGCATTTCAATAACGCAAAAATCTTCTCAGTAATACCTATCCGTTTGCATTCGCATATTGTCGTCTGCCAAATCCATTATATCATAAACAAACACACAGTTGATGGACTATTTCCTGCGTACGCAAATTTCCATTATATAAAACGTAAATCGGGGTCAAGATAAAGCCACAAATTCGAGCCTGGACTCGCTCGGATGTACAACGTAGACAGAGATAAGGGAGAAATCGCGATAACAGTAGCCCTAGAAAGCGGACCGCAGCTTTTCACTCGGAGATAAGCAGTATAATTGATACTTACAGAATTTCTCTCGTAAAGAACTCAGCTGTAAGCGCTATTTCGAACCGTCCCGAGGTTGTATATCCTGTCATTAAACCAGAAATACGATACAGCTGGAGTTGTTGTTTTTCGGATTAAAGTCGATCTTCGAATAGTACGCATGCACCTTGACCGTAAGAACTGTCGAAAACGATCATTTGTTACGCTGCTGTTGAACGTTAAGACTGTTTTATACCTTGCCTAAATTCTGAAGCTATTAACGCTTAATTTGTTGCGCTTAGCAACTGGCTACTCATCCCTGACATTTTGAATTTGAATATCTTTCTCCCATTGGTCGTGACCAGGGAAACACGTTAATCGCATAAATAAGTGATGCCCATTTAACGCGGGTGGAAAAGTCGCTGCGGAAAAAAAAAGGAAATGGATATCGATTATGCAGACATTTGGTCTGATTCATGAGAATTCATGAAAAAAGCGACATTTTTTTAATGGAAATTTGCGTTTTGAGGTTACCACTCGTGCGATTAATGATAAGATAAACGACCCGGTTTTCAAATTCAATTCAAAAGTGTGGACAGCTTTTATCTCCTAGAGCGATATGTTCACGAATTTCCCTCACACAAAGGTACTGTCCAATTTTCGAAAATCACCAGAAAAGATAGCTATCGAGAGCTGTGTCTCCTCGAAGAATATCGCCGGAGAATTCGAACGAGAGTCAACATTCAGTATATTTCACAAAACAATACACTATATGTATCATTTATCATTAATTTTGTTTTGATAATTTACTTCGTAATCGATACACGTAACGTCATTCATCCAAATAATCAACTCTAAAACAAATCCCGTAAATTAGGATGTCTGCATTCCGGTCTGCATGGACAGGGGGGGCTCATTTCGTGCTATGAACCTGAGCCACCGCCGTCTGAGTTATGATGTACAAGAGCGAAGCTAGAACGTTAGTTAGCGAGGGGGGGGTGGGGTGAATACATTCAGCTCTCCCTAAATAACTTCTTTTGAAAATTAGAATTGCCTTCAAAACAAATCAGTCAGAAAAACTAAATGTATCAATATTTACAGCCCCCCCTCCACAAACACACACAATTAGCGTTGTAGCTTTCCCTGACGGCGCCATCTTTCTTAGCCGGAGTTCAGGTTTAAACTTTGATAATTTGATTGAATAAAAGACCAAACAGCTGACTTTAACAGTGACTTCATCGACCACTTCACTTTCACATACGCTATTTGCTAGGGTTTAGTCAAGCAAAATTATCAAGCCTCTTTTCAGTTTTGATTCGAGCGATTATTAAATTGCAGATGTCATGATGGACAGCGGCGCCAGCCGCAGGTTTTAGTCATGCTATTTGTAAAATCAGGGATGGATCCAAGAAGGTTATGCAGGGGGAGGGGTGAGCTATAGTTTGGAGTAGATTTCGCTGGCTACTTGCTTGTGCCGTAGCAGCTCAGACTTTTTTGTTAAATTGTGTTTCCTTTTTATATTATGACTTGGGATTTTTGGAGGTGTACTCCATTAAACACTGATGTCAATTGCTTTTTCTCAATTATTTGGTATATTAATATTTTGTCGGAAAATCACTCTGGGTAAGACACACCTCCCTCCAGCAACCTCATCCAGCCAGGACAGGAGGTATGCGAACCTCTTCTCTTAAATCCATCCCCGTGTAGTATATTTACGAACATTACTCTGTTCATTTCTTTAGAAATCTGTTTTCATGGTGGATGGAAAGTGAAAAATCAGCATAGAGCGACTGAGAAGGAACTCTGGCGACGCGACTGGCTTTAATATGAGAGTCCAGCCCCATCAAGAAAAAGAACGCGTTAGCTTCCACGGTACCCGACCTTTACGTAAGTGTCACACAAGTATAAAAATTCCTATGCAATTATTGCCAGCTATATACAGAGAATTAGATCGACGTCATTTTACAAAAAAAACGCCCCGATTTGCAAATGAGATTATTTCGTCACGATGGCTTCAGTTTCTCAATGATCGAGTTATCAGGCTTCGATTTCGTATAAAAGAAAATGTAACCCTTAACTGACTCCACGTGTTTTTCGTCCGATGGCAGAACGGAACTGTCGTTGAAATTGTACCATTTTCCTAGAAAGATGTTCGATAGAGTTATGGCCGGTTCAAACGTCGAACTTTACACGAACCGAAAGCATTTGAAACAAAAAGATAAAGAGAAAGTTCATCTCATTTTCTTTTGTCTTTAATGCGTTCGGTGCATGTAAAGTTCGACGTTTAAAACGGCCCTTAGAGACGAGGTGTTTATCTCGACAATTAAAATGCAAAAAATAACATTTAACAGTGTGAATATTCATTTATTTGAGCTGTTGGAACAGTCATTTACGTCAATCGAGAATCATTAGGTCAAATATAACAATCATTTGTATATTTCTTCGTAGTTGAAAACATAGAAGAAAAATACAGAAATGACTGTTATCTTTGATCTAATGATTCTCGATTGGCGTAAATGACTGTTCTAATTAATGGTATTCGCATTGTCAAATGTAGAATTTTAGCATTTGAATTTCTATCCGTGCAAGTCATTGTTTATGAACATGCAAAATTTCTATGTGAATGTTTCTTTCGTTGAAATGCTTGTTGCTTGATGAAATTGAAGGTAAGCTCGCACTGTTGAATGCGTACAAATGTAAAATAATTGAATATTTCCCCTTCTAATGACAAGAAAAAGAGTATTGACGGTGTGAAATTCAAATAGCGCCACCGAAACTTTCATGTCGGATACGCTATTGAGTAGAGATCAACACAGTCAACAGACAGTGAAACAGAAAGAGAATTTCAACTACTTTCACGACCAACTAACGAGTCGGCAGATACACTGTGGGGTAAATGAACCAATCATTTGGATTCCAATCCCCTAGATGTCTGATTACCAAGTCAATGTGAGGGTAGAACGCCATCTTGAAAGGTGGCAAAAAACTAATCTCAAAATGGTAAACAAGAAGAAAGTTTGAAAAACCAATCTTGTTAAACATTATTTAAATCAAACATAGACTATGAACTATGCAACTGTATATCAACTCAAAAAAAAGCAGATATTAGTCGTAAAAACATCAGTTTCGCCCCCTTTCAAGATGAAGATTTGCCTCTTAGCTATAGAATTTTGGCAGAGTGAGATATCTAGTAGACTGGGCTCTATGTCATTGAAATAAACAACCCAAGAAAGAAAAATTAAAACAAAAGCATACCATCGTGCCAAGCAATTGAAGTATAATGACCAGAATTCACGCTGTTCAACAACAAAAAAGTAAGAAAAAAACAGTTATGTGAATGGTTAGTTGTCTAAACTGAACGCAGTTTAGCGGACACCTTAAGTCACTGACCAGCAAAAACATGCCCAAGGCACAAAAATAATGTTTGTGAGTTTAACGTTAAAATACCTACTTCTATAACATTGCTTTTGTTTTGTTGATTGGCATTTTCCCGCTACTTACTGCTATATGTGCCCGCGGTCTTCATGGTCACCGAAATATGGCTACCGGTTTCCGCTAAACTGCATTCTAGCTATGCCTTCACTTCCGGCCGAACAATTTTCACCTACCCGCTGCCGTGATGAACTATAACAGCGGCAAGATTGTATGTACACGAACCGTGTCCTTTCTACATTCATAAAACAAGGAGAAAAAAATCACTGAAGATCAAAACATTCAAGCTTTCAAACATGTCTGTTATTCAATAAATAGAGATAATTTGTCATAAAGAAGCTTGATTTACTTAAAATCAATGCTTAAAACACTGTATCTGACGTAATCAGTCATACAGAGGTCTTAGTTTACTAAAAATCATGTATCTGACGTAATCAGTCATACAGAGGTCATAGTTTACTAAAAATCATGTATCTGACGTAATCAGTCATACAGAGGTCATAGTTTACTAAAAATCATGTATCTGACGTAATTAGTCATACAGAGGTCATAGTTTACTAAAACTCATGTATCTGACGTAATTAGTCATACAGAGGTCTTAGTTTACTAAAACTCATGTATCTGACGTAATTAGTCATACAGAGGTCTTAGTTTACTAAAAATCATGTATCAGACGTAATTAGTCATACAGAGGTCATAGTTTACTAAAAATCATGTATCTGACGTAATTAGTCATACAGAGGTCTTAGTTTACTAAAATCATGTATCTGACGTAATCAGTCATACAGAGGTCATAGTTTACTAAAATCATGTATCTGACGTAATTAGTCATACAGAGGTCATAGTTTACTAAAAATCATGTATCTGACGTAATCAGTCATACAGAGGTCATAGTTTACTAAAACTCATGTATCTGACGTAATTAGTCATACAGAGGTCTTAGTTTACTAAAAATCATGTATCTGACGTAATCAGTCATACAGAGGTCATAGTTTACTAAAACTCATGTATCTGACGTAATTAGTCATACAGAGGTCATAGTTTACTAAAAATCATGTATCTGACGTAATTAGTCATACAGAGGTCATAGTTTACTAAAAATCATGTATCTGACGTAATTATTCATACAGAGGTCTTAGTTTACTAAAACTCATGTATCTGACGTAATTAGTCATACAGAGGTCATAGTTTACTAAAACTCATGTATCTGACGTAATTATTCATACAGAGGTCTTAGTTTACTAAAACTCATGTATCTGACGCAATTAGTCATACAGAGGTCATAGTTTACTAAAAATCATGTATCTGACGTAATTAGTCATAAAGAGGTCATAGTTTACTAAAACTCATGTATCTGACGTAATTAGTCATACAGAGGTCTTAGTTTACTAAAAATCATGTATCTGACGTAATTAGTCATACAGAGGTCATAGTTTACTAAAAATCATGTATCTGACGTAATTAGTCATACAGAGGTCTTAGTTTACTAAAAATCATGTATCTGACGTAATCAGTCATACAGAGGTCATAGTTTACTAAAAATCATGTATCTGACGTAATTAGTCATACAGAGGTCATAGTTTACTAAAAATCATATATCTGACGTAATTAGTCATACAGAGGTCATAGTTTACTAAAAATCATGTATCTGACGTAATTAGTCATACAGAGGTCATAGTTTACTAAAAATCATGTATCTGACGTAATTATTCATACAGAGGTCTTAGTTTACTAAAACTCATGTATCTGACGTAATTAGTCATACAGAGGTCATAGTTTACTAAAACTCATGTATCTGACGTAATTATTCATACAGAGGTCTTAGTTTACTAAAACTCATGTATCTGACGCAATTAGTCATACAGAGGTCATAGTTTACTAAAAATCATGTATCTGACGTAATTAGTCATAAAGAGGTCATAGTTTACTAAAACTCATGTATCTGACGTAATTAGTCATACAGAGGTCTTAGTTTACTAAAAATCATGTATCTGACGTAATTAGTCATACAGAGGTCTTAGTTTACTAAAATCATGTATCTGACGTAATCAGTCATACAGAGGTCATAGTTTACTAAAAATCATGTATCTGACGTAATTAGTCATACAGAGGTCATAGTTTACTAAAAATCATGTATCTGACGTAATTAGTCATACAGAGGTCATAGTTTACTAAAATCATGTATCTGACGTAATTAGTCATACAGAGGTCTTAGTTTACTAAAATCATGTATCTGACGTAATCAGTCATACAGAGGTCATAGTTTACTAAAATCATGTATCTGACGTAATTAGTCATACAGAGGTCATAGTTTACTAAAATCATGTATCTGACGTAATTAGTCATACAGAGGTCATAGTTTACTAAAATCATGTATCTGACGTAATTAGTCATACAGAGGTCTTAGTTTACTAAAACTCATGTATCTGACGTAATTAGTCATACAGAGGTCTTAGTTTACTAAAACTCATGTATCTGACGTAATTAGTCTACAGAGGTCTTAGTTTACTAAAACTCATGTATCTGACGTAATTAGTCATACAGAGGTCTTAGTTTACTAAAACTCATGTATCTGACGTAATTAGTCATACAGAGGTCTTAGTTTACTAAAACTCATGTATCTGACGTAATTAGTCATACAGAGGTCTTAGTTTACTAAAATCATGTATCTGACGTAATTAGTCATACAGAGGTCTTGGTTTACTTAAAACAGTGCATCTGACATAATCAGTCATACAGAGGTCTTGATTTACAAGGCATGACGTAATCAATCATACAGAGGTGTTGGTTTACTTACAACACTGGGTATGACGTAATCATTCATATCAAGGTCTTGCAAAGGAAATTCCACAGTCGTGTCGATTTTACTTCGATGAAATGAAACGAATTTAAATCGTTTAAGATGAAGGCATAGAACCTACACAATGTAAAACACGATATCAAAATTTGTGGAAAAGTTAATGGAAATATAAGTAGAAAAGCGTTGAATGTTTAAAGTGGCCCGAAACTTGCCATGCGAGAAACGGATTCGTGATAAAATGATATTAAATCAAATTACAAAATAAACATAATGAAACGCGTGCGGTGATTGGTCTAGAGCCGTTTTTGCATCAGCCTGTGCAAAATACATGTGAGCTTAACCAATCAAATCAATCTAAACAATCAATCATTCAAAGAAAATTTGCAAATCGATCATGATTACATTTTAGAGGAAAAATTAAAATGTTTGTCTTTTTCGCATTATTGTTATTTTATAAAAGAAATAAAAGATGTTTTTCGTATTTGCATTGGCTTATGCAAACCTCGGAGACGCCTGTGAACCCTCTCGAGCATGTGCAACCCTCGACCTTCGGTCTTGGGCTTGCACTGATCTGCTCTCGAGTTCTCCTAAAGGTCTCCTCGGTTTGCATAAGCTCGCGCAAACACTGTAAACATGTTTTATTTCTTAACTGATAAAACTTTCAAGTCAAACTTTATAAACAAGAAACACAATACAAACATTTGGTAATCTTAGTATCGTCAACTTCTTGGACGACGACTGTCTCTTTTTACAACGTGGACAGTAATATTGCTCGCTATCTTGTAGCTCTTCTACTTTAGTGAAACTATCAAGACAATCTAACAACACCAAAATACAAAATTATTAAAGTACAAAGAGGAAATCAAAGTGGAAAATTTGGTTTATCGTATGGCTTAAGTTGACTACCACAGATCTATGGAAACCTCCCACGAAAAATGAAACAAGTTTTTTCTACTTTCAATGTACCAGATCACACGGATGTACCCTTTCAATGTACCAGATCACACGGATGTACGACAACAGGGATTCAAGGATAGTACAACTCATTTTGAATAGTTCTAAAGAATCTATCCCGTCCTCGGCCGACAAAAGGATTATGTTTTTAATTTATCCCTGTTTTGAGCGTCATCTCCCCTTTTGGAGATGACGTACACTGTTTCTTGGCATTATAAATATCGGTAGATTGTAAATTTTCATTTAGCAGACGTTGACACCTGAGGATTAGTCTGCCGAAATGCATCGTGTCATTTAATTTAGAACTATTGGGTTAGTGCTTTTTACTTAAAACAGTTCTTTTAAGAACTATCAACTTATTATATTACTTTTACCATTCACTATGGTATTTGCTATCTTTAGAACTATTTTCAGATTTGTCACCACGACAAAGTCTCTATTTTATCATTTTGAATAGAAAACTGACTTAAATAAATTTATCAAACTATTGCCATATAAACTTCACACTTGGACTGTAATTCAATCTAGTGTAAAGTTGCTTGGCGGTAGGAAACGGGTTACGCTGTAAAGATTTGATAATTTGTTTAAAATACATCTTCACCTTGACGGTATTTCCCTCGTATCATCTTTTCAAATAAAATAAATGTGCTCACCTTTAAGATGACAAACAGGTCCGTCAAAAACTCTCGTCCTTCGTGATTGATATTCCTCGGGAATGTCGAGTGAAAGGTCTGTAAAGTTGAAAGGAATTTTTACTAAGAATGTACTTTACTTAAGTAAATGGTTTGAACACGGGAGTATCGTTACATGTTTGTGGATGTGGATCGTCCAGGTTGGTATAGTCCTGAGAAGGACTGTTTTTGTTGTTGTTGACTGACGTTTCGAAAGTTGGTATACCAACTTGGAACAAACCCCCCTGAACAGATCACAGCAATACCGCACCTTACAAACGACCTATTCACAACACAAACAAACGATCAACTAAAAACATTACACTTCACACTAATCCACAATGACAATACACAATTGACACCCGCACATTTCCTGTACACACAATACAATGAAGATGACTACCACTAAGGTTGTCGAATCGTCAGTCAACAACAACAAAAACAGTCCTTCTCAGGACTATACCAACCTGGACGATCTACATCTACAAACATGTAATGTACTTTGTTATAGACATCAATATCACTGAATGTACTTTGTTATAGACATCAATATCATTGAATGTACTTTGTTATAGACATCAATATCATTGAATGTACTTTGTTATCGACATCAATATCATTGAACATCTATTTGACCTATTAGTTGACAACAGTCTTCTGTACTGAAGAAAAATGCTGTATAAATGTTGGCAATATACATATTTACTACAAGATCCTAGTGTCGGTACATGGAACGCATACAACTAAGAGGTAAATTTGGAAACTACTACTACAAAAAACGTGCAATCACATTTTTTCACCACCCCATATAGATCCTTCTATAAACTTTGTAACTTTCCCAAACTATTTAATAAATAGAACTCCAAGTAATTTTGAAAGTAAATCTCTGAAGCAAACACCTCCCATGCTTTGTGCGACGTTTTCTGGCTTCTTGCGTAATATACATCCAGGTACTTATATATAAATATATCAGTCATCAACATGAGAGGAAAATTGACGTACCTAAAAAGGGGTCGTGTTTTCTAGATTCGTTTCCACATCTTGAACAAATGACCTAAGACAAACACGATGAATGCAAAAGCTCGTGAAAATCAAATTTAACGAGAAAAAGATTGGCGTGGTCTTTTAATAGTAAGAGGCCCCAGATGATTGAAAAACTAGTTCGAAAAATTTTTTATTTTTCGGGCAGATTTTCTAACAATCCCCTAGATTGTCCATTAACTATGGTGTTTTTGCCTAAACTCACCTGACTCTCTAACAATCCTCCAAATATCACAGTAACTATGGTGTTTTTGCCTAAACTCACCTGACTTTCTAAAAATCCTCCAAATATCACAGTAAATAAGGTGTTTTTGCCTAAACTCACCTGACTTTCTAAAAATCTTCCAAATATCCCAGTAACTATGGTGTTTTTGCCTAAACTCACCTGACTCTCTAACAATCCTCCAAATATTCCAGTAACTATGGTGTTTTTGCCATTACACGCCATCTTGGTGAGCAACAGCTCGTTGTGAACCCTGTCCAGAAGATAATGCATAAATTCGTGGGCGTCTTGCTGTTGGTAACCTCTGCGGAATAGAAGATGCGTATTACATGGATGGATTTTCATATAATTTCCAGGGATGGTAGTAAATTTGAGGGGAGTGAGCTGGTAAGGAAGTGACGTGTCAGAAAAAGTAAGTGCCTAGTTAGTTTTATGGGGGTTGGGGTCAAGCAGTACAGCCACCGAAGGTAGGATCAAACAGTTGAAACAATGCCCAGAAAACTCAGTTCAACTGTACGAGTGATTTGTTTTGCTGAAAATTACTGGGAGTTAAAATGTTTCTTAGAAGTGTGAACCATTCGTTTAGGGGGGTGAAATCTTATGTTTGGGGGGGGGTGAAACCACCCTGCATCCCCTCCAGAAAATCAATGGCGAATTATAATTGATGAACAATGACGTAGATGAATAAGCGAGTCGCGGAAGATGACTGGGCTGAGGTATATGATTGCAGCATATCATAATCGTGATTAATTGAACTGCAAAGAAGACGTTTTTAAGATGAATGATTTAAAATCATTCCAGATCTATTGAAGCACGCAACACTAAATAAAGATCTTTCAAAACAACTTTTTCAACAAAATTTTGCCATGTCTTCTATAAGCATCTAGAAGTCGCTCTTTACACCCGGGCAATAATACAACTGAGGGACCGGGGGGTGGCAGTGGACAGCAAAATTTAGTTTTCTATTTTTAACGCGTAAAAAGACATCCATCAAAAGATGAAAACAACATCGTTCAACAAATTATCCACACAACCCAAATTAATCCACGCAATCCAAGTTGATCCCACCGCATCCCCTCCTTATATGAACATCTCATTGACTTTGATGACGTACCTAAATCTTGGAACAACTCTCCAGACAACGGAGAATAAGGTTTCTGGCGATATCGGGCCACTTTGACCTTGCCATAAGGCACATAAAATTTTTCGAAGTTCCTCCACTAGCGATCTATAAAAAATAATTTTAGCCGTTACGTAATGTATTGGTGTCTATCCTGGTTTATGATTGGTCGTTACGTAATGTATTGGTGTCTAACCTGGTTTATTATTGGTCATTACGTAATGTATTGCTGTCTATTCTGGTTTATGATTGGTCGTTACGTAATGTATTGGTGTCTATCCTGGTTTATGATTGGTCGTTACGTAATGTATTGGTGTCTATCCTGGTTTATGATTGCTTTGAAATATAACGAGCTACAATACTATAGAAATTATAAGTTTGAAGAGCGAATAATTTGGCTTCGTTGCTCTTGTCTGATTGAGGCATCGGGAAACCTTTTCATATTCGGCTGGGAACTTAATGACATATCTCTTATGAAGTAGAGTCGCATAAACGACAGTTATTGAAATTTTACGTTGAATAAAAACAATAAAAACGCATGCGCTGATCGGTCTCTACATGAGTTTGCATTTAGCCTGCGCAAACCAATCTGAGCTAAATCAACTAAATCGATCAAAATGATATGTTAGAGAGAAAATTAAAGCACTAGTAATAATTTTATCAGTTTCACATTATTATTATTTACTAAAAGAAAGAAATGAAAGATGTTTTTGGTGCTTGCACTGACTTACAAAAACCTTTGAAATGTTCGTAAGAATTCTCGAGCAGTGATATGCTCGAGAGAGCCCTCCGAAAGATCTCCTCGATTAGCATAAGCCTGAGCAAACACAGTAAACAATGGTCAACTCGTGTTTGTATCAGTGAAAAGGTTCAAGACCCTAGATCTAATGAATTAAATCATCTAAAGGCAAAACAACAGTCAAACCATTATAATCACAATAATGAAATCCACTTACACGTCATCTACACTTTTCATCCTAAAACTTCGCGTGTAATATCGCTGCTTGGCGCATGCGTCTTCACTGCGCAGGTCAATCGCAGGAAGTTCTTTGAAATAGCACGTGAACGGCTGAATGTTGCTAAAAAATTGATGTTTATGTAATGAAGAGTGCATAAAACGAAGAGTTGGTTTTGAATATTGGGATCAATATGAGATAATATTGCTATAGTATTACTGGTGGTACAATTATAGCTACAGTATGGCACAACCACTGCTACAGTATGGCACCATCACTGCTACAGTATGGCACCATCACTGCTACAGTATGGCACCACCACTGCTACAGTATGGCACCACCACTGCTACAGTATAGCACCACCACTGCTACTGTATGGCATCATCACTTCTACAGTATGGCATCACCACTGCTACAGTATGGCACCATCACTGCTACAGTATGGCACCATCACTGCTACAGTATGGCACCACCACTGCTACAGTTTGGCACTACCACTGCTACAGTGTGGCATCACCACAGCTACAGTATGGCACCACCACTGCTACAGTGTGGCATCACCATAGCTACAGTATGGCACCACCACTGCTACAGTGTGGCATCACCATAGCTACAGTGTGGCACCACCACTGCTACAGTGTGGCATCACCATAGCTACAGTATGGCACCACCACTGCTACAGTGTGGCATCACCACAGCTACAGTATGGCACCACCACTGCTGTGTGGCATCACCACAGCTACAGTGTGGCACCACCACTGCTACAGTGTGGCATCACCATAGCTACAGTATGGCACCACCACTGCTACAGTGTGGCATCACCACAGCTACAGTATGGCACCACCACTGCTACAGTATGGCACCACTACTGCTACAGTGTGGCATCACTACTGCTACAGTATGGCACCACTACTGCTACAGTATGGCACCACCACTGCTACAGTATGGCACCACTACTGCTACAGTATGGCATCACCACTGCTACAGTATGGCACCACTACTGCTACAGTATGGCACCACTACTGCTACAGTATGGCACCACTACTGCTACAGTATGGCACCATCACTGCTACAGTATGGCACCATCACAGCTACAGTGTGGCATCACCACAGCTACAGTATGGCACCACCACAGCTACAGTGTGGCACCACCACTGCTACAGTGTGACATCACCACAGCTACAGTATGGCACCACCACAGCTACAGTATGGCACCACCACAGCTACAGTATGGCACCACCACTGCTACAGTGTGACATCACCACTGCTAGACTATGGCACCATCAACGCTACATTTTTACATTTCTTTAACCACAGCAAAATATTCCAACTCACCTTAGTGACTGAAGAACAGCATTCATAAAGCAAGTGTTACCCAAATTCCTTAACCCAGCTAAATAATGTTGCTTTTCACCACGTTTTAGGTTTTCTTGCTAAATGCAACATGGAAAACATACGTAAGGACAGCACATCATAAAATAACTAAGAGATGAATTAGAAAAGTTCATTTACTTACGTCATCGAATTTTGACAGTTTGCTAGCAGTATGGCTGACATCGTCACCTAAACCTCTTTTCTTGCCAGGACTGTAGGAAAAAAAAATTACATGAAGTTTTCCACACATTTAAATGTTCACCATTATGATTTGAGTACATACCTCCTTATAGACTTCCTACCCAATATATCACGAAATTGTTGTATTTTTCCTGTTTTAGTGTCGTTGATAACAAACTCGTCACATTTGTAGCTGAAATGGAAATTATGCTACGAATCCAGTGTTTGGTACAGATTCATTGACAAGGTAAAATGTCCCTTGTAAAATATATAAAATGAAACATACATTTTGAAATGAATTTGACTAGTATTGCATCACAGTATAAAGAATAAACAGAAGGTCCACTTTATTGTGCAACTCTATGCTGTGCTTTTATCTAGCTTACTCATTTATGACGTGAATGGATTGAACCAAGGAATATCATTGCAAGCTTTTTGATGTAGATCATCCAGGTTTGTAGAACCCCTGAGAAGATTGTCAGTGTTGATGTTCACAGAAGTTTTGATAACCTTAGAAGTGACTCTGAAGATGACTACCACTAAGGTTGTCAAAATGTTAGTCAACATCAACAGTCCTTCTCAGGACTCAACTAGCCTCCGCATGATCTACATCTATAAGCAAGTTAATGGTTAATGATTAGCCATCTTAGTGTTCCTATTGGTCAAAAATGGTAATGGTTAGCCATCTTAGTGTTTCTATTGGTCAAAAATGGTTATGGTTGGCCATCTTAGTGTTCCTATTGGTAAAAATGGTTTATGGTTAGCCATCTTCGTGTTCCTATTGGTCGAAAATGGCTTATGGTTAGCCATCTCACTGTTCCTATTGGTCAAAAAATTGGCTTGCTGTAATTATACCAATTGCATGCATATTAAGAAATGCACCAAATAAGAAAATTCCATTGAGTGTAGGACTACTGTTTGTTCACTATACTGTAATAACATGAAACAAATAATGGTATCTTGCTTTACTAAACAAGTTTTTCTCGGTGAACTCATTCTCTGTTTTATAAAAAATGTCTGTGGTTAAAAGACTTCAGCTTACCAAAAAACAGCAAAGTTCTTATCCATACAAACACAATGACTTGGATTACATTCATAATGTGCTTTTGCATGAGCTTTAACGTATCTAAAATTGTCAACAAGAATTTGTATTAAGAGTGAATTACATGGAATAGCTGATCTTCCTGCCAGTAGGCTGCATGGTTGAGTAACCAGTTTACCCATGGTTCAGTAACCAGTTTACCCTTGGTTGAGTAACCAGTTTACCCTTGGTTGAGTAACCAGTTTACCCTTGTTGAGTAACCAGTTTACCCTTGGTTGAGTAACCAGTTTACCCTTGGTTGAAAACCAGTTTACCCTTAGTTGAGTAACCAGTTTACCCTTGGTTGAGTAAACCAGATTATTTAAACAGCATTGTTTAGGCAGGCCAAACCAGGCAGAGATTTCTCCAATGACTTATTCCTGGCTATAATGTCACGCTACCAAAAAAATCACTAACTTAATTTTCAAGTCAGGGGGGTGCTTCATGCGAGTTCGAAAAACAGCAACATACCCTCAGAAGTACTCCCCCGTGAAAAAACGTATATTTGAGGCGATACATTTAAAAATTTTGTGTTTTTCTACAGCTTTGAATAATGAAATTTCAATTCAAATTTTATAACATTTGAAAATATATCACCTCAAACTTAAAGCCGCTCACAAGTACGTGTATGTCAAAGAAATATCAACTAAAATAATCCTAATGTTTCGTCAGACTACCTTCCGCAATTAATGACGCCACACTTCAAACAAACCCAAGGACTATTGACTGTCTTGCACACTACAACAAAAGAATACAAGACACAGAATGAACACTGTGCTCTGTGACTGTCACATTAGAGTTGTGGAAAACACGCTATTTAATCGAGCGCATTGTGTCAAAACAAAAATACCCGAACAACACCATGACTGTAAATTGCGTTGCAGGTTTTCCATAATGGCCACATCAATTTTCACCGCTTTCTCCAAATGAGGACACTCCATTTCTACAAAAGCTCGTCGAATAGCACAAAAATACGACGATATATCGACTTGTTTCGTTAGAATTTTAGTGTATACACAAACTTTCTTGGGCAGCCCAGAAAATATGTATCGACAGGACATCAGCCATTCAAGCCAGCTCTATCAACCAATCAGATTGTGGAAATTATAAATTTTCCGGTTTCCCGCTTACGAAGACAATACAAACCCGATAAAAGTTCGTTAAATTTATCAAAAAATCCCACAACTTATCATAACATATTTGATTTGACTTAATAGATTCATTTATTTTCGAAGGGCAAAACCCTTGTTTTGTTTTTAGAAAAGTCACCGCGTATTTACATAGTTATTCTGTTTCATCCGAAATAAACGTACATTTTTGTCAGTTACAATTTGGAACGGGGGGGTGGGGGGGGAGTACAATCAATTGAGATGAAAGACTTTATCACGAAATAAAATTCGGTAAGTTCAATGCGTTTTGTTCACATAAAGACAATGTAGTGTTGGCTATTTTTGTTTTTTTCAAAAGATATTCAGATGGAGCAAGAATACCTCCTTGAACTTACTTACAAAGGTGTTTTTGTGTTAGCTATATTACATGTAGCTGCACTAGTATCCTTAATACCATGGTTGACAACAGAGATTTTTACATTTAAAAGCAAAGGCTAATACCATTATAGGATGTGACAACAATCATTCCTTAACTTATATTCTAGGTATACTGGCTTTTTTGTCTTTTCAGAGGGAGGAAAGGCGACAAGAGAAGTTCTCCAAACTTCATTGAACATTCGAATGTATATTGGTAGACAAAATTCATGTCAACCATGTCTACTTGATGTAAGATTAATTAATAACACTTAATATGCAACCAAACCTTGAAAGCGTAGTTGAATTCAATGATAATAATATATGCTTAAATATTCAAAGTATTTATCAACAAATTCAAGCTACCTGCGGCAGAATTACTTAATTATGCTGACATAAATGTTGATTTCCAGGCATGACAAATACTACTACAATGAACTGCACATATGGTAAAAATTCATATTAAATTATTAGGTCTATTACATAAATTTACCAATCTATAAATGACTATCTCCTGAATTAAATTTGGTCGCACATAAATTTTATGTATGTAACTTTTTACAAAATATTTTGGTGTAATAGGTGCAACTAAGTTATCCGACAAATAAATTGTTCAACCTTACCTAAATAAGATTATCTTTAAGTAATTTTCACAAAGAATTCTTAGCATCTTGGTGTATTAATGCAAATTCTTACCAGAATATTGATGTGCTTTCACTTATGCCCTAAACTATAAAAAACCAAACTTTAAAATTTTTGTGACAAAAGTGAAGTGAGGATCCACCGTTCCAAGAAAGTAAAATTATGACGTCATCAATGAATAAAATGATGACGTCATAAATAAATAAAATCGAAAAAACAAAAATTTTCATGTTATGACATTAAAATGTTCAACTTCATTGTGTCAATCAGCATCCTTATCACGTTCAGCCATTTTCAAATGAACAAATTCCTGTGCCACCTCTTCCGTCGTACGCTGAGCTAAAATCCTAACGATAGTTGCGCCAATATTATCCATGGTCAGCGATCTCCCAAGGGGACAAGAGCATGCGCATGACGCCATAGAAACAACCTGTTTTAGTTGTAAGACAGTGGTTCCTAGAAGTTTATCTTTACGTGCAAAACAATAATCTTTGACGCTAAAATTAATTTCGTAGCCGTCCGCCTCGTCTTCGTTGCCAAGATTACTGAAATGTAAGCACAGTTTGAGTGAGCCTACAAAACTTTTGGTCCGCGATGATTACTAGCATTGATTTTACATTGAATGTTGTGACGTAAGCAGTGACGTAGCCAGCCCACAAGCTTCGCTCATGGTATGTAAATTTCATATCATTATCATTCATTTCTTAGAAATCTATTATTTTTTCATATTCAGGAAAAACCTAAAAATATTTCAATGCGACGACAAAAATTGCGAGCCGGCCATGTCACTGCATGCGAGGAAAGAGAAGTACAACCAAAAAAAAATGTGAAAAATACAATCGTAAGTCGGTGAGAACTCGACTCCACGAGAAAAAGATGACAATTTCTAAGGCAACTTTCATATGTTCCTGTGTAGGATCAAAAAATCTAACGATGCAATCGCTCATCAAAAAAACTTTTAAAAAATTTTTTTCAGACCGCGGCACTTTAAACGGCAGAAAACAACGAAAATCCACAATTGGAAATGACTACAAAAACAGTCTTCTAGGACCGGTTGCACGAAGCGCTGTCCACTGAATAGCTATTTTTTAACGCCTCAAAAAGTTCTTAAAAGGAAAAAATCTACGATTTGAACTGGACAATCGACGAAATAAAATATTCGTTCTCAATTTACGAAGTTTCATCATTGTAAAGAAAATACAAGCACTTTTTTAACAAGTTTGAAAATTTTCTATCCAACGTATAACGCTATCCGGGCTTTGTGCAACCTGTCTATGACTTTCAACAACCACATGACAAATGCGCACATGCGCACATTGAATCATTTGAGTCTTAACAGACAATGAATAGTGAGATATTTGCGAGTGACCACGTCAATATGACTAATGTAAGAACTCACTAGTAGAAGGTCTCGTTGAACGATGGATTCCAGTTGTTTCTTTTCGATTTCGTTTCGTTTTTGCGACGCCTCGAAGAAAGATGAGGCCCAACGACCACAATTTCGACAAAGGGATTGAACATTCCTGCAACGAAAGAAGATGCAGATGTTTGCTCAAGGTTTTTTTGATAATGTGCTCTCGCTCCTCCTCCTTGGGATTTGCCAGTGATTGTGTTTAATGTGAGAAATTGTCCTTTATTACCTGCCGCATGCCAACGTAGTTCTTTGGCTTCGACGACTAAAGTAAAACAAACAATTACTATAATAATTTCTAAGTAGCAGCAAGTTTAAAAAACATTTAAGGAAAACGACAGTTTTGTTGAGCGCAAACATGTTTCGACACGCACTGAAGATGGCATTCTGATAATGTCGAAACATGTCTGCGCTGAAAAAACTGTCATTTTCCTTAAATTACTGTAATGTTTAATTGAGTTAGAGCTTTGATAAAAATCTATTCGTGTGAATGAAATCCCTACACGTAGTGCTTTATCATATTTTGCGACAAAAGCAAAATCTTACCAAAAGACACACACATATGTTTCTTAAAAGAGACTCATGATTAAAAATCACGACTGCCGAAAAAAGTATTTCGATGAAAACAAAAAACAATTGACAAAGTAAGCATCGTTCATTGCAAACGTTTCGACAAGTACTAAATGACGTGAATGAACGGCTAACTACGATCTCGTTTATTTTGTAATTTTTGAAAAGTTCACAACTCCGACTGATGATGACATGTAACAGTTGTCGAAACGTTTAGAGTAAATGCTTACTTTATAGAAGGAGTGTCTAGTGTATTGTGTTTTTTACTCATGATTAATCCGTGCAAGATTATTGAATGTGAATCCTGACACAATGAAATAACCTTTTACGGTCAGCTTATGATCTCCAGTTCCCGGATGACTCATATAATCGACCTGAACGGACACTTCGCCCATCGGATCATCCACGGCCTCTTTAGCTACGAAAAATACGAAGCAAAATGTGAGTAACGTTTCATTTCCGCCAAGCTACACCGCTAAATATTTCAAATTAACCTGGAGCAAGATTTCCAGTGTTTAATACAATTCGGATTTGTATCTTTCCTTATAATATATATATTTACGCATTGTAATTTTTAGGAAAAACCCTCTCGGGCAAAGTTCTAATCCAAAATAGCGGCATGGGAGAATTGGCAGAAAGAATTTCCTTGAACCCACTTAATACTGTATACAATTACCTTGTTGTTGTTGTGTTTTTATGAAAGTTTTGATCAGAGTATCCGTCGTTTGAGTGTATAATGACAAAGCTTTCTTTAACTTATGTAACTCCTCCGATTTCTCCAAGAACGCTCGTTTTAATCCCTGTCCTTTGTTGTGAAAGTAGTCCTATTATAAGAAGGAAACATGTTAAAATATCTACCAACAGTTCAACACATTGACACTCATTTTGAGTTCAACACATTGACACTCATTTTAAGTTCAACACATTGACACTCATTTTGAGTTCAACACATTGACACTCATTTTGAGTTCAACACATTGACACTCATTTTGAGTTCAACACATTGACACTCATTTTGAGTTCAACACATTGACACTCATTTTGAGTTCAACACATTGACACTCATTTTGAGTTCAACACATTGACACTCATTTTGAGTTCAACACTTTGACACTCATTTTAAGTTCAACACATTGACACTCATTTTGAGTTCAACACATTGACACTCATTTTGAGGCTTGAACAATTTAAGCAAGTTAATTTTATCGATATGTCGACATTTCAAGTAACACGCTGAAATGTTAAATTAACACGTGTTATTTAAAATGCCATTTACATGCTACTTCAAACAATATGTTAAATTAACATTACAAGATTAAAGGTAGCGATAATTTTAAAATGGAATCGTGGTGTTTCGTTATTTAACTGTATACTTCTAAAAACATGTTCAATCGCCCACATTAGTGCATTATTCCACATTGATTTCATCGAGCGATCAATTTAATGAATGGAAAACAGTAATTACATACCTTCAGTCTGGCGAGTGCAGATTCCAGAACTCCACACTGCTTGTGTGTAAGTCTTTTAGTCTCCTCGATCTCAAGACTCTAGAGAAAGTAAAGTGAGCGACAAAAAATGGACGATTTTCAACAAAAAATATCGAATGTTACCTTCGTTTTAAATGGCGGCAGCACTATTTCCGTCTCGAGAGTTTTCAAAACTTTTTTCCACAATTCCTTAAGAACGAAGAAGCTTTTTCTAAGATCATCGAGGAGATTGTTAAAAAGACAGTTAAACAGGAAAAAATGATGACTTTTTCAAGCAAATAGTTGAAGTACGAATGCAAGGATAGTGCAATGTCATAAAAAAAACACACCGCCTTTTGACTCGTAATTTTCAACAACCATAAACTGTCTCATACATTTATTTAATTTTACTGCATAATTTATTAACTTCCATTTAATTTTGATTCATTTCATTATTAACTTCCATTTAATTTTGATTCATTTCACTATTAACTTCCATTTAATTTTGATTCATGTATCAATGAGGTGAACATTCATTGACGTCATCATATAAAAACATTTTAATAGAACTTATCACAAGCTATAGTCGAAATAACCAGTTTATGTCTTCTTGTCTACGATTTACAAGTAAGCAATTTTCGTTTTGTCCGCCGTGTTTTTTCTATGGTTGTGTACGACAGTAAAACGTAGATTTTCAAATATATACTCAATATTCATGTCTGAATTGTTCATATATTTGAAATCCACACTTTCTGGCTCCTTGGATTCCTGAACTGATCTATGGCTTTATATATAACGCTGTTCGACGTATAATTGGATGTTTGGAAGTAAGATCCTTCACACAACTAACATTTAATTGTCAAAAAAAAATTTACAACAAAAACAATGATTTCTGAAAATTTCCGTGATCTTTGCAAAATGCCAAAAGAATTTTTAAATAGGACAACTAAAACCACCTAAATAACCTTTCACGCACTGACTAACCATAACGAGCATAAAATGCATTCACCCCCCCCCCCTCCGGAAGGTTTACACTTCGTATGACTCGTGTACAAACCTTGGCAACTCTTTTTAGGACAGATTTCTCACATTTCTCGGCCATCAACGACAACTTTGCTTGCAGTGGCTCCAACAAAGGACTCAAAACTTCTTCCGTCTTTTTCTTTAAAACTTCAGCACCGAGAGTTTGAAAACTTTCATTTCCCTTTATCCTTCAATGAAAAAAATGCATAAATACTTTAGATTGCTGGATTCAAAGATGCGTTGCTCGTGGCTATGAGTTGGTGTGCTCGGGTGAAATAGTTCAACTCAATGAACTGAATGTAAAGCTAATTCCTGCAAAAAATTTGAAACCAGCAATTAACTAGTCCCAGTCTTTCCACGCACGACCCAAAGAAAGTAACTAGAAAGTTCATTTACTACAGTAAGCTAAAATGCGCGACTTTAGCCCTAAACACGTTTGTCTGGGGGTAAAATTTGGCTTCGTGCAAGAACAGGTATGCTTATCCAAAAGATAGCCTTCCAGTTATTTAATGCCATGAAAAACAAAGCTCGTCATCTATTGGCTATCATACTTATTCAGCTCCTGATCCACTCCTCTGATTGGTTCGATAAGATCTAGATGATTCACGTAAGTCTTGCACATCTCGTCAAGAACAGAGCTCAGGTGAACTTGCAGTTCACTGAAACTCTCCTTGCATTCATCTGGTAACTTGAATAAAAAACATTAAAATGTTTGATTACCATGAGTTGGATTAGAGATAAATAAACTTGAAAAAGTTGGATTGGGCAAAGTTAAATCACCATGAGTTTGGTCGGACGAACCTAATCGGCAGAAGTTTTACTAGAAGTTATATCATCAAAAGTTTGATCAGAAAAAGCCATACCAGGGAAAGTTAGACTATGGCAATGGATGGATCAACAAGAGATTGATCATGAAAACTGGGATTACTATAGAGCTGGATAAGCGATTTGAAAACATTAGTAAATCCGTTAAAAGAATCAATTGATGAAATAAAACTAATAAGATCCAATACTAATATAAACCTCATTTGCTCCCATCAACTTGTAAAGTTGTTCCAGATTATTACGACATTCTTGAATATCATTCAGTAGAACACACACCTGGAGTGACACATGAAACCAGAGAGTTAGATTGCAGCGTGTGGTTATGCTCGAGTTCAAGTGTTTCAAAAGCTCATAATGTAAAAAAGTCAAATTGATTTATTTTCTGTCATAAGTATTGTCATCGAACAATGTTGTCTTATGCTCACATATATGTCCATGTGAAAAATATTGGTAACAGCACCACTGCAGATTACAAACAACTGGTCTTGTAGCTCTTAAAGCTTTCCCTAGTCCTTTCCCCCCTGTGCAAAGCTTTTTAACTAAACGACCTCTTCAGTCCTTCCCCCCTGTAAAGCTTTTTAACAAAACGACCTCTTCAGTCCTTCCCCCCTGCAAAGCTTTTTAACTACACGACCTCTTCAGTCCTCCCCGGCAAAGCTTTTTAACTGCACAACCTCTTCAGTGCTTTCCCCCGCAAAGCTTTTTAACTACATAACCTCTTCAGTCCTTCCCCATACAAAGCTTTTTAACTGCACAACCTCTTCAGTCCTTCCCCTGCAAAGCTTTTTTAATAAAAATCTCTTCAGTCCTTCCCCCCCTGCTACGCTTTTAACTACACAACCTCTTTAGTCCTTTCCCCCCTGCAGTGCATTCTGGGGCAACAAAGTCGATTTCTCGACGTCCCCAAGCAGAAACCTTTCCTCGTGATCATCCAGAGAACGAGTAATAACCAGAAACGAAAAAAAATTCCCTTACCTCTCTTCGTTCGTCTCTTAAACAGTAACTCAAGAACTCCTGTTTCATTTTCTCGGAGTACTCCAAAAGAACTCTAGAAATAGTCTGCAATAAAAAGTACGAAGTGGAATAAAGGTAATTCGCCAATACATATTTTGATAATTTATGAAATATAACCTCTGAGATATTCGACACTATAACAAACACAAGAGTTACATACGAAATGAAACTCGGGCAAGCTTACCTTCGACAGCCCGTAGCCAAGGTAATAAAAAAAACCAGTACAACAGCTAACATATTTTCATGCTAACCTGAGAAAATTTCCACAAGTAAATTTCAAATTTAGAACACGATTCCTTTCCAAGCTGCTTTATAATGTCGTAACTCTAGAGGACCAAGGAAAATGGAGCGACATTAACTAGAATATCTTACATGCAGAAGGGATAGAAACAACTAAAAATCCTATCAGCACGAAGGTCAGATACGTCAACTGGAAGATTATTTTGCACATTTGAAGAAAAAAAAACACCAAAAAGACAGACACTTTTGCGTAGCAAACCTGATTTAAACTCCAGAATATGTCGACGACAGAAGTAGAGATGTTGGATTGTTCAGCGCTTAGCTTAAACTGAAAGAAACAAATCAATGGCCGAAGATGGATAGATCGTTTGTAATGTTTATCTACTGTTGCATCTTCCTTCACAAACAATTTTGACTTATAAAGTTTGAAAATTGAATCTTCCTGTCTAGAGTTTGCATTTATTTCGTGCTTATCTTAGAGTTTTTACCAAATTGGTAGATTTCAGCAAATTTCCGCTTGGGGATAAAACTGCTAAGGACTGTCCCCCCCCCCCTGCCCGGTAAGTCCTTGAAATGAAGCTAATTGAATGAGACGAGTCCCCGGACGAGTTCGTCGACAATAATTGTTGTTCTTGTAAAATATTTGAAATACAAGATAGCAAAAAATATCAATATAATCATCGTCAAATCTGTTTGTTTGTAGCATGTAAAATATTTGAAATACAAGATAGCAAAAAATATCAATATAATCATCGTCAAATCTGTTTGTTTGTAGCATGTAAAATATTTGAAATACAAGATCGTAAAAAATATCAACATAATCATCGTCAAGTCTGTTTGTAGCATTTTAGCATTATAACCCACAAAAAAGGTCGAATGAAAACAAACCCCATTTGTTCTGTCTTGATCTAAGGCGCCAAACATCATATCTACGGTGATTTTTTCATTTTCTGCCATCCATTGAAGCACAAACGGTTCAAACCACGATGAATACTTGGGAACATGACCCTGGAATTGCGAACAATTGGCAACGTATTCGTTATAGAGCCATTTCACCTGAAAGAAAAATATAAAAGAGCACATTCTTATGTGTTGTTTATGATGAGGGAGATGTATACCATAATTAAATATATTACACATCTCTCTCTTTATAAACAACATTTAACTATGGTAAACATCTCTCTCTTTATAAACAACATTTAGCTATGGTAAACATCTCTCTCTTCATAAACAACATTTAACTATTGTATACATCTCTCTCTTCATAAACAACATTTAACTATGGTACACATCTTTCTCTTCATAAACAACATTTAATTATGGTACACATCTCTCTCTTCATAAACAACATTTAATTATGGTATACATCTCTCTCTTCATAAACAACATTTAACTATGGTATGCATCTCTCTCTTCATAAACAACATTGAACTATGATACACATCTCTCTCTTCATAAACAACATTTAATTATGGTATACATCCCTCTCTTCATAAACAACATTTAATTATGGTATACATCTCTCTTCATAAACAACATTGAACTATGGTACACATCTCTCTCTTCATAAACAACATTTAATTATGGTATGCATCTCTCTCTTCATAAACAACATTTAACTATGGTACACATCTCTCTCTTCATAAACAACATTTAACTATGGTACACATCTCTCTCTTCATAAACAACATTTAACTATAGTATAACTCTCCCATTAATATAACCAACATTTAACTATGGTATACAACATTTAAATTGTTCTTAGAAAGAGGGAGATGTATACTATAATTAAATGTCGTTGATGATGACGAAGATGTATACCATAGTTAGATGTTGTTTATGGAGGAGATGTAAACGATATCCTTTCATAATTATCCTTTATCATTATATCTTGTCTACAAACATTTTACCTTGAAAAAAAGATTCATATAGTCCGTGCTCGCCCATGTAGGACACTGTTCGTGTTCTGAAAACAAATCAATAAAATAAAATAAATTAAAAGAAGAGAAATAAAAAATTGTCGACCAGTAAACGTTTACGTTTCAAAGTATCCGTGAGATCGCGAGAAAACGACAGCCACATTGTCGTCGCTGACATCTCTCCAATGTTCAAATCAGCGAATCTAAAGAAAATCCATTGAAAATCACATTTCGGAAAGGTAAACAAATTTGGATGATTTAAAAAGAAAAAGATGAAATGAAAAGGTTGTAATATTCTGACTTGGGAACAGTATTTTACTTACTGACTTAAAACTGGAGTAAAATATTTTACTTACTGACTTAAAACTGGAGTAAAATATTTTACTTAATGACTTAGAACTGGAGTAAAATATTTTACTTACTGACTTAAAACTGGAGTAAAATATTTTACTTACTGACTTCAAACTGGAGTAAAATATTTTACTTACTGACTTAAAACTGGAGTAAAATATTTTACTTAATGACTTAGAACTGGAGTAAAATATTTTACTTACTGACTTAAAACTGGAGTAAAATATTTTACTTACTGACTTAAAACTGGAGTAAAATATTTTACTTACTGACTTAAAACTGGAGTAAAATATTTTACTTACTGACTTCAAACTGGAGTAAATTGAAAATTTTTGCTATTCAATGGATAACGCTATCCAGGCTTCGTGCAACTGGCTCCTGGAGTATATTTTACTTACTGACTTAAAACTGGAGTGTAGTATTTTATATCTTCTTCAATGACCGACACCATTAGCGTGATTAACTGTGGCCAGAAATCAATGTGATTGGGTGAATTAACACAATAATCTTTGTCATTAGACGTTGAATGTTCATAAAGTTCACTGCAGTTATTGAAAATGAAAGTGTACGTATTCTCGAGGGAGTTCTGAAAAGATAAAATACCAACGTACTCATAGAATAGAAACACGTGACTTTGTTGTTGTTTTGATTCATTATAATACACTCAGCAACCACTCACCATAATACACTCAGCAACCACTCACCTTAACACACTCAGCAACCACTCACCTTAACACACTCAGCAACAACTCACCATAACACACTCAGCAACCACTCACCATAATATACTCAGCAACCACTCACCTTAACACACTCAGCAACCACTCACCTCAACACACTCAGCAACCACTCACCATAATATACTCAGCAACCACTCACCTCAACAAACTCAGCAACCACTCACCTTAACACACTCAGCAACCACAACGGAAGTCCGAGGAGGATTCGTTATTTCTTGAACCTTTAGTAATAAATAATATCATTAATAATACCCAAGAAACGACAATATGTTATTAATATCATTAATAATACTAATTATTTATTCTCGCGGTTAATTAGTAATTCATGAATTTTAACGAGACTTGGGATGACGTCATTTCGAGAAATCGAAAACATTCGTCATCTGAGACAGTCTAAATCAAGTTCTTTGAACTTAAAACATAGGCAAGCAAACTTCGACTGAAAAATTACTCTAAGTCAAGAAAAATACTTTATCCGTGACATTTTACCTTAAGTCTAAAAAACGTGATACTGGTCAATAAATCCACAGTTGACTTTAAATCGATCATTTTCTCCTCATTTTGCGAAGGAAAATTACTCTAAAAGCGAACAAAGCGACAACTGTCAACAGATTTTCGAAAGAAAACAAAAACGATGGTTAAACCAGCTTCACTTGTTCTCACTCGATAACTCTGCAAGTCAACACGTAAGGAATTGTGCAGCTGATCCAAAATCTTCACAAAATGTTCGCGCTAAATACAAAAAAAAAACATGCATTAGTATATAAAGTTGAGCACCTCTCGACTATCAAAACTTTATTGTGAACCAAAAAACATGTTTTATTAAAAAGTCTAAAAAAATGATTAGGCTTTTCTATTACAGGTAGCCTTCCATCTATTATAGTTCAATCTTGTGAACAGACATCTCAAACTAAATATGAAAAACAAATTTTTCATTGCAAACATGTCTATGACATGATCAGCGCGAGAAAAAAACTTGGCAACAATTGTTGAATGACATTGCGATATTTGATTGGTCACTTACAGACAATGGAGATGATATTTAATTGGTTGCAATCAGAGTGTGGAGTAACAAAAATGCGTCATTAACATGGAACGCTTGAAAACTGACTCACACTAATGATAGCATTAAGTATGCGAAACATATTTGGAAGTTTTAATGCAAAAGTTTAATGTTTCTTGACGCAGATCGTCCAGGTTAGTGCAATCCTGAGAAGGACTGTTTTTCATGAGCATGCGCACCAGACAGTAAGTTTGGGCTCGCCCAAACTTGTAGCCTGGGTACGTCATTACTTGGGACTGTACTAATCTGAACGATCTACATTTATAAATTAACAACAATAAAACACGTGCGCTGATTGGTCGATAGCTGAGTTAACAATAGCCCGCGCAAACCGATCTGAGCTCAATCACTTCCACAATAAAAGAGAATTTGCTAATCAATCGTGAATACATGTTGGAAGAAAAATTAAAACGTTCGTTTGAAATTCATATGTTTCGCATTACTGTTCTTTTATATAAGAAAGAAAAGATGTTTTTCGTGTTTGCACTGGCTTATGGAAGCCTCGGACCAAATATCTCGTCACGGTTTGCATATAAACCAATGCAAACACAGTAAACATCCTTATGGAAGCCTCGGACCAAATATCTCATCACGGTTTGCATATAAACCAATGCAAACACAGTAAACATCCTTATGGAAGCCTCGGACCAACTATCTCGTCAAGGTTTGCATATAAACCAATGCAAACACAGTAAACATCCTTATGGAAGCCTCGGACCAAATATCTCATCACGGTTTGCACATAAACCAATGCAAACACAGTAAACATCCTTATGGAAGCCTCGGAACAACTATCTCGTCACGGTTTGCATATAAACCAATGCAAACACAGTAAACATCCTTATGGAAGCCTCGGACAAACTATCTCGTCAAGGTTTGCATATAAACCAATGCAAACACAGTAAACATCCTTATGGAAGCCTCGGACCAAATATCTCATCACGGTTTGCATATAAACCAATGCAAACACAGTAAACATCCTTATGAAAGCCTCGGAACAAATATCTCGTCACGGTTTGCATATAAACCAATGCAAACACAGTAAACATCTAAATGAAGATATGAACTTCGCACTTTGCTGGACAATTTCAAAACACCGCTCTGCATATAACATTCTTTCATATGACAGTAAACATCTTTTACTTTTTAAACACAAACATGCAGAGATAATCCAGGGTTCGAACCCCATTCACTTTAATCGCAAAGTTTGTCATCCATATTTAGGGCCTGATTTTATGGAGGAAAGTTGGCCCGGATAGCGAGTTAGCCCGATGATTTCAAGGGATTGAAAGAAGCCAAATCTTCAAGGTTAAAAATTACAACTGTTTGCGAAGGACCACGCGTCATTCCTGTTGTAATTCTCAAATTAGGCCAAAATGGTTGTTTTAATTTGAAATGTTTTGCGTAGTTATTAAATCTGAATATTGTACAATTGCTTGAGAAGATTTATCTGATGATAAGTATTGAATCGTTTCCATTTGGCAAAATCATTTTACGCTTGGCTGAATCCCGGCTACCGGGCTCATGTAATCCACCCCTTAGTTTGCATTTAAGAAATAAAAGATGTTTACTGTGTTTGCACGGGCTAATGCAAACCGAGGAGACCTTTAGGAGAACTCGAGAGCAGATCAGTGCAAGCTCGAAACAGAAGGTCGAGGGTTGCACATGCTCGAGAGTTGTCACAAACGTCTCAGAGGTTTGCATAAGCTAGTGCAAACACGAAAAACATCCTTATTTCTTTTATAAAATAACAATAATGCGAAACAGACAAATATAAAGTAAACGTTTTGATTTTTCTTCTAAAATGTATTCATGATCGATTTGCGAATTCTCTTTGACTGATTGATTGTTTGTATTGATTTGATTGGTTGAGCTCAGATGTGTTTTGCACAGGGTGATGCAAACACAGCTCTAGACCAATCAGCGCACGCGTTTCATTGTGTTTGTTTTATAATTCCTATTGCAAAACAGATATCTATTGTACTTACGCCAAAGTTTATAGCAGCAAATCTATCATAAGCGGAGGCCATGTTGCTTGATGTTGTGTGAGCAAAGAAAGCGTTCACATTGGCCAGCAGTTTGCTCAAGACATCCGGAACACCTGGACTGGTGTAGCGTTCGGCAAGACAGGAAAAATGCCTGCAACGCAATCAAAAGCCTGTCGAATTTAAGCCTTACATACCCTCCATCGAACAATCACAAGATGACGAAACAAAGCTTACGTCATCGCTTGGTAAATTGTTTCAATTCCGTATCTCATTGAAAATTCCTTAATGACTTCCTGATATAACTCGGGGAAATACACTTTCCACGCTTCGTCCTGAAACATCGAGAAATATTGTTCTCGCCGCAAATCGTACGTCATTTCACTGTGTGACAATTTCTGCGCATGCGTACCTTCTCAGACACTTCAGGGATGGGAACTTTCTCGTCATTTTGTTTGCAGAGATAGCGGAACATGTTCTAAATAAAGGAATCGTCGAAACGTTTAAAACTACCACGTCTTTGGAAAAATGCGAGCGAACATAAATTTATGCATGAATAAATTAGAGCTACTGGCATAAATTTGAATATGTGCTTAAATATAACTTGTAAATAACATCGACAGCCTTGCGTTTTCCTTCTTATCTCTAGACAATGAGATTATGATATTCTAGCTAAACATAATTTATGCATTAAAATAATTTGAGATGCATGCAGAGGTCATTTTTCCGTTTCTTTTAGCCACGACAAACATCAAGTGTGAAGACGCCATCAGAAATAGTCAAAATACAACATGGAAATGGTATTGAAACAGTAGAAACAAGTAATGTTTGGACATAGATTACCTCATGAAGACTCGTGTACTGCGTATGATAAGGAACCAGTTTTTCTTCACCCTTTATTTCGATGCTTATGTGAAGTCGTATGGCTCCCGATACTGCTGACCGGTCGGTTCGCTTTTCTGCAAAGACGATCAACCGTAATAGTGACCAGGGATATACCGAGCGGGAAGTGAATTTTTATAAAAGATGTTTAAGCCCAGCATAGTGCTTTTAAAAGAGCCATTCGATACAAGAATAATGTATAAAAAAGAAATACTTATTCAATAACGTAACGTTTCGTCTTGACTCTCAAGACATCATTAAACAATATTAAAATACAAGTAATGAGGAATATATATTTAATTTTATTTACATGATATCAAATAACATGGTGGGATGAAAGAAGTGACAGTAAATATGGGATAAGATGGTATGAAGTGGGATAAGTGGAAATCATGAAGGATACAAAAAGCACACGATCACAAAGTTAGAACAACTGAAGGACAATGGAGTTTCCTTGGATGTTAAGAGATGGTTTCATTTTGTTGATTAAGAGGCTTTCGTGAATAAGAAGCTCTTGCGTGTCTGAGCATGAAGAAATTGTTTTAAAATCTTTGAAGGTAACGGTGTGTCCTGTGGATTTAAAATGGGATAGTGTGGAGGAATGATTGGGATGTTGAGAAAGTTTATTCAACCCACTCGGATTTCAGAGCATTTGGGCATCACTCCTTTGACTGGTAAACCTTAACATCCTAATCATTCCTCCACACTATCCCATTTTAAATCCACAGGACACACCGTTACCTTCAAAGATTTTAAAACAATTTCTTCATGCTCAGACACGCAAGAGCTTCATATTCAGGAAAGTCTCCTAATCAACAACATGAAACCATCTCTTAATGTCCAAGGAAACTCCATTGTCCTTCAGTTGTTCTAATCTAATTTCGTCTGTCCTTATGTCTGTATACTTTGTGATCGTGTGCTTTTTGTATCCTTCATGATTTCTACTTATCCCACTTCATACCATCTTACCCCATACTTACTGTCACTTCTTTCATCCCACCATATATTATGTAAGTAAAATTATATATATATTCGTCATTACTTGTAATTTAATATTGTCTGATGATGTCTTGAGAGTCAAGACGAAACGTTACGCTATTGAATAAATATTTCTTTTTTATACATTATTCCTGTATATGATGGCTCTTTTAAAAGTACTCTGCTGGGCTTTAATATTCATAATAAGAAACCGTAATAAAGGAGAAGTTTTTTTAATTTTCTTATTTGTGAATGTGAAGCGATATTCTTCTACTTCCCGCAATCTGATTGGCTGCAGCAGCAGGCAGCCTTTCACGATATCTTGACCGTGGTTCAAAAGTGATGATTTTTTGCAATGTACTTGTTTGCAAAGTGAAATTGAACTTTTTAAAATTGATTTAAAAGCGACGTAAATTGTTCAAAGAGAAAACAAAATGTATTCAGATGGTAGTCATCATAGCGATAGTGAATTTCACTATCCAGACGAAGAATCATCTATATCCATCATTATCAATACGAGTACAGAAGAATCACGTGGACCCATTATTATCGTAGAATGAGACAGTTTAACAGATCATTTGTTAAACACTTTATACGTCTCTAGTATGAGGACGCGCTTAAGCAATTCTTCCAACTATGTTTACAAAATTCAATACTTTATGTAATACTTCTTACCCAAGTTATACCAAACATCCATCTCTCCACTTAAGGTGCGCACTTCGATAATCGCCTGACCAAGAAAGTCGTCCGCTTCTTTTGTAAATCTCGATAAAACTCTGGATCTTAAATCGTCATCTTCGTCCCTATACATGGAACATTAAACACATGTTGGGAAACGTCTGAATGCTAGCAAAACGATAGATCCACTGGGTGGACATAGGGTATTACAACAGCTCGTCGATTTGTAGGAGGGACGGTGATGGACCCATTGGGTGGACATAGGGTATTACAACAGCTCATTGATTTGAAGGAGGGACAGCAATGGATCCACTGGTGGGCATAGGGTATTACAACACCTCATAGATTTGTAGGAGGGACAGTGATGGACCCACTGGGTGACATGGGGTATGTGAGAGTAAATTACAACAGCTCATCGATTCGTGGAATTATGTTCTTTCAAAATTCATAAGTAAAAGCATTATCATGAAATAATTTTAACTTTAAAACGAGCTGTAATAATTCATTTTAAAGAAAGCTAGATCTGCCACTGTTCTTGGACGTCGCCTTACATTAAAAAACAATATCTACATTACCACACACGAACTTTAATCCGATCTGTAGAATTGTGGCATTCGCTAAAAGTTGATAAAAAACGTTTTAATTGACTATTTTAAAACGACCGAAAGGCAGAATTGCGCAGTCTTACAAATGAAAGGTTTCGTTCCATGACGGATTGAGCTCGTGGAGTATCGTCTTTGTTCGTTTCTTCGTCCTTCCCACGTGAACTGTCACATAAGGATCACTGGTTCCTTAAAAAAAAATTACATGAAGTGTCAATCGTATCCTTATTTCCGCGTTAAATTAAAAATACATAAATGCCAACCTGTTTTATCTTTAGCAATGAGTCCCTGAGCGGAAACGACAGTTATTGCAAGTTTTGCCGACCATTTTGATGTTCCAGCGAGGATTTGCTTTTGCGCACTTTGAAGATAAACCTCGTGAAGGTTGTTTTCCACCTGAAACACATTTCTGCAGAGAAAACATAACATTAACACGTTATCATAACCTTATAGCACGTTGTGATTACAATAACACGTTATCATAACCATAACACGTTATCATAACATTAACACGTTATCATAACCTTATAGCACGTTATGATTACAATAACACGTTATGATAACATTAACACGTTACCTTATTATATTGAACGACTCTTCTTTGACAATCTGCCTTTCGCGCATGCGTTCCTTGATTGCATTTGTCACCGCTTCCTGTTTATAACCCTCGCCCTGTTTGGCTGCCTTCTCAGCGGCGCCTACAACAAATGAAAGTCCTGCAGTCCAATGTGCATAAAGTAAAATATGTACACGTGATAATCATGTGATTAAGCATGATTTGAAACAGCCGAGCATAAGATATTTCAAGCTCCGTTACCCCAGAAAAGAAGTTTAATCGAAATTACAAATCCCCCACCACGCGGAGAACCCTACCCTCGTTCCAGTCCTCCGCTTTTGATTAGTATTGGACAATCACAGAGGACAATCACTTACGTTGGAGGCAGTCGGCATTCAAGAGATCCTTGCATTTTTCATGACATTTCACTCCACATTCTGAAACAAAGATTCAAGTTAGGCTTGCAGAAAGAGGAGCGTTCTTTCAAAATCTGCTCAACGATGGTGGCACAAATGACAAATCAAGCAGCTACGTTTGATTTGAAAGCTTTCTTTTGCTGACAGTCGTATATAATGACTGATGTATTCAATGAAAGAGAAATAATACATTTAGCAAACGCTATCACTCTAGTTACTACCTTTAAGCTAATCTTCTATATTACTCTGGTGACAAATTTTCTACTGACGACAGGTACTACTCTATGCATCCTCGTCAATAGTATCGCATCCCCTTCCGTACCTGACAGACTTTCCTATGAAGAGAGGTGCTACTCTATGTATCTTCAAAAGTAGTAAGGCATTCCCTCCTGTACCTGAAAACTTTCCTATGAAGAAAGGTGCTACTCTATGTATCTTCAAAAGTAGTAAGGAATTCCCTCCTGTACCTGAAAGACTTTCCTATGAAGAGGTGCTACTCTATGTATCCTCATCAATAGCAAGGCATCCCCTTCCGTACCTAACACATCTTCGTATGAAGAAAGGTCTTGCATTGATCTATGTATCCTCGAAAGTAGTAAGAAATCCCCTCCTTATCTAAAGGTACTACATACCACATACACTAACTACATAAACTAGCATCTACACGACTTACTGTTGCAACGAAGGCCTTGTCGTGCCAGGCCCCAGAGAAGTTCTTGGCACTCGTAACAGTACGCAGGCTTTTGTGCGGACCAAACACTAAAATCATGTGGTGTGGTATCTAAAGTTTGGCAATAAAACCACGAAAATCTTCAAAAACATTATAATCAGGTACACCCACAGTATAATTAATAAAAAGTACGACCAAAGTTGCATACGAATTAGATCACGATAAGAAAGATTACGAATTAGATTACGATTGACTGAAATCGATAGCGAGTAATCTAATTGTTTTAGTAGAATCATACTAGCATTCATCAAGAAAAGGGCTGTAACAGTTTTCCTTAATTTGTTGTTCAATGTATTTGTTGTCATCTACATGATTATTAAAAAGCGAACGACTCTTGCTCAATGCGTGTTTAGTTATTTTAAATGGCTTTTTGTCCATTTTACCACGGCTGCCATATTTTCATCGCCACTCGCTATCCAATGAAAATTGGATTACGAGTAGAGTGACCAATGAAATTAAAGCATTTGCTATAGAATACATGTATGATTTTACTAAATGAAGTAATGGCTGCGGAGAGGGAGAATTGTTTGTCTTATGTACTTTAGTTAAACTGCAGTCGATGCATGAATATAAGCGAGGAGATTCTGACTAACCAGAAATTGGATACAACATCGCTTGTAATGTTTTCTTGTAAACATGTAACTTCTAGAAACAGAAGAGCATTCGATGGACTTTTTTGCAAAAAATGGGTGTGCGATGATTGGATGGAACGTCGGGGAATGAGAGGGAGGGAGGTGGATATAGTTTGATATTTGTTTCTCGTCGTGTTTGTCGTAGTTTCTGTTAAGGAATCTGTAGTTTTCAGTTTGAGAAAACAGAAAAAAATTTGATAGCAGGGCTTAAGCCTTGTCCAAACATATCAGGATATTTAAAAATACGGACATTTTTTCTCCGTATTTGAAAAAAATTGCATCCACACGTATCGTTTTCAAATCGTATTTACCGTCCACACGAATACGCTAAATCGTCAAAATACGCATGAATAAGCACAAATCATTAAAGTTTGTGGCCTGGATCCTAGTTTTGATGTCATCGTATTCGAAAATCTCCGTTTTAGCTGTCCACACGTATTCAAATAGCTGGCGTTTTCAGAAATGTACAGTCTGAAGAGCGTATTCAAAAATCTCCGTATTTGTCAATGAAAAGGCCTAAGTAAACGATTGGCCATGCCACTGACCGCAACGCTTGTTAGAACGCACACAGCCACGAAAATTTGAAGCAAGCAATTCAACTAGTTCCCAATCTTTGCACGCGCGGTCAAGAGAAAGTTTATCTTTCACATTGGTTTCATGTACAAACGTGTTTGCCCTAAAGTAGGCTTTCAGTTTTACATTCACTTTTAATGGTGAGGTCTCTCGCGTTTCAACTCTTTGAATGAGTTGTCTAAAACGATACTTTAGAACAAAAAAAATCTGACAATTTACGAAGAGCACAAAGACGTCTCAGAAATAGGGGCAAAGAGAAGGCTTTGTGTTCGACTATTCTTTAAAAACACGAAACTGATTTTAATAACAATGCAATGACTCAAAACGAAGTTCAAGTGTATTTCCTAAGTTCACAAAAAATCCTTTATGTTCATAATATTTCCCATTTAAATATTTTCGTCGATGAAATGTTTCTAAAAAGCAAGTCACGTCAACGTATGCGACCGCGCACTACGACAGTATGAAAATAAAAATCAATAGATACACGATTTCAATGAAAAACCGTTAATAGAACTACAAGAACCTACATCCTGTTTGTTAGAAATAACCAACAAGGAAACGAAACTGATGATGTATTCCGAAAATATTCACTGCGACAAAAAAAACCTCGATAAATAAACAAAACGAACAGTTGAAATGCATGTCTGAAAATCATCTACGCAAAAATTAACAAAACATTCGACATAGCACTTCGCTATTTCCTGCTAAGGATCATTAACATTTCAATCAAAATTTACAGCCTGTGAATTTTCTTCCGCATTTTACATAATTTTTTCTATATACATGAAAAATATAATCGGAGTATGTTTGTAAATGTAGATCGTCCAGGTTGGTATAGTCCTGAGAAGGACTGTTTTTGTTGTTGATGTAGACTGACGTTTCGACAACCTTAGCGGTAGTCATCTTCAGAGTCAGAATGAGTCATTTTTTGACTCTGAAGATGACTACCGCTGAGGTTGTCGAAACGTCAGTCAACAACAACAAAAACAGTCCTTCTCAGGACTATACCAATCTGGACGATCTATATTTACAAACATGTAAGGATACTCCCGGGTTCAAACCATTTACTTTATAATCGGAGTATATTCTTTGTTTTGCCATAACTGAATCGATGATCAGTTGGCAATGATTTTAAAAACACGACAACTTCCGCTGATGAAATTGAACAGAAGTTGTCACTCTTGTCGTAGATTTTTGCATATTGATGAAAAATTTCAGCAAAGTTTTCCACTACTCTGCCGAGAATACCTGAACCGAAGCCAACGAGTCACAATATTTAATCAATCGCTTCAACATCACTTACAAACTAGAGCAAATAAACGATGATTGTAAAACCCACCATATCTTCATTCGTGAAATTATCTCGTTGAACCATCGACATTCTAGCATGGCGTCTGGCAGAGAAATGATTCTATATAAAAATAAAGCAATCCGTAATTACATGGCACCGATAAATTATCGGAAACGCATCAGGGGAAGGTCACAGGAAGAGTGGAAAGTACTTTTCGTTTGATGGCGGTTTATTTGATTTTTTAAAAATATCTTAAGTGCGATTTGAACAGGCGAATGAAGTTGAATAAAACGTCGTTTCAAAGATAACAAAGTTTATTTTCATGGAAGAGACACAACCCCACCTTTATAATGCACGCTGGAGATAGTCACTATCCAATGGTTAGTGCTATATGAGTTTCATGCTAAAGGCCCCAGTCTTATCAAAAAGTTCACAAACCATAGCATGTGTTGATATAGCATCCGTCTGAGGCTTCAAATCTGGCCGCATATCGATATTGCATAAAAAATTCTTGGTGTTTCTAAAACAGAAATAGAGTTCTCAGCGACTTAGTTGTTTTTACAGCTCATGTCAATCCCAGTCGATATAATTGATCCGCGCGGATATTGCAGGTCGCCTGCGTTCGGGCTGGTTTCTAGGAGTGGCGAGGTTTTCTTGTAAAGTGAATTGTTGCATTGAAAAGCTCTAAGGTAATTGGCTTTAGAGTGTTGTGTTTTAGTATTATCGTAGAAATGTGGTAAATTTTGATAAACAATTTCAAAAAAAAATCGATTCAAACAGATGAAAACAAAAAACTTTGTTAAATTTTGAAAAGTCTTGTTATAGCGTAAAAACTGTTGATTTGCATTCAGCACACAACAATGCAATCGCCATGATAATTTAGCACATGTTCAAACCCTGATTTCCAAATGTCATTCATTTTCTACAGTCTGGAATTTTATACTATAAGAAGCCAAATGTGTTCTCGAATCTCTCTTTCAGGTCATCAAAAACTTAAAAGTCGAAAATCATTCGCGTGCGATTCCCTAAGAAACTATTTCATTTCATATCTAAAAATCTCTTAAAGGTTCATACTCGCCAAAAACAGCTGTGAGCCTCTCTTCGTTTCTTTGCGAGATATAAAATCCTCTCTTTCTTCGTGGTCTCCTTACTCGCGTCTCGTCGCCCCCACGACTGGAAACCGAGCCTTCTCGACTGCTGTCGTATTCGGAAAGACTCGTGTAATCGCCACCAATCTAAAAGAGTAGAGAATACAGTGTTACTCGTATCTCTCGAAAAATGTTTTGCGCGTGACAGGAGTAAAAGGTCAGACCTATAGTCTCCATTGCTATTCAAGGCACAAAAATACCACCCACCAAATTTTGTTCAGGAGCAAGATAGTCAATATCCTCCGATTCAGTCGTCCTCACTGGTGATCGTACTTTCAAGGCGCCCTGACGGGGGATCCTTTGCGAGTTCCGTGAAGAACTGTTGATTGGCAATTGTTCAGGGGGTTTCATCCGTTGACGGTCGGCTTCGGTGTCGCTGTTTTCATTGGTTCCGGCGGTCTCGGAGTTAGTCGTTAAATGAGATGACGGACCGTCAACAGAATTGTTCTGTGGATTTTTTGCTATGAAAGAAATGATTGGTTAAAATGGACTTATAGATACCTCATTGATTACAATGGACTTATAGATATTTCGACAACCTTAGCGGTAGTCATCTTCAGAGTCAAATGACGATGACTACTGCTAAGGTTGTCGAAACGTCAGTCAACAACAACAAAAACAGTCCTTCTCAGTACTATACTAACCTGGACGATCTACATCTACAAACAAGTAAGGATACTCCCGGGTTCAAACCATTTACTTTATAAATATGTTCATAGACAAACTAGGAGTCAGCAGTTACTGAGAGCATCACACATTGCGTGTGATGTTGTTATAACAGTATACATGTTTTAGCTGACAGCATTGCTGACAGAGAAAAATATGGAACTATCCCATCCTTCAAATGAATTCCCTTCAAGCTTCGTTTATATTATTTTGATAAAATACATGGCTACCTTGCAATCCATTTGAGGCGACAAGGGACTTAAGTTCCTTGTGTTTGTGAGCCTGTTTTTGAATTATTTGTAATTCGTCCTGCATTATGACGTTTAACCAATCCAGTTTCTCTTGAAGATCAGCGGCTTCGTTCTCCGTAAGTCCTAGACAAAACGGTATGTCGACGATCAACCATGAAGACTTCGCGTTTTATTAAACGAGCCGTTTAAAGTTCGGACAAGCAGGATCATTCGCTAACATATGTATCTTGCAATCTTGAGATAGACAAGCTGTTTCAATGATATTATGCGCTTACTTCACAACGTTATGGGGACTGGAGGCGAGTCGAGCCTCTCCTATTTTTCTTAAGGTTTCAAGTCCCATTTGACATTCGAAAAACTTCCTCAATTTAAAAGGGAATTTAAACGGAGAAAGAAATTCGTTGTCAAAGTGAAATTTAAGCGAAGATAAAAAGGTCTTTGACGAGTTTCCTCGTTCCCACGTAAGCTTTTCCTGTTTTTAAGTAAGGTTAGATTGTTTTCCAAATATTTTTCTTCCAATGTCAACTTACGAAATTTCACCAACACACTCGTAAACATACATACATTTCGACGGATTCTCATGAAAGCAACAAACTGACAATGCAAGTTTCGAAAAAAACTACTCCTTCACTTACCGTTGGGCAGAGCAAATCTCGTTGCAATGCATAACTGGTGACCAACATCAACTGCTCTTGAGCCCGCCATACGATACAACGGTATCCACATAGAGCTACATTCCTGTGTGGTGAAAAATAGGAACGCTTGGGAATAAGAACAGGCAACTTGAAATTGGCTAGGCTCTAGGAATAATTTTGTGTAAGTATGAACACATATGCACAGGTGCAAATGATTCTCAGGCTGTTCTAAGAAAGGCGTAGAATGCTCATATTGTAGCTGAATGTACATAAGGGTACATTACCTCATTGGAGTGATGGATATGCTCATATTGTAGCTGAATGTACATAAGGGTACATTACCTCATTGGAGTGATGGATATGCTCATGTTGTAGCTGAATGTACATAAGGGTACATTACCTCATTGGAGTGATGGATGTGAATCAGAGGTATTCGTGCTGAACCCAAAAGTGTGTCCTGCAGAATACCACAACTCCATAGTTCTAGATGCAAGTCTCTGTTTAGTTCAGTCGTCTCGCTGTAATAAAATACCTCTTAGTAGCACACAGGCTAAAATTTGAGTCATTGAAGTGATGAACAGTTAATTTTGGAGAGTTATTGAAGTGATGAACAGTTTGCTTTGGAGATGGACTGTATGGGTATTGGTTGATTGATGACAACAGAGTCAATCAAACTTGTGGAAATGCAAAATTTAAATTTAACCATAAAAAGCATCATCAAATACTTACAACAGAAACTCCTCACGCCAAACTGGACTCGCACCTTTTGCAATCTCGGTCTTTGATAATGCATTACGGAGAATGATCTTGACATAACTGTTGATGTTACCTAAGACGAGGCGGTACATACATTCAATTTAGGCAACAACTATGCTTTCTCGGATCACTTGTATTGTTGAGTGCTTTCCACATCAAAGTATAAGTTGTCAATATAAAGCTAGGGATTTAAAAAATGTGGTACAGGGAAGAAAACACTTCGGTTATGATAAATTACTTCGGCAAGCAATGTTATCTGTTTTATAGCATCATAATCCTTACACATGTAATATAAACAGCATGCACTATCAATTGCTCCTTTGTATTTGATTACAAGTTATGTGGTCAGCAAGAACTACATAACAACAATGAAAAAATTTCAAAATTACAGCAAATTTAAATGACCTCGACATCATCAGCTGAAAAGGAAGAGTCCAACCTGACTATTGTTAAAAATGGTCAATTGTCAAATTTATCATGGATATAAACAACAAACTGACACAAACACGAAAGCGGATGTATTTTGAGCAAAAATAGACATCAATATTGTTGGGGAATTTTATAAGCATACTTTTGACTGCGTTTGTCAAAAGTGTAATGTCATCATTCCAGTATTCGCCATTGAAAAGCACATGACGACAATAGTTCAAATTAGTGATTTATTAGAACGAAAGCTCGACTTTACTTCCGGTAAAACAGAACTCGACCTTACCAGTTTTGCCATCAATTTTTCCTTTGTGAACTAAAAAACAAGCAATAAACTACTTAATAAACAGTACTCCTTATATGGGAGAAAATAAAAAGAGCAAGCGACTCGCTAGGTGATGAGTCCGAAGCGATATTTCGGCAACAAAAGCTCGTTTCAGTAAACTACCTTAGTAAATATTCTTACTCAAACTCACCGTAAACTACCAGAATAGTCATTATGGACTGAGAATGGACTTGTATGGTTTCATTATTCAAAGAAAATTCGATAAAAAATGATATGTAAGAGTTCCTCTCTTACACTATAAATGCACAATCTCGACTCCCCCGCAGAGACAGGACGTATTGAAGCATCTCATTATAAAAGTTTGCAATAATATCGACATTTATCACATTGGAATAAATTATTACGTCAAGAATCAATAAAGCACTTAGCGACTCATCTATGCTGAAGATGATGACCTTTATATACTGGGAAAATTTCGGTATTTTTTTAATACATTGAAATTAACGAATTTTTTTATAAACATTTAGAATAGCTAAAGTACAGATTCGAATGCAATAAATTACGGTAAACATGAACGAGTGATTTTTTTAAAGACTGCAACTTTTGAAAACCTCACGAGTGAATGTTTTGCCGTAATTGCACGAGAAACTATACCATTACTAGCTAATAATATGCTTTGAGATACTTCGCAAAACGCCGTCTAGTCGTCTACCTCTGTCTCGCTTCGTAACTCTTTATCGCTTCAGAAAGACTTATTGCGGGACCCAACTTTTATAAACATTCACCACAAGACAGCTCTTTATGTTGTATTTTTATTCTGTGCATTGTTTTTTAATTCTTGAATTCCATACCGTTGCATTTGTGGAAATCTAATCCTTTACTAATTTTGCTAACAACTGCCGCCATGTTGTTTTTTTAAAAAGAGCTTTCTTGGTATTCTCTGCTTTTTAGCCAATCAGGATGCAGTATTTACAGTGCAATAATTTTGGCTATTTTTTTATATGTTTAATGATAAAAATGGTACAACTTTTATAACTACAGCATACAAATAAAAAATGTTAACTAAAATCAATGTTTAAAATATCCATGATAGTTTTCAAATTACTAGCTTGAAAGAAAAAAGGGACAGTCAGGTGTAAAGACAACTTTCCCAATAACCTAGGTCAATATTTAAAATGTGTTTGCGAGTTGAGGCAGATCGACTTCCTCGTATCGCAGTAATTGCTGACCTAATCAGTGCGATACAGTGCAGTATTTACAGTGCAATACACATTTTCACAAGGCAATCAAAGCTTTTTTAGTAAAATTTCTACAGTGCTGTTTACACTTTTTGCATTGCAATTACTGATAAACTGCGTGTCAATCAAACACTTGCAGTAAAGAAAGCCTCAAAGTTTAGTTTAAAGAAGGGAATAAAAAGAATGCAAAAATGTCATTTTGCGATTAATTAAATTATTATTTAATATTTTAAATATGTTATTGATAAATCATGCAGCACCAACTACGGCAGAATCGACAATCACGTTTTAACATTAAATAGATTTTCAAGCAATAGGCACTTCTCAAGTTTGTTTTACAGGACACAAACGATAGCATGATAGCGAGGCGAAGAATGAAGTCTTTTTTTATTCTTTTCACGGCCTGGAAAAACTTTGAGAAGTGTCTTTTGTTAAACTGAAATTTTCTTACTGGAAGTGTGTAAGATGCTCAGCTCCTTCTTCTTTGACGAATGAAACCTAGTGGCACATGCCTGTGTGTATTTGGGATCTTTAGTAAATGAATCGTAAACCTGACTTGTTCCTTCTGATGTGTCTTGCCTGAAAAGATGAAAAACACGAGATGAAAGACGTTTGTATTTTTCTTGCAGTGCTCAAATACCAATCAGGGTCACTAGTAGGATAATTTGAAAAGGAAAGATTTTTCATTACCACGAGTTAAAGTGAAAACCATTATATTTGAATTAATTCTTAGAAAAATATAGTGCTGCCTATACTCTACATTTAATATCAGGGGGATCCGGCGTTTTTGTTTGCATGGGAAAAACTACAGAAAATTATAAAATTCACGTCTTTAGAAAAGCATTTTTTGGAACACAATTTGGAAAAAAAATTGGTTGACAAAAAAATATTTTAACGAAGACGAAAAATTCAAACTCAAACTTTCAAATATTGTATGAAGAGCAAAACATACATTCCCGAAAGCTTTCATACTCAATCTTTAGCCCAGTAAGCAAAATCTCCAGATGAGCTAGGTAATGTAATAAAATTTGTCTATGTGTTATTGAATCAAATCAGAAGACAATAAAAGTGATCTAGGAAAAATCATATTTTAAAATTTAAAGAGTTATGTGCCTACGAAGCCCCGTAGTGAAGGCACTTGCTCAAAAGTCCGTGAGCATTTAACCCTTAAACTTCTCCCTAAAATCTAGCATCTATGTAATTACTATAATTATATTCCAACATTGAGGTCTTTAAATTTCTGAATGTGTTTTACAGAAAAACACTGAAAGTAATAAACACTGAATGTTTCAACATATTTTCTCCAAAACATTCGTCATTGATCTGCCCATTTTAGGTGTTAGAATTACCCATTTTCAAACTAGAACTGTCCATTTTGAAAAATCGGTGGTCTTACGGTGATCTCTCATTTGAGTAAATTAGTCTGCTGTATTTGATTGCTTGAATTAATTAGAATAAAAAAAACATGTCTTCGGTGAAGAGCAAAAAGAATGTTACATATAAAACAGTAAATGGAAGTAGGAACCTAAGACACAGTTAGGGACACATGCGCACATAAAAGTACAATCAGCTATTTGTACCTAAGACACAATTATAGGACACGTGTGTACATAATATAGTCAGCTTGTTGTTCATATACAGGATGTAAGGGAAACAAAAATTATTATGATCTACACACTATGATCTATGCTCGTTGTATTTTAGAACAATATACTAAAGGTTGAACAGGGGAGACAGCAACTGTCCCCTTTTTTTCACATCGGCCAGTGAAGTAGGGCAGAATAGTATAAGTCACGAAACATGATAAACAGCAGCTGGTTGATGACGTAAATAAACAATTTGAATTCACAACTTCGTGACTTTTACGAAGTGATTAAATCTAATGAGTTCCATGAAATGGACGAGCGGTCTTTTTGATACCATCTTCTGATCTATAGTAGGACTGCTTTATTCATCTCAATAGTACATTCTTTATCCTGCATCTTCGAAAATAACTGTAGACTTCTGATTCACTTTTAAGACCGTGAAAAACATGCGTATTGACCAGTGACAGGTGTGAAATTCACACTGCACTGTACGTAATGACTTAATAATTCACCATATTACGTTCGGTTCATTGATAAGTTGTTAATTCAGGAGATCAACTTCAAGGAACGCAACATAAACACATCAATAAAGCGCCAAAGTTGTTCACTTCTGCAATTAATTGATTGCATAATAACTTGTCAACTTTATTTCACTACTTACCGGAATATGCAAGATATCGCTCCCATTACCCCCCAAATGAGAGCGTGTTCTTTGTGTGCAACACTAAAATTGCATCTGAGGATAGAAATATGAGAACATGTTTTCTTCTTTCAGTTTAACTTTGTCATTTATCACTTTTAGTCGTATGAATGCGTTTCAATTACAAAACATATCGCTAAGCAGATGTTTCGACCGTCAGCAAAATGTCGACGCTTCGGCAGTTGGTGTATTCAATCGACTTCAAGCTAATATATTTCACGAACATGTTACACGGCAAAGACCACACGTAGTTTAACAAAAGATATCTCTCTCAAAAACTTGAACAAATGAATCTCTTTTAACTTAATCATTTGGCACACTAATAGAGATTTAAAACTGTCGCAAGACATTTGTTTAAACTTTTACTCATTTTAAATTTCATTGTAATCAATGAAATAGATGAACGCATTTTATTGGCTCGTATTTTTTATGGCAGCGTGAAATTTGCGTAATTTTTATTAAAAAAAAAACGCCTCTCCTTTTTGCATATTCAATTTTCGCCTACTCGTGATGGGCTTGAGCAGTCGCCTGGAAGACGTTGATGACGGCTGAGCTGAGAGGCCTGGGAGAAAGAGCGCGAACATTTTTTGCAGACAAACGGTTTTTGTCCAGTGTGCGTTCGTATATGGTTGTTTAAAGTTGTCGAGCCCGCAAACGAGCGAGCACAAAAACCGCATTTGAACGGTCTGTCGCTGTTGTGGGTGACAACGTGCGCCCGCAAGTCAGTCGGATGGGAAAATGATTGGGTGCAATGACCACACTGATATGGTCTCTTTGGTGACTGCGGGCACACATGAATTTGCAATAAAGAACGTTGAGTGAAACTTTTGAAGCATTGACCACATCGCCAGACGCCCGTTTCCAGACCTCCAGCACTCTCACGTGACGTCACAGATGGTCTAGACTCCGTCGTGATGGAAGATTCTTTCGAACAGTTCAAAGTTTTTAATTCAAAGTCTTGTTCTTTTTTTTCTAATATTTTGTGATGCGCTTCGCTATTAACTGGTACCGTGTTGCATTCTGGACTATCTTGGTGTTGTAGATATGGTTTTGTTGTCGCTCTTACTGACAGTGAACGATCTACAGAAGGCATCAATATAATCAAAATAAGCAGATTAGGAATAGGAACTAACATACAGATTAATCCCTCGTACGTCAATATAAGTGCTTTCAAAAGACAGAGTTTTATAGATAAATAATATCATATAATTTTTAACTGATTATCTCACCTTCAGAGTATTGACCTAAATCTCTAAGATACAGAGGTATCCCAAGATACTGTTCGTACTGCTCATCGTACCATACGAGTAATTCCGATCCCATGGTGATGTTCTTAAAAGCACGATAGTAAATATTATCACCATATTGGAAAGCAAATAAGTTTTGTTCGTGTTCATGTCTTGCGCAACGTATGTATCTCATCCAACTCGAAACATTCTCGTCTACACCATCGACATATGAAGATATTTTTCCGCCATGATAGATCTAAGTAAAGAGAAGTTACGGATAAGTAGAGCAGTCTATCTTTGGAACAACATGAAGTATTCCTTGCTTGTAGTTCTGTAATCGTATATACGAATTAGTAAATGATGTGCACAGTATGGAAGGCACTCCGTTAAATTTTTTCGTGCTGCGCATATTTTATTACGCACGTAATTACCATAGTGGCAACAGTTCAATTTTTGACCAATGGGAACGATGAAATGGCAAACGACAGCCAGTAAACTAATTAAATATACAGCAGTCAGTTGCCCAGCGAATTGGACCTTCTGTATATTTCCTATAACTGTGATGATGCGTCCGTTTAGTGATACGATTCGTAGCTAAATTGTAACAATTACCTCATGATGTTTAAACTATAGATTACGATACATATGTGTAGCGAGGCAACAAGTCTTGGTCGTGCTACGTTTGTTGATGCTGTTCATTTCCTTAGAAATCTATTGTTTTCATAGTCGGAGCAAACACGGAAAACATAAGATCGCAGTATTTAATAAACTGCTCGCTACAGCTGCTTCGGCAGTCGAGACGACACTTTAAATAACGTACCGTACATGCTCGTTTTAGCGAACCTTCATGACATTATTTTCGTTAAGTTATATTGTATCGTATCAAGTAAATAGATTTTGTCTACATGTTAATTTTTGGGAGCAATAAATATAATTGGTGTGAGCCTCTAGTTATTTAATTACCGCCGCTTTCACTTGAGCGCTCCTCCCGGATAAGCGCCGCATTCAGATTCTGGAGAACTAAATAAGCGCCGCGGCGCTAAATCAAGCATTTACCGTTTGCAGTAAGACACCGCATAAAAGAGTCTACATTTTAGGTACCTGTCAGGCTATAATTTCAGATCTATACACTCTTTTTGTATAAAAACCTGTATAGGTTAACATTTCAAACAGGTTCTTATTTTATTTTTATCTAAAAAAAATGAACTCTTCGCAAAGTATAGTGAAAACGACCCAGAAGTAAGAATCCTAAATATAAGTCACTATTATTTACAATAATATACACCAATCCAAAGTAACTCATTTTTTCTTTGGACAATAAGAAGTTTAGTCATAACTTCTTAATGAGTTCCTTATACATAAGAACTTGTTCAGGCTAAATTGAAACAATCTATGGTTCTTATACGCGAGGTTCGACGGATATATTAAAGTTGAAAACGAGAATGGTATGAAGTTTTTTCACGCTTCATCTTTTGGTGAATTTTTATAACCCTTTTGATTGATGTTTTTAAATGCTACAGCAGGAGTTCTTTGGTTTATTTTAGATCGTAATCTCAACAAAAAAAATTGGACTGATACCAATTGGCTTTTTTTTCCTTATGAAATTATGTATGCTTTTCTATACTTAATCAAGGTGCGGCCAAAAAATGCGAAAATGTTCATTTTTCGTAATGTTACGGTATTCAGATTTCGGCTAAATTATTTAATTTAGTCTTGGTCACTGTGGTTTTATCTCAACTTTGACGCCAACATTCTCAAATTAGCGAATTTTTGTTTAGTTTTATCTTACGTTGGAGACTACAGGAAAATTAGTCGGCGGATACAGGGTGGGTCAGTGTAATAGCATTGTTGTGACTCGTTTTATATTTCAGAAATTTTTATAGATGATGTTATATACTAAAATATTACCAATAAGATTGGCTGTATAGTATATTGAATTGCAAAGATATCTTTAGTTATGTATTCTGATCTACACATTCGTGTCTGCTATAGATTGGAGGAATCACAAACATTTACCAAATAATTCTAACCTACACTATACATCCTCCCAACACTTACACTTCAACCAAATTTGTTTGCTTAGAGCCCAGTGGCTAACGAAATCGGATGTGTTGGTTTAAGATTTAGGATTTAAAAAAATCAACAGCGCACAAAGTTTGCCAAACATTTTTCGAGACAATTTAAAGATGACACAGAAATTCGCCATTCAAAGACATGATCTTCAGCAATTTAAAATATACCTCCCACATGTAAGATGTGTCGATTTCGTTCCTAACATCTTCGGTCGACAGTCGGTTTCCTTCGTAAGGACCAATCCAAGTTCCTATAGGGATAAATTGTTGTGCGCATACACCAAAACGACAACCGGGGATTGATGATTCACATAACCTTACTACAGATGGAAATGTTCTCATTGCATACGACATCTCTGAATCATTAAATTTTTCGTCGGCCGAAGAAACATTGCGCAGAGACTGGAGAGGAGTGATGTTCAAGCGTTGCTCCCTCGATTGACTGTCTTTGTCTAAAGTGAGAAAGTAGATTTTTAAATCAAGAGGAAGTACTCCAGTAGCACTAGCGTAACCTTCCCGCTTCCTTTTTAGTTCTGCTAGGCAGAATCTTTCTGAGTTTAATCACTTTAAAAAAAATCAATTATAAAGAAACAAACGATGATAATAATGTTTTGAAATTAGCAGAGCAGAACTGAAACCTGCGAGTTTTAGCTACGCCCTCAATATCAAGTCTGGACAACTTTTAAGTTGAGCCAGCTGGTAATCGACCTTCGTCTTTTATCTCAAGTATAGATAGTTTATAGTGGTTCTTTTGTTTTAAGGCGTCAAATGTTGGTCGGAGCTGTACCATCCATTTGTGCGAGTCATCTTGACAGTCAAAGATAAAAAACATGAGATAATTTGATCGCATTAAACGCCTGCCTCGCCAGTTTTATCAGACCATCAATATTTACATTTTTGCTCCTTGATATTTTCGCCTTCACTTACAACGATAATCTTGTCTGCAGCGTGCACAATGAGATAAAATGAACGATTAAATTTAATTCTTGCACAGACCATGTGTGATTATTTAGTCCATTTTATTGCTGGTCGTATTGATATCTTGAAGTGAAACGACGCACAGTCGAGTTTTCAAGCAAACGAAGCATTTTTTGACCTCGCGAAATCAAAAAAACCCCAAACAATAAGAAAATCATAGGGTCGAAGAGTTGGAATGTTATTAAACAACACAAAAAATGGCATAATGCTTAATCCAAATGTTTGTTAGATAAGGTCGTTATTGTTTATAGTTGTTGGATAAAGCATTATGCTATTTTTTTGTGTTGAATAAAAAAATTATAATTCTGTACTTCCTTCCCCCAAGTACCAAGTATAAAGAAGAGGATTAATCATAATAGGCACATAGATAACACCTTTTCCTGCGTAAATTTCCTGGACAGTTCTCGGATGGAATTTGTGAGAGTCTAAATGATACGCCTTCTTGCGTTTTGTCTGGAATAAGCGTTTGTCTCCAAAGAAATAACGCAAAACATCATCCATTTTAAAATTGTAAAAAGACGCTGAGAAATCCTTTCGATCGTGTGCTTCTCGTTCAGCATTGCTTGCCGCAGAAGACGATGTAATCTTCCGTTTGAGAAACCAATTTTTCGATTCCCTTTGATCCCCGATGATTCCCTGCAGATAAAATCAATGCTGTAAACGCCTCGAAAGACAGTCCTTGGCTTGAGAATGTAGCTAACTGTGTATAATCACATCTATAGATCCCTTAATTTTACTGCTAAACTTATCCAATTCAAAAATTCGACTGTATTGCTTCGGTAATCATTTCCCGCATCATATGACGACGTATGAGTTTACTAAGCATTTTTTCGGATTTTCCACGGACAATGAGAAATCTATTTAGCCTTGGCAAACATTTGCTCATTCAAAAAAAAACTCTTAGAGAATCGAGAACGCTATAAATGTTGAAGGTCAAGGGGTAGAGACAAGAGAACAAGAAAGCAATTACTGAGCGGCAAGGTTCTTTCATCATGGAAAAACCTGAAAATGACTGCTTGAATTTTACACGTGTCGAAAGCTCATGGCAAAGTGATGATAGTTTTTGCCACGAACAACCTACGCATCAAATAAAATACGTTGACAAATGGCCGTAAAAAACAAATGAAAGAACTTTCTGTCTAAGGATCTGTTTGCGCGAGAAAGCGAAACGAGACGTTTGTCATTGTTTCACTTATAAACATTGTGCTCTCGCGAATTATAAATGTTATCTTGAAGAAAATTTAAACCATTGAAGATTATATCAAGTAAAAAATATTGAACAAAAATCAAACCCTGAAATCTTTTCCTGAAGCTTATGAACGATATTTCTGACAGACATATGATATGATTTTCACTTGATCTTTGTTTCACTTATAAAAGAAGAATTTTTTTGAACTAGGGCTGTCGTCAGCGGACGTTTTCGACACGACGATAAAAGTACTCAAAACATGAAAGCTTTACCGAAAATTATGGAAAATGCCCAAATGAACGCGATGATTGTGAATTTGGGTGGTATTTATTAGAATTATTTAGTTTGACGAGGCGAAATTAAAAGAGGAAGCAATTTTTTCATATCGCCTCGGTAGAGCGCACGGCGAAAATTAATCGCCTTCATTTGGAAACGAAACTCTTCTTAAGCTAAAACGTGACTAAAATCATTCCAGATGCAGCTAAGAACATCGCAAATGTTTTACAGAAAAGAGTAAATAAACAAGAATCGTTGCGTTCCGGCTATCCTGAAATACCAGAGAAGAAATGAATTGTTATGACATGACGCTATCTTTTAATACACACGACGCGTCAGACTCGCATAACTTATCTGATGTTTTGCATGTCAGGATTTTTTTTTATTAAAATACATTTTCAATCCTAAATGTCCGAGGCAAATCTAAAGAAAACAGACAGGAGAATGGATTTATTTAGCGCAGATCAAGCGCACGACTGTTTATAATAACTTTATAAACAACAACAGATCGTGAAATATTCTACTTTATTGAAACCATTATGCTTTTTACGGAAGAGTCTTATCCTGCATAAATATATGTCCACATACCTGAACAGAAAAATCTGTTTCTTTCTTCATGTTCATTCTCCGGCTTGGAAGATAAGTGCTGCGTTTTATGCAAATGAGGTTGCCCGAAAGAATTCGTGCGCAACAAGCTTCGATTGTAATTTTGTCTCACCTGTCTTCACACGCCGACGGGTACAGCATTTTGTCGCTTGTTGTTTTAGACCATCGATCGTGTGTTTTTTTCACCTGTCATATTCTCTAAAATGACGTAACTGACGAGCGCATTACAAACAGCGCCATTAAAAACAGCTGGTCTACTTGTTGCCAATAATTCCAATTAAGTCTGATTACAGTCTCCTGTTTATGACTTCTTGATAGAAATCTCCAGCAGGAATTTGGCAATTTGCCTTCGGCCAGCCGACATTCATTTTCGCGATTGGAAGTTTTCACTGTAATTACGCATTGTTCTATAAACGCCTGTTGAGGAAAGAAAACGGATTAAATTAATCATGTAAAAGTCTTTAGAGCTATCAAAAGAGATTGCATTATGGTATTTTATTGAATTTTTGTTACGCGTGCTCTGCTTATTTTTAGTTATTTATAATTATTCATTAGTTTGAGCACTGGCTCTGATAATGTCAGCTGAACTAATGCGCTGGGATGTACTTCATGTAAGCTAGTGACGATAGAAATTATTTCATAAACAAAAACACGTGGATCGATATTGACGAAATACTTACTGCTTTAACTAAAATGAAGCGAAAATCAACCGAAAATAACTTGAATTCAGAAGCAAAGGTAATATTGACGTCGTTATGAATTACTTTTACCACGGTTACTGATGTTTTTTTTTGATTTACCAAATCATACATGTTGTTCGATGATTGACGATTCATGATTGAACACTGCAGTGACAATAAACACACATTACACAACACGATTGATTACTAATTTCTGAGAAACATTAAACATGTCATATAACAGTTATGAAAGAGACTATGTTAGCCAATTTTTTCATTGCTAAACACAGGTGGCTAAAAAAGAACAGGAAAAGCCAGAGTTTCACTACTCAGACAACAAGAAAAGTTTATACCGACCTCCGACCTCCGAGGAACTTAATTCTCTTAAAGAGACTGAGGATCTGTTTCACTCAAGCTTGCTGCACATGCAAATCAATGAGCTTCTTGCAGAAGTTTGTCTTCGAAAGAAAAAGAAAAAATTGGACAATGTACTTTGCTCCCTTCACGAGTTGATTATGTCTCTCCCAGATGGTGATCAACAAGATGTACGTATATGTATGAGCATGCAATAATATTTAAGATTAACAGTGCATTTCTCATAAAATGTAATTATCTGTCATAGTTATCGGATATCTCCTGGCTTCCAGGCAATGTATGTTTTCCATTACCTCCATTACCTGGCCCTATGAAAGGAAAGTTTACGTTTCAAAAGCCCGAATCTGTCAATGTTGTTGGTAGTTATCAATTGGGTACTTTATGTAAGCAGGAAATGAATGTTGACGTTGCCGTTCAATTGCCAAAGGTGGGATGCTGAGCATTTATGTACATTGGGAAACATGAAAGATTATGGAAGCTGAAAGTATTGATGACGCCATGTGTATTGTCTTTTGTAGGGTTTAGTTCACAGTAAAGATTTTCTCAACCTCCGTTATCATTACAAAAGAGCAGTATATCTCACAATTCTAGCTTCTGCGATAAAAAAAAGCAAGATCTGCAAAAGCATAAATTTTGCCTACCATAATGAAAACATGTGGACACCAATTCTACTTTTAAAACCAGAAGGTTAGAGTTTTTTTTTGAAGAGATTTGAACCGGGGCACATTGTTGGTCAATGCAAATATCTTTTGTCATTTCAAGGTCTGCTCGGAGAAAAAGTAACTGTAAAATTGTTCGTTACTCTGGCTAAAGATTCATTCAAGTTGGCAAGGTTTTCACCAACCGTCAACAACATTCAATATAGTTGGTATTTTGGTGACGACACTTCTGTTTTAGAAACTTTAGGTTGGCATTCACACTTGTTTCCAGTCTTCCACACTTCTCTGGCAGAAACTTAAGGGTTATTGTGTTGAAACTTTTTCATGCTATTTAGAGTCGATTCCTTCAACACCGCACTACAATGCTGCAATACTCGCGGACATGTTGATGGAGCAACATTTGCAATTTCTACATGGTAAAATCACTAAACATCAAGCTTTTTGTGATGCTGTAATCCTTTGTAAAATTTGGCTTCATCAACGACATTTGGACAAGGTATTTTTAAAGGGGAAAAGAGATAAAGGTGTTGCATTGTAAACGAGATCAATTAAGGAGTCTCGCTTATTTTTACCTTGACAGGGTGTACAAGCGTTCAGTAGTTTTCACTGCGCTATGATTCTAGCTTATTTACTTCAAACTCGTAAAATCAATCAACACATGAGCTCCTATCAAATTATTCGTATATTCTGGCAGTTTCTAGGTATGTACGTGAAGGACTTAGTATCTTTAGCGCCTTGCTCAAGTTCATCATCTGTAAATCAATCATTTCGTGTAGGCACCAAACATTTGTGTACAAATGGAGTAACGATGCTTGATAAGACCAGAACTGCTGATAAGCGAATGGTATGGAATTTCACCCTATTAAGTACTTTTTTTAAGGGTTTTTCAACATATTCATGCACAAGGCGGCGTAGATTTGAGAAGGTAGAAACGGCCAACTGCATTCACTTTTTTTCAGCCTTCGTTGAAAGATTTTCACGAAAACTTTGAAGTGGTGTTTGTGGGTCCGTCTGGCGTGCTCAACTTGCTTGCAAACATGTCAAAGACAGCATTTACACTGGTAAACTGTGCTTTTAACTTTGATTGATAGTGAATGCTGAACTCTGAAACGAGTTTCTTATCGGTTTCAGCTACAGAGCGAATCAAAACGAGCCCTTGATATACTCCAGAACGATTCGCTGGATTGTTTTGAACTCCTATTCATGAGAAGTATTCCGCTTGTGACAAGATTCGACGAGTTCTTTCGGTCCGTTTTATATATTCTTGCGTGTTTTATATATTCCTGCGTGTTTTATATATTCTTGCGTGTTTTATATATTCTTGCGTATTTTATATATTCTTGCGTATTTTATACATTCTTGCGTGTTCAAAACAGCTAAAACGCGGAATTCTTATTCACCGTCGACATTTTTCTCTAGTCTAGAAAAATGTGAGGTTTTACATGAGATAGTAAAGAAGAAGAAACTGAATGCCCAAATGTTAAATTTTGCTGGCGATTGGTTAAGAGTCAGTATAGCTTGGCTGGAACGCTTACTTATGAAATCACTCGGTAGACGGGTTCATACGCTATACGTATGGCCGTATTCTTTTTCTCGGGTATATTTTATGGTACTTACGTTTGGTTCTACCAGTTTTTCGTAGTTTTTGTAGTGATTTTATTTGCTCCTCTTATGCGTATGTTTTCATCAGTGGTCAATTAAAGAAAAGCCTCCAACAGGATCAGAGTGTAAGGTCATGATCGGTTATCATTTCGACGCAGATTCGGCTCACACTGTTTTAGAAAAAGGACCTAGTGCTGACTCCTCCGAGGTTTGAATATTGGTGTATTTTCTTGCTTTTTACTAGTGCTGTAGGACTAAATTTATCAGAGGGGGGCTCTCTTGACGAAGCCGAAGCCATGAAATTATGAAAAATTACCCATTTTAAAGGTAGAAGGGGGGCTCCTCCCCAACACTTCTACAGCACTGCTTTTTACCGCTATGGTTGTCTTATGAGGATTTTCAATATATAGGCTTGTGCATTTCGAGAGTTTTGGGGTGAAAAGTCTGAACTGAGAAGATTTCAGGATGGGACCATTACTGAAGCGATTGTTTGGGAATGTAAAAACGCACGTGAAAAGAGGAAAATTTGTCAGTCAATCGTTAAATACATCCTTCAGAGGTAAGATTGTTTTACATACATCGATCTATGGTAAAATTGTGTAAAATAGCTACATCCTTCAGAGATCAAATTGTGTAAAATACGGCCTTCAGTGGTAAAATTGTGTTAAATTTTGTGCATCCTTCAGAGATCAAATTGTGTAAAATACGTCCTTCAGTGGTAAACTTGTGTTAGATTTTGTGCATCCTTCAAAGATCAAACTGTGTAAAATACGTCCTTCAGTGGTAAAATTGTGTTAAATTTTGTACATCCTTCAAAGATCAAACTGTGTAAAATACGTCCTTCAGTGGTAAAATTGTGTTAAATTTTGTACATCCTTCAAAGATCAAACTGTGTAAAATACGTCCTTCAGTGGTAAAATTGTGTTAAATTTTGTACATCCTTCAAAGATCAAACTGTGTAAAATACGTCCTTCAGTGGTAAAATTGTGTTAAATTTTGTACATCCTTCAAATATCAAACTGTGTAAAATACGTCCTTCAGTGGTAAAATTGTGTTAAATTTTGTACATCCTTCAAAGATCAAACTGTGTAAAATACGTCCTTCAGTGGTAAAATTGTGTTAAATTTTGTACATCCTTCAAAGATCAAACTGTGTAAAATACGTCCTTCAGTGGTAAAATTGTGTTAAATTTTGTACATCCTTCAAAGATCAAAAAGTGTAAAATACGTCCTTCAGTGGTAAAATTGTGTTAAATTTTGTACATCCTTCAAAGATCAAACTGTGTAAAATACGTCCTTCAGTGGTAAAATTGTGTTAAATTTTGTACATCCTTCAAAGATCAAACTGTATAAAATACGTCCTTCAGTGGTAAAATTGTGTTAAATTTTGTACATCCTTCAAAGATCAAATTGTGTAAAATACGTCCTTCAGTGGTAAAATTGTGTTAAATTTTGTACATCCTTCAAAGATCAAACTGTGTAAAATACGTCCTTCAGTGGTAAAATTGTGTTATATTTTGTACATCCTTCAAAGATCAAATTGTGTAAAATACGTCCTTCAGTGGTAAAATTGTGTTATATTTTGTACATCCTTCAAAGATCAAACTGTGTAAAATACGTCCTTCAGTGGTAAAATTGTGTTATATTTTGTACATCCTTCAAAGATCAAATTGTGTAAAATACGTCCTTCAGTGGTAAAATTGTGTTATATTTTGTACATTCTTCAGAGTTGAGACTGTTTACGTAGCTCGGTGACGTAAAAAAGACAAGAACAATGTTGTGTTGTTTTAGACATGGTGGCATTGAAAATTCTCATCTGCATTTTACTTCGAATGGCTTTGACGATCTGCTGATCCAAAATATCAAATTGATATCTTCAAACCAGAAAACCAGACAACTGTTGGAAAGCAGTTCGGGAGAGGAAACTGGCCAAGCTGTGATACGAAGCTACGAGTCGTTGGCGAAGCTATTGCGCAGTCTGGATCTACCTTTGTCTTTTCACACCATACAAAGTCTATCACCCGTGCTTAGAGGCACAGAGGTAAGTAATATTGTGATGAACGTGGCCGCAAGAAGTGTTGTAACCCGGATGACTCTACGTCATAGCTATTACTTGAATTGTCTATTAATTCAAGGTGTTTCCAGCGCTACCTACGAGTGTCGATACAAAGACGACATTAACGGGGAAAAGAATCGAGAAGTGTCCAAAATGGTGTCCGTCAAATGAAGGTATTCATGGCGTTTCATTCAATCACTGAAATGCTCATCGGAGACCGACTCCGATTCTCGATTAATTGTGTTGTTGATATTTTTAGTATTGATTCAGTTTGAAACGAGTGGAGAATGGCCGGACGATATAGAAGCAATTCAAAGAATCAAGGCCGCTTTTCTTCTAAATATCGCTAACTTGTTGAAGAAAGATCATCAAGTTCCAACCAACGCAACGACCAAACATGTTGATGTTTTAAAAGTGGGTAGTGACGTTTTAGAAATCCTTCTAAGAGTAACACCATTTAGCTAGTCTAGCTTAGCTATAAAGATCTATATAGCACCACACGCCTTTAGACGCCTTTGGACGCCTTTAGACGCCTTAGGACGCCTTTGGACGCCTTTGGACGCCTTCGGACGCCTTTAGACGCCTTTGGACGCCTTTAGACGCCTTTCTTAGTTGGTAGTTATTAAAATGAACAACGATTGCCATATTATTCATATTTGTATAGGACGGTTATGTATTCCGATTGAGAATTGCTCATTATCGTGAAATGGTCTTGCTAAAGAACACAAAGGTTGGAGGAGTTAAATGGTCGCTCATGGAGAAGGCCAGCGACGAACTGGAAAGACTGTTGGTCAAACTTCCACTTCTGTCGAATGTTATTCACGGGTTCGTAAGTGTTTTTATTGAAATTTAGAATGTGTTGGCGAAAAGAACAATCAAACTTTTGATTGAGAGAATTATCAGCACTAAAGTCTTTTATTGCAACATACGTATGTTGTGTAGGTACTTTGTATGTTGTGTACGTACTTTGTATGTTGTGTACGTACTTGGTATGTTGTGTACGTACTTTGTATGTTGTGTACGTACTTGGTATGTTGTGTACGTACTTGGTATGTTGTGTACGTACTTGGTATGTTGTGTACGTACTTGGTATGTTGTGTACGTACTTGGTATGTTGTGTACGTACTTGGTATGTTGTGTACGTACTTGGTATGTTGTGTACGTACTTTGTATGTTGTGTACGTACTTGGTATGTTGTGTACGTACTTTCTATCTTATTTCTTACAGAATCCAACAGCAGAATGCATCATTTGGTGGAAGTGTGAGGCTGGCCAAACGATGGATATCATCCCATTTGCTTACGTCGGACTTTCCTGAGGAATGCATTGAACTCATTATGGCATACATCTACATTCATCCTTATCCATATCTACCCCCGGCGTGTGTATCTATATTTCTTGAGCCGGTTGCACGAAGCCCGGATAGCGTTATCCATTGGATAGCAATTTTTTTTAAACTTTTATAAAACCTTTTAAAAAGCAAAAGATATAAGGTTCGAACTGAGCAATCACTGAAGTAAAATATTGTTTCGAACATTACGAAATTTCTTTGTTGTAAGAAAAATATAAATATAAGTTTGAAAATTTTTGCTATCCAATGGATAACGCTATCCTATTTAGGATTTGATATTACTTTTATCCTATGTTATCCTGTTGAATTCCTTTAGATCTCCGGTCACTGGCTTCGTAAGATTTCTTCACCTCCTGTCGACATTTGATTGGAAGAATAACGTCATGATCGTTAATTTCAACGATGAGCTTAAAGGTCCGTCTTTATCCATGTGTGACGTGACGATTTTAAATATCCGCTAGGCTGGCTGCCTTGTGAAAAATGCACAACTCTGCCCATGTTACGGTATAACCCAGGGAGGGATACGTGAGGTTGACGTCACGATTTTAAATATCCGCTAGGCTGGCTGCCTTGTGAAAAAATGCACAACTCTGCCCATGTTACGGTATAACCCAGGGAGGGATACGTGAGGTTGACGTCACGATTTTAAATATCCGCTAGGCTGGCTGCCTTGTAAAAAATGCACAACTCTGCCCATGTTACGGTTACCCAGGGAGGGATACGTGAGGTTGACGTCACGATTTTAAATATCCGCTAGGCTGGCTGCCTTGTAAAAATGCACAACTCTGCCCATGTTACGGTTACCCAGGGAGGGATACGTCAGGTTGACGTCACGATTTTAAATATCCGCTAGGCTGGCTGCCTTGTGAAAAAATGCACAACTCTGCCCATGTTACGGTTACCCAGGGAGGGATGCGTGTGAGGTTGACGTCACGATTTTAAATATCCGCAGGGCTGGCTGCCTTGTAGAAAATGCACAACTCTGCTCATGTTACGGTAACCCAGGGAACGATGCGTGTGAGGTTAAGATAACACACTGAAAGTAGCACTTTTGAGTGTGTGACAGAGAGGACATTTCAATAATCCATCTTTGCACATTAGTGTACCTTAAAGAAAAACCATTTCAATTATCCATTTGTGCACATTAGTGTACCCGACCAACGGTGTTACCTTCGATGTTGACGTCAGGTCCTCTTCCATACTTATTCTTATAAAACAGTTGATTTCAGTTGCAGATATTCAAGAAATCCGGTCTCATTTCATGTCCAATAGACAGAAATTACCAGCGTTGGTGATAGCAACTCCCAAAGATAAATTCTCATCATACTGGACGAAAGATTGTCCTTCAGTATTGGTGAGTCTCAAGTGGAGGGAAAGCTCACCAAATTCAACAAGCTGACAGTTGATAGCAATGCTAAGTTTTGCCTTGCTTTAGGTACATCATCGGATTGTTGCACTGGCCAAAGAATCATATTCTGTTTATGAAACCCAACAACTGAAAACCAAAGATGACTCAATCGATGTGAAGGTCACTTTGCACCTCATTTCATCAATAAGACCTCAAATGAGATGTTTTTACTGTTTGTTTTTGTTCATTCAGATCTTGTTTCGGCCATCATTTGAAGAATTTGATGTAGTTATTATCCTTCATGATCAATGGAATCCGAGACGTCATCAAGCAGTTGATTTGGGCCGATCTTGCTCTTATCAGTATCAACCGACATCAATGTCATTACCAATAGTTAATTTTGATCCCATACAATGCTACATGAATGAACTTAAGGTAATTGTATATGCCCATCAAAAGTTTACAGAATTTCCTAGATTCAATCATTTCTGAACATTTTCAAAGTACCTAAGAAGCTTTCTAATTGATTTTGTACAAATAGGAAAGCTTTTCAATGTGGCAATGTTCTTTCGAGACTACTATGGTGGGAAAAAGATTGGAGTGGTCTGGAAACTAGACCAACTTCAAGAAAAACCATTCAAGGTTTTACTTAATTTATAATTAGTTCTTTCTCAAATAACATTCACAAGTTTAGCATTTATTTTAGGTGTCTGGTTGCAACTTTCATATGCCAGCAACGAGGAAAACAAAGCAAGCCACAATAGTGCCTAACATCCAAGCTATACTTTCTGATTTTAAAATTCTTGGTGAAGGACTTGTTAAAATGATTGATGTAAGGAAGCTACCGTAATATATTATGTTCATTGATGTAAGGAAGCTACCGTAATACATTATGTTCATTGATGTAAGGAAGCTACCATAATATATTATGTTCATTGATGCAAGGAAGCTACCATAATATATTATGTTCATTGATGTAAGGAAGCTACCGTAATATATTATGTTCATTGATGTAAGGAAGCTACCGTAATATATTATGTTCATTGATGTAAGGAAGCTACCACAATACATTATGTTCTTGTAAATAAAATGCTCATTGTTAACTAAACTGTTTCATTTATGTGAGTATTTTTGTAAAAAGAGCAATGTATATAGGGAGGAAGACAGTTTGAAAGACTTCATAGAATATGAAATTGATCAGAATATGAAATATGAACTTCGAGATGTATGAACTAATCAGAATATGAACTTTGAGAATATGAAATTGATCAGCTATGAATGAGATTTCTTAAACAAACCCAATTTCAGTTCAGTTGCAATTTAGCAAGCAAGCACAAGGCATATCCTATGCCAAGTGCAAGCATAGTAAACTTGTGTTGCAAGGTTTAGTTTTAATTTATGTTGTGTAGTAGCAAACGAGTGCAAGTTTTCCAATCAAGGGAAGATAGCTTTTTTGACTATTTCAGAATGAAGAAGCACTCTCAGTCTCTTTGTTCATAATAACATCAAAATAACATTGAAAAGACAAACACAAAAGTTAAATATTTTACCATTTATTGTCTACAACACACAAACATAGTTAATTTTCTACTTGAGAGGTATAAACCTTGAAGAATGAGTGGCTCCGATACCAGGTCGACCATGCTTAACTGGTTTGTATGTGATGGAAAACTCACCAAGATAGTGTCCGATCATCTCGGGCTGCATAAAGAAATGAACATGTCACAAACTTGAACACAGGAAGACAATTCATCATTTGAAGAAAAATCTAGTGTGACTTTAGTATATTACATTTTACCAATAGAAATCAAGCACAACTCACCTTCACCTCAATTTGATTGAATGTTTTACCATTATATACGCCAATAACACTGCCTATCATCTCGGGACAACAATCATGTTTCTAAGATGGGTCTTGACAACCTCTGGCTTCTCCATCGGAGGTGCTTCTTTCTTGGCCTTACGTAGTTTCTTGATCAAAGCTAATGGCTTCCTCTTCAGACCACGAGAAAAGCGTCTCCTTGCTCGGGCATGCACGAGTTCCATTAAATTATCGCTTTGCATGTCGAGAAGTTGGTCCAAATCGACACCGCGATAGGTAAACTTGCGGAATGTACGCTTCTTCTTCGGTTGACCATCCGCCTGAAACAAAGCACGTAAAATTTCCTTCAAAATGTCATTTTTAAATCATATAAACTTTTTCACACACTTTAATACTACTAATACTTTTTCGACGAATGAATTGGTTGCAAATGCAAAGATTGATAAAAAAATAAAGGATTCAATTGTTGTCCTTACCATAGTATTTTACAATGTTTTTGAAGAATCAGAAAGGAAAGATAAAATTTAGGCACCAGGCTTTTTGTGTCAGTGCTTCCACTTTTACCCAATCTTTTGAAATTTCAAAAAATCTCCCATGTACCTTAAATGCAGTAAGTTTATTATTTCTAAAAGTTAGACAAAAGGTGGTAAAATTAAGCCACCGGATGGAGTGCTAGTTAATTTATTAAGTATTGTATTTTAAAAATTCCCTATAGTGATATTGAAGAAAAAAGGTCTATGTTGTCAACAATTGACCTTGACCGATCAACTTTTCAACTGTTATCATTTTTTCCCTCCATTTCTGTATCCATGAACGAATATAACTTTTCTCTTTGTTTCTCACTTCTTTCACGGAAGGCAAATCTTCCTTCATGGAAAACAAAAGATCATAGTTATGCGCACCGTGGTCAACAGTCAGGGCGATAATGCTATCCGTGATATTGTCCAATACCCCGCCACCGGACCAAGGGTCCATATCTCCGTTCACAAACACAATATTGGAATGTTCAGATATATCCCTGTCACCGTATAAAAGTTTCACACGACTAAGGTCGGGCGACGTACCCCACGTGCTTCTGCAAATTTTCCCAACTGCTTCGATATCCCAACTAGACTTGTAGTACATATCGTGAATGCCATCAGAACAGAGTGGATAGAGCAGTTCCGTACACGATTGATAATTCCAAGCACCTTGAAAGGATAAAGAAAGCAATAAGTGTTGTCGCCGAATAACTGAAGTGCTCACATAGGCTTCACGAAAGTGCAGGCATGTTTGTATAAAGGTAGGATTCAGTTTGTATATTTAGTTCAGTGGTTATATAGTGGTTCTACTTACGTCACTGTATCTAAGCGAGACATTTCCCTTATATTATATTTACCAAACGTGGTGATGATACATAGCAAGAATACAAATGTAGGCCAGCTTTGCTATTGTATATAACAATAGCTTGCGGCATGTTTGTAAATGTAGATCGTCCAGGTTGGTATAGTCCTGAGAAGGACTGTTGTCGTTGATGTAGACTGACGTTTCGACAACCTTAGCGGTAGTTATTTTTTTCACTCTGAAGATGACTACCGCTAAGGTTGTCGAAACGTCAGTCAACGACAACAAAAACAGTCCTTCACGAGACTCTACCAACCTGGACGATCTACATCCATAAACATGCAACGATACTCCCGAGTTCTAACCATTTAATTTATTAGCTTGTGAGCTGTAGATCGATGTTACATCTGTATAAAGATGAAAGTTCAACTGCAATATTACAAGTATATTACATACTACGACAGCAACTTCTCATTACTTTAGTCATCCAAGTCAAATAATGGTGAAAAAGGTTTTCAAATCACTGTCAATGAAAAATGACGAGGTTGCAAAAGTGGCAAGAGCCCAAGATTGTGTTACCTAATGACCTAGAACCCAATCCACTAGATATCTGACTCCGCCGAAATTGTATAGTAATGAGTGAAAGTGAGGCAAGCCGCCATCTTGAGAGGTGGCAAAACTGACAATATTTACGACTAAAATCTGCTTTTACTGTGTTGATATACAGTTGCAAAGTTAATAGTCTAGGTTTGATTCTTAAAATTTTTGATAGGATGGGTTTTTTAAACTTTGTTTTAACTTACTTTTCATTTTGAGTTTTGCTTTTCGCCGCCTTTCAAGATGGCGTCCTTGCCTCACCCAAGGAACTAAAATACGTAGAACGCTACCTGAAGCAAATAATTTAAGCCAAATCTTACACCCAGACACGCGTGTGTGGTATTTCGAGATTCTGAAAATTAATTGACTACACACGCGTGTCTAGGTGTAAAATTTGGCTTCAAAAAATTATAAGACTTTTCTATTACAGGTAGCGTTTCATGTATTTTAGTTCAATGGCCTCACCTCACCTTGACACGTTATTTAGACATCCAGAAGATTGGGTTCTAAATCATTGACATTACCTAAGAACTCCTTTCCATCCTTTGGTAAATGAAGACACTTCAACTTTCTCGTATGATTGAAGTACACCGACAAAGCGTTGGATAAATCCTGCAACAATTCTCTATCGTCGTCTTTAACATTCTTGATGTTTCCACAAACCGTCTTAATGGGCCACGGAGGTTTCGTGGAAGTCGGGTGAGGATAGTTCTCCATGGCGAGGAAAAGATAGGATAGCGCCAACTTGTCGCGAAGTTGATAGATTTCTTTTGATTCATTTAACGTTTCGCATAGGGAAAACGTTTTCGAAATAAATTTCAAGCCTTCTTCATTTCGACTGAGTCTGTCAAGAATATCCCAAGAACGACGTATAACATCCACACATTCGTGGCCTCCATCTTTTTCAAAGGCCTTAGTCACCAAAGAGTGCTGTGTCCCACAGTCTGCAGAGTACTGGAAGATTGGGGCCGAGGATGCAACTGCACCTGCAACTACACTTGGATATTTCATCCTCATCCAGGCAGCATACTGACCTCCTAATGATGCGCCGAAAGCAATAACTGGACTATAACGAGCACCGCTCACATTTGACTTGATATTGTCTATGAGCTTGGAGTAGTCGGCAAGAACCTGCGATGAGGTCAAATATCCGGTGTATTGAGAACTCGAGAGGGAGTTTACTCCGTATGGCATACTACTCCCTTGATAGCGTTGCTCGGCGAATACTAGCATTGCGTTAAACTCGGGCGCAGTCTCCCACAGGAAACCCATTGTTTTTGCGAAGTGTTCAATATTTGCCTCGTTTCCACAGTAAAAGAATATGACGTTCCCCGGCTTCCAGTGAGACGTACTGATAAGATAGCGTTGTTTGAATGTGGCATTGCTTAAGAATGTGAAATGATCCACGTTCTGGTCGAACCATTTCGTTTCGTAGACGCACGAAGGACAGTTGAATATTCCACGTTTTAGTGTGTCACTCGATGTCATATCTGAATGAAAATAAGCGGGAAAAACAGGCCAGTGAAACGCTCTCACCATATGAAGGATCGACTGCAACAGTACATATATGTTTCCAAAAGAGTACCTTCTCATGTTAGACAGTTTAGTTCAAGTTAGTGATAACTGTTTTTAAGGGAAGTTTTTCTGTTCGAGAAAACATGACCTGAAACGACAGGTACCAGTCGGTCTGTCTTTAAAGTGCATAAAAACCTTACGTGGTTTTTACACTATCCAATGAATGTGGTTTAAAAAGCCATGTTCCAAAATTTTAATGTAATATTTACCAATCGTAATGTCCGTCAAAGTTGCAAAAATAGACCATTTTAAGCGCTCAGTTTTACCGCTAAAGGACTGGGCCTGTGCGGTTGGGTGACGTCATGTAAGTAACACGGGTCTGAACATTATAGTAATTTAACAGGCTATTTTCTTTACTGAAAGAATGTTTTACTATTGTCATATGTCAAATGCCGATGTATTCGCAAGGCGATATTGCAAGGACAGACACCGGTAAAACACTGTCCTCCATCTCTATATCATAATTTGCATTTTCTGATGAATCTGAAGATGATGTTTCCGACCAAGATGAGGACATTTTGAAAAAAAACGACGCAATAATCGAAATATCGGCAACAACATTGATTATTTTAAAAAGCAAATAATTTGTTTTGAATAAAGCCCACGCGACTGTATTCCTTACATGACGTCACAACATGTACTGGATACCAGACCCCATTGGGAAATAAATGTAGGGAAAATCTGGACTTTTAAACCGTAATTGCGAAGAAAGCTTTGATCTCAATTCATTTGTTTTTTAAATTTATAGTTTTCAAGAACTGCTCTTTCAAACTATACTAAAATCCTGCAAGGTTAATGCGCACTTTAAAATTTTACTCAACTCAGACGAATGGAAGCTTCCAGCATTGTCAGTGTCAGGTAGTGAAATACTTTATCCAGGCCTGGCACATTAGCTAAAAGCCCCATTGAAAGAAAATCTATTTAAGTATATAAAAAACGAGACGCCTTCTTATCGCATTAGTGTAGAAGTCTAATAAAGTCTAATAATAAGTAAATACATATATGTACATGCTGTCACACTGGCAGTCGAAAAAAAACCCCGCTCAATTGTCATTGCTATATGCGTTGAAATGGTGGCGCATTCGTCAGTTGAAATTCAATATTGCTTTGAAGGTGTTTAAAATGTCGCACTAAAAGCTGAAATATATTTTACGTATACGACAAACTCTCAAGTGAGATGGTATTTTTGAATGCTGGTGTACAACTCCACGATCACACCGAATAAATGATTTGCAAGAGCTTTTTTTATATTTGAATGAACTTCAACTCAAAGATGAAGATACTGTTCCTAAATATGAGTTCATCGAGTTTTGTCAACTCTACTTCAATCTCTTATAGTATACACATAACGGAGGAAAATATTTTCAGCTATAAACAAAATCACGCTAACTTTTATCGTTTGTATTTACTTAACTTTTAACATTACTTCATTTGGCGTCGGATCATCTCATCCAAACACTTCATTGGCATTATTCGTATCTTAAGTATCTGAAAAAGCGTTCAGCACAGCATGTGCGCCATTTCTAAGCCCTTCGTGATAATTGTTCAGCTGAAAAACAAAACAAAAACCTTCCACAAAATCAATGTTCAATAAGTCATTTAAGATGCAATCAATGTTTACTGTTTGCTTACTGTTTGTTTATTGTTCGTCTACTGTTTACATGTTTACTGTTTGTTTACTGTTTGTTTACTGTTTGTCTACTGTTTGTCTACTGTTTGTTTACTGTTTACATGTTTACTGTTTACATGTTTACTGTTTTTCAGGCTTACGCAAACAGAAATGACTTTTGGGAAAACTCGAGAGCAGATCGGTACAGTTCTCAAAAACGTCCACGACATTTATATAAGCCAGTGTAAACACGAAAAACATCTTTGTTTTCTTTTATAAAATTATAATAATGCGAAAAAGTTAAATTTAAAACAATCTAATTTTTCCTCTAACATGTATTCAATGATTGATTTGAAAATTCTCTTTGACTGATTGACTGTTTTGATTGATTTGATTGGTTGAGCTCAGATCTGTTTTGCCCAGGCTAATGCGAGCACGGCTATAGACCAATCACCGCACGCGTTTTATTGTTTTTATTTTATAAATTTATTTCATGATATTATAATATATTTACCGAGGTTATCATCTGCTCGTAGACCTCTTTCACTAAATTCTTTTTCATGCCGTAGTCTTCCTCCATTGCTTTTATCTTTAAATAGAAAACAAGTTGTACGTTAAAAAATAGCGCTGAATAAAATAGTAAGTAAGCAATGCTATTGACTCAGAGGAAATTGAACCCACAGTTGAATGTGATAATATAGAAAATGAGCGAGTTGCAACTTTCCCACCTTCGCTAACACTTCTTGTAATTCTTCATCTGTCGAAGATTGTTCTTGAAGCTGTTTTCCTTTTTTCTGCAACATCTCAACATCCCTACGACGATCAAAACATGTCCAATACATGTCCAAAACATGTCCAAAACACGTGGAACGAACGAAACTAAAAATTCCGTTCGTAAATTATTTACAAAAAAAATTCTTATTCTCGTGACAAAAAAATTTTTTCTATGCCATGTTTTGTTGTTGAGATAGACACAAGACAAAAAGAAAGTGCCTTCCCGACAAAAATTGTTATAAATTCTTAATAAAATGAATTCCAGATAAATCAGCAGAGCACTAATCAGACTTTAAGTAATTTACCAACAGCCATGTGACCAATAAGATCACTCGTGCTTTGCGAAAGGGGGGACTTTCTTTCTTGTATGACAATCAAATAATTTATCTTTTGTTTTAAAAAGTGTAGGTGAGATATAAATTTCACCAGAAATGGAACTCAATTAAATACCGTAAAAAAACGCACGAAAAAGAAAATCTTTTGAAGAAACTACATAAAACGTTTTAAATGTTCTTTTGATATCGAAAACATTACGTGTGTAAACAGTAAAAATTGACGTCGAAAAGCAACAAATACGACCACGAACTCGTACTTTTTGTTCACTTCAAGCTCGTCCCTTTTCGCAGCCAGTTTCTTTTCATAAACTCGTTCCATGCGATCTTTTTTTTCTATCATCATCGTCAACTGACGTTTGGCGTTCTGAAAATGGAAGAAGGCGGAGAAAACGATTTTAGATTAGTTCATATACACGAGAAAAACATCTACAATTTCAGATTACTTCATGTACACGAGACAAACATCTAACAATTTCAGATTACTTCATATACACGAGACAAACATCTAACAATTTCAGATTACTTCATATACACGAGACAAACATCTACAATTAAATTTACTATATTGACCTTTTGTTCAAAATTAATATGTTCAAGTTGTTCATTGTTGATGGCTGCCTCATCCAGTATTTCTTGGTATTTTTTCTGTCGATTTCTAAATTGACAGTTTGTATATTAAATAAACTGATCATAACACATTGAAGCACTGAGCCTATGTATATCCTATCTATGATCCTATCTATGAAATAATTAAGAAATGCCGTAAACGCCTCTATTATCTTATTCAACTAAAACGAGCAAATATCGAAGTCAAGGAATTGCTCCAATTTTACAAAACGTGTATAAGACCTGTCTTGGAGTATGCTTGCCCAGTGTTCCACAATAGTCTGACATTGTATCTGTCAGATAACCTAGAGTCAGTCCAAAAGCGAGCATTAAAAATAATCCTGCCTCATCAAGAATATGAAAACGCTCTGCAGTTTACTAATTTACAACGCCTTAGCGAAAGGAGGAATGATATAACAACAGCTTTGTTTCAAAAGATAGTAGCAGATTCCTCACATAAGCTTCATGACCTTTTGCCTCCTCGTTTAGAACGTTCAACTATGGAACTTAGGACTCAATCTTCATTCAATACTAACTTTAACACCAAACGTTTTAGAAATAGTTTTATAACTTTTAACTCATTGAAGATGTAATTTAGTTAATTTATTTATGTATGTATTATATGTAATCTTAAACGTATTTCAGCAATATGGCTGCCAGTTTTTAAGAAATAAATCATCTATCTATCATCTATCTATCTATCTATCTATCAATATTTACTGCACCCTAGCTACATCTACTGTGCCCTAGCTAAATCTCCCGGGCCCAAGCTATATTTACTAGGCCCTCGCTAAGTCTGTTGGGCCATGTGCTGGGCCATATCTATGTCTACCGGACTCTAGCTACATCTACTGGTTCCTATCTATATCTACTGGATCCTATCTTTAACAACTGGATCCTATCTATATCTACTAGATTCTAGCTATATCTACTGGATCCTAACTATATCTACTGGATCCTATTTATATCTACTGGATCCTATTTATATCTACTGGACCCTATCCACATCTATTGGATCCTATCCACAACTACTGGATCCTATCTATATCTACTAGATTCTAGCTATATCTACTGGATCCTAACTATATCTACTGGATCCTATTTATATCTACTGGATCCTATTTATATCTACTGGACCCTATCCACATCTATTGGATCCTATCCACATCTACTGGATCCTATCTATATCTACTGGATCCTATCTACATCTACCAGAACATATCTATTGTACTGGATCCTATCTATATCTACTGGATCCTATCTACATCTACTGGATCCTATCTTATATCTACTGGACCCTATCCACATCTAATGGATTCTAGCTATATCTACCAGACCATATTTATATCTACTGGATCCTACCTATATCTAACTAGACGCTAGCCTGTATGAACATTGCAAAAATAAGTTTTGAAGACACGAAACTTACTGCAATTTTGCGAATTCATCTTGCACTGATGAGATAACCCGATCAACTGTGCAAAAATTCTAAAAAAAATCGCCGAGAAACTTCACACAATGATGTAGGACGAGAAAGAAAGGTGTTAAGAAAGCAGCCAACTATACATTTGACGTCAAATCATCCCGTTTGGAAATATTTCAAGAGAGATGACAAGAAACAAGTTTGCAGTGTGCAGTCTGTGCCAGAAAACAATGGGAAAACACAGACAAAACAAGCCTTAGGTTTATGGCATCTAGTCATCATATTCATAATTGAGCTTGTACAAACAAATTTTTTTCTTTTGAAAAAAAAATAACGAAAAGCGAGCCTAGGTTTTTCTTCCGGAACAACCGAAAACAACGGTTTCTAGACAAAAGCAATAACGGAGAACTAGGCGAATCAAAGTGATGGCTCTTTTAAAGGAATTATTCTGGTGATTTCATATCCAGTGGCCAAGCGAGTTGGATAATTGAGGGGTTATTTCATTTATTCATCTTCTGTTGCATTAAGATCCTTTGAAATCCATTGCTTTCTGCAAACTATAACACGCATATGAATTTTGTCTCCCCCCTGCATTATTAAAGTAAATGGTTTGAACCCGGGAGTATCGTTTCATGTTTGTAAATGTAGATCGTCCAGGTTAGTATAGTCCTGAGAAGAGCTGTTTTTGTTGTTGACTGACGTTTCGACAACCTTAGCGGTAGTCATCTTCAGAGTCAAAAAATGACTCTATACACATACTAGTCTTTTTTTTTACTCTGAAGATGACTACCGCTAAGGTTGTCGAAACGTCAGTCAACAACAACAAAAACAGTCCTTCGCAGGACTATACCAACCTGGACGATCGACATTTACAACCATGCATTGTTGATGCTAAATGCAGCTGTTAATAACACGCAAAAAATGGCAGTTATGGATGGTGCGACAATACGAAGCGGACTAAATACACAAAATGAAGAAGGTTATCAAAAATCCTACATCTTCAACAACGTTGAGAGATTCTTCCAAATTTTTTTTCTCGTGAAGTATTCGACTTTTCTCTTCGATGACCAATTTGCAAGTCTCGATGGCGGTGCTCATCCGATCGAGTTCCTGAAACGGAACATAACCGAAGGACGTTTTTTAAAAAAGGATGAAATCATCATGAAAAAAAAACCAAAAATTTTCTTACTCCAAGAAACTTTTCGGGAGATGTTACGATTTTCGCCTTTAACTTCTCCGATTCTTCAACGTTGTTTGCGATCAGCACCTTTAACTCGGCCTGAGAACACGATAGTGAATGATTATAAAAGGCGGAAGACTGGGAACGAGGTTCAAACATTCCCAAACCTGACTCGATGTCTGCTCGGCAATTTCCGTTTTCAATTGCTGTGTGTATTTCACGTCTGATGCCTAAACAAGATGAAACAGAACAAATGAAAACGATTAACCCCAGAAGCAGGGTATAGTGAATATACATTAGAGCCACTCCATTAAAATTTTTTGTGCCAGGCATATCTCTTTACGCACGTAATTACCATAGTGGCAACCGTTCAATTTTTGACCAATGGGAACGATGAAATGGCTAACGACAGCCAGTAATCTAATTAAATATACAGCAGTCAGTTGCACGGCAAAGTGGACCTACTGTATATCCCCTATACTTAGCGAAAAGCCAACTGTTGTGGGATTACGTAGTGCGCATGCGCACCTGTTTTATGTTCAAGTCATTCACTTCTTTCTTGAGATCTTCTACAATCGGCTGAACCTGTACATATCAAGCAAAAACATGAAACTATGTCGTATGACATTTTTTGAAGTTCAATTTAATGATGCAGTCTTAAAAACCGGTATCTAAATCATTCATGACGAGGGTCTCTTTGTGCGTTTTTCATTTGTTTGAAATTCGAAAAAGTTGGTGATTACTAATTTATTAATAATGAATGGTTGACTGAAAGAACTAATATAAAAGATCGATAGAATTCTTAATGAAAAAAGGACAATTAGAGCATATCGCTCGGTTGAATATTACGCAACTCGTTATAAATTTTTTCATGCTAAATCAGGCAAGCAGAATGCTTAGTTGGAAACTTTTATAGTTATGGACAAATAAAATTCTGTTTATATTTACGTTTTTCGTTTATAGATACATTTACGTTTTTCGTTTATAGATATGTTTACGTTTTTCGTTTATAGATATATTTACGTTTTTCGTTTATAGATATATTTACGTTTTTCGTTTATAGATATATTTACGTTTTTGGTTTACAGATATATTTACGTTTTTTGTTTATAGATATATTTACGTTTTTAAAATTTACTGTTAATAAATACGATTTGCGTGTGTTTATAAATGATTATATTTACATCAAAAACTTTATGTTGACTTTGTTTCTTTTAAAATTTGTTTGGTGCGAACCTGCTGTATCTTTTCTTCGTCAACGCTGCGAGCCGCTCTATGGAATGACAATGGATGGAAACAAAAGATACATTGGGTTTTATTAATAAGTTTAGCATATCTGGCAAGCAATTATGTCATAAATTGGACGATGCTCTACTTGATTTTTGCAATTTTTTCCTTAAGTTCCTTGTTTCTTTCCTGAAGAAGCATTTTTTGTTCCGCTACCGATTCCTGTAGCGAAAAAGACATGAAATATATCTCACAAAAACGAGAAAAAAATGTTTTTTGTGGGTTAAATCCATTAAGACCGCCCAGCTTAAATTGCAGCCTTCTAAAAAGATTGTTGAAGCAATTAAATCAAGTGAATCCTGACTTTGTGCAACAAGCCCTAGGATAATATACAGCAAAGACCAGCCACAGGACCATAAGCAACCAAGAGATAAGACAGTAACGAGTCCAAGATAAACCCGATTTTCAAATCAAGCCATTCAATTTTTGTTGTACTGTTATTGTACCTTCTTTTCGGTCACTCGATCGAAATGTTGATTCTGAGTTCCTTTGAACTTCTCGTAGTTTACTACAGCACTAAATAAAAAAGCATCTAAGAGTACATAGGCACATTCAGCAAATTGAGCACATACAGCCTGAGTTTGACATTTAGGAAACAAGAGATGTTTACAGTGTTTGCACAGGCTTATGCACACAATGGAGGAGAAGTCAGGAGCAGATGAGCGCAAGCCCTAAAGCCTGTTTTCCACTAGCCACGTATCGTAACGCATCGTAGCAAAACGTAACATGGCGCATGCGTGCTTATGCCTATTGACGATGAAATTCATAAGCACGCATGCGCCATGTTACGTTTTGCTACGATACGTTACGATACATGGCTAGTGGAAAACAGGCTTAACAGTCTCACAACTGTCTACATGGTTTATATAAATCATTGCAAACATGAAAAACAACTTTTACTTCTTTCATAAAATAACAACGACGCGAAACAAACAAATTTCAAACAAAACTTGTACTATTTTCTCTAAAATGTATTCATGATTGACTCGCAAATTCTCTTTGACTTATTGATTTGATTGGTAGAGCTCATATCAGTTTGAACAGGTTGAAGAACATTCAGCTATAGACCAATCACTCCATGCATTTTATTGATTTACTTTTACAAATAGGAATGATGTTATAATGTCATACCTTATGATGTTCAAAGTACGTTTTGGTTCTGTATAAACAGAGAAATTTGATGAGGTAATGCTTGCTGATAACAAGACAGTCAAGCATTTTACATATTTCAATAGTTGTTCATGATCTCACTTACTTGGATCTGTAAGATCATTTTTCGAAAAATCTTTCACCATACATGAATGGAGGAATCTTTGTCTGAAATTAAACAAAAAGAAGTTTTTAGAGCTAATGTTCAAAGTCGGGATAACTTTTGAAATCATTAACAGACTTGAACTTGCTATTTGAAATAACAATTCATTTTGCATGACATTTCGGTTATATTGCTATACTTACACAATCAATGTGTAGTATATAAATGATGCTCCTTCCTCTAAAATATCTGGATAAGGAAGCATACTGACCAGCTTGAAAGGTGGCTAAAGTTAATATAGATGACTGATGAATGACATATACACCTGGGCAAATATTGGCAGTTGTTACTCATAGGTAAAATTCACATTGAAGGCAGCAGGAGTGGACAATCCAGTATGCTGAGTAGGCTTAAGCCTACAGGTCCGGGCTTTCAAAAGGCCCGGTGTATCCGGACACAATTAGAATTTGAACATTTTGCTTTAAGGGCTAGGCGGCTAGCTAAATGCGGCTTAATTTATGCTTAATTTTCAAGTGTTAAATGCTCAGAACTCGTGAAGTATTAACTTTTCCCATTTCCTTGACCATGTCAATCCTTTTTGAAATTTTGTTTAAACCTAAAAGTGTACTTTTCCCATTTTTACTCTATGGGGTCACTAACAGGAAATGCCATGCAAAGGAAAACTGAACTTAGTGGGAGCAATAGATGTTACACTGTTACTTAAAGGCCCTTACCTTCGTCTTAGCCTAAAGGCCCCATAATTAGTAGTCCGCCTCTGGAAGGCAGTCATTTGCGACGTAGAATATAATTGTCTTGTTTTAGGTTAAACCAAACTAATACAAATAACTTTTTCTAAACATATATAAACTGTGTTTGTACCTGCATCATTTGTTCCCTTGATATGCCAAGAGATGTTGTAACAAGGTCTAGCATAAGCTTCTTAACGAACTGTGACTATAAAAACAACGGTTATGCTTTAGGTGGCAAAGGCAGAACAAATTTAAAACCTTCGGTCTTCCTTGCTTACAAAATTATAAATAATCCTAAAAAGTTAGCCTTAAGTAGCTGATCAAAATTTTAAAACCTTTGACCAACAAAGAACTTACTGTGGGTCTTCTGAGCTCCTCTTCGCACACATTTAGGTCAAACATTTGACGTAAACTGGAAATTGCCTCTTCGTAAGAAAGAATAGGATACGCCATTTTGAATTGCGCGCTTTTTGAAAAAGATTCAAGGTCGCCGTCACGTGACGTATTGCTGACGTACTGAAAGGGTACCAACGTCATAGTATTAAGAAAGTTTGTAGATTCAACTTAATAATATGTTTCATAGCACGTTGTTGTTGTTTTCCATTAAACAAGAAGTTTATAAGTTATTACAACAGAAGAAAGATATCTAGAAAATTTTGCCAAACACACCGAACATTCATCAACAGAGATTCCGTTCCATTGTTACCAGTCCACCAAATTAACAAACGGTTAAATACAACATGGCCGCAAATGTCGAAAATATTCCATCAAGCGCTATTGTAATCGAACGCCCATATACTTCATATTTGCCTGCAGAAATAGTGGCAAACATATTTCAATTGTTACCAGCAAAAAGTTTAGTGGCTGCTGGGTTGGTCTGTAGTCGATGGAGCAAACTTGCGGAGAAAGAATTGACGCGGAGAACGGCGTTTGTTAGTCGGATGTTTAAAGACAGTCAGGAGTTAAGACTAAATGTATGTTAACGATGACAGTTGGGCCTCCACAAACTTGTCTCCACTTCCTCAGTCCTTTACCAGTATTGATCGTTTTAGGAGAGTAATGATAGAATAGAAATTATAGTTGTTTCTCTTGGGGTTCTAGACCAACATTCGCTAATAGAATATATACTAAGGCCAAGGGTAGTGAGATGTCTGTTTACCAGGAAACTGAAATATTGAGGTGGCGGCTGGTTTCGCCAATGTAGCGAGAATTACATCCCGCACAAGAGAATTTGTAAACCCCATTGGATTTTAAGAGGAAAGGGATGGGGTCTTCGAAGCGGAAGAAATTTTTGATTTTAAAAGAAGACAATACTAGTTTTATGGCTAAGTTTGTGCAGTAACGTCTGACCAAGTTATGTAGTTTTCGTTTTGTGATTTGTGAGTAGTGGCCAATGTAAGGTAGCTTGAAGTAATGGATTTGGGGTTTAAGTTTTGACCCAGGAGTATCGCCAGGTACATGTTTGTAGATTATGATCATTCACAGTTGTGTGGTTAAGTTTTTTTTATTTACTCCTACCATCCAATTTGTTCAGTAAACATCCTACACAAAAGCAACAGATTTCGAAAAAAAATAAACAAAGATAATGTACAAATATTTACATGGCAGTTCTAAAACATACAGGATGGCTATGTTGCTAATTCTACAAGTTATTGTTGTGATTGCTTCAATGTGTTTTCTTCAAAGTTGGCATGCCGCACTTTCTACCATAAGTCTGTGTCTCAGTGTTGAGGTGATGTTTGTAATACATCAGCCCTGTCCCAGTCGATGGCTTCGTAACGTAACGTTGTAATTGATTTATGTGTGACACGTATTTTGTATGGTCGTAAGCTTCGTGAGATTGCGTCAGACGTACCTTTGTTGTAACTTGCAAGGTATCGTTTGTTGTTTTCGTAAAATTCATTGTTTGGTTTGTGTTCGGTGCTTCGTTGCGTAGAGCATTCGATGAATTGAATATGAGTTGAGCAGTGAGCACGTTTTGTTATCGTTCTTATCGTGGTGGCTTTGTGTGATGTAGGGTTGTAAGATGATTGCTGTAATACACTACGGTTTGTTGTTAGTAGTTGTCATGTTTTACCAAAAACTTAAGAAAAGCGACTTTCGAAAAAGTCACAACACAAAAATCACAACTCATACTAGTCTCCTTAGACGTGACGTCACTATTCACCAGGATTCCACTTGAACTGGCACTGGATTGCACAAAAACCTAATCGATCTAACAATCCTTGAGGATAAACTTCTACTAACATGTGGAAGCACTAATAAACCTACAGACAGGCTGCACCTTTCGTTGGACGTGAATGTTATAACTCTCATGTTGTGTTTTTGCATCAAAATGTGATTGGGTTTCGTTAAATTTATCACCCTCTGTTTGTTTTGAATTTAGTGAATGGTAAGTGTAGAGAATTGTTTGCCTTATTGTTGTCGTATTTTTTCCCAGGGAACGATGGAAAACATGGAAAAGCAGGTGTACAAGTTTCTCAACGAGCTTTCAGTCGTTCCTGCTGCTGTTATTATTGCAAGTTTTCCAAAACTGTCGAAAGAAAATCGTGAGAAATTCGCGAAATTTTGCGTCAAAGTTGCTTTGGCATTGCCGAAGGAATGTGCGATTGTTGTTGGTTTGCATAAGATTTATGCAAAAAGTGTAATGGGGGAGAACAGTTGTGGACTGCCTGAAGAAGTCGAAAATGATGGCATATTAAAGGTTTCTCTTCTGGTATTTCCTAAAGCAAAGGATATAAACATCACAAAAGTTTATGTTAACACCGAAGTGCTAAGAACGAAGAAAGAGTATTGGCGCGAAAAACTTCGTCAAGATAAGAAATTTGTATTTTTATTGGCGAGCAGCAGAGCGTACAAGTGCGTTCCAAAGATTTACGAGGTCAGTGGAGCCGACATTTTGCTATGACGTAATCATTACAAAGGCCCATCGATGATAGCAAACGCCTTCCACGTGCAAACGTCTCTTTCAACTCTCCTTTAATAGCGGCGTTTTTCTAGGACAATTGCAAGGAAATATGACAAATTGGTATTGTTGTCATTTTAGATTTTGGACAAGAACGTTGTGCTTTGTGGTGGATTTCTTGAAATGGTATTTGCTGTGAATGGTAATTCAATGAAATCGTATCCAGTTTGTGCCTTGGCAGTTGGTGGAAATGTTGACGTTTACAGTCGTGTTATGTTTCGTGCGTTGAAAGATGTAAACTCGGGGACGTTTTTGCAAACACTTCGAGAAATGCAATTGCCTTCCAACATCAAAGATCCAAGCGTCTGTTTTCTAATAAAATCTTATTATATAAGCAATACAATTATCTCCGACGAAAGTTCACGTGAGTTTCGTCGAGAGTTTCCTCGCATGAAAGTCTTTGGTTTTTCATGTTCCGAAGAGATCGGCTCACATTGTTTGGACGATAATCGCAAGAATCCCAGAGACAACTCAACCCTCACTCATGATTTCAGTCTGGTCATTTGTGTCGTAACATTTCGCAAATAATGAGCACATGATGCAAAATGCAACTAAACTGTACTGATCATGAAAGTTACAAGTCTCAAGATGCTCAATAGTAATATTGTAACTAGTACAAGTGCTTTAGCACACAACATTTTACATAATATTTCATTCACTATTTGCAATAACTTATATTGCCACACATAAAAGCACATTAACTTTGCTCGAGAGTTTAATCTGTACAGTTATCAGGGTTGAACAGAGCAAGTCTAGTTCTAAATATATGAATATTGGCACAGACTTGTCGTTTTTTGACATGCCAAATTTTGTGTATTAAAGAGCTTTGCACACAAGTTTTGTAAACTAGTTTTAAATTAATTACCAATCTCACAGTATTATGGTTCACTTAAAAAGAAAAATTTGTTGATGTAGTATTATGACTTGAAAAATTCTGATAAATATGTACCGCAAGTCTGTTATAGTGTAATTTAAATGCTAATCTTTTACATGAATTTAAGGTTTTATTATAACAACTTTGCACAGTTTTTGTGAGCTAGTTTTAAATAGGTTACCCAAGTCACAATGTCATGGTTTACTGAAAAAGAAATATTTGCTTCAGGCATTAAGAAGAGTAAAATAACTGACAATAAAAATTACTTCATGTAATATTTCATGATTCATTTCGGCAAAGCATGCACTAAAATAAATGACTAGATTTCAGAAAAAAACTGTGAGGAATATAACCATTTGTTAAGCACCGAAATACTTTACAATGAAAAACTAAAACATCCCCTGGGTGGTACAATAACTGAAGCTTTTCTCTCAAAGTATAAAACCATGAAAGTTAATTGGACTAAAGCTACGTGTAAGAGCCAACACATTCATTTGCAGCCACACACCAGCCACAACAAAACTACAGTTCGTATTTTACCTCAAAACATATCTTCATTGAAAATGGCAATGAATTTATCTTGAAAATTTGTGAAATATGAAATGCTGAAAGTTGATCGTGGTTTTTTTGAGCTCGTGACTTCGTAAATGTGGCAAACCGTCAAACCTTTTGATTTATGGTGAAATTTGGACAAATTTTGATCAATAAGCATTGAAGCAAACTTTGCCAACGCAATGTTAACAGGTTAAAGTACATGCGTGAAAAGAATTCTTTATCATTTGTGTACCTAGCATTTTTTGCAGACAATGGGAGGGCAGAGCAGTACTTCCTTGCGATAGTAACTTCTAGTTTAATCAAAATAATGTACTTACAAAAGCAAAGTAAATGAGATGAAAGATCCTTCTGCTATAATTTCGGGATAAGGAATCATGCTGATGAACTTTAAAGGTGGCTAAATTTAACATAAAAGTGTTGTGTGAAAAAGAAACAATAGCAAATGTATAGTTTGCACTCACAATTGACACAATTCACATTGTAGGCAAACTTGCTTAATATTAAATCAAAAAAGATATTCGTTTGAAGTTTGAAATCAAATCTAAGCTACTAACTTATTTTTAAGCTTGCATGCTTCTGACTCTCTTGAGCCTTCAGCATGTTTCTATTGATCAGCGATATAAGGTGTCTGCTAAACTGCACTTGACCACAGAATAGACATCTAACAGAAGGACTACTTGGCTAAAATCATGGCGTATTTTTTTAATATGCATGCGTGACTTCCCAGCAAGGTACTATCACAAAAATAATATAGAATAGTATTGCACAAGTATGCCATTTTACTAATAGTTCATGTTTAAAGCAAAAGTTTGCCAAAATTTTTACAAAGAGTTATCATGCGAAGAAGAGCTTTCGTAGTGCAAAACAATATATTTGTAAAAACATCTATATTTTCTATTGCGACCTAGCGAAAGTATTTTGCTGGAAGGTGTGTCTCCTTAAAATTTGCTTCAGAAAATAGGACACAAACATCAAAGGCTCCGACACGAGTGAACCTTCTGTTAAGATATCTATTCTGTGACTTGACTGTTGACCCGTAATTTTCATACCAAATTGAAACTAAAGCTCTAGCTTACGCACTAAAAGCCTCCTGGTTATCCTTCCTCATGACTTAATTGTTTCAAACATATATGATATATCTTGTTTTAAAGGTTGCTGTAACTGCAGCATTTGCTTGTTGTTTCATTGATAATTCGATATGTGAAGAGATGCTGTAGCAATGTTTAGGAAAAGCTTCTTTTAAAACTGTGACGATAACATCTGCATGAACATTACATAGAAAGCAGTAAACGTTTGTCGTGGATGACATAAGGATCTTGCTTACAAAATCATAAATAAACCTGAATATATAGGTAGTTGATCACAACGTTTACGCCCGTTGACCAACCAGGAATTTACTGTAGTTTTTGAGCTCCTCTTCACAAACATTCATGTTAAACGAATCGTGTGTAAACTTGAAATTTCATCGTCATTAGAAAGTGAAGGATACGCCATTTCGAATTACGCGCATTTTTTTCAAGTAAGTCAATCACTCCAGAGTGGCATGATACTGGATCAGTGTATTCTTTTTATAATAGTTTAGAAAATCAAAGATTAAAAAAATTAAAGATATCAGTCATAAATATCAAATAAACGTTGGCTGTTACTTCTGATTTATGGATTTATTATTTTGCTTTGAAAAATTTGAGCTACATGTATAGGTCTACAGAGAGCAGCCATTTAGGGAAATCAATCGTTACCAGTCTACCGAACTGACCACGACCACCCTCTAATCAAACATGGCCGCAGATGTCGAATGTTTCGAACTCATGGTCAAACATGATATTGAACATTTACCACCAGAATTACCATGAAGCGCGGGTATAATTGATCGACCATGTACTTCTTATTTTCCAGCAGAAATGGTGGCAAATATATTTGAATTATTAAACGCAAAAAGCTTAAAAAAGCTTAGTTAATGCAAGCATGGTTTGCCGTTCATGGAAGGACTTGGCTGAAGAGAGTTGACTCAGAGAACGTCGTTGTAAGTCAGTTATTTCAATCCAGTCATGAGTAAACACTAAATGTATGTTAAATCAAAGATAACGGATAAAACTCCTTAAGCTTGTCTACACTTTCTTAAAAGTAGTAAACATCGGTTCTTAATCAACATCGATCGTTGTGGTTTTTGTTTGTCTCATAAATAAAATCATATTAGTCATTATATAATTTTTATTTAGGAAATGATGGAACACATTAAAGAGCAAGTATGTCAGTTTCTTCAAGAATTTCCCGTAACAGTCTTGGACTAACAGAAGAGGTTGAAAACGACGGCAGTGTTATGTTTTTCTCTACTGATTTTCCTAAGGTTAAGGATGTTAGCATCACCAAGATTTCGATCAACGCAGACGATTTATAAACAAAGAAACAACATTGGTATCAAAAATTTCATCAAGATAAAAAGTTTGTATTTGTAATGACAAGTCACAGAGGAGGCAAGTGTTTTTATAACTTTAGAGAGGTCAGTGGATCCATTACAATGTCATTGCCAACCGTGGGAACTTGGTTGTTTTTATGAGTTATATTTAGCCATTTATTTCAACCTTACATGTTTCAACCTTTTTGCTCGATTTAGAATAAAATGTATACCTTATACTTTTTTTGTTTCTAAATTGTTCTCTTGAAACTTTTATTGTAACTCAGTAAGCATGTTTGATATTTTTACAGATTAAAATTTTTTTTCAGCAACATTTGCCATTAGTCGATGTAAGCCTTCACATTCAATAACAGTGCTGTCATTTCAGATGTTTGAAAAGAACCTTGTGGTTTGTGGTGGATTTCAAGATACGGTATTTGCTGTGAATGATTGTATGAAATCATATGCAGTTTGTGCCTTCTCCGTTTGTGGAAATGTTAACGTTAGCACTCGTGTATTAGAGTATTACTCAATGAAGAAGTCGGAAGATTTTGACTCTTGGACCTTTTTGTCATCGTACAAGGAATGGAATTACCTAGCAAAATCAAATTCTCTAAAACGCTTCTCCAAGCGTCTATTTTCTCGTGACATGTAGTCATCTGAGGAAAACTCTCTTGATTTTCGTCGAGAATTTCCTGACATGAAGGTCTTCGGGCTTCCTTGTTCAACAACGATCTGCTCGCATGTCATGAACAATTCTCGTGCGTGTTTTCTGAACAAATCGGGCTTCATTCATTCTACCAGTCTGGTCATGTGCGTCTTGACATTTCGCCAATAATTTTCACAACAATGCAAAGTTCACTGAACTACACTGATCTGAACAGTTACTTGTCGCCAAAGTTTGACGTCAGTGACGTCACTAGTTCCTGTCCTTTGGCCCACAACTTCTTCTTACGTTTTTTTATTTACAGTTGAAAGTAAATCCCGCCATTTCACAAATACGTATATTTACTTTTCTTCTGGAGTTTAATCTCTATAGAAATATCGTTGGATATTTGATTTCAACACTAGTAACACTTAATGCATTTGAATATTTTTCATTCGCATATTTTGGTTCTCAAGCAACCTCTGATTTCACATACAGACGTATTTAGAATTCTAGGATTTAGTGAGAATAATGAAAACCGTCTAATATGGTCGACAAGGGATTGATTTTGGATTTTTGGCTTGATTTTAGTTTTCAACAGTTCTTTTTGGATTCACCGAGATTATAGTTTTCATTTACCATCGTGAAAACGCTTTTCGAAACAGTATTTACAATTTAAGTATCTCACCAGTTATGAAAATTATTATGATTATTATTACTATTTCAAGATAATTTTGTTGTTACGAAAGAAAATGACTTAATGATTGAACTACAAATTTTTTGATAAAGTTTGTTGTTTATGTCTGTCTCATACATTTTTATATTTCAATGATGTATAATTTCTCTCGTATCTATATATACACACAGACATTTATGGTACTAAAACGTCTTCATATCAGACTCTCTATTCCAGGCCCTAGAAACGTGATCTTCCCTCATGTACGCACGTACCTGTTTTTATCGGTGATTATTTTCGAGCCATCCTTTCATGGAGCTGTACTATATAGCAGGGCTTGATTATCCAAAAGGTAAGACTGGGTTGATACCCAGAAGCCTGCACAAAGAATAAAACAAGTTGCTGTATACAACAAAGAAAAATATTTTGTTTACTATTAAAGGTCAAATTCAGATTATCGAAAAGACTAGATACGACGATGAATTACGATAAACTCAGTTATCTTGTTTTGATGACCGTCAAATTTGATATTTTAAGACACGTTAACTTTGGTAAACCAAAATTAAAGACTGTCAAAAGCAAAATACGCGAAGTACTTTACATCAAGTACCATCAATTATCATATGCAAGTACTATACATGCTCAACATTTTAAAGTGTGTTCTTTCATAAGATGCTTAACAAAATTTGTATGAAAATTTCTTATTGGAAAAATGAACCACTCATATCCTGTAGAGCAGGGGTGGGCAACATACGGGCCGGGTCCGGCCCTTAAAGGGATTTTGACTGGCTCGTCGACTGTATCCGACCATTGAACATTGAATATTATTCATGTAATAATCCGGCCCTCCAATAACTTCATTTTCCTAAATCTGGCCCGCCGACTGGAGAAGTTGCCCACCCATGCTGTAGAGTAAGGAAAAGGGGGGCCTTCACAGTTCACACCTCTCAAACCGACCCTGCTGCATAGTTTCTTATGCACAACCAGAATGTAGATATATCTAAATTGTATAGTTTGTATAAAATCTACGTAAACAAAAGTTTTAGACCTCGGTTTGACTTTCTAATAGCTATCAATTATATAATCTTTTAAAACTTTGAATGAATAAGTTTCAATAATTTCGTGGTAAATTAAATATTGATGAACCTCTTATACCCGTGAGCAGTAACCAGAACCGGAAAATTAATTTATATTGCCAGAGTCGATGTTCAGAAATATGTTAATAATAAGTTGACTTAGCTTATTGGGAGTAATGCTTTTAGTGAAACACCAAAATCATGTTTTTCATTTCTCAACTTAATAAGCATATAATATAAAACAGTATCTGAAAACCTTCCACTCACTGTCCTCTTACTGCCATGACTAGCAAACGTCAAAGCGAATGACAGAGTCCCGGGCTTGTGACCGGTATAGCCAGTTTAAAAGGTAAAAGGTCAACTTATTTTTGTTCGTTGTACACTCTTCGTCATAGTATTAAAACAGAAAGTTTGTAGATTCAATTTAATAATATGTTCATAGCACGTTGTTGTTGTTTTTCCATTAAATAAGAAGTTTATAAGTCATTACAATAGAAAAAAAGTATTTAGAAAATTATGCAAAACACACCGAACATTCATCAAGAGAGATTTCCGTTCCATTGTTACCAGTCCACCAAATTAACAAACGGTTAAATACAACATGGCCGCAAATGTCGAAAATATTCCATCAAGCGCTATTGTAATCGAACGCCCATATACTTCATCTTTGCCAGCAGAAATAGTGGCAAACATATTTCAATTGTTACCAGCAAAAAGTTTAGTGGCTGCTGGGTTGGTCTGTAGTCGATGGAGTGAACTTGCGGAGAAAGAATTGACGCGGAGAACGGCGTTTGTTAGTCGGATGTTTAAAGACAGTCAGGAGTTAAGACTAAATGTATGTTAACGATGACTGTTGGGCCTCCGCAAACTTGTCTACACTTCCTCAGTCCTTTACCAGTATTGATCGTTTTAGGAGAGTAATGATAGAATAGAAATTATAGTTGTTTCTCTTGGGGGTTCTAGACCAACATTTGCTAATAAAATATATACTAAGGCCAAGGGTAGTGAGATGTCTGTTTACCAGGAAACTGAAATATTGAGGTGGCGGCTGGTTTCGCCAATGTAGCGAGAATTACATCCCGTACAAGTGAATTTGTAAACCACATTGGATTTTAAGAGGAAAGGGATGGGGTCTTCGAAGCGGAAGAAATTTTTGATTTTAAAAGAAGACAATACTAGTTTTATGGCTAAGTTTGTGCAGTAACGTCCGGCCAAGTTATGTAGTTTTCGTTTTGTGATTTGTGAGTAGTGGCCATTGTAAGGTAACTTGAAGTATTGGGTTTGGTTTTTAAGTTTTGACCCAGGAGTATCGCCAGGTACATGTTTGTAGATTATGATCATTCACAGTTGTGTGGTTAGGTTTTTTATTTACTCCTACCATCCAATTTGTTCAGTAAACATCCAACACAAAAACAACATATTAAAAAAATAAACAAAGATAATGCAAAAAAATTTACATGGCAGGTCTAAAACATACGAGATGGCAATGCTGCAAATTGTACAAGTTATTGTTGTGATTGCTTCAATGTGTTTTCTTCAAAGTTGGCATGCCACACTTTCTACCATAAGTCTGTGTCTCAGTGTTGAGGTGATGTTTGTAATACATCAGCCCTGTCCCATTCGATTTCTTCGTGACGTAACGTTATAAATGATTTATGTGCGACACGTATGTTGTATGGTCGTAAGCTACGTGAGATTGCCGCAGACGTACCTTTGTTGTAACTTGCAAGGTATCGTTTGTTATTTTCGTGAGATTCTTTGTTTCGTTTGTGTTCGGTGCTTCGTTGTGTAGAGCATTCGATTAATTGAATATGAGTAGAGCAGTGAGCACGTTTTCTTATCATTCTTGTCGTGCTGGCTTTGTGTGATGTAGGGTTGTAAGATGATTGCTGTAATACACTACGGTTTGTTGTTAGTAGTTGTCATGTTTTACCAAAAACTTAAGAAAAGCGACTTTCGAAAAAGTCACAACACAAAAATCACAACTCATACTAGTCTCCTTAGACGTGACGTCACTATTCACCAGGATTCCACTTGAACTGGCACTGGATTGCACAAAAACCTAATCGATCTAACAATCCTTGAGGATAAACTTCTACTAACATGTGGAAGCACTAATAAATCTACAGACAGGCTGCACCTTTCGTTTGACGTGAATGTTATAACTCTCATGTTGTGTTTTTGCATCAAAATGTGATTGGGTTTCGTTAAATTTGTCACCCTCTGTTTGTTTTGAATTTAGTGAATGGTAAGTGTAGGGAATTGTTTGTCTTATTGTTGTCGTATTTTTTCCCAGGGAACGATGGAAAACATGGAAAAGCAGGTGTACAAGTTTCTCAACGAGCTATCAGTAGTTCCTGCTGCTGTTGTTATTGCAAGTTTTCCCAAACTGTCGAAACAAAATCGTGAGAAATTCAAGAAATTTTGCGTCAAAGTTGCTTTGGCATTGCCGAAGGAATGTGCGATTATTGTTGGTTTGCATAAGATTCATGCAAAAAGTCTAATGGGCGAGAACAGTTGTGGACTGCCTGAAGAAGTCGAAAATGATGGCATATTAAAGGTTTCTCTTCTGGTAATTCCTAAAGCAAAGGATATAAACATCACAAAAGTTTATGTTGACACTGAAGTGCTAAGAACGAAGAAAGAGTACTGGCGCGAAAAACTTCGTCCAGATAAGAAATTTGTATTTTTATTGGCGAGCAGCAGAGCGTACAAGTGCGTTCCAAAGATTTACGAGGTCAGTGGAGCCGACATGTTGCTATGACGTAATCATTACCAAGGCCCATCAATGATAGCAAACGCCTTCCACGTGCAAACGTCTCTTTCAACTCTCCTTTAATAGCGGCGTTTTTCTAGGACAATTGCAAGGAAATGACAAAATAAAACTTGTAGCAATCTTGTGGATAAATGTGCTACAAATATTCATTTGATTGGATCCAAATTAACTTTATCTGTCCTCACTTTTTGTTCCTTGAAAGCTTAGCAGTTTTTGTTTTTTATCTCGAGCATTTTATGTAGAGTTTTATTGTTGATAATTTTTTGATACGTTGCTTGTTTTTCTTGCTCTCTTTTGTAATGTACCGCCTCACTCCATTACATAACATCAAATTTTTAACCGGCGTGTGTTTGAGGAAATAGGGTAATCCAATTCAAACTATCATTTCCATTGAGCCAATCTAATTGGCGTAAAAAAGGCGTTGGGAGTGGGACTAGCCAAAGTATGAAAATATGTTGTACTCTACGTGTTCAACCAACTAGATGAAACTAGTTGAAACTTTGCTTAAGTTCAGTTTAGTGGAAACCTAAATGTTTTTCAACAACATGTTCCCGTTGTCTGTGTGATATTTCCTTCAATGGTATTGTTGTCTTTTTAGATTTTGGACAAGAACGTTGTGCTTTGTGGTGGATTTCTTGAAATGGTATTTGCTGTGAATGGTAATTCAATGAAATCGTATCCAGTTTGTGCCTTGGCAGTTGGTGGAAATGTTGACGTTTACAGTCGTGTTGTTTCATATGACGACGTGGAAGATCAAAACTCGTGGACTTTTTGTTCATCGCTTCGCGAAATGCAATTGCCCATCGACCACAAGTTGCATTCAAGCGTCTGTTTTCTCATGAAATGTGTATATTTCTTCACCGAGAAGATGTCACTCGAGAGTTCCCGTGACTTTCGTCGAGAGTTTCCTCGCATGAAAGTCTTTGGGTTTTCCTCTTCCGGAGAGATCTGCTCACATAGCACGAAGGTTGCTCTCGAGAAGCCTGGAAACAACTCGAAATTTCTTTATATTTACAGTCTGGTCATTTGTGTTTTAAGATATCGACAATAATGCTAAATTTACTGAACTACAATGAAAACCAAAGTTACACGTCGCCAATTTTGTAAATATGTACGTCAACAGTTTTACTCGCCCCAGTTCTTTAGCCCAATCCTTTCACACGAAATTTTATTTACTGTAGTCAGCATAGCCCACATTGTCGCACATAAACACGTTGATGTTGTAGAAGTTAAATCTCAATGAGAAATGTTGGCATAATTTCGTGAGAGTACAATGGTTATAAGACGTTTAAAATAGACGACAAATTTCTTAATAGCAAACATGTTTCGTTATACTTTGGCTTGAACTTGATTTCTATTTGTAACGTTAGATACACTTGGCTGAGAGGAGTATTTTTCATATAGATATTTTGGTATCCCAGCAATGTCAGATTTCATACATACGTACTTAGAATTCAGTGATTTAGCGAAATAGTCAATATTGATCTTCGCATGTGTACCAAAGTGTACCACATGTGTACCAAAGTATACAGGAGGGCTAACACCTACGACTCAAGGTTAACACAATTAGAAACGAGTCAGCCATAAAAAGAGCATGTTCATAAATAAAGACGTCCATTCCTCATTTGGATGAAACACATTAAATTGTTTTTTTTTGTTTTCCAATAGTTTTTAAAAATCCTATCCATGCGCTCCTGAAGCACTTAGATTATAAACAATCGTTTTATCGCACCAGATGCTATTTAGGAGAGTAGTGGCAACTATATTTAGATTATTGCCAGGAAAAAGTTTAGTCACTGCTGGGTTGATTTGCAATTTATGGAGGAAAGTTGCTGAAAAAGAGTTAACTGGCAGAAAGACGTTTGTCACTAGGATATTTCATAATAAAGTAAATGGTTTGAACCCGAGATAACAAATACGGCTAACCTGACGTTTACTCCTCATTTGACTCTGAAGATGACTACCGCTAAGGTTGTCGAAACGTCAGTCAACAACAACAAAAACAGTCCTTCTCAGGACTATACCAACCTGGACGATCTACATATACAAACATGTAAGGATATTTTATGACCGTCACGAGTTAGAACTTAATGTATGTTAAATTAACGATGACTGATGCTTCCCTAAGCTTGTTTACTTTAGGCTGAAATGTTGCAAGAATCCATGATATACCATAAAGATAAACATAAAGGTAGACATAAAGGTAGGCATAAAAATAGACATAAAGGTAGGCATAAAGATAGACATAAAGATAGACGTAAAGGAAGACAACCGTTTCTTTGGTTGGTGAATGTCTGATAGTAGCCGTAATAATTTATTATTTTTTAGGAAATGCTGGAAAGACATTAGAAGACAGATGTGTCATTTTTTGAAAGAACCTCCAGTAGTCCCTGCTGGGATTATTTTCGTGTGCCTTCCTAAGCTAGAAGAGTTGGCACATGAAAAACTGGAAGAAGTGTGTTTGAAAGTTGCTTCAGCCTTGCCGAGAAAATGTGCGGTTATTGTAGGTGTGCTTTTTGCTGATTTCGACACTCGCGTTGGAGAAAGCAGTTTTGGGCTACCAGAAGAGATAGACAGCGAGGATAGAGCACTGTTTACTCTACTGGTAGTCCCTAAAATAAAGAACATTACCATCAATAGCATTTCAATAAACTTGGAACATTTGAGCAAGACACAGCATTTTTATCAAAAACTTTGTCAAGATAAAAAGTTCGTATTTTTGTTGTCAAGTCACAGTGAAAGAGAGTGTTTTAATAAATTTAAAAAGGACAGTCGAGCAGACTACCTATTACAATGTCATTAAAAATGGCCACTCTGAAATGGCAACTCTGATTACAGCACTCGCGTTGGAGAAAGCAGTTTGGACTGCCAGAAGAGATTGTAAACGATGGTAGAGCAATGTTTACTCAAATGGTAGTTAGTGAAGCAGACTTCACATTGCAATGTCACTACAAATGTTGACACTGGGAACTGCGTGGTTTATGTGACCTCAATTATTGTGTAAGTTCTTCGACTTTAGATATTACTCCCACTCGCATCATTCGTTTAATCTCTTATTTTTGTTTTGTCAAACATCGGAAATGAGATTTTTCTGTGGACATTAATACCGAAAGTCTATGCTTCAGGTTTTAATTTAATTTAATTTCATGTTGGCCTTTTAATTCCCCTAGACCTGTTATCCGCTTACACGAGAAAAATTAGGAGAGCTGCACTCAAGAAAACAGGTTCGCGTACCTAAAATTTGGAGTACCATGCCAAAATTGATTACCGTGTAAACGGGCCTAATGTTTCGCTTATATTTTTCTTGGCTAACACCTTAACAGTTTGTTTTTGAGTATGGAGATATTTCACTTAATTTATTCCCACTCAAAAGATTTAGCGAAACACATGCCTTTTTACTTAACAATGGTCGATTTATCGCTTCAACGACATACACTTCTTCAACAATAGAACGCGTTTTTGAGTTAAGCTTCGCTTTAAAACTCTTCCAAAGCATTTTAAAATCGATAATTGCATGGACCTGTTAAGACTTTCTTTGGTCGCTTCTAAAGATTGCTTACATTCGATTTGCTTATAAAATATCTGGTGACATCTGCACCTGAATTAAGTGGAATATGAATTTCGATCGTTTGCGCAAAAGTATTGCTTCCAATGGGCGTGACTCAACACTTTCAATCAATAGCCCCCAGGGACAAACCGTTATTTTAAAACGATCTCACCTGATATTACTTCACTCACAGACTTTTCCACTTTACTCTTACAGGCACTAGCCCAATGCTCTTTCTACCAGACTTTCTGCAGTTGGAATCTTTTGCGGGCAATGGTTCGGCAAATGCTTTGGACCTAAGCATGTAAGAAATTTCGCTTCTTCTGCATTTTTTGGTTTGGTCGAAGATTTTCATTCTATTATCCTCGCAGTGTTCCGTTTTATTTCTGTTTTATTGTATCTACGACTTTCCATCTGTCTCCGTACTCGCTGTTTTTACTGTTTTCGCGGATCGGACTAAGTTCATTACCTTTTGTAACGTCAAACCGGCTTCCAATTGCAGCTTTTCTGATAGCTTTTATCTCGCATTCCCGGTCCTCGGATGAGTTCTTCCTCGTCCCATGAATTTCCAATGTTCGCAAGACTACATCAGTCCGTGATAAGCGTTTCAACAGGTTCTAGTTGTTGTTGATTTTTCACGTTGAATTTTGTTCGTTCAAATGAGACGTTTCACTATATTACAAAGAAGTGTTCGAGCTTTGCCGCGTCATATCTTTTGCTCTCCCTCCGAAAGACGAATGTACTGTATTATATTGTCAGCCTAGACCTCATAATGTAAATTATCGTGTTCACTTTCCTCGCTTGTTTTGTTAAGTCCTGATGCCACTCTATATCGTTCGAAAACGTTAAATCTTCTATTTCTGCGAATCTTGTGTTTTGAAAGTGAACTTTACCGGTGGTTGTATGTTTTACAAATGTCGCACATACTGTGTATCGTCACTATCTTTTGGGATTTCTGCTGGAAGAAGTAAGTGGGCGCCTCTAAGTCTTCAACAGACCGCTCTTCCACTTTCTCCAGACGAGCCTCCTTTCTCAACATTTGTTTCCTGATCCCATTTCTGCCACCGTGTCGTCTTATCTGTCTTTACTGTTAAAGCACTTTATTTATACATAAGCTTTATGATAATTACGCTGTTAATATTCTAACTAGTTACGTAATACTGGAATGCTCGACGCAATTATATATCCGTACAATAATTATCCACAAACTGCGTACCGTACCTGTTTTTTTGTTTGTACCGTTGGCCATTGATTGTGTGCACTTTGCTATCAATGATATTAACAATAGCTGTATCATAATATTAATAATAGCTAATCAAAGCTATCTATAGCTATCAATAATATTAACATCTTTCATAACATGCCATGCTTCAATAACTACATATGTCACTAAAATGTCAACCTTATCCTCTCAACGGCTGCACCTATGCACTGCACCCACCCACAGAACTACAAATATATCATGGCGGCTATAATCGATGTCCCATTATACTTTTATTTGCCGCTAGAAATAGTGGCAAATATATTTAGATTTCTACCAGCAAAAGTTTGGTTAATTTTAGGCTGGTTTGCAGTGATTGGAAAGAACTTGCTGAGAGAAAGAGTTGACGTGAGAAGGACGTTTGTTAGTCGAATATTTCAATCCGATCAATTCTAGGCGAGGGCCGCGATGCGAGTTGGAAGTAAATGTAAGTCAACATTGACTAACGAATGAGTGATGAGCATTCTCAATCTGTTCACACTTGGTCTAAAAGTCCTAAAGAAACAGTGCTGCATACAGCCAAGATAGTTGTGGGCTCATACTTATATATATATATGAAAATCTTATGTACAAACCTTAACACTCACCCCTTCATCAAATTATTTATATGGCAGGGTGATGATTTTTTTAAAATGTAGTCTCTGGTATTGATGAGTTATTATGATGTCATTTATACTATTGGTATATGTACTAATACAAAAGATGAGTAGCTATACCCAATGGTGTCAGCAGAATTTTATATTGTGGGCAAGCACCTTGAAAATGCCTCCTATATATTGTGCACTGTTTTATACTACTAATATTTTCAAGTTACATACATAAAGCCTTAGTATGGAAAAACATTGGGGTGGTATTTGTCTCCATTGCCAGTGCCCTTTGACTGCTATACCTTTTGACTTAAATATGAATGACTTACATAGTTTCTTATGATTTTGCATGAGAATATTGGGTCATGTCTCATTGTTCCTTACATTACATGCTTAATTTATTGTTTAAGGATTCATAACATATTTTTTCAGGAAATGATGGAAGACATTAAAATGCAAATTTGTCATTTTCTCAAGAACTTTCAGTGGTTCCTGCAGCAGTTATTATCACATGTCTTCCAAAACCAAAAAAATTTGCTCTTAACAAATTCAAGGAAATTTGCATCAAATTTGCTCCAGCATTGCCTAAGAACTGCATGATTTTTGTTGGTGCACACACTTTTAATTCATATAGTCTAATGGGGGAGAATGGTTTCGACAACCAGAAGAAGTTGACAATGATGGTAGCAGGGTGAGGATTTCTCTTCTGGTGGTGCCCGAAGTAAAGGATGTCACCATCACTAAGGTTTTGATCAATGCAATAGAGTTACGAGGAGGAAAGAGTATTGGTATGAAAAACTCCATCAAGGACAGAAGTTTGTATTTTCAATGGCAAACAACAAATCATTTAATTGCATGATGAAATTTTACGAGGTCAGTGGAGCAAACTAACTATGGCAATATCACTCATTACCAGGCTCATACCTCAAATTGTGAGCAAAATGGCCCTGGGAACTAAGTTATTTTGGTGAAAGTTGTGACTTTGGTTATCTCTGTCAGTTAATCATGTCCATCTAGCTGATCTATCTACTATCTCAGTGCTAGAGGGGCCGGGGATGGTTTGAGCTCCACTTAGTACCCCCGGTTCAATTTTCCGGCGTCATCCCTGGATATAAATGTTATTAATAATCCTTGAAACTAGCAAATGAAAAAATCTTTTGTGCTTTGTTTTATTATATATTTTTTCAACCTCATTACTACAGATTCAAATGTTTTTCAAGAATATGTTCCACTTGTCTGTCCTTCATTGAAACTGCTTTCATTTTAGATTTTCGACCATGACGTTGTGCTTTGTGGTGGGATATTTCAGTCAGCGTCAATTGTGATTGATAATTGTATGAAGTCCTATGCGATATGTGCCTTAGCCTTCGGTGGAAATGTTGACGTTTGCAGTGATGTTATATCGTTTTTTGACTTTGAATTTCAAAACACGAGGAATTTTTGTCAGCTACGCGAAATGCAGTTTTCTCGATCGAGCGTTTGTTTTCTCCTGAAGGGTCATTTTCTTTCCACATGCCTCATCCCATCGAGACTTCGCGCGAATTTCGCCGGGAATTTCCTCACATAAAAGTCTTTGGGTTTTCCGGTGAAATCTATTTGCATCGCATGGATGACGTAGACTATTTCCCAAGATCTTACATCCAAAGAAATGACAGTGTGGTCATGTGTGCCTTGAGCTTTTGACAATAATCATATGTTTCTCATGATAAAATAAGTGAGGTGCTTAATACATGTTTTGTTGGTTTGAGTTATGTAAAATAGGAATCCTTGTATAATATCGACACTGTTTAATACTTTACATATTTTTTCAATAAATTGATATTTTCTTCAAGTACATCCAGAGCATTTGGTGTATCAAGATGTACAGAAGGGGGGAGGAAGGGAGCCCAGATGATTGGCATAATCAGTTGATTCTTATTCTCAAGACAATATTCCCATTCATAACACAATCGTCCACAAATTCCAAAATAGATGCGCTCGAATTATCATTAATAATATGAGTCATGACATTAATCATGTTGCTGCACTGCTTGCTCTCCGTTGGCAGATGCGGCAGAAAGGACAAAAGCTAAAGAAAAAATATTTACAAGTTACTCAATAAAATGAGCCTTCAGTCACTGGTTCTATATGAAAGGCGAGAGTACAATCTATTAAGCCATTTCTTTCTTTCCCTATTCCAAAATTCCGGCGACATGTAGTGACAAGTTTCAGATAGCAAATAATCAATATATAGTCGCAGAAATTCAAAGTGGTTTCTCAAAATACAAACAAACTTGTAATAATCGCCATATAAACACTATACATTAAGACATTTAAAATAAACGACAAATTTTTTTAAAGCAAACATGTTTCGGCATACTTTATGCCATCTTCAGTGCGAAGTAAATAAATACAGGAAGTTTACATGATAATAAGTTATAGTGATAAAGCGGAAATATCGACTAGTTAAGAATAATTATTTACAGTTGAATGAGGTGTTATAAAATGTTTGTGTTAGGTTTTATCACAAACAAAAAAAAATAATTACAAAGAAAATGAAAAATATATGATAAGGTAGAATAGCTATTTACAGGTCAAAGATAGTGTTAAGATGTTGTATTTGTTTGTTGAGGTTGGGTTTACGCTTCTTGATATAAAGGCTTCTTTGAGTTTACATACATATACATACAATACTTTATTTCAGAACAACATGTAAATACATCATTATTAAGAAAAAGGAAACCCAGAGGTTAGCCCTATATCGAGGGTCTCCTATTTATTTAAAAAATCTTACAGAACTAGTTAATAAAAAATAAAAAATACTAAATAAAAAAAAATAAATAGTAAATAATAAATAAATAAAAATGTCAAATAAGAAACAGCTAAATATCAATTATTAACTGACGATTCAATAAATATTCATGTGTTTCTTCAATTTTGATTTAAACTCACGAACGTTAGGGCTGTCACAAAATTAAATAAATTATTAGGAAGATTATTCCAGGGTTTGATAATTCTGCAAAGAAAGAATTTTGTAACAGTTCAGTCTTGCGAGTTTGAGTTGTAGTTTATATGGGTGGTTAGATCTCGATTTAGTGTTTTTACAAAGTTCAAAATATTCGCTGAAATTCAATCCATTTAGATTGAATACAGTTTTGTAACATTCCACTAAGGAAAGGAAATCTCTCCTTTGTACTAAAGAGTTCCATTTAAGAATTTTACACCTCTCCGTGTACGCCATCTCTTGTCTTCTTTGGCCTAAGGCAATTCGTGAGGCTCTTCTTTGTATCTTCTCAATTTCATCGATGTCTTTCATGAGGTGTGGTGACCACACCGGGCAGGCGTATTCCAAGATTGGACGAACCAAGGTTTTGTACAAGTTTGAAAAAATATCTTTGTTTTTACCGCCTACTGTGCGTTTAAGTAAGCCAAGAACCTTATTTGCTTTGTGAACTATTTGTTCAACATGTTTTGACCATTTTAGATCACTAGACATAATAACTCCAAGATCTTTGTAATTAGATACATTCCTCAACACTGTACTCGATATATTGTACCGCGTGGACTTTTGTCTCTGTTATGTAATTCTCATGACTTCACATTTGGTAGAATTAAATTTCATCTGCCAACGATCCGCCCATAGGTCGAGGGTTGTCAGATCTATCTGTAAAGCAATAGAATCATCGATATTATTTATCTGTCGGTAGATTTTGGTATCGTCAGCAAATAATTTGGCAGTAGACGATGATGCCAGGTATTTCGTTCACATAAATAAGGAACATAACCGGTCCCAGTACTGAGCCTTGAGGGACACCAGATGTAACTGGTGACCAATCCGAGTACGATCCACGTACCATAACTCTTTGTTTTCGATTGGTTAAGAAGTTCTTGAACCACAGGTGCAGCTGCCCATCTATCCCGTACCTATTGAGTTTTAAAAGTAGGCGCTCATGAGGGACACTGTCGAACGCTTTGACAGGTCCAGAAATATTACATCAGACACTTTAGACGAATTTCTTGTTAAACACCAGTCATTATAATAGCTTAAAAGTTGTGACACTGTCGATCGGCCCTCCAGGTATCCAAATTGGCTTGGGTTTAGTAGTTGGTGTTCCGTCCAAAATGAGACAACTCTCGATTTCACAATCTTCTCCGCCGTTTTACTAATGATAGATGTTAGCGAGACCTGGCGATAGTTTTCCTTTCTATATTTTGGTCCCTTTTTATAAATTGAAATAACGTGTGCAATTTTCCAGTCGTTGGGTAGTGAGCCGGATTGGAACGACATGTTAAATAAGTTACAAAGTGACGTAGATAGTTCCAGTGCACATTCTTTTAGGATACGAGGCGATAATTTATCAGGACCTGGGGATTTGTGTATGTTTAGGTTTTTCAGATGTTTTTCCACTTCGCTAGGTGTACATAATACATTGCACAACTTATCATTGAGAACATGATCAAATTCCGGAAGAGACTTTTGTTCTTGTGTAAATACTGATGCAAAATATGCGTTCATATGTTGTGCAATCTCCTGATCTCCAGTGATTTCTACACTTCCGTCTTTTAGGAATAATAGGTCGTTAGTTCCTTTTCTTATTGAACGCATGTAGCTCCAAAAAGGCTTGGAATTATTCTCTACCTGCAATTTATCTGCGAGTGCCTCAAGATGTCTCCATTTGGCTGAGTTACATTTCTTTTTCAAAGAATTGTTCAAAGTACGATAGGCGGCCAAGTGATTTTCATTGTTGGTTTTTTTTTGCTTTTTTATAAATGTGTTTCTTTTTCCTGCACAATTTAATTAAATCCTTCGTAATCCATGGAGCGATGTTTTTTCTTTTATGCCGGTACTTGGGAATACTTTCGTTTACCGCTGCAAAATAAAGGTCTTTCCATGTTTCCCAGTTAGCATTTATGTCTTGTTGTTCTATTGTAAAGTACCAGGGTGAATAACTGAACAAAGATCTTAGATGATTCCAGTTTGCCTTGTTGAATGCATAATTTTCTTTAGTTGAGATCCGTTGTTGGTAGGGGCGAGTGTTTACGATGAATGTTATTGCATTATGATCGGAGAATGGTTCACAGACTTCCAAGTTATTTATCAGGTCGATGTTAGTCGTTAGTACTAAGTTTAATATGTTGTTCCCACGAGTAAGCTCGTCAACCATTTGATACAAAAAATGGTCTTGAACTATTTCAGAGAGGAGGTAGTGATGTTCAGATGATTTAGTAGGATGGTTTATAGACCAATCAAATTCGCTTAGGTTAAAATCTCCAGTAATGACAAGATCTGTGGTTCATTGCCGAAGTTACATGCAATTGTGCTCCTGTTGCGATCTCTTGTAACGCGTCTACAATGACAAAAGTACAATTATTCTCTTTCCGTTTTTCCTCAGCGGGATCGATCAAAAATAGCACGGAATCAATCAAAAATAGCACGGAATCAAACTCGAATAAAGCGTTTTTTACGATGCCTTCGCCCATCCTCGATTGCATGTCGCACAATTTCAAATCAGACTTGAAAGTACGCAACGCCTCTGCTTGAGTGTCAGGTTCTTTCTTTAAAATTATGCAGCACAATAATTTTTCTCCTCTGTGAAAGTTCTAGAATGTACATTTTGTCATATATAAATGTCTTCGAGTTTCGATTTCATTGTTTTCAGCATCTGAACAATTTGACTGTTTACTCGTTCGCTGTTTGATTGTGTTGCAATTTGTGAGGTTTACATAGTTACAGAAAACATATGCTGTAAGGTTCGGCTTTTGTTGTGTAAAATTGTCGTCATAACGCTGGGTGCTGTGTGTTCTTATAAAATCCCTGATGTTTCAGCAGTTTTGTTCAAATCACATGTTGTTTCAATTCACTTAGACGTACAATCTGTTATTTTCAATTATATAAGTCCGTGCGCTATCGATAAATATTAATTGTGCAACAAATGTGTCATCTGCAGAATTTCTCAATTAGTCTAAAGCTTTCAGTGTTTGTCTAAAACTCTTTGAAAGCTTGAAATTGATGGCAAATCTTTGACAATCGCATGAATAAACCAAACTAGACAGACAGACTTATCCACTGTTGAGAATTTTACTTGTTTTCGACTGTTTGTGTTTGTAACAGATTATGATTACCATTCCAAACCAGAAAAGAAAACGAATTCTATACCGCGGAAGGCAATTTCTTGACATGTTTTGACGACAAATAACGATAGGCGCTTTGATGTCAATGAGGTTATATTTGGATGACAGTTTTGTCATTCCTTTCGTGTTTGTGTGTTTGTGGTGTTTTTGTACTTTTGCAAAGTGTTTTTAAACGTTAAAATGAGAGGGGTGGGTAAGGGCAGACATAGTTGTGTTTTCATACCATAAGCTTCATTATATATTCGACAGTACGGCTGAATATTGTATATGTTTTTACGCAGAGCACGCCTGCGCAAAAGAAAAATGTTCCAAAGTCTGCAGTTTCAGATAAATATATTCTTGAGTTATTGTAGCCAGTCTGTACAAATGGCTAGGAAAATAGCCTAATCTTAGAATTTTGATCTGAGAGTAGGTTTGCAATTGTAAGCTCCAAGGTTTTGTAGTAGTTATTGCAACATCTATCTGCTTGTAATGAGGTAATGGAACAGATTGGACAGGGAAGATTTTTAAAACATGATGACCACATTTTTCTATTTCAATAAGTCCACATTAACGTGAAGAGAACAGCTTTTTCCATGTGAATAACTGCAGGAAAGCACTGATTTCTACCGACTACCGGACCGGATGCACTTTCTATCATTTTAAGTTACAGCAGTCTGTGTTGTATGCTTGTTCTATCATTTATAATTCAATACTTCTATTCCGGTCGTCTAAACGTGCGGAAACTCGATAAATCATAGCAGCACAAAGCAACGGACATGGCCATTCAAAAGACATACTTCTATATGACTACAGCAATAGCTATTACAAAATAATAGTTGATAGTCCAATGCAGGCAATAATGACTGCATTGTTTCTAAATAATAAATTTGATTTCCGTTTTATTATTAATATATGAAAGACAGTTAAAGAAAGAAAGTGACTCTCTACCATCAAAATTTTAGTAGAAAATAGATCTGATTTCACAATTTTTAATTTGTAACCATTAAGTTGTGTGAATGTGATTGTTACTGTGATTCACGTTTGTTGTCAGTTTAAGTATTTTAGAGTGTTTTAACACATATGATGTAAAGTAATGAGAGAGAGACAAATACACCTGAATCCCACATTTATCAGGGTGCTCACATTTTTGCTAAATTAAATTGCTTGTACATATTGAAATTTTGGGCTAGTAGCTATTATGGCTATATTCTCAAGTTGATTTAATGATTTTTGCGTAACAATGATCATCATTTTCATATTACTGGCTATTATTTTATTCACACTTTTCTCCATTCTTCAGGTTCTCGAGAAACGGCGTTCGTGCAAGCCCTCACTGCCGCAAGTGTGATGATGGAAATATCCCAAGCATGCGCAGCAAACGGCAAAAAAGGAAAACCATGTGGCTGTGGTTCACAACCAAAATCGAAACGTCGGTCAAATAACAGTAAAAGAAAACCAAGAGATGTTAACGAATTTTGGCAAGGTTGTCCTCATAACCTACAGTATGGCTTTTATTTTGCCAAGCGATTTATGGATCCACGTAGTGACAAACCACGCGCGGAAGACACGCGCTCACAACCAGGAGGTCGGACGAAAGGTAAGCACGCATTCCAACAGATATACAAAAATAGTATGTTCGGTTGCGAAATTTTTCACTTCTTATCGTCGCCTTAAAAACAGCTTACGTTTAAAATTGAATTGTTGTCATCTGAAGTAGTTTTCGTCCTTTCATGCGCGTGTTTTTAAAGGGGCTGAAGTGTTTATTAATTTCAGCTGTAGCATTTTTGAAAAGAAAGTTTTTCTCTGGAGAATCAATTGAAACTCAATCTGTTATTGCGCCAAGTTTTAAGCTTTGTTCTCAATTAGTCATATGAGTCGTTCATTAGTCTGTAGAATACAAGACGATATAAGACGTCTTCGTCTAGATGACTGAAACGTCTCAATTCGGACAATTCAATGACTCTGACGACTATATGAGAAGCAATCTTCAAGAATTTGTTGTGGCTGATTGTTTTTATCGTTTAGACAAACTTTAAGTAATGATATGACATTTTACTTAACCCCATTCTACAGTATTTACAACTATATGACTCCTTAAAATTAAAACATTGAACGTCAAACATTTGTATGTGAATTTCATTCGAAATCATATTCTTAATCATAAATCGTTTGGTTTTATAATATTTGCCAAAAATTTGCTTATTCACACCTGATTTCAAGAATTTATAAAAATCTGAATATTTGCTCCAAAATACGTTGACAGTCGTGTTCCGGTACAGGATATGACAACTTTTTACCAATTTCGCCACATTAATTCGCAAAGCTGTAGATTTTAAGCGACAGACGTCAGTAGTCTTCCGCTTAACCCGTGTCTATTTCCTCAAAGAGGTCACCTTATAGATGCAAAATGATGTTTACATTACCCAGACATTCGTACGATATACTACTGCTGCTTTTGGCATAGCAACTTGCCAAAAGTAAAACCTACTCAGAAGGTGTAGTCGCCTCTAGTAAACGGTTTACCGCAGTTTGGCCAAACTAGAGAATTCCTTAGATGCATTAAAATAGCAGGACTTAAGTTTGTATGAGGCTACGTCGCTTTCTAGTTGTAAAAAGAGGTCGTATTTCAAAAGAGTCACCATTTAATATGCTATATACAAATTAAGAATAGTGTTTAGTCTCATGTGTTTAAGTGAGAATGCTACAATTAAAAACCGATAACTTCTCATTTGATGTTACTGACGGAAGCCACAAATGAACCAACCCAAATATTTTCGATTGGATGTTGTTGTTGAGGGTGCCACCTTTGGACATAACCCAAAAATTATCAATTTTTTATATGTATATGACGGTCAACAAAATTTCAAACTGCTACAAAAAATTGTGAAATATTTTTTTGTATGTAATTTGATGTATTGTGTGTAAGATAAGGAAGAACGTGCTTCTATAAATTTTGCCCTCCCTCAATTAAAAGCAACTTATCGAAATGGCGATGCCCTGGCTTTTAAAAAAGAGTTTTTCATTATCACCTGTGATGCTCATTATAAAGATAAGAGCCAATCCGATCTGTGAGATCATTATGATCTGTTAGGGTTCAGAACGTCGCATTTTACTTGAACTGAATGCATTAAAGACAAAAGAAAATGAAATAAAATGTCTCATTATCTTTTGTTTTAAATGCATCGGCTCATGTAAAATGCGACGTATGAAACAGGCCTTAGGCTTTAATTTTCTGATTTTGATCACAGCAAAAGAAAAGATTTCTAAAGAAATGAATAATGATAATGTTCTAAGATTCATACAGCACCACTAAGAGATGTTTACATGATTTCGAGACCTTGAAAGGAAATTAATATTGACGATTCGATTCTCTCCTACACCTCACTGGAAACAATAATGATAATTCTTTTGTTTCTTACGTTTTTTTCCATTTCATTAACAGCTGGTACGAAAATTAAGAGTAAAAATGTAAATGTCCGGACACATGTGCTTACAAAATATGTTGGTATGTCACGCCGCCGATCACGAACGTCGGTGATCATTTGTGGAAGATGTACAACAGATCCGTACGCTCGCAGTGGAACCAAACATCCAACTCTCTTGTACAGGAAAGATCGCTCGCGACGTGAGAAAATCACGTCGACCAAACTTACCTATTTCGCGCCCTCAGAGAACTTTTGCCAGCGCAATCTTCACATGAGCATCATGGGAACGCGTGGTCGCCAATGCAACAGCACGTCAACCGGGAGCGACAGCTGCAAGTCTATGTGCTGCGGTCGATCTTTTAAGACAAAATACGTAAAACGGAAAGGAAAGTGTAACTGTAGATTTGTTTGGTGTTGTCAAGTCGAATGTGATCAGTGTGATATCAACGTTAAAGTTGAGACTTGTTTATAGACCTGTATTGCTTTCTTTTGTTATTTTGTTTCATTCTGAATTTGCTGTTTTTTTCAATACCCTATGAGTCAGTTACAATGACAACTATATTTCATACATGTATGCTTGGAAGTGAAAACTATTTAGTAAACGCTAAATTACAATGTGTCATTATCCATCACATGACGTTTTTGCGACATTTTCGCACAAGGGCATCAATAGAAGTTATTCAAAGAAAGTTTCACTTCTAAGCATTCTCGAAACTCGCAAACCCATGATTGGAGCTGATCATGTAGAGAAATGCATGACAGTGAGCAAAAATTCCTTGGATAAGCACCACTACGACACTTATCTAAGCTTTCAGTTTTCGTTTGACGATGTGTTTGCAATTTTCTTCAACAAATTTTACTGAAAAAAAACAGCTAAATTGACAAAAATTGAAATATTAGCAAAAATTAATCTTAAGTGTCTCCCCAAAATAGAAATACTTTATATTTATGGTTTTCATGCATCATGAATTCACAGAGGATGCTGTATCTTGTTAGGTACGTCAACATTAGACTTCAAAACAGGAGTGTCTATGGACATTCTACAGACTCTTGTCAATGTGGCATCGACAAAATAAAAACTGGGTAAACCATTAAGTAATTGTAACAAAACATGCAGTTTGTGAGTTTTAATTAGAAAATGCTGCAAAAGTTCAAAGAGGTTTGCAAGTTACACATTTATAATTTGGAAAACTGTTTTCGTCGGTAAATTATGGCCAGTATGACATAAAAACCTCTGTAAGGTTTTTCTCGAAACTGGCGCGCAAGTGCATATTATTAATTACCCAATATTTGTCAATACATTATGCAATATAACTGGTGGTGAAAAGAAATATATTATTTATTTATTATTATATTGTTATTCTAAGAACTATTTTTTAACAAAAGACAATTGATATTTGTACTTGTATAAGTAAAACAATAAAACAATCATTGATATTTGTACGCGGTGTTCTTTTGCTCTTCTTGTTTTGCAATGTATTTTGTAATGAGTTGCATCATGATTAAAAGAACAATGGACCCTACCTCGTGGTGTACAAAATCGTTGTCAAAGTATAGCGTATTGTGAGTTTACGAATTACGATCCACGACGCGTCTATGCAAGACGACGTACATGAGACTGGATTTTAGCGCGGTTGTGTTGCCACCGTTTGCTGGGTTGACATCAATCGTTCTGCCACTTAAATTCGGCAATTTTACGTTGAGAAGCCACTTAAGATTTCAGAGGTAAACTTCCTTGAAAAACGTAGGTCAACATAACGCTGTTTTCCGTTTTATTGTAATTTCGTTAAACCCTTTTAGCTTATACCATAAATTCGCGCAGTTAAAAACCTATAAAGATGATATTTGACAATATAAGCATGACAATTAATCCTCCATTTTGTGTTTTAAACTTTCAAGCCCATTGAGTTATATTATAACTTGAGCGACAATCTCCAACACGGCTTTAATTAGCGGCTGACGCAAAAAAATCACTGATATGTAAATACTACTGGATAACGCATCGTAATACTTGCCCCTAATGATACTTTATTTTCCCAAGCTAAAAACAAGGATGAACAAACTATTGTTTTTCTTGATGTATGCTGCGAAACACTCTTGGAGAAAAGAGTGTTATTGTGGACAATAACAATTAAACAATTAAATTGCAATATTTGATTGAGCTCGAGAAAGTCCAAAACAAGAAGGATTACGACTTGAAACAAACTAAAAAGCCCATTTTCAAGGAGACAACAGAAAATGAAAGTCAATCTTGTTGCTCAGTGTTTAAGTTCCAGTGTTGCTGATGCAATTGAGTATTGTTCAAACACCCTAAAGCTTCCACAGTTTCAAGGCTCTGAAGCTACCATTAAATTCATACAAACCTTCAATTATCTTTTTAAGGTTTGAATTCCAGACTTCCACTTCAAATTCCACTTTGAGTAAGCAACAAGCACATAAGGGAACCATTTGTTGATGAAGCCTTTAAGTACATCAGCAGTCTAAAAGAGCCAAGGGACATTGAGAGTGCATCCACAGAAAACAGGTTTCATAGGTTTTCTCACTGCCTTTATGAGCACAAAGCTAATTTTTAAAGATCTGGTAGAAAAGCAGGATGCACCTTTGTAATACTTGTTAACTTAAAAAATGTCACAAGATTATCTGGAGCTATTCTTTGGAGCCGTTCAGTGTCGTAATAACACAACCACACAGCAATTAACAGCAGCCTATAAACGACTTCTTTGAGAAGTCACATCAAAGGCACCAATGAAAACTGTGAAGAAAGAAACCCCATTGTTATCCTTTCAGCAGTGAGCAATTCCATGACAAAAAATGGAGAAACCATCACCATGACAAACAGTGCACTGGTGAGAAAATATGATTTGAAAACGAACCCGAGTACAATGAGAGCATGATCATCGTGACTTACCAAATATCACCAGAACCTCAGAGTGCAAGGAAGGTGCTATTTCATATATAGCTGGATTTGTGGCAAAGTCTGTTAAAAAAGGTCTGCTCTGTTATCAGTGTCACATTGTTCTTGGCTCTAATTATGGTCCTGGTCAGGTTCAAAATTCCTGGAGTTGAAAGATAGAGGAAATCTTCTCAAACCCTCACAGAGTGTTATAAAAGTTTGCATAGAAACAGAAAAATGTTTTCAAGGAATGAAAGCAATAAATGATGGAAAGCTTCTTCTGTGTCAAGGTATTGTTGACGGTGTCTGTATTGCTTTTCTCAATGCAATTAAACTATCATCCATATTTACTAAACTTTACAACCATATGTATGACTCAACTGTTGACGATAGCCATGTTTTAGGACTGGTTAAAAAGATAGTCCACGTTTACTGTAAAATACGACTGTACCATCTATGCAAAAAGACCACTGCAGCCCTTTCTCACAAAAAAATTAGGAGAAAGTTGAATAAGTTGGTACTGTTTAACCATCGATGATTATTTAATGGAAGAATGTTTCCTAGCCATGGTGTGACCAATTACCAAGAAACACGACAAATCTACTTGATATTTCAAGCATATGAATTGTACACAGCCAAACAAGTCCAAAATTCTTGGCTTGTATTTCGGCTATGTTGGTGGTTTTAGACGAAAGAATATTTTATCAAGTCTATTGGGGGAATTATGCAACATTGTTTTCTAAGATCCTAAAGGTTGATTGTCAACCAAAAACTCACCGCCAGACATAACACAGTGTTATTGAGCATGGATATAAAAAACATATACCAGTATACCAGGCTATGTTGTTGCACTAATGCACTATGTTTGATGATTTAGCAAAAAGTAGAAAACGTTCTTGAATTATGCAATACATCTGTTTAATGTTGTACCCTCACCTTTAAACTGGCTAAATAGGCTATGCCGGTCACAGGCCCGTGACTTCACATTTATTTTCGTTGACAGTGAGGAGAGGGTACTGGGCAAATAATTCACAATGATTGTTAAATTTTATAACCATAGTTTATTTTATTCTCAAAAATTTTATAAAAAATCTTGGATATAACGCAACTTTAGTATTGAACACATTACATTGTTTATACAATATTCAGCAAAGTGGGTACGATAGTAAAGGCTGATTTCCATTCAGTGCAAATTGTCGCGTGATCGACTTTTTGAGATCATTTCTTTCTTGAATTGTGTGCTCTCAACCGGAACAGTTTCAAACTGCTGCACACAATTCTAAGGAAAGTGACTGCAAAAAGTCGACAATTTGCATTCAATGGAAATCAGCCTTAAGGGCGGCCGTTGGTCGACTTCCGGCTTCAACGTTCACCGTACATGCGTTATCCACATTGAGTTCTATAATAATAAAAGCTGCTCAGTGGACTGAGAACTGTTTTAAAAAACAAAGGACCTATTTCCGCTGAAATGTTCGCTTTGCAGAAAAAAAGTATTCTCGACTCCCCCCGGTGTCTATATTTGATTATATAGAATTTTTCTAAAACAAATACGATATCTTTTTGGCATTTCTTTTATAATGCAACACTTCAATTTTGTAATTGTTGGATGTCGTAGTTTCCACAAAAAGGAAGTACGAACGCATCGCTTCTCACAGGTTAGATATTGACTTGTTATGTTAGTTCATCAACGACTGAAAAGCAACTGTACATGCTCTTGAAAAGCCATAAAATACCCATAAAGTACACATCGTATTTTTTTAGGACTGACTTGAACGCCAAATATATTGATGTTTCTCTTTTGTTTAGAAAAACAGCATACTTTTCTGTTATATGTCAATGTATGAAATAGTAAAATTTGTAAAATAGTTTCCTGACGCAAATACTCTGCACATTTTACTCCAGTGGGTAGATATCAAAAAGAATCGATCAGCCTAAATAGTACCATGATTTGGAGTAGAGCTTGTAATGTTCAATTTGCTTACAACATGCAGGGAAGATTAAGGAGCAAAGATGACTTGAAGATGTTAATGACCAGGCAGAATCATAAAAAAAAATGATAATGCTGTAAAGATCATTGATTTTGCGTCTTCCCTATCCAGAGTTATATAATTTGATAATGGTCAAATTCTATGGATGTAGACAATTAATTAACTAAGGATGCCTTGAATGTTTTGAAGTTAAAGTTCAAGAAACAAAGAAAGATAGAAAGAAGGTTGTATGTATTTTTATGCTTGATAAAATGTCAATTCACAAACATGTAAAATGGGATAGTTATAATCTTTTTGTTTATGTGAACATTGGTACTGAGAGTAATGATGACTCAAGGCATATGTGAAGCTTCAAACTGCATATTCCATTGGGTTTTATATTACTTAATGGTTAAGTCATATCATATTTTTATCAAAATTTTTTAGTACAGTGTTCTTTGCAGTTGTGTATCTAGCCAAAAATTTTCGGTCACGCTATTGCAAAAGAGGAACTGCCCCCCTAGTAAAACCAAATCTGACTTCAGCGTTTGAGAAAATTCGAAATTTAAAAAAAATAAATTGAAAACAATGCTGGGTAAAAATAATTTTATTCTTGAAATATTTTTATCTATTTTCAGGCTCAGACTATTGACCATAGTTGATATATAGTTATACAACCGTACATGATCATTATATCATCATTGCCTATGAGTAACAAACATTACGATTATTAATTAAGCAAAGTTTCATGCTAGCAACGGCGCATTAAAGCAGCCAGTTGCGTTGTCTGACATTTCTGCAGCAACGGTGCATAAGAACAGCCAGTTGCATTGTATGACATTTCTGTAGCAACGGCAGATATAGCATTTGCAGTTCTGTCAGAGCTAATATCTATAAAAGTAAGCTGTCTTTGTATGACATCAGTACCTTTGTCCATACAAATAATCATGCTCAATTGCTCTTTAGTTGAAACATCAGTTGTCTTATCAACCTGTATACTCATAAAAATGCAGTTTTTAATCTCCTTTAAAATCTCATCTTCAATTTTCATATCAAGACATGTTATCAAATCATTTTGAATGAGTGGAGAAACTCCAGTAAACCTTCCACCCCCAATTACATTTGAATCAGCAAGCCTACCATGTAACTGCCTTTCGAAAACAGAATTCATTTTGGAAAAACTTTACGCAACTCCCTATAATTTCCTCTGTTTGTTATCATTAGATTCATCATGTCCACTAAATGCAAGCTCTGTCTAGACAAATACAGAACAGCCTCTGCTATAGTTTTAAGCATTTCTATGTTTTATCTTACTTCCTCATTGTGACGTTGAATCTCATACCTTCTAGTATGATTCACGTCCTTTACGTTCCAATGATATATCTTATTTGATGACCTACAATTTTTCTTGTTTATTTATTGTTTCTTTTAACAATACATACCAAGCTTACCGGCTCGTTTTATGAACATGTTTTTCCTTCTTTTCTCACTTTTTATGCTTTACACAGACAGCACAAGAGCTAGGTGTTAAGTGTTTAAAATATAATCTTGATTTTATACATTTACGTCATCAAAAAAATTTTTTAAAAACTCATTGTGAGAGGATCTTGAACTTTTCTTAATGACACTGAGCTGTTTAACATATTTGTTTTTGTGTTTTATGGCATGAAAAATGCTTCTATAAAACGCATTTTTCTTTGCAAATACCTCAGTTTTACCAAACCTTGTAGGTTTGTGTATTTAACATGGAACTACAAAATTTTGGTGATTTGAACGTTTGGCTATGCCTGAACTTTCAAAACTCAAAAGCAACAAAAATCGCGCGGACATTTTCTGACTTTTGGCAATCTGTAAATTTGACCAATATTCTTCAAATTTAGTAGTATTTAGAAAAGTAACGCAAAGTTTACTTCTAAAATTTTATAAATATAAAAATTCCATTTAGTTTACAAAAGGACTGGAGCGACCTGCATGGCTGCCATCATCTGGCTTCAATTTCCTTCCTGACTTATCGTTCCAGTTGTTATTACAGTTCACTGGTTATTATAGAACTTATAGATCCGATATCTAAAGCCGTGCTTGTGATAGCCGCTCCAGTTATTATAGAACACAATGGTTATCCAGTAGTATTTGCATATCAATGAAAAAAATGGAGGATTTGTTCCATTACCGCTGAGACTTACCGATATTGATCGCTTTTCCGAAAATTTCATACAATTTGCACTCTCTCTCAAGAAACTTCAATAAAAGTAAGGAAAGTGTGTGCAATTGGCAAGAAATTTTTTGATAAACATCAAGGTAAAAATCTAAAATTCGTTACAGCGAGTCAATTTATGGCTGCCAGTAACTGGCTACTATGAGAGATGCCTTTTACCATTATCGGTAGGAACTATTTTTTTGCAGACATTAAATTATGAACGAAGATGTGCGACTTTCAAACTTTATTAGTCAAGATTCATGGCTTTTTGCTCGATTAAATTCTTTAGTCTATACAAAGAAGTATCTCTACGTTAATCTCTAAGGTTCACGAGAGAAAAGTTAGTTTATTCATTGTCATTCCTTTCATGCAATGGGAAATGCCCTATAATTATAGGATTTGTCCTATAATTATAGCATTTGTAGATTTTTTTATAAAGATGAATTAATCGCTGAAAAGTTACGGCTTCACTTAATATGCATGACTTTCTGTGATTAAATTACATAATAAATTTCAAAAAAACTCAAGTTATCATAAAAGATGATGAGTGTATGCCATTGATAAATAAACCAATAAACTCTCGCCTTCGCTTTCTTCAATACGTCATATCGTACCATTTCCGAAGTAGATAATTGAACATCAACAAAAATCAACTAAGTTCATTCAAAGCACCATTTTTCACTATCCCACTTGCTTCAGAGAGATTTGAAATGAAAACTTTATTGAAGAATAATGAAAACTTCTTATCTAAACATACTGCGATAGATTCTGCAATTGTTCAAACTCAAACAGTATTTAGCCTATCGTTTTACAGCGAATTGGAAACTGCATACACTTGCGATACACAGTAAATCATAATGACAAAATCAAACAAAACCATATGAAATCAAAACATCACTTGCTCTCTTCTTTGTCCCTAAAATCAATAAAAAGATGAGATGCTTGTAACAAAACCTATATCAAGCCATAAAACGATGTTTTTGGTTTCAACTTCGAATTTCATTCGGGGGGGGGCAGCATTTCATTTACGTTCGTCATTGAAATTAATCAATACTTCAAAAATCCCTAATCCATTATCACCCAAGCTAATCATTCACATCAGTTTACTTGTTTTGTTCACGCGGTTACTACTGCACACAACGAGCAATAAAGGAGCATCTCTAGTGGATTGCAACCTTCACGCCTGTCATTCAGCTAGTGGGACGTCTCATCGACTGAATTTTACAATTTATGTACGTAGCACGGACGTTGGCGATGAACTTTGTAATAACCCGTTCGTCTCGTGAGATACATAAATTTGAGCCGTTTCACTGCAGATACTAGTGTGCACAATGCACAATAAGAGGATTAACATGAAAAGTAACATTGATTACCTAATAATGACTCCAGGTTTGGGAAACTTTCCACGTTTTTTTCCAAGAGCTCCAAGACTGGTGGTTTTGAAGGTTGTAAAACTTTCAACAACTTTTTCAGTCGGAAGTTATCAGAGCTAGATATCCTAAACAACTTTCTGGAGGATAATGGTAATTTTGGGAGAGGCAGTCTTGTCACTTCTTTTTCTTCACTCGAAAGGATATCTATGATCTCTTCAGGCGTTTTTCCTGTCGACGAAAAATAAAACATTCAATCATTTATTTGTTTCAGTTATTTACAGATACAGTTATGGCAAAGCACAGTTTTGCATTTTGTCATTTTTCAAAATTTCTACTATATGAAAAATAAATTTAATTTAGACTTCTAATACCAATACCTTGCTGTCATATTCTTTTCGGTTTTTACAAAAGGGATTTTTAAAGCGTTAATTAATAATGAACAATAAGCTCGTAAGAAAAACATTGCAAAAAGAACCGAACATTTCTTTAGAAGAAACTTTTTTTACAGGCATTCGATGATGATGATTGTGGCGGAGCAGAAGCTGGCAATTAATACCAGCTCTAAAATCATCAAATAAAAGTATTTCCATAACTTTTTCTGACGTTGACAAACCTATTCATAGCAGCTTCTAACACTCGTTTCTTCGTATCTAAAACGCACGCACTTCACATATTTTGGTGTTTGTATTGGTATCGAAAGTCAAACGTAAACTACCTAATTTTAAAAGGCATTGAAACTAAAATTTTATTTTTGTATTTAGTTTTAGAATTTTAGCAAATAGCTCCTCTGGAAAAAGAAGCTTTGGCAGTGATATTTTTTTTGACGTTTTGCGTTAATATATAGAACTTTGTTAGTACCTTTTAATACCGAGGGCATACTCTTAATTGGTTGTTGGTATTCTACGCATACTTTTCCAGCAACATTAGGCAGCATTTCTGAGTCAATAAACTCCTTGGGAAGATACTTATTCCACGGCATATAAGAAGTTTGTTCCATAAAGTAATAGTGTTTTTTGAACTCCTCTCCCTTCCTCTGCCAATCCCACCAGATCTTATCGATAAAAGCATGATGAAGGAAGAATTCTGGGGCGAATGCTGCGTTATGTGTACACATTGTCCCACCTATTTCACAATGGACAGTGTCATGTAGATATTCACGGAGAAGCTGTTCAAACTCGAAGAATTTGTAATGTTCTTTTGTTTCACTTCAAATACTGTCACAAAATCTGGAATACTATTGTTAAATCGTCTCTTTAGACATAGATTGCTGTCACCGGAGCTTATAGGTAGAAACCATTGACCTTCACTGAATGTTCCTTCTTCAACACACATTGTTGTGGGTGATCCATTACCACCAATACCTGCGAGGTTTGTATTCCACAATTCACTTTTGTAGGCGTCCCAGATTCTAGGCTCCAGTCCCAATATGGCACAATCACCTCAGGTTCTATTTCTCTCAGGAGATTCTCGTATTGCAGAAGATACCAACGATGCCAAGGAAGAAAAAACTTCTTCGTGTGGATTCCGTATCCATGGAAAATGGTTTTATGGATGGTTAAAAGGCGTTCGTATTTTCCTTTGTAAATAGGAACGGTCGACGCTCTTATCACTGCGTTGAAGTAGACAATACGCTGCTTTCTGTCAAGTCGTTGAACTCTTTCGATATCGACAATGTGATGAACTCTTTTTGAACGCAATAGAGCCATTGTCGTTGTTTCGATTTTTAGTCTTTCTCGACCAACCTTGAATGGAGAAAAGTTGAGAAAACGTACCCTTTGCTCTTGGTGTGGTAAGTAAATGTTTCGTTTCAGAGATCGCGCAAGCTCGATAATTGGAGGGGGATATTCATATATGCATGCTCTACCTTAGTAGCTCCTATTGAAATCAATTGTGGTGCGCGGCCTCTGGGTTTCCATCTTTAATGACATATGCCATTAGATGTGTCAAATTAACGCAATGAAACAGATTGATTATTTTAACAGACTAGCAGCATAAAAGTTTTGAACTAGAACTTAAAGATTGAGTTTCAACAGTAATGCATTGCGCGCGTTTGTTTATTTTCTTGTTGTATATTTCGTGCTGACTCGAGAGTTTCACTCTTCATCTTTTGCAAAAATGTTGAAATAATTGTGGGAACATATATTTAGCAATTATTCGATAAGGTTTAGCATGATATCAATATTATTCAGACCCAGGTCAAGGTTATCTGCCGAAGCAAAGCTTAGGCTTACTGTTCGCTTTCGCCTTTTCTTTAAAATACTTGATAAAAATTCTCCCGCCTAATAATGCTACTCTTTCCCCTTTCCGTGTTTTTACGACTTTATTCTCAATACATCCGGCAAAAACAGTTTGTAAAACGCTTGCAAATCATGAGGAAGATTTCCAACATTATACTTTTTGTTTGCACTGATTACATAAACCATTATCTCACCTATAAATAGTTTTCAATTTTTCAATATTTTTTTGGTGGCAAAATATGGAAAAATATTTGTAGCATCTTAGCCAATCACAATCAAAATTGCATCAACATTGTATCATAAAAACTGTTACAAGTAATTCAATAAACATTGCAGCAAATACGATGAATCATATCACTGCAATTAATCTCGGTCTGTTAATGTAACTTTTAATGCAATTTCATAAATATTAAATATATCTCAGCAGAGGGAAGAGTTGTGTTTGCCCTGCTTTTTCAGTCAAACTTTTTGAAAGTTGTACTCATCAAGCTGCATACGGTTTTCAATTTTTGTCTCTTATTGCTATGTGACTAAAAGTTTCCAACTCAAAAAATTTCGAACACAGATTCTTCAGTTTGATTTTGAACCGGAAAACGCAACAATTTCTTATTTTATGAATTTTTTTCAAAGTCATCTTTATCATTTGCGCGAAACAAAAACAACTCCTGACGTTTAGTTTTTTGAAAAATGCAAAATATCTAAGACGGCGGTCAAAAATTTCTCTGCTTTCTCTAATTTGACACTTTCTTACTTCAGTCTCGAAGATTTTTCTTACACTAGCAATGTTTTATAATAAAATTGTCATTATCAGTTTACACACCTTTAACAAATATGTAAGGCAAGACAAACCAGGATCACAAAAGCCAAGATAACTCTCATTGTAGAAATTCTAAACAAAAGACTCTTATTCATTGATTTGAAAGAGTGTATAATTCTGCAATCTATGTTGTGTTCTTGGAGACATCGGATGACCTTTGTTGATACGCTTTTATGCATGTTCCAACTTGTGTTAAGTAGTCATGTGGCAATGTTCCAAAAAATTCATCATTTGTATATCATATATAAAAACCATTTATTCAAGGGTATCTCTATTATCCCTTTATTGCCTACGGTTTCCATATGACAACAATGAAGAATGAAGTGAAACTCAATGAAAATCATGGAGTTAATGTTTATACAATTTTGTAGGCAAATTTGCTCCGCAAATTTTTGCCCACACCAGCCTAACAACAGAGGGCGACGGTCTACCACTTCCCCCTGGCCAAAATTTGTAGCTTCGACATTTTACGTCCATTATTTCATACATGCTAACGTTTGAAACATGATGAATCATACAGCATAACCACTCTTGCTTGCAAGTCTACAAACAATTAATCTACAAGTAATATCAATCTCTCCTACAGTCCAAAATATTTACTTTTTCTGTTAGCAATTGGAAATTGATTTCCTGTTTGATAGCTAATCATAGCAAGCTTTTGAGACTCTAGCGTGAATGAGAAAGACTGCCATGAAAATCAGAGAAGATGAAATGTATATTGGTTTGCCTGTTGAAAGGATTTATTCGTGTTTAGCGATTTAAATATAATCGCAAATTTTTCTCTGTTGATTATTCGACGTTGTATTTGATAGCAAAATTTAGATTTAGATTTTTCTATGAAAAAATAAAGCCTTGAAAATCGGTTCAACTTTTGCAACAATTACAACACTTGCCGATATAAGAAAATTTATAAATGGAAACGCTTATCAGCGATGACAATTTATCATTTCTTTGATTTCGTATGTGGTAAACGTTCAAAAACCTTTGACTGAACCTCGCCATTCATTGAACAACCCTGTCACGAAAATTTACCGCAACTAGAGTGTTTTATCAACAATAGGTAATGAGAAGCCACACAAGATTTGGATACGAGTCCAAATATCTTCCGAATTACATGACTATATTTGAGCTAGGCTTGAACAAAAATTCTAACATAAGATATTGCAATTTCACTATGCATTGCCACAGTAGATGTAAACGTACAGATATCAGGCTTATCAAAATTTTTCTTTGCGATATTTTTGCATACGAAGGAGCTTTGAGACGAAGTAAAGTGTCAAGCTCGTGTAATCAAACTTTAGCAGTAGATGTAACCTTGACGGAATAAAGAAAAGTTTATTTATACTTTCTCTGTGGTAGGCTGGAAAAGTTCATTTATACTTTCATGTTTGTAAGCAGCCCCAAGAATCGTAACAGCAGTTGGGATTTTAAAATCGTAGAGCGGCGACAACAGACAAAGTAATTTGTACCAGAACAGTGATTTTTGTGATTACTATCACAAGAGATTATCTATCTTGAAATATTGTCACAAAATCGCATTCAATAACATGGAATAGTATTTCATTTGCTCTTGAATATCGATTTGCAAATGATATGCCTTACTATTTGCAATAAATCATGAACTATACAATATGACATGGTACTGAAAACAGGCAGGAAGGCAGGAAGTTCTTTTCTGCTTTGGACATTTCAACAATGAACAATGATTGAATGCACGTGAGCATTGATATTACAAGTTTGATATAAATTTAGTGAAGTTTACACGACTTATCTTGAAGTAAATGCTTTGTTTCAAGCAAACTGCAAATGAATGCATTTAAATAGGTTCGACTTGGTAAATTTTGCTTATTCAACTTGAACTTATAGCAGGGTAACAAATCGTTCAAAAAATTCCCACCCATAACCATGATCTAAGTTTAGACTTGTATCGATAATAAGATGGAAGAGTTCAAATTTTAAAGGGCAATCATTACAGTGCAAGCAACCTTGTAGACATTGATGACAGCAATTTATCTGTCTGAATTGAATCAAGAAAAGACACGTAGAATTAAAAAAAATTAAAATTCAAAAGCTAGAAAAATTTGAAGAAGCTTGCGCTCATTCCTTTACCCTGCGCAATCATCTGTGCGCGATTTAAATTTACAATCAACAATATGAATCAGTAATTTGGATGTGGCTTGGTTCAACCATGCAACAGTTGGGCAACTCATACCTACTACATTTTTGTCAACACGTTTACTATTTTACTTCGCCGAATAAGATAGTGTTTCGCCGTGACACAGAAGTGGCAGTACTGTGGAGGATATAGAATCAATGGGTTCCCTATAAGGTGGGGTTTCAGCTGTACTTGAGCAAGTAACTAACCTCGATAATAAACGATTTCGATAATTCTTCTGATCTTTCTCTGGTGATGTCAACTTGATAATAATGATGCATATCTTCTGGTGTTCTCGATTTATGTACAATGGTCATGTACCGGAAAACAGTATAAATTAACCTTTTGGGGTGCATAAGGAAGGGAGGGTGGTAAAAAGCAAGTGGAAGACTGTCACGTCTGATCTATGCTCCATCAATGCTCTAGTATATTGCCATTCCGACTAGATCAAATCAGAAATGTTTTGTTTGTAAAGTACTACGTTTTTCATCTTATGTATAAATTGTTTATTATATGCATTTATAAAAAGTGCAAATAACTTTGAACGCAGGAGTAATCCACACCTCGTGTGTATTTCATTGTAGTCATTGCACAGGGTAGCTGCGTGCGCGTAGTGGCCCCACTTCAAAACCTTTAAGTGCACATAAGGTTAGGGTGGATGGTCAATAACAACGAAGCAACGAGAAGCATATTTGGCAATTGAACCCTTTAGAAAAAGCTTGTGTCCAAAACTTTTTTAAACAATCAATGCAATTCCTAAAGCACAAAACACATGGCTGCAAATAATATTTAGAATTTAATATTCCCTGAACTTGGCCTCTTTCTATAGGAAGAACGCTTGACTGATCATTGCTCTGATTGATTGCAATGACATATTGCATAGTAACTGTTTTTTACGAATATTTCTCAATGTGTAAATGCGTACAACACCTGATCTAAATCAATCTGTGCGAAATGCGAAATTGGTTTATCAAAAGAATTTTGGAACACATTTGCACGTAGAATAATGATTTCGGAAAACTTTTCCTTATCTTACAGCCCACAATTAAACTTGTTAAGAAAACTAGCCTATCGATAAATAATTTCGATTATATCTTATAAACGTCTACCAGAAAATAGATGTTCGTCCATGATCAATATATTTAATAATAAGTGTACACTACGAGTGAAGAAATCAAGGATGACCAAAAACCATGCTGTGATGTGTGATTGTCATAATGCAGTGGTGTAGATAACGCTCACGTTTAGTGTAACTGCAATAACACCCTCACTATGTAAATGAAATATCCTTTTGATTTTAAATATAACTAAAATGAAGAGGCAACTTTTCATGCTTCTAAAGTAACATTTAAGCTAGACTGCCATGCAAACATCGTATCAACAATCGTCGGAAGAACAACCAATATTGGCTCAATGACTATCAACACTCGTGATCATCCAAACATGTTTTATTTTATTGTCCACGATCTTGAAAGTATATTTGCTTGTATCAAAAGTTCATGAACTTCATGAAACCCACAAATGAACTTCTTTACATTGACTGAATTAAAATAGTGTAATTTCTGATGACCAAACTGGTTAAATTTTCCATTTGTGGGTTTGAGAAAGCAACCAATAACGTGATTAAATATTTCCATTTAAATTTGACCCTGATGATGACAGTTTGTGAACTGGTTTGTGTCGGTGATTGCTACCTACACCACTGGCCATTAGATATTACACCAACATTTTGGTCCATGCCTCTAACTTCATAGTAATATTCGAGCGCTAATAGCTAAATATATTTACTGTAATGAGATGCCTATAATTAACGCTCATAAAAATCTCAAAACATGATGAAAATGCCAGATTAGCAGATGTTTACAAACGTTGATATTTATTAAGGGCGTGCATACCATAACTGTGCTGCGAATTCTTGTTATAGTGTGATCAGTGGTGTAGAGACAAACTTCTTCACATCCTGTCATTGTTAGTGATAAATTTTTTGCAAAATATTTAACCACGCAATAAGTTTCTCTCAAAGAGACACAATGAAAAATCTAAACAATTTGATCAGCAGAAAATACACCAATTTATTTTAGCCAATGTGCAGGAGTTATAAAATTTGATTAACTGTAGTCGAGCAAATATTCTTTCAAAATTGCGCACAATGAAATGAAACATGTTTGGATGATCACTATTGTTGATAGTAATCGAGCCAATATTGGTTGTTTTCCGACGATTGTTGATGCGATGTTTGCATGGCAGTCTAGCTTAAATGTTACTTTAGAAGCATGAAAAGTTGCCTCTTCATTTTAGGTATATTTAAAATCAAAAGGATATTTTATTTACAAAGTGAGGTGTTATTGCGGTTACACTAAACGTTATCTACTCCACTGCATTATGACAATCACACATCACTGGTTAAATTTTCCATTTGTGGATTTGAGAAAGCAACCAATAACGTGATTAAATATTTCCATTTAAATTTGACCCTGTTGATGACAGTTTGTGAACTGGTTTGTGCCGATGATTGCTACCTACACCACTGGCCATTAGACATTACACCAACATTTTTGGTCTAACTTCATAGTAATATTTCAGCGCTAATTGCTAAATATATTTACTGTAATGAGATGCCTATAATTAACGCTCATTTTCAAAAATTTATGATTTTATATCAGCAGTCTTCGAAAGGTCTCTGAAAGCTTTTTGGTACGAAGAAATGTGCTAAGAGTGAAGAGTTATTCAATAAAGACATATACAATGTAAAAAATATTCACAAGAAAAAGTTTCTCGTGCATTCTATATCAAAATAATGTACTAGAGCAATCACCAATCGAGCGTTCTTCCTATCAATAGGCCAAGTTCAGGAAATAAATACATTTTAAATATCATTCATGACTATATGATCTTGTGGTGTTTAAAAATTTCGTATATATATATTTATATAAGATTTGAAATGCTTGTTTGAAAGCGTTCTGAAAAAACTTTTTATAAGGAATGCACATGTCATAGAGGATTCTCGATGGTTTTTATTGTTCGACCACGCTCTCTAATCTTATGCAACCTATTGAAGGTTTTTGTGGCTAGCCACTGCGCATGCACAAGGAATTCATTATGAGGCATTCGTTCACGTTCAATGATGAAACAGATGTTATTTGCAATTGGCACAGAATTGTGAGGGAATAATCTTATCAAAAAATATTGAGAAAATGTTGTTAAGATATATTAACAAAAAGTAACACTGCCCATACCATAATATAAACGTGCACTTGCATGATATTGCCTGATACTATCTATTCATAGACGCGAGTTCGATTTGTCGGTTGAGCAAATGAAATATAGCTTCCGTACTCTTTACAAAGCTTCAAAAAAGGATATAAATGTTCTCATAAGCAAAAATCTCAAAACATGATGAAAATGCTAGATTAGCAGATGATTACAAACGTTGATATTTATTAAGGGCGTGCATACCATAACTGTGCTGCGAATTCTTGTTATAGTGTGATCAGTGGTGTAGAGACAAACTTCTTCACATTCTGTCATTGTTAGTGATAAATTTTGTGCAAAATATTTAACCACGCAACAAGTTTCTCTCAAAGAGACACAATGAAAAATTTAAACAATTTGATCAGCAGAAAATACACCAATTTATTTTAGCCAATGTGCAGGAGTTATAAAATTTCATTAACTGTAGTCGAGCAAATATTCTTTCAAAATTGCGCACAATGAAATGAAACATGTTTGGATGATCACTATTGTTGATAGCAATCGAGCCAATATTGGTTGTTTTTCCGACAATTGACGATTCGACGATTATATGGAAACCAGGCTCAAACGCTACTATAGAAGCAATAAAAGGTGCATTTTCATTTCGGCATATTTAAAATCAAAGAAACCACTTTATTTACGAAATGAGAATTTGTGGTTTCACTAAATGCGAGCGTTATCTGCACCACTTGTCACAATAAAAAAAATCAGACATCATCGCACCATTTTTAGTCATTCTTGACTACTCGCTAAGGGTGCACACTAAAAAAGATATTGATCATGGGCGTACGCCTATTTTCTGATAGAGGCTAATAAAAAATAGTTGAGATTATTTATCGCTTTCAAAACGTGCCTGTTTTTGCAAAAAAATGTTGAGTATGGCTCAGTTTTTTTAAATAAAGTTTAATTGTGAGCCACAAGAAAATGAAAAGTTTTCAGAAATACAATGGTACGTGCAAATGTGTTCCAAAACTCATTCAATAAACCAGTTTTGCATTTGGTTGATTTATATTACGGATTTTACGCATTTGAAAATATTAATGAATAGATATTCATAAAGAAATGTTGGCAATGCAATCTATATCAAATCAATCAATCGGAGCGCGGACCAGTCAAGCGTTCTTTTTATCAACGGGTCACGTTCTGTCAATATTTAAATTACTAAATATCATTCATGACTATGCGTTTTATAAATTGCCTACATGCAAACTGTAAAATGCTGGTGTTTGGCAATACTCTGGCCCTGTTCACACGATACCGGATTCGTATTGTACCGGATTGGCTGAGCAATTTGATACGCAAAATGCACTCATCTTACCCAAGGACGGATTCGTGAGACGCAACATAATTAAGTTCATAATTCGACCCAGTACTTGTACGTGCAAGTAATAACAGCGATAGTTTATAACATTGGCCGTTCTAAGGTACCTGAAAATAAATTATTGGGGCTCAATTTTAAATTCAAAGTACTTTCAGAAAAACGCTATTGGTTTTGAATTTTTAAAAATCACGAACTTTTTAGTTGCCAAATTGGAACGTATCGGATTCGAGGATACACGACAGCAAAACTTATCGGATCGGCTTTCATACCACTTTGTGAGAGGAGTCAAATCGCTCCGGAAAAAACGATACAAAGCCTTTAAGATAGCAGCAGAGCCGTATGAACGCAGCCCTATCTCGTACAAAAAGTAATCCGGTATCAAATCAGTCCGGTATCGTGTGAACAGGGCCTCGGAATTGCGCGAGTATATGTCGTACATCTTTTTAGGTTTCCGAAGGAGTTCGTAGATCTGCAAACGCAATTTTTCCAACAGTCAGCATCTGTTTTTGTTGCTAAATTTAGCATGTTGAGCATCAGTCGAGTGATCCTAGGGAATCGAATGTAGATGATTTAGACACTCAACTAATAAAATAACTATATAAACTATATGATATTTATTACAGACGCTAATATTGCGCGCGAGCATATAGCTACGATCATACAATAAACACCTTTCATTTATTTCCTGCTATTTTTCTGGTATTTGCCTTCATAAATTAACATTGAAAGTCGTTATTCTAATCAGTGACAGAAGTTAGGCAAAGGTGGCCAGGAATATGTAATTATTTCTAATTGCAGTCATTAAACGTTTGTTACGACAACTAAGGAACATATGGCTAAAGTTTTAAAGAAAATCAAAGATATATTTTGCCGCCAAGCAATATCTTGTGATATTCTTGAGCTTGAAGCGCTAAAATTGCTTAATTCAAGACCAATGTTTAAAGAACATGATGGACCATTTGCCTGGAGTATACAAGATTTGTGTTCAAACGACAATTGCAGTTGGTAGATGCGACTTTTCTAAATTTCGATTTCTAATACGTTTCAAACATTCCTTTGTTAGGCAAGTCAATTTGCATTTGTATTTATAAGCACGTTATTGTTATTATAGAATATCATAGTTATTTCATCACGTTGACTAATAACATACAACAAGTTTTAAACCTATTTATACTCAGTATCGTGCTTGCAAATATTAGTTGTGTATAGACTTAATGTGCGCGCATGATTTCACTTGCCTTTTTTACATACAAAATATAATTAGAGTTGCATATTTGTCAGTTGCATATTCATCAGTGGTAGAGTAGCAGTATTACACTTTTTTACCTGCTTTAAATAATGAATAACACAGGGCGGATTCAGCTAAAGGCAAAATAAATTACTTCAACTTATTCATTGGTTGATATTCATTGTTTAGAAATTCATAACCAGTTACTTTTACAAAAAGTTATTTTAAATTGGAAACCAACACTGGATCCGCTACTGCAGTAAATAACACAGTGCAATATAAGTGAATAAAACTTTGGAATATTTAATCAACGAAGGGAAAACCGTCAGCATTATGAAAGTATAATTAGAACTGACCACTGGATAATTTAAAAATTCGCCTTTTCCGTCTTCTATCGAAAATCCTGCACACATAAAGCATTAATTAGGGAGGACAAATTTCCTACATCGAAAAAACTCCTCTAAGTTTATCCAAAGCATAATTCGTCATTACTCCTTAAGGATTACGCACAAAAAATTTGTCTTTCAACTCATACTCAAAGTTTTTAAAAAAATTGTCACTGCATGCATGCATCTATGATGCAAAGTAATACATCTATGGTACAAATCAGATTATAACATCCATACATGAATACCACCCCCTCCCCTCTAATTGTCAATTATCGTCGTTGCAATATTAACTTGAAAAGCCAAACATCATGAAATCATCTCATATTTTGTTTTGAATTGTCAGAATACGAAAAGAAAATAGGAGTTTCATTTGAAATAATTGTTGGACAATGTTTTCATTAAACACTTTTATTGCAATACTTCATGTAAAAATATTGTTATGTTGCATCATGGGAGTTTTTTATGACCACATGTAAACCGTTGTTTGCTCTCACATTTTGTAAGAGCTATCAATATTCTTATTAAAATTTTATATAAAACCAAATAGTGTTAAATATAATAAGCAGAGAATTTTTTGCGGTAACAAATTTAAATATTGACTGAAAAAGCGCATTAGGCGCATTAACAATTGTGACCTAAAACCAAAAAAAAAAACGAAACAAGAGAACTTAAGCCGGAGAAAATCGGGAAGATTTTAATATCAAACAAAGAGAAAATCATGCAAGAGTTCTGAAAAAACTGTTTTAGAATAAGAGCACCAGCCCGAAAGTTCTGAAATGAATTGTTTAGGAGGTTTAGCACACCACGCATTTCAACAAAGAGGCTATCTGTTACTGTGGAATATATAAGGTAGGTCAAAATAAATTATAGAAGCTCGTTTTGAAATTCAAAAAACTTTTTTAATTAACAACGCTGCAGGCTAAAATTTTTCTAAAGATTATTTAAGACTAAAATACTCCCAAATTGATTTGCCCCAAAGTATTTTAAAATGGAAATATGTTTTCAGTAATGTATTCTGACCGCTGGATTTGCCACTGATCTGTGCAGGTCGAATTAAACTGTATTTATATTTATTGTTTTAATGAGGACTCCTCCTACGTGCGAGGATGAGTCATCTTCAAAATAAAGCCAATTTGCGAACGAACTGCTTCTGTCGACAAAAACACTGAATCATTAAGCTTGATAAATAGCGCCTGAATTGTATTTAGAGAGAAAGCCGACTCGCATTTGCGTATCATCATAAAATTTCACATAAGGCATGCAAATGCAGTCCAAGGGATATTTCAAAACTTTTACATTTGGAGAGCATTACCTCAAAGGTGCCTGTAGCAAGAGTTATGTGCCAGAGGGTCCAGAAATACCCTCGTAAATGTTATTTTATTTCATGACTGTAACACCTATTGTAGCCTTCCTCTTAACTATCTAAGTAGAGAAAAGGTCGAGACACATTTTGTAGAAATCAATGCATGATTTTGTAAAATTCTGTGCCGAACAATGAACTCTGAGCTCGAACTAGAACTCTATAATTCTCACATTGAAAGAAATTCACCGTAAAGTTCGTCATCTCTTTGGCATTTTTGAGACGAAAACTTTATTAAAGTCAATACAAACTTTGCTATTTGTATTTTAAAGAGTATTTAACTCGTTTTCTAAGACAGAATTGCAATTGAAATCATCATGCAATGAACAGTCAATTAAAATTAAACAAAAACAAGTAATCTAAAGCATCAACTTGAGCTATTCATCAACCTTGAAGAAAAAAATAGATAATTGTATGTTTTTTAGATTTTCAAATTGATATTCCTTGACCCTTCACTTTATTGCCGGCAGAAATACTAATTTGTGTTGATGGGCTTTAGTCGCGAGGTTAAGAACATGATAGTTCAAATACATGCAATAATGGATTCAATACTTAAAAAATCATTAACAATGCAAAGTAACTGTTCACCTGGAGATTGAGCTGTAACAGATGGTTCGTTACTATATTGGTTGCAAAGCTTTTCTCAACTTTCGCAGTTGACGAACCTCATAGGAAGATATTTTGAACAACTTTATGGTAGCTGATGACAATCGTGGAACACGTGGTCTTTTTACTTTAGTGAAGCGCCTACGCCTAAAGAACCTCCACCATCCTACTGTCGACAAAAAATGAAGCATGAAGATAAATTCAAATGTCTCAACAATATACGCAGTAATGGCGCAAAGGAACAGTTTGGAGTTTGTCATTCTTGTATATAAATTAAATTTCTAAAGGTATTTCAGCACAATTCTTAACAATTCATTCCTTAAAATATAGGTTCTAATAGATAATAAAGGTATGAACATTTTGCACGATCTTAATTGTTGTGGCTTGAAATAGAAGTTCACACTTTGTAATTAGTATATCTACTCTGATATTTCTGAACACCTGTTTTTTCTTGTATTTTACGCATACACAATCAGGCTGTTTGCTTAAATCAGTTAAATCTCTCGGGCGATGAGAAGTCTGCGACATCAAGGAATTTTGTAGTTGAAAGTATGAGTGAAACTTGAACGAGCTTCCTTTATTCTGCCAATCCCACCAGATTTTATCTACAAAGCCATGATGAAGGAAGAATTCTGGAGCAAACGCTGCAATTCTTGAGCACATTGTTCCACCTATATCGCAATGGACACTGTCGTGAAAAAATCCACGGAGAGACAATTCAAAATCTTCAAACTGAATTGAGGGTCTTTTCAATAGTTCCTTTACCGCCGCTGCATTGGGTAGCCTACCACTAAATCGCCTCTTGAGACATCTATTATTTTCACCAGAGCTCAATGGTAGAGACCATCGACTGTCCCTAAATGGCCCTGTTTTAACGCAGTTCGTCGATGATGATCCATTATCTCCCAATCCAGCGCTGCTCGTACTCCACACAGAGCTGGAAAACGGTCTCCAGAGCTGGAAAACGGCCTCTTGGCTCCAGTCCCAATACGGCACGGTCACGCGACAATCTATTTCTCTCAAAAGATTCTCGTATTGTAAAATAAACTAACGATGCCAAGGAAGAAAGAATTGCTTCCGGTGAATATTTTTCCCAGAGAAGATGGTTCTGTGAATAGTTAGAAGGCGCTCGTACTTTCTTTTGTATTTAGAGTTGGTCGATGCTGTTTTAATTGTTGTTATGTAGCGAATCCGCTCAACGTTTGTCAGGTCGTTAAACTCCTTTCGAATTCGACAATTATCTTTTCCATATTTACATTTGGTGGACAGACCTTGACAGAAGAAATATTGGTGAGATAGATAATTCGTGCTGACGAAAATGTGAAAAACATGCGTGAAAATTTGTCTGTGTAAGTATGAGTCACTTTAAAGTATGAGTCACTTTCAAAGTATAAGTACTTTGTGTCGGTGTCCTTCTCCAATCAGCTATGTGCCATGTGGAGCACAATTAATATATATGAATCAAATTAGACAAAAGCATTGATAAATGTTGATTGTTGTAACAGTTTGATAAATTTTATGGAAAATTACATTTTTTCTTTAACTCTAGACTATTAGCTATATAGTCCATTTCTCAAATATATACTTTAAAACTTCCAAAGTTTTTGTCAGTTGAAACGCTTGTAAGGCCTTGTCCATAATGTATAGATGAAGTAATGTAGAAAACAATGTTTGTCTATATCTCTTTTTTGTTCTTTATTTTTGAAACATAAATGTGCTACGCTAACTTTCCTATACATGTTCTAAAGATTGCAAATTACAACAAAGCGACTAAACACCTTTCTTTAATTTCCTAATTACTGTACTCAAAGTAGAATATCCATTTGTGGCGTGATAAACGAAGTTTGGTTTTGACGCAATGGAATTGAGTTCAGTTTTAGAGATGCTTGTCGTGACGCCCATAATGTGCACTTGAACACCACGTGCTTTTAATTTACCAGCAGGAATTGATGGATTTCGCGGGCTTCCTGTGTTTGAATAGCCATCTATGGCGTTACTTCTGGCACCAGTAGAATGACTCATTATCAAATTGTCTAGAACGTAATGAAGTGCAGGTCCGGTTGCAGTGAGGCCTCCAGTGTATCTGTAAATGGGTAAAAATATCAAATTGTTTGAAACAGAGTTTTTGAGAAGTTTAGGAAAAACACACCAGCCCATAAACAGTGAGAGCATTTTGCTTTTCAACCTTATGCTGTATACTTTATAAATTACTGTCTACATGCAGTTAGCTGTTTCTTAGTTCCCACAAGTCAGAAAATCCAAGTAACTGAAATTTGGTGATGTATACGCATTGTCAGTTAGACATGCGTCACAACAAAAAATTTCAATGGAGTGACTTTACAGCTTGCTCCATATACTGTGACACTTGTAGCAATAATTTTCATTTATGCAAGTATTATAGTTTTAATCTTTATTGAGATGAATTGTGATTATGGATTATATAACATTTGAATGTATGGGTATGAGCCCTGTTTCGGTCTCTCTTTATAGAATAGGCAAGGCTTGATCTTCAAGCAAGGCTTGATCTTCAGTTTTCTTAATTAAGGTATGTTCTGTGAAATATTTTTCTAAAACCATACCGAATGTTTTCAATCCCATTTCTTAAACATTCCTTGTTAGGATATTTGTTAAAATCGAACTCCAGTTTAACGTTACTTGCAAATGTGAGGATGGCGACCAAAGTTTTAGATCGAGAAATATCAAAGTACTCGATAAGTTGTTTGATAAACGTTTTCTGTAATTTAAAATGGTGTTGACCAACACTTCCCGATCTATCCATAACAAAGACCATATCCTTGCGAGGGTTGAAATTTGATGAAGCTAATAAGAAATATACATGTCATAACACTGTAAAAACCGATTGTTTAAAATAACCATTAGATTGGTTAAAAGAACCATTAAAATATTGATTAAAGTGGTCTGATGCTTCTGAGGTAACCAATTTTTATGGTTATTTTCAACCAATCAGTTTTTACAGTGAATAAGATCCGAACGTTATTTACGTTTTCTTAAGTCAAGAACTCAAGATAAGCACAATTAAGTACATAAAAATGTGTTGAGCTGTAAAATACTGACAGCATAACGATGTTTTCTAATAAAGAATTCAATTGTTCACAAACAGATGGTGGATTTTGAGATGCAAGTAAATCAACTAAACTTTTTATTGATTTTTAGCGCACAGACGTTTTTGAAGATAAGACCTCAATTACACAACTACTCAGTTTTCAATAGATTTTTCATATTAAAACACGACACTGTTATGATCTTAACAATATGAACTTTTCTTAAGGTCATACTTGTCAGAGGTAAATAAGCCTAATTCGCATTAAGTGTACCTGTTCTTCTTGACCCACGACTAAAACGTCGTCGTCTAGAACTCCAGAACCAAGAACGTGATCTTCTTCTTCTAGAAACGCTTATTTTAGCGTTTGGTTTTGCAAGACTTATGAAGGAGTGTTTCAGGCTCTTATAGATTCCCACAGCACTGCTTGGTGCTCTCTTAGATATTTCATCGCGAAAGTCCATTAACGAAAAATCGTCTTCCAGTTTGCCTTCATCAATAGCATTATCTATAATTTATAAAATATGCAGCAGTTTGTTTTCATTTGAAAGCAAATCACTTTTGTTAATGGTTAGTTCAAGATAATATGTATATATATATACACATATAGAAAGTGTGTGAAATAAAACGGAACAGTTCGAAAAATGTCGCTCAAGTCCTTGGCGCGCAAGATTTTTAAAAATTTTTGGTGAAAATAGTTAGTTGGATTACCAATTCTGGATAAGGCAGTAAAATATTTGCAAATAAAACATTTTTTTAAATAAAAATTTTGTTACCGAAAACACAATACATTTGGAAGGCTTTTGAAATGATTCCGTGTTTTATCAATACGCAAAACTGTTCCGTAACTGTACCTTACTCCTAAATCCTGAATCTTATCTGTATGGGTCATCGTTAACAGAAAAGAATGTTGGAATGAATGAAACTGTTAACTGCAGAGTTTAGACTCATAAACTCTTCGTCAAAAAAGACTATTGCGAAAACGCCCAAAAACGTTTGCAGACACCAAGCGATACTTTAAATAGGTCATGAAAAACTAGTCTGTTATACGCTCGACGTTCTGCTTTTCTGAAGATAACATCCGGATTAGCTAGAATTGCATTTCTAATAGAATGCGAACAAGAAAGAGAAATTCAAAAACGTCACACGAAAGAAAATGAATTTGTTGCAAGCAAATTATAGAACGATATGAACGCCCTGAATTTAATTAAATTAAATTAAATCAAAGTCTGTATTGAGTAGTTGTAAAAGAAGACTTTTAATTAAAATGGACAAAATCAGAACTTTACTTATTGTCTCTATAAATTATGATCATTAAATGACATACACTTGTTAATGCGCACCTTTAAACGAAATCACATGTCCACTAAAGACAACCAGAATATATAAAACTAATGGAACTTTGTTTATAAAGCTATACTCCATCTTTTCAACCGAACAGTCAAACACTTATGATTTGATTTAGTGGAAAACATGTCTTTTACTTTATCACGAGCTTTAGCTTCCTTCAGCAGGTCAAAGCAATGTTTACCAAATATGGCATTTATGGGCTGTCGTTGATAAAGCACCCGTTTCACCAATTCTAAAACGCTTAAAGCGTCAGTTCTAATTTTTAGAAATGCGTTACGAAGCGTCAATAAAATGTATTCCGCGCATTCTACAAGATATGTTACACTAGGTTCCAGTTTCTTTAGATAATGTGTAGCTCCGTGCAGCTCCGTACATTTGGTTCAAAATGGCTACTCGTCCCTCAAAGCGATTCAAATCTTGCAAACTTCGCGTTCGATCTATCTCTACGAGTGGCAAAAAAATCACGAAGAATATTGCTCTGAAAGCTTCAAATCATATTTCAAATGAATTAAAGTCAACAAATGTCCCTTCTAGTGCGATAGAACGACAAAATTTGTATGAGTTTGATGAAGGTGAAGGTTACTGTGATGAAGAGCATACTTATGCAACAAACTATCAGAACAGACGGGAAAAGGAATTTCAAGGCTGGCAAAGCATACGAGAGTCTTTGTTAAACGGAAGAATTGAAGAAGAAGTTTTTCTTAACGAAGAAAAATGCTCTGAATGTGGTGTGCCCCAATTTCATTTGCTCGCATATAGTCTTGATCATCATTATTGCAAATTGGATCTTACTTAAATAATTTATCAACGCGTTGTGGATAATCATGACAACATACAATACAAAACTTCATTCATGGTTTCTTTGAAAGAAATAATTCCGTGATCCTCATAAAAAAGTTTTAAATAGCAGATTCGCAGTAGTTGACAGGATATCATATGCCGCAGCATGTTTTCGAAATTCGAACAGAATAATATAAAATGGTATTAATAGAACTGACCTGATTCATTATGCATAATGCCATGTCATCTTAAATGCAGTAGCTTAATTTGAAACAACACATTCAGACTTGCATGACTTGAAATAATTTCGGAAATTCTACACAATATTTGTAACATCAATTTCAAGATTACCGGTTAATATCAATTTTCAATACTCAGCAGATAGGCAAATGTAACATCTCATCTAGGGAAGCAAAAAAGCAGTTTTACTTTCCAACTTTTGTCACAGTCTCCAGATACTTGTCTAATAGTTACTAGTTGGAAAATCGTAACAAGGCTTTCAAGTTTTCAATCATCATTGCAATTTTAACTAAAATACGTTCGCTTTTCAAATTTAGCGTTTTGTTTCGCATTTCATTTTTATTTTTAATCGCATCTTGCTTCCACCATAACTTATTCACTTATTTTCTGGAGTTTTGAAGATTTGTTGAAAGTACTCATTGAGTTTAGCGTGATCAAACTTAAGCATTATAGAGGAGACATCTACTCGCACATAAAATTAATGATAATTATGCAGTTTATATATGATCGTTCAAACAGGAAGATGTAGCTTGTGCAGACAACCTTCATCGTCCTCTATAATGGCTTTCTTGAGGAAGCAAGAAATCAGAAATGCATTACAAAATGCAATATTTTCGATACCAATGTCTCATATGCTCGTGTATTTTGCAAATCCCAACAACTAATAATTAATAAACGTTTTTGATATTTTACATACTTCTGTCCATCTCGACACTTGCCAAATGACCGGTTCAAGATTTCATCATCTATTTCTGAGAATCGGTGAAGTGTGTTAAACGTAAAAATATTTCCTGATGAGTACGACAGTAAGAAGTTATTATAACTGCAAACATTATTCAACATGACGCTTTTTCAAAATATGACTTGTCGAAATAGATTTATTTATAAGTCGTGCAATTTCGAATAATACCATTTCATTGGACGAAGCTATTGCAATTCATAAGCACCATTTAATATTTGGGTAATTTAGTTATTCCATTTTTGAGAGACCGCTGATGCAATTTTCATTTCTATTTAGCAAATAGGCATGTGTTTGGCAAAGTGTAAAAGTATAAAATCCGCTTTAACAAATACTTACATTGGACAAGTATGGATTTTTAACAGTGTTTCATGTCTCACTTATCTTCCACTTTCATTTTTTAGCTGATGTTAGATTGATCAATTATAGCACGTTTAGACTGATTGGCGGAGTACGATACCCAGGTTCGGGCAAAAATCTGCAGGCCCTTCACACTACTTAGTATCCACTATCTTTGTCTATTTATAAATTCATGTTTTTCTTTGTAAACAAGTTTTGAAACCACGTGCTGAATACGTGCCTCCCTGTACACGTTACTCATGTGTCATCGTTCACATTGGTACCCTTTCCCAAGCACTGTACTTGCGTACTACCTTTTTTCCTGGTGCCCAGACCTGCCTGACCTGGGCACTTATACATGGGCACCATTAAAATGTTGTGTTGACATTGGTGCCTTTGTCTGAGCACCGTGCCAGGGAACTCAGTTTGAATGCACTATAATAAACTTTACAAACGAAATCAAACAAATTTTGTATATTGAACGATTCCTGATAAAACTGTTAAAAAATAACTTTGCTAACAACAATGCGATTCTGCGACCTTCTTTTGCCCCCTCACTTTTCAAACCTCTCCGCGGCCCTTGCGATGTAAAGCAATTTCTTTGAAAATTTTGTCAACGCAATAAACACTTCTTTTGGATATGTTATAGACAATAAGAATATCTACAACATGGCCAAGTTTAAAAAAATTCTACCGTGTAGTTTTTTATTTACAGGCCTTTGTTTAGCAATGACTTGAAATTCTCAACCTAATTATATAAGATCATATTACGCGCATTCGTGTCATCTAATTATGTCGATGATTTTCTATCATTTATTTTTTTGTGCCACCTCCAGATTTTGGATATGTTAAAGACAATAAGAATATCTACAATATGGCCAAGTTTAAAAAATTCTACCGTGTAGTTTTTTATTTACAGGCCTTTGTTTAGCAATGACTTGAAATTCTCAACCTAATTATATAAGATCATATTACGCGCATTCGTGTCATCTAATTATGTCGATGATTTTCTATCATTTATTTTTTTGTGCCACCTCCAGATTTTGGATATGTTAAAGACAATAAGAATATCTACAATATGGCCAAGTTTAAAAAATTCTACCGTGTAGTTTTTTATTTACAAGCCTTTGTTTAGCAATGACTTGAAATTCTCAACCTAATTATTGGTCACCTTTTGGTCACCTTTCTCCGCTTTCTCCTGCTCGGGTAGCGGGTCTTTGCCGGAGACCCAGTTCTATGAGACTTCTCCAGGCTGCTCTGTCCTGGGTATCCTCTTCTTTGACACCACATAGCTGCATGTCTCTCCTGATGGTATCCTTCCACCGATGCTTTGGGCGTCCTCGTTTCCGTCTCCCCTCCATTTGCATCTCATAAACTCTCCGAATGTCTACATCTTCTTCACGCCGGCACACATGTCCGAACCACTGCAGTCTTTTTCTTCTCATCAATTTCAGTATACTCATGACATTCGCTTCTTCTCTTATGCTTTCATTTGTTCTGTGCTCCTCCAGGCTGACTCCAAGACAATAGCGTATCATTCTCATCTCGCATACACTGATCTTCTCTGCTAGGTAGTCTGTAACAGGCCAAGTTTCATTCCCATACAGAAGCACTGGGCGTATCACCGTTTTGTAGATGAGGATCTTCAGTTTCTTCGGCATCTTCTTATCACAGAGCACTCCCGTTAACTCTCTCCATTTATTCCATGCCCGGCTAATCCGTAGTTCAACCTCGGTCTTGCAACCGCCATCCTGATGGATGGTGGTCCCGAGGTACTTAAATGTCTCGCACTTTGATAGATCTGTATTTCCGGGTCCAGCATATTCTCTTAGCTTGATGTTTCCTATGCAGCCACTCGGTGGAAGGTACTCCGTCTTGGCTCTACTAACTTTCAAGCCAACATCTTCTAATATTCTTCTCCACTCTTCTAGTCTTCCTTCCAGATGTTCTCTCTTCTCATCACACAAGACCAAATCATCTGCAAACATCATACTCCAAGGTGTGTCCTCTGTCGTGTCATCCGAGATTACATCCATAATGATAATAAAGAGTAGGGGGCTTAGTGCCGAGCCTTGATGTAACCCGACCTCTACTTGAATTTTCTCAGTCTCACCAACGTTCGTTGCGACACTAGTGGTAGAGCGCTTATACATATCTTTGATGGTTTCAAATTAACTTTCCCATTAAAATTAACTTCTTATACATGGATATAAGAAGTTAATTATATAAGATTATATTACGAGCATTCGTGTCATCCGACTTTGTCGATGATTTTCTACAACTTATTTTTTTGTGCACTCTCCAGATTTTGGATATGTTATAGACAATAAGAATATCTACAATATGGCAAAGTTTAAAAAAATTCTTCCGTGTAGTTTTTTATTTATAAGGCTTTGTTTGTTAAAGACCCGGAATTCTTAACTTAATTACCTTACTTGTATTAAAATTCGAGTCGTACTCATTTTCGCTCAGCTTTAAATTCGCGCACTTTGTTGACAATTATTCGAGCAGCTTTAAATTCGCGCAAGTAGTTTTATGTGCTCGTTCTTTTTGGATTGTTCAAAAGAACTATTAATAATTAACGCATTTATATTGAGCTTTCTTTATTAAGAAATACCTCAATATTCATCAAAAAAGCGATTGGGTGGCCTCAAAAATGGCTTCAAAATAAAGCGTGAGTTCACTATCCCAACAAGAACTAAAAAATGTAATAAATGATATTGCCTAACAATATACTTTATAAGTCAAACAAAAGTTTAGCTACAGTTCAAATGGATCCTCTTTTCGTTGTGGTTCCTCCAATGCGGCGCTCACACCTGATCGTTGCCAACCTTTGACGACAATGTCCTTGTTCGATTGCATGTAATCATAGAACTGCACTATCCATTTTGCGTGAAGTGGTTTGAGCACGCTAATTCTCAAATCAACAGAAACTTTATCAGGTTGAATACCTTTCTCTATTTGGGCTTGGACTTGCTCTGAGTACC